ATCTTACACCAATCCTGACTTGGATCAGACTTAGTAAGATTTTCAGTAAGTTTCTACATTATCATTGTTTTTGTGGTTTTATTTTATAGTGTTTTGTATTTACTTTATTGCTTATAGAATGTTTTTTTTTTTTTTAATCAATTCAAGATAGAAGATTCTTAAGCTGAAAATAACCAAACATAAGAAATTGATTCAGTCTACTCGGAAAAGGGAAGGGTCAGGTAGGTAAACATCTTCGTCTCATTTCTGAGTTTGTATTTTTTATGTTCTTGCTATCTAGTAGACTGCTAACATAATAGTTTTGTACTAAGATACATGATACTTGAGCGGAAAAGAATCAAAATTAAGAAGGCCTTCAATATCCATGAAAAAGAATGGTCAGGTAGATAAAACATACATTGATAAAATCTTTTTCTGGATATGTCTGGTGTGTTAAAGTGATTTATAACTTGCAGGAACTAATAAAGCACAACATATTTCTCTATTAGATCTTGATTTCCAAGGTAAAATACTAACGATGTCATGGATCGGATTTCAGTTGTTGGAGAGTCTTTTACACATGAGGCAACCAAATGTTTCCTGTTCAGTACTAAGGTGACTAATGTTTTTCATCTCTTCTTACACCACTAATTTTGGTTGCAGAATGATTTTTCCAGGAATTACATGTAGCTTTCTTTTCTAACTTTATTTATATGTCCGTTTTTTTATCCATTGCATCATTTTGGTTGTGGCTTGGATTGGAAGGAAACCATCATATTTACATGATCCGGATTAATGGGTTTTGGACTAATGGCTGTGGTGTCACTTTTCATTGTATCTGTGAAGAAGAAATTCATGCAAGAAGAATCTATGGTTATACCGCTTTGTTTATTTTGCTATCTATCTTTATATCTTTATACGTTTATGTCTCCATTTCCGAGCTCTAACATAATCAATCTTATTGGTAAATGATTCAGCAATCAGGTGACAACTCATATCTCAATTCCGTGTCAGGAGCAAATGTGAGTGTTGAAACACTGTTTAATCATATTTGCTGCCTAGATGATTTGGGTTATCTTTTTTTGTTATCTTAATGCCGTCTCAAACGTTTCGCAGTTTATACTCCTATTGAGTGAGATTGTTTTCCTAACTTGATGATTTCTGTTTTTCAGTCGGGTTCTTCATTACACAGCAAAACCCGTCAAGCTTAAATAACAAAAAATGAACAACCAGTCAGGCTCTGTAAGATTCTTACCATGTTTTGTAGTTTCATTTTCTTGTTTGTATGTCGTACTAGTCTGTGCCCATAATAATTGCTAACAAAATGTTTTGGATACTAGAGAGTGGATCTAAAAAGAACAAAAGTTCAAGAAAGTGATTCAGTAGCCAAGAGCAAATGAGGGGTCATGTATCTTTGAGCTGTACATAACCTAATTTCCAGAGGCGATTCCAAGAGCATATGAGAGGTCAGGTAAAGTAAATCTTTCCCTCTAATCTCATGCATTCTTCCCTACAGGTTATTTGCATTTGACGAGCCTAGGTGGCTTGGCTTGTTCGTGTTACTAAACTATTTAGAAACACATAACTTCACGAACACAAAGACACTGAAACACAATTCACCCAAACTTAAAACACACCCAGAGACAACAAAATTCAAACATAAACACACAAAACTCAAACACGATACAAAATAGAAATCATATCACATGCAAATAAACTCTAAACACCAACACAAAGAATAAAATTCAACACATAACTTCACAAACACAAAGACACACGAAGACAATTCACCCAAACTCAAAACACACCCAAAGACAACAAAATTCAAACACGATACACCATTGATGATGATGAATCCCGTGATCTGTCTGAAAATCCGGTGATATGATCGTGTGCACCATCACAATGGCCGACAGAAGAAAATGAAGATGTTCTTCTGAAGAATACAACGACGAACTTTCTCTTCCTCCGAACAATATTCTCCTAATCTCTGTTAGCCAACCTCTCGATCCTACCCAGTTGCAGCTCATTAATATCGCCTCTATGATTGAAATAGCCAATATATTCTGACCAGATTGGATCTGATTGGTTCACAAACAAATGAGGTCTCCAGGAAGCTAAATTCACTAATAGATGGCTTTCTTGACCCTGTTCAAGATAAGTGTATCACGAGGAGTAGGCCATGACTTAATGGCACTTATCTTGGCAGGGTCAACTTTTAAAACCGTTGGAAGAAACCACATAACCCAAAAAGAGAACTTCATTAACACCAAACGAACACTTCTTGACAGCTCCGAACAGCTTATCTCGTCCCAACACCAAAAGAACATCACTTAAATGAGTTAAGTGTTCTGCAAGGGAAGAGCTGAATATTAGTATGTTGTCAAAGTATACGACAACAAAGCGACCAATAAAAGGACGTAAAGCTTGGTTCATGACACGCATAAAAGTGTTTGGCGCATTAGAAAGACCAAACGGCATAACTAGCCATTCAAACAAGCCTTCGCGAGTCTTGAATGCCATTTTCCACTCATCTCCCGGACGTATACGGATTTGGTGATAACCACTCTTGATCCAAAAGATCATCCAAACGAGGAATTGAAAATCGATAGCGAATTGTGATCTTGTTAATGGCTTGGCTATCGACACACATACGCCAAGATCCATCTTTCTCGAACATGTCCTTTAGAAAGGAGCTCCTCTACTTGACGCCTTAACTCATCATGTTCCATTGGGCTCATACGGTAGTGAGGTCGGTTAGGCAACACCGCATTAGGAGCAAAGCCAATACAATGTTGAATGTCACGCAAGGGCGGTAGACCTTCCGGTAAGTCAGTCGGAAAAACATCTTGAACCTCTCTAAGAGCGGTTGAAACTCGCTTGGAACATCGGCAATGGTAGCATAAATACACGGCTTCATGAGTATAAATACATCGGCCATGTTCGCGGACTGAACTTCTTCCAATGCATGCGACTTATTCATCAAAAGTACCGGTTTTGTCTCTGGAGGTGCTACAAGTTTATCATCAGGATCGATGTTCGTAACGGTAGCCTCTGAAGCAGCTTGTGACGGTATCAAAATAATGTGTTTTCCCTCGTATGTAAACTGTGTGTATTAGTGAATCCATCATGCACAAACCTACGATCTTACTGCCACAGACGGCCTAAAAGCAGATGACATGCATCCGTAGGCAATACATCACAACATACCAAGTCCTTGTAGTTCAAACCAATAGAGAACGGAACACGACAACTTGTGGAGACACGCGAATCTATTTTTGAATTTAACCACGCTAAGCGATAAGGAGTTGGTTGAGATTTCGTGAACTATGCTAACTTTGCTACGGCTTCTGCGTAGATGATATTCGTACAGCTTCCCGAATCAATGATCATACGACACACTTTGCCTCTGATTGTACATGTGGACTGAAAAATATTGCTTCTTAACCATGATTCTTCGATTCCCCGAGGAACAAGATGATTACATCGTATCATCAACATTGTTCAGGTGTCACCAAGAAACTGTTCTTCTTCTTTACCAGCCTCCTCATCATAATCATCATATACATGAACATCATTAACCAAGAGACCACGCCTATTGAGAAGAGGACAATTGGATTGACGATGCCCCTGTTCCCCATACTTAAAACACTTGAAAGTAGTTGTGCGTTGAATTCCCTAAGTCGTAATACCCTCAGTTGAATCTGTAGGCCTTGATTGCTCTAATGATTTATGAAATCCGGTTTCTGGAGCAGCTGTTGAACGACTTCGCTGCGATGCCCATGACGATAACTGACTGCGTGAGTGTTGCTCAATTAACAGAGCACGTTGATGCGTCTCCGAGACTGTCAAGGGATTAAATTGAAGTAACGTATGTTGAATCTGTGATCAAATTCTCCAATAAAACGGGATACCATCTGTTCTTCGGTTTCTGTCAAGGAATTTCTCGCCATCAATGAGAAAATTTCTTAAGCATACTCATCAACACTCTTCGTCCCCTGCCTCAAATTCTGCAATTTGGTGTGCAATGTTCTTGTATAGTTATATGGAAGAAAAGCTTTCCTCATCAAGCGTTTCATCTTGTCCCACGAAGCAACACGCTCTTTACCAGCTCGAGCACGTGATTCTTTAGTTTGCTGCCACCACGCTGAAGCTCTCCCACGAAAACGTGTAGCCACAAGAGACACACGCATAGCATCGGGAACGTCTTTGAAGCTCAACAACTCTTCTGTTGTGTTGATCCAATCCATAAACTCCTCTGGTTGCAAACCACCTGTGAATTCCGGCAAATCGAGCCTGAATCCCGACTCCCACCTTCTGTCATCAACTTGCGGAGCTGCTATGATGTCACGTTGTTGATTTTGTTGAATTCCGCGATTCTGCAAATTTTCTTGTTGCACAAACGGGTTTTCTTCATCGTACTCTCTTTCTTCATCCTCCACAAAGACACGTTCATCTCTTCTCTGCACTTCTGGACCATCACGTTGAGCTTGAACAATAGCACGGATTGCAGATTCAATAGAGACTCGCATGGTATCGCGAAAACTCTGTTGCTTCTCCACCATCATCCGCCTGAATTCGTCGTTGTGTTCGTCGAGCTGTGTTTGAAAAGTCTTCTTTGGAGGCATGATTAGGACCTTTGGCTCTGATACCAACTAGTGCCACGGTAAATACGAATTGGGTCTTGAGAGATCAATGGATTCGCAAGAACAACTCGTAGCTCGGAGTTCTTTGTCTTTGTGTATCAATGGATCACAAGAACAGAGAAATCAAAGTCTTCGTTTAGAGAATAACAACTTCTATATATTAATAAGCAAAAACAACCATCTTTCAACCTTACAAGATAAAGAGTATTTATACTCTTCTCAAAACGAAAATCCTAGTTACTAAAGCTTGGAGAACAAGCAATGACAAACGGACATAATAAAACCCAGAGTCATTAGTTTAAAGTCCAAAAATAATAAGAAAGCAAAGCCTAATACGAGAATAACATAGAGGATAGACGGTGCTGCATCAGTAATACAATTGAAAATAAAATGCTGAGAAAAAGTCTGATGTGACATGCAAGCAAAACCCCCTACAATATTTGTATAGAAGATTGAACTGAAAGAAAATAACTGAAGCGATGAAAGCACAAGTCATACTATAATTTGGTATGAAAACTGTCCAAGCATAGGATGCCACCATTGATGAATCCCATGATCTGTCTGAAAATCCGGTGATATGACCGTGTTCACCATCACAATGGCCGACGGAAGAAAATGAAGATGTTCTTCTGAAGAATACAACGACGAACTTTCCCTTCCTCCGAACAATATTCTCCTAATTGAGTATCTAGCCAACCTCTCGATCCTACTCAGTTGCAGCTCATTCATATCGCCTCTATGATTGAAATAGCCAATATATTCAGAGCAGATTGGATCTGATTGGTTCACAAACAAATGAGGTTTCCAGGAAGCTAAATTCATTAATAGATGGCTTTCTTGACCCTGTATATGATTCAAGATAAGTGTATCAAGATCAAGTTTCTTGTAAGAAAAGACAAAACCTAATATTCTACTATTAACAATTTCAATATCTTTGATGATTATTTTATAGAAAGTTTTATATGTTTGGGAGATATTATTTGGGAGATAGTACTATTTGTGAAGTACCACAAGTATTATGAAGATTTGATACCTCATTAAGGTCTAGGACTCTTGCTATGCCGGCTTTGACGATATCTCTAATGAGTCGGACCGCACATTTAAGATCCTCACTCTCAACTAGCTGCTCTAGAGGAATCAAGGAGATAGGTGGGTTGAAGATGTAAGCCTCCACGGGGTGTCCATACATGGCCATGATCTTCCCCGCGAGTAGTGCCAGGCCAGCTCCTAGAGAGTGTCCAGCGATCCAGACAGCTGTGTTTCCATATGTGGCCACAAAATATTGCATTGCTTGAATGGCCTGCACAAATCTACCCCCGCGGTGGAGGTTCTCGAAGGCGAAACGAATGTTAAGTTGAACATCACAAGCCATAGTTTGTGGCCTTAGGATCGTTCCACGTAACGCAATAATGTAACGTGGTGGAGGTACTATCGAGTTGGGAGTATTCTGGTAATTGATGTCGTTCTGGAAAACGGCCCCGTATATGGAGCCGTCTGATGCGTCCCTAAGTTGTTGGTATAAAGTGAACCTGTAAAACGCCCACCAAGGTCTAGCTTGTGAGTCAGAACCACACCGGTTTTGTTGCCTGTCTCGTTCCATTGTGTACACTCCTTGTACCAAACATGATACCAATGACGCTCGGTGGTACAAATTGGTCCTATTAAAAAATAAACCAATTACACTATACCACAGAATCATCGAGTAGATATGGATATTATTTTATTTTTGTGTCATCATTATGAAAGATTTTGAAACGCACATGCAAAATTATGTCGAAGTCAAAAGAAAAAAAGAACCAAAGAAAAAACCATCGGATGAAGTGGTATCAATATATTGTGAAGTCATTTTTTTTTTGGTTAAAAAATTAAGGATATCCAAATCGAATTTACGATGTGAAGTCATTTTTTTTTTGGTTAAAAAATTAAGGATATCCAAATCGAATTTACGATATTTGAGAATCGAAGCAAGCAAAAAGTTTGGCCATGTGAAAGCTTTTTAACAAAAGAAAAAAAAAGCTTTAAGGTATGATTGGAACTTGGAAAGAACATATATGACGTTTTTCCTCTTTTTAGAACATTTTTGTAGCACTTGTTTTCTAATATATTTAAAGTTCGTCATGAGTTGATATCCCATATAATACCCGAGTCTCTACTATTAAGTATACTTGTTTTGGTTTGATCATGTTATTTTTTTTTTGTTTATGAAGCAGTTACTTTAATTATAAAGTTTCGTTTTTACATTAGTTGAAGAGTTTGCCCCTCATTTTTAGATTTTATTTTACATGTGTTTCCAACATTTGGGTAATATTTCGTAACCAATATTGTAATCATCTACTCTTTGTTAAATAACAAAAAAAATATTTCATAATATTTTGAAAGGGGAAGATATAAAATGAAACGAAAAAATTACCAGTCAAACGAGGGAATTGGAGGGGGACCAGAAAAGCTAAAAATCTCTCTGCGTGAGGCCATCAGCAGCTCCTCCTAATTCACACTTTAGCCGTCTTCTCTTCTTCTTCTTATCACTTACATGTTAGAATAGTAACCACCCATACTACATACGAAAAAGGTAATGTAACTAATCAATAAAAGTATATAGTAATTAACTAAAAACATACTATAAAATAATAAAAAGTGTATAATAGATATATAATAGATACAATGATATAGCTGTAAATACAAAAATATCAAGTACTAAGTGGTTTCACTTTAGTGAGTTAAGTGAGAGAGCTACCGAAGTAACCTACCAAACAAACACAGGTTGATGATCGGCCTTAAGAGAAAGACATATCAGCCAGTGTTAGAAAAAAAAAAGAGAAATAAAAATTGTCAAGATATACATAAAGAAAGAAGGAAGATAACTATTTAAATATGTCTTGTGTATCTCCATGGGGAATTTAGCCACAAACTTCCACAACAATTTCCTCTTTTTTTTTCTAACAAAAATAAGAGGAATATAAATTATTGTTGAAATTGAAGGTAAATTTCCCATGAAGATATTTGAGTTGAAATAAAGCTAAGGTGATTGAGAAAGCTTATGTCAAATTGTCAACTGGTAAATATTTTGGGAAAGTACGTGGAAAGATAATTTAATGTGTTATTATCTAAAACTACGATAATTTCCTAAAACATTTCAACAATAATTACTTTTAAAATCTTTGAAACAAATATGATTTGGAAAGACTTTCCAGGCGCCTTCGTAATGAAACCTAAAAGTATCATTTGGGAAGACTTCATAAAGTCTTGCAATGTAATTTTCATATAAGTAGAGTTTTCCTAAACAAAATAAAACAAAATATACGTGCATCATCTTCATATATGCTTTTAGTAAAACAAAATAAAAATAACCGAGAATTAACAAATATATACCAAACACAAACAGTCACACACTACAGAAAGAAAATGATTTCTGTGGACGACCTCGTCTACTTTTATTCCCTTTGCAAATTTTATATAACACTTATTTACATGTTTTAAAAACTAGTATGAATTTTGACTAGATCCTCGATTAGAAAAAACCTAGACAGAGATAAAAACCAGTTTATATGTGAACGAAAAATTATGGAAACATTCTTGGCTCTAGCTATCAGACTAATGTATCGCTCATATCTCTTAGAGGGCAACATAGACTTCAAGACTTTTTGTTAAAAGGAAAGAAAATAATATCCTATATTGGAAATGATAAGGGATATTAACTAGTATAAAAGATATATGAGCCAATCCACTCACTGCCAATTGGTTTTGAGTTGGAAACCCATATCCGAATACGTAACATACATCACATACAAGTGAGCGGATCTTTATTCTTCATACAGCATGTTGCTTTAACTATGTATTCCTTTTTTAAAAATCATTTATGTATGTCTAGTTTGTGAAATTGACCATATATCCTACATAATAAGTTATGCAATTGACTACAAAATTATCGAAAGAGGTACAAAAACAGATCACCATTAAGTGTCGGATATGTCACCAAAACCGGCTTTAATAGAATTGAAATCCAACCACAATCAGTTTTTATTCAATTAGTGATTCCAAAACATGGAAAAGACAGGCAAACACAAAATAGACGAAAACGAACCATAGTGCGCCATGAAAAAGGGTAAATAAAGTGTTCCAAACTAAAGATCAGCAGAACATATATTAGAGGCATATATCATTTGATGCATCCCTTCAAGATTTGCCTTCAGGGTCGGGCCTAATTAAGCAGCTTTTCCAATTTTCCCGTAGGACCGAATCTTGCTCCCACCATTGGTGAAGCCCATGAGCTACCATAGACGAACATGATTTGTTCTTGTTGACAGTCATATCTGCTGATTGAAGAAGGTGAAGAGGTTCCATTGACAAATTGGGCAGTGGTGATGATGATGTTCCTATTCCTCGTTTCCATTGAGTTCTAAATGAGTGTCTAGAACCGGTTTTCTCGATTTTACTCGCTCCAATCTTAGACATGAAGGTTTTGTGTCTGAAGTAATCGATGTATCCTGCACAAATTGGATCTGCTGGATTCACATATATATAAGGTATCCACGATGCTGTTTTAGAATCTTCTGGAACCTGTAATATTTAAAGACAAAAGTATTGGTTTACAAAAAATAATAATAATAATAATTTCTTGTAAGAAAATAAACTATAAACAAGTACTAATTAATAGATATTTTAAACAATAGTTTTCTTATTTTGGCCATGGAAAACTTGATATCTTGGACTAACAAGATGAGTTCTTAATGACTAAACCACCATAGTTAATTGAATCAGTTATCAAAAAAAAAATTATTTATTTACCCGTTTATTGGTTAAGGTCATATCTACAGTAGCTGCAGTAGCTTTGACGAGACTCTCGGCGATTCGAAACGCACCTTTAAGTAGAACGCCGCCAGGTAACTGCTCTAGAGGAACAGTTATGATGGGTGGGTTGAATATGTAACTCTCGAGGAGGAATCCAGAAATTTTCATGGTCTTCCCGGCCAGCAACACTAGGGCGGCTCCCAAAGAGTGTCCAGCAAGCCAGATAGCTGATTCACTATGTTTGTCAATCATAGCGCGGATAGCTTGTATAGCGTGGATAGTCCGGCCGCCTCGATGGAGGTTATCTAAGATGCATCGAATGTCAAGTTTCACATCAGGCATCCATGTTTCTCCCTTTAGAACCGTGCCGCGGAAGGCAATCACATAATGTGGAGGTAATTTCAAATTAGGGGTATTTTTGTAAAGGTTGTAGTGGTTGTATTCGAAAATGGCGCCATATATGGTGCAGTCGTCGTCGATCAAGGTTTCGAGTAAAGTGAAGTGGAAAAATTCCCACCAAGCCGTGGCTCGTGAATCGGGACGACCTACCCTTTTCTTAAGCCTGTCCCCTTCCAATAAGTACACTCCATTTACCAAACATGATGCCACTGAAGTTCGATGGTATGAATTGTTCCTATTTAACAAAATCATTATATTTTTAGAAACTAAAATGAGTAGATATTGATATTTATTCTCAAAAGGCTATTTTCATTAATTAAAACTACGATTGGTGGTGACCATCAAAGAATATAATTAATAAGAATGAAATGGAAAGAAACAAACAGAAAAGGAAACAATCAAAATGAGAAAGGAAGAGGAATATAATATATACCAATCAATAGAGGTAAGATGGAAGGGGCCAGAAACGCTGAAAGCATCTCTATCTGAGGCCATTGCTCCTTCTTCCTCTTCTTCTTCTTCCTATGAGGGAAGAATTTCACAAGTGAAAACAACCAAATCAATTTCAATGGATGCACTCTTTTTGGCCAATGCCAACACTTTCATAGTAAATGCATATTGTGTTAATTAAATTTAATTTCGATCAAGATCTCTAATTACCAAAAAGTAAAACTACAGAAAGAATAAGCTTATACTTCTGTGTTTTAAAATTCAGATTATACAAAAACATTGTAGGAACTTTTTTTTGGCTTTTTTTCATGGCACTCTTTACAATATAAATACAAAGATTTCTTTCTAATAGGAAAGAAAATAACAGAAAATGGTGAAAACATAATGAAATAGAAAACGTTTTGAAAATTACCCTTGTCCGTGGTCTTATAGGTAAATCAGAATCGAATGCAATAGAATCTGATTAATGAAGAGATCCCACTAAGTAATCATAGAGTTCTTCTGTTTTTTGTTTCTTTCAAGAATTCCATAAAAGAACGATTTATAGATGCTAAAATCTGAAGACTCTTTCTAGGATGATGAAGACTTTTTTGATCCGAAGGTATTCAGACCTCCCTGGGAACCACCTATCCCTTTAACATCAACACGAGCACTAACGCGAGCCAGAATGTATCAACAACTTCTTTATTTACATTTGACAAGGTTTCTAGTTCCTACAAATTGGCAATTAAAAACATATTAAGAAGTGGACTAGTAGTACTCACTTTTGCTGCCAATTTCATCAAAACTAGATTTAAACAAGTGGTACTCATTTCTGCTGCTATTCTCATCAAATCTAGATTCGAATGGTTTCTCACATATAGAGGAATAAAATATGGCCACTAAACCACGATGACCAAAATAAACATATAAATAAGTGTGAATAAAGTCTTTGTGGATGTGTAAAACTATTTTGGTTTTTCAAATCTTACTTTTCGGGTAGATTTACGAATTTTCTCATGTAGTTAAATTTGTTTTTCCGTGGAAAATTTTAGATGCTGGGAAAACCGGAGATCTTATTTTTAGGGTGTGAGATAGATTTGAGAATTCGGGTTTTCGGTTTGGTTTGGATCGGATTAGATTATATTTGAATTTCGGATAATTTGGGTAGGTATGTTTTGGATCCCATATAGAAAGTGAAATTTTTTTGGTTCGGGTCAGTTCTCAAATTTTATTTGAAATTCGACGACACACAATCGAAGCATACTACTTAGGTTTAGTTCTGGTTCAGTCTCCAAACCTAAATAACCCAATAAACTCGAATAACCTTATCAGACCTGAATTATCCAAAAAAAATTACAAAACCAAAAAGCCACACAAATTCAAATTTCTAAGTTCAGAAGACAAACAAATACAAATTACAAACACAGTGAAAAATTAAGATAACAAATACAACCCAAAATCAGTTCTAACTTCCTCTCATAAATATAAACTCTAAAGTATTCCACAATAAATATTCCAAATAGCACATAATATTAAATTTGAATTTGCATCGTCATGAAAACTAACAAAATTGTTCATGTTCCGTTGATATGACTTTAAATTTGTTTTTAAATTAATTATTATCTTTGTTTATTACAGCTAACAAATTCTATTTAAAAAAAAAAAAAAAACAAAGATTGCTACTGAAGACTAGTCCAAACTTGCAATGTACAGAAAATAGACTTTTCAACGAGTGATTAAAAAAGCAATAATTCATAATATATCTTTAAAAATCAAACGAGGAAATGCAAAACGAAATCAAATGGAGAAAACAAGAAATAATCAGCCTTCCACAAAAAGTTATAACTGAGTCTTTTTGTGCCAAATTAATAATTATTAACTATCCTCAGCATATATCTTCCACGTTATAAGTTATAACATCATCATCACTATCATCATCATGCCATAACTTTAATTCCTATAATTTCGACCAAAGGTTATGTTTCGTTGTCGGAAGAGTAGGCGACAAAATTTGTTTTATACTGTCCATTCTATGACAATCTTCATATATAGGAATCACTAATATTCTGCGATACTTGTAAAGATAAGATGTAGTTTGCATCATCGTCATAGTTCAAATAATTATCAACAATTACATGGAAAAATAAGGAACTAAGACATGGGAAAGAGAGGCACACATGAAATAGAAGACAACAAAAAAAGTAGAAGAAATGAAAAAGGGTAGACAGAGGGTTTGGAACTAAATTAAAGATCACATGACTAAGATATAAATTATAGAGCAATTTAACCAAACCAAAAAACTATTATAGATATATGACCCTCCTTTGTATTATTGTTTATTGGAGGGTCAATTGCTCCAATTTGCCTTCAGGGTAAGGCCTAATGCAACAGCTTTCCCAATTTGCCCTCAGTGTCGAGTCTTGCTCCCACCATTGGTGAAGTCCATGAGCTGTCGTAGACTTAGTCGGTTTGTTCTTGTTTACAGTCATATCCGCTGATGGAAGAAGGTGAAGAGGTTCCGATGACAAATCCGACGATAGTGTTTTTCCTCTTCTTCCCACCAATAGACTCCTAACTGACTTTCTAGCACCGGTTCTCTCGATGTTGCTTGCTCCGATCTCAGACATGAAGGTTTTGTGTCTGAAGTAATCGATGTATCCTGCACAAATTGGATCTGCTGGATTCACATATAAATAAGGTATCCATGATGCTGTCTTTGGATCTTCTTTTGGAACCTGTATAATAATTTAAGACATACAGTTTCTTGTAAGAAAATCAACTTGAATATAGTACTTAGTTTGGAGTGGCCAACAAGGAATCGCAAATGAATGAAACTTGATATATTGACTCTTAAGTAGATCAAACATTTTTAATTTCTTATAAAGATTATTTATTTACCTGTAGATCGGTTAAGGCCATGGCTACGGTGGCTTTGACGACACTCTTGGCGATTTGAAACACACCTTTAATTATATCGCCACCGGGTAGCTGCTCTAGAGGAATAGACGAGATGGGTGGGTTGAATATGTAACTTTCGAGGAGGAATCCAACCCTTGTCATGGTCTTTCCAGCCAACAACACTAGGGCAGCTCCCAAAGAGTGTCCAGCAAGCCAGATAGTTGAATGGTTGTGGTTGTCCACCATACGGCGGACTGCGTTTAGGGCGTACATAGACCTGCCACCTTGATGGAGGGTGTTGAAGATGCATTTGAGGTCAAGTTTCAAATCAAACTTCCAAGTTTTTCCCTTTAAAACCGTGCCACGGAAGGCAATCACATAGCGTGGAACTTTCACATTAGGGGTATTTTCGTAAACGTTGTATAGCTCGTATTCGAAAATGGCACCATATATGGAGTTGTCATCGTCCATCAAGGTTTCGAGTAAAGTGAAGTGGAAAAATTCCCACCAGGGCTTGGCTAATGCTTCAGAACCTACCCGTTCCTCAAGCCTGTCCGCTTCCAATGTGTACACTCCATTTACCAAACTTGATGCCACTGAAGTTCGATGGTACGGATTGGTCCTATTAGAGGAAAAAAAAAAAACTCAATTATTTTAAGACTACGAGTAGATAGATATGGGATATTGTTTTTCATTTTCATTAGTTGGTATCGATATTGATTGTCAAAGGTCAACTTTTACTAATTCATATAAAATATACTAATCAAAATATAAAATATTACCAGTCAATAGATGTAAGATGGAAGGGGCCAAAAATGCTGAAAGTATCTGTATCTTCTGAAGCTATCGCTTCTCCTCCCAATCTTTTTCTCAAGCCTCGTCCCATTTTTTTTTTCTTCTTCTTCGTATATTAGATTGCCAGTTAGTAATCAAATAAATGGTAAAGAACAAAATACAAATGTCCTACAAATTTATGCATATATCATCTTTACATATAATAAAACTACTCAATAAAATCAATTTCAATGGATGCACTATTCTTTTTGGCCACTGCCAAAACTTTCATATAAATGCATGTTGTGTAAATTAGCTTGAATTTCGGTATAGATCCTGATTAGTGATTACCAAAAATTAAAACTGCAAAAAGAAAGAGCTAAATTTATCGTTTTTAAACGACAGATTATACAAAAACATTGTAGGAACTCTTTCTAGGCTTTGTTATGAGTTATGACTAATCAGCCACTCATTACATAAAGTACAGAGATTTCTTTTTAAAAGGAAAGAAAAAAAATTCAGAAAATGATAAAATAAAATAAAAACTTAAGTTTTTAAAGAATACCTTTTTTCGTGGTCTTACTGGTCAATCAGACTCGAATTTAATCGAATGTGATTTAAGTAAACTTAAGAGTTCGAGACCTTCTTTCTAACTCTCTAGCTCATATGCACCTAAGGTTTATTAACAAAAAAAAATTGAGATCCTATAGAGTTCTTCTGTTTATTCTTTCTTTAAGGGGAAAACGAAGTAATGAGTTACTACACAGATAAGCATCTTGTTATTTATAGATAGTAAAAATATGAAGACTTTTTGAATCCGGAGACTTTGAGACCTATCCCTTTAACACTGAGCCAGACTATGAATTACTTCTTTAGTTACAAATTGACAAATTACAAATTGGCAATTAAAAACATATTTAATAAGTTTGAATCAGTCTCTGACAGAATATACAACTGGTTCGATTTATCATATATAAAGAAAACAAGACTTCTTTATTCATCCATCATCAAACCAATAGTCCCACATGATAAAACTCAATAAAGAAAAAAAAAAATTGGTTTAACAACAAATTGGTTTTAAACTAAAGTAAAAGGTTAGTTACAAGAAATTAAATCCAACACATAACTATATATCTAAACTAAATCATTGTATTAATATATACACAAAAAATTAAATTTGTATGGTGATATACGTAAATTTTTGCCCACAAAAAAAATGTATGGAGATATACATAATAGACTCACATCATGACACAAAGTCAACCGAATATGTTTAAAGCATATTCTACATTGAAATCATATATTGTATTACTAACGTTAACGTTGTATTAAAATCATACACTAATAACGTTGGATAAGTCCAAAATGAACTCATAATCATTCCTTTACTAACTCCTTTCGAATTTACCAAAATGATTTTGCGTTTGAATTATTTATAAAGTTATAGTAATAGATTGTTTTTTTTTGATAAAAAATGAAAATTTTGGGGATTGTAAATTATAATAGATTTGGGCAACCAATCAAGGAGTTCTTTATTAATTAATGTGTGGTTGACAAAAAAAAAAAAAAAAAAAATTATAATAGATTTTAGGTCCTGTATAACTTTATTCATGTTGCACATACTCTAAATAGATAAAGACTATAATATTTTCTATTCAAGTTGTATTTACTCTCCACTCCAGCATAGTTAACGTATATGTTTGTACCATGACACGCAACGTTAATTAATAATAGGGTTATATATTTCTGTCGGAAAAAGTTTTGCGATTGAATTTTATACTTTAGGTCAACGATACTCTACACTACTCTATTCGCTTAACCCAAATTCATGTAATGCCATTGGAGGCTTAAGAATAAGGGAGGGAAATAAAAAATATCAAATGTTAAGCATCAAGATATTACTATATGTTCTAAAAATTCATGGTCAACACTTTTTTTATTGTTGCTTATCAATTTGGTTTCTTGTTCTAAGTGGCCGCAGTGTTATTATAATCGTTTGACTTTAGCTATCGTTACAATAATCGAAAATAAAATTGCATTCACAATTCTTTTTAGCTTTTTTAAATCCAAGACCTATGGACCAAGTGGCAAGAAGATAAATTTATATACAGTATACTATATACCTCACCATTTAATATTTCTTCATGTGGGCTAGGATAAAAGGTTCTTCATGTGACTTCCAATTGGAATATATACATAGGAAAAATATTCGAAAGAACCCTTCAAAATGACAATTACTTCCACTTTGATTCTTCAAAATTATTTCAAATAAACTCTCTTTGATTCTTCAAATAAACTCTCCACTATGACAATTACAATAAACCATTAATATGAAATATTTCAAATAAACTCTCTTTATCGATCTCGATCTAAATATAGGTGAGATCTAATGTTTCTTGACTCCTTCGAACAGGATCCTGTCGATTTAATATTTTTCGTCACCGTCCATGCAACTTTTGATGGTTTCAATTATTTAGATAGATTTCGTCATGTCGTTCTTAGGTAACTATAAAAAACTAATTTTTGAAATTTTTAAAAAATCAAGTGAGAACTATAAAACCAAAAATCCAGCTCTAACAGCGCCCATTTTTTGGAAATGTATGAACCAACTTCCAATCTCAGAAAACAACCAGTAACTTGAAAAAGAAAGAAGTTGTTGATAATATGTATAGTGTTGTTGTCTTTTATAAACTTGGTCTTGTGTTCAGTTTATTCGTAGTGCCGTATTTTGTTAGTCAGGCTTTTGGTTCCGCGAGTTTTTTTTAAACTCGTCGCCTTTGTTTTCAGAGAGGTTTCTGTTGGGCATAGACTATGCCCTTCATTTTAGTCCGACCCAAATCAAGATTAACTTCATTAGCAGCCAACCAAACCCAAAAGACCTATGATGGTCGGTCCATAATTTTATGACCAACTTAGTTTTCCTATAAATAGAGAGGCACCTCATTAAGAGAGAGAGAGGGGACAAATACAAAAAGATGAGAGAAGAAACTCATACTTCAAACAACTGCTCTGTTCATCCAACTTGGGTTCAACTGCTCTATTCTTCCATCTCGTCGCTTGACAGCTTAGTTCGTCCAACTTGCGCTCAACTACTATGTTCGTCTATCTCGTTGATTGACAGCTTAGTTCGTCCAACTTAGCACCCAACTGCTCTATTCGTCCATTTCTCTGCTTGACTGCTCAGTTTGTCCAATATGGCGTTCAATTGCTTAGTTCGTCCATCTCGTCGCCTAGCTGCTAGCTCGTCACTTAAACTGCCTAGCTTGTCGCCCAGATCGCCTAGCAACAATCATGGACTAGCTCCAACTTATTACGATATGAACTACAAATGGCCTGATCCCTACGTAGGCAACTTTTCACAAGACACAAAATAAATATACTATGTTCATCGTGAGAACGACCTTACTCCCAAACTTCAAAGAACTTACAAATACTTCGTTGAAGTCTATGCATCAATATTTTCGATCGTTGTCGGATTTGTGTCCGAAAAATTTCGTTCAGTTTTCCGGCTTAGTGTAATTTCCGTTTTCTTTTCCAATAATTCATATTTTAGTTGATATATATATAGATTTGTATATCCATCTTATTATGTCATAAACTTAAGACATATTGATTTTAATGGCCATATATATATATATATATATATATATATATATATTATGGACACACTAAATTATATTTCATAGAATAATAGAATAATTTAACTTTCTAATTGAACTATTATAATGAGAAATACAACACTAATTAGTAATTACATATCAACACTAATGAGAACTACCTTACCTTTACTTATTGAATTTTGGGCTTAACGTGGCCCAGAGTTGACATCATTGCATTCACTTTAATAATTTTTCTCCGATCATCGGAAAAAGCAGTAATCGAGATGCAGAAGCTCAACGACTTCTTCTCCTCCGGTGGCGGAGACGGCGAAGAAACAACCGATAGTTTCCTGGAAGAAGGATCGGAGGGTCTCTGTGCTCTCTCCGCTACCCAGGTTTCTCCTCGATGTCGATTTCGGTAAGGGGTTTAATATTTGGTCTCTCTCTCTCTTTACTTAATCAATCTTCTTCGATTTTGCAGAGAATGTACGGATTCGCCGCATCTTTAGCCACTGGTTTGCTGCTTATGTTCCTGGTAAAATATCAAATTTCATTGATAGAATGAGAAATTTGCGATTGATTAGATTCACAAATCCGACTTATTGTTCTTATAGGCTTTGTTAGTGATTGATGTTCTTGTTAATCACGTTCTATTGATTGAATTGAGATGGTCTTGTTCAGCATTAGACCATCTATGATCTAGAATAAGTAATTTCTGTTTCTTCTTCTTATGCAGTCTATGATTGTATTTGGTATCCCCATCAAATTTGCATTGCTCTTCACATTTGGAAATGTTCTAGCTATTGGAAGGTATGTTTTTGCCTCAATGTTGAGAGTGAAAACTTGACGTTTGACTAATATTTAGGGCTTTCAATTGTTTGCATTCATAGATTTGAATGGTTCTTCTCTGCTCATATCTAAATCCAGTTCTTTTTGTGCTTAGGATGGATTTCAGTTAGATTTAGTCATTTTGATTTCTGATGCTAACTGGTTCCCATAACGAGTCGGTTCGTTTGCTTCTAACCCTTGATATTGTTTAGGTGAAAATTTCATTCAGAGATTGTAGATAGAAAACATGATTACTCCAATTTATTATAGTTGAAGCCATTTTACAACTTTCATCGTGTCTAGCTAACCAAAGTATTTCATAGCGTTTCTTCATGATTCCTGTCGTGGAAATTTTTTATGGCTTCTGGAATTCTGTTTGAAAGATCAAAATTTAGAGCCCCATTTAAAGCTTGCTTGCTTGTGTAACTTCAATTGAAGCTGTTTTCCATTGGTAAGAATCTGATGATATTGTCTTCTATCTAACAAAATCTCTTGCCATTTCTACTTCCACAATGTTATTCTTTTTAAAACCACAAGAGATCACTGTTTCTTTGGCAGCACAGCTTTCCTCATGGGACCTGAGCAACAGATGAATATGATGTTTGACCCTGTTCGTTTCTTAGCTACATCCATTTATATCGGATGTGTCGTTGTTGCACTCATTTGTGCTCTCCTGGTATGTTATTGCTCTTTCATGCAACAACCAATAACTATGTTTAGTGCCAATATTAGATCCAATCTAATTAATGTCTAAAATCAGCAATTTGTTTGTCCCCAATATTTGTCAGCTTGAATTTAATCCTCTCTCATCTCCTGTAGATCCACAGCAAAATTTTAACGGTCCTTGCGATCCTATGCGAGATTTGTGCACTAATATGGTAAGTTACATGCTAACCTTTAACTCAAAACAGGGTTTTGTTTCTATAAGGACCTGAAGGATTCTTAAGCCTTATTGGATTGAACATCTTTTATACACATTATAATGACAGGTACAGCCTCAGTTATATTCCATTCGCACGGAGAATGGTCTCTGAAATAATGATTCGTCTCTGCGACACCGAGCTATAGTCAGTCATCTGGCAGCAAGATACAAAGCACATATATTGTTTTATACTGGTCTCAAGAACTTGAGATCTGATTTTTTCTTAAACGAAATTTGTTTGTTTGTTGACCTGATCGTGTGAGTCAGAAGTAATACAAAATGAGTTTGTTTTATTGGGGTCGTGAAGCTCTTGTGTGTATTTTGTTGCTTCAAGCTCTTTTGTTGTTTCAATCTTTAAACGTTGTTTGGCAATTTGTGTGATCAAATACAAAGATTTCTTTTATGCAAATAACATCTTAGAGCTCTCAATCTCACAAGATTGCTTACCTATGAGAATGTACTCTACCACAGCAATAACAACTTTGCATCATCAGTGATGCAGTTGCAATTACAAATTTCATCATCAGTGACACAATCATTTGCCACTATGTTTAGTTGGAAAGAGACATGAGAATAAGAGGTCTTAATGAATGAATCATTTTGTTATTTACCTAATTTTTTATATTCGTGTAATTGGCTCTCAAAATTGTTACCAAGTGGCTTAATAAAAAATTGTGAAGACAATAATGCAGAAACTCGAAAGAGGCATTTTATCTTTTAATACTAATAACGAGAAAGAGTATCATTCTTACAAAATCATATTCTCTACATTATTAGTTATTTCTTTACATTTAAAAACAGCATAATAAACTTCACCAGCCGACAAGACAAGAACACCAAAGTGTTCGATCAAATCTTCGTAACTCCCAAATGTCAAATGCAACCACCCAACTGCAAAAATTCACAAAGTACAAAAAAATCAGAGTTCAGTTACTAATTGTATGACAGCAAAAAAGTTATTTTTTTTCCTCATGCAAGTGTTTGTTAGCAAATTATATAATCTCTCAGTCTCTCACCATAATTGATTCGATTTCTTTGTCGGAGACAGGTGTACGTTTCGGCTGCAGAGATGCTTTTCCTCCATCAGCAGTGTTCTTCGGAGCCGCCGGAACATCTGAACTCGCCGTCACATTTTTCTTACCGCCGGCAACAGATCCCGTCGCCGGACCAGAACCTGAGAATATTCACACAAAAACAGGAGACGTTAAGAGCAAGAATAAAGCTAGTGATGAGCTTTTAGTAAAAAAAGAAAAAAGAAAATATGAGAATCTTAGGAACAAAGAAAAAATGTAAAACCAGATGAAATAGAATGTCTCTGAGGAAATTTGATACGAGGAATTCTCTTCATCTTCAGCTTCCTATGGATTCTTGAATTAATTGCTTTGTTTTCTTTCTCTGGTTTTTCTTGACCATAGAGATGAACGTAGCTCTTATCTTTATGGGTTTCTTTGAGAAGTAGTACGTTTTCAGAACATAATTAGGAAAGCAGTACATTTACTATTTACAATTAATAAAAGTAGTACTTTTGCACTGTTACTCTAATAGATACTGTCCTCTAATAGAGAAAAAGAGGATTGGGGGCAGTGACGAAAATGCCCTTTCGTCTAGTAAGCACATGTTTCGACGGTCTCTCTCCAGCCATCTCTCTATCTTGCAACTCCATCTCTGTAATTCTCATCTCTCTCTCCGCTCCATCTCTGCAATTTTGTTCCATCTCTAAAACTTTCATCTCTCTCTTGTTCAAATCTCCAATCTCCAATCAAAAGACAAAACAAAGACCACCACCATTAATGGCTTTCTTCACCGATACGAACAAGACAAGAACACAAACACAAACCCAGCCTCCTCCTCCTCCGTCTCCTTCCGTCTCTTTTTGTTTCTTCTCGGTAATCCCCAAAATTTTCAATTAATCCCTCGATTTCTCCTCTTAATTTGAATCCGAAGCAACGCAAAATCCATAACAAAGTCTGGAAAATTTCTTCCGGGTAAGAAAAAACTTCTTCTCCTTCTTTTGGATTTGGGGTTTTTAATTTTGAAATCAGGAACAAAAGATCCAGAATCACCGAATTCAGAAATTGTTTCTCGGGTCGGTGTTTTATCTAATTATCCGGAGGCATCTTAAGACGACGAATCTAGCTTGCTTTTTTGAGGGAAATATATCTCTCGAAAGGTCTAATTTTTTGCTTTATTTTGTTGTCTTTGAATCGTTTGGTTTATGGATGGATTGCTTCATAGGTCAAAGAGACAAAGATAATGCTGAGATTTATGATATTGGGATTTGTATTTTGAACACCTTTTCTCTATAGATTTCTGGTTTGAATTAAAACTGTTCTTTTTAATTGCAAAATTGTGAAACCTTGCTTGCACGATCTTTGTTTAGCTGTTATAGGTTAGATTTGTTGATTCTTGTTCTAGTTAGATCTATTTTCATGTTTTCTCTCTGTTTAGTGATTTCTTATCTTATATGTTCTTAACTTTTCTCCGAGATATAATTACGATGTTTGTCAAACTACGATGTTTGTCAAACTAAATTATTTGATTATCGTTGAGTTTTTTCCTTATTTGATTTGATCTATCTGCTTTTAATCAGTGAAAAGTTTTGAGCTTTAGAAACAATGGCGGCTTCCCCTAATCTCATTTGAAGAAGCTCGACGAGCATCTTCTCACTCCCAGTTACATCATTGGGTTAGAATTTTCCTCATTTTTGTGTTATTTCATTGAGAGCCCAAAAATGGAACATCTGTTCCCTAAGGGTTGATCTTGCGTATGGGAGATAGTTGGGATTGGAAGCTGCCATGGATACACATGATCTTCATACTTCGCCATCGTTTAAACTTTGAAAATCATTAGTAGTTACGTTTCTTGTAGCCATCATAGTTTCTTTGATCACATCTTTGTTTTAAGTTAATCTATACACTTTCTTGTTCATAATTGTAGAGTGTTGCCGGTGGCTGAATTGGAAAGCTATTTGGAAAATCGTTGAGAGTTTTCTTAGAACCGTGACGCCGTCGCTCAATCTCAAAAGACACAACGGCCAAGCTGATCAGTACTCTCCTTCGTCTCTGGATAATTGCTTCTCGGTTTAGTGTGTCTCTCCTTCTTGATTTAGTTAAGCAATATACATTGGTGGAGTAAGAAGACCCTTTTCTTTCTCTTTTCCTAAGATTTTTTTTGTATGTTGTTGAAATAAATCTCCTAAATTCACTTAATGTCAGGTCGATATGTGTAGAGTTAAGTTAGAGTTAGACAGTTTGGATCTTGGAATAAACTCTGGTTAGAGTAAGAAATTTATTCTCAATTTAACTTGCCATGTTTTGCTGCGGATTATTTGTTACCTAGACAATGGGAGTAGGACTTAAATGTCAATGGTTGATTTCACAGGAATAATCTAGAGTATTACTAGATATCAACAAAGAGCAACTACTACTTAGAGACGCTCTTCTTGTATCTTGCTAGAAAATTGATTAGGGACAAAAAGACTTCACTTTGTGGAAACACGAGCGCATGCTCCACCAAAGATTCACATTGACATTGATGATCACTAGAAGAATGAGGACGAGCTCTTATAGTCTGCAGCCTAGCACTCTCCATGTGCTCCTTAACTATATTGTACAAATCAAACTATCCCTCCATCAAATACATCGTACAAATCAAACTATCTATCCGCCAAATGTACCGTACAGATCGACTATCCATCCGCCAAATATACCGTACAGATCGACTATCCGTCCGCCAAAAATACCGTACAGATCGACTATCCGTCCGCCAAAAATACCGTACAGATCGACTATCCGTCCGCCAAATATACCGTACAGATCGACTATCCGTCCGCCAAATATACCGTACAGATCGACTATCCGTCCGCCAAATATACCGTACAGATCGACTATCCGTCCGCCAAATATACCGTACAGATCGACTATCCGTCCGCCAAATATACCGTACAGATCGACTATCCGTCCGCCAAATATACCGTACAGATCGACTATCCGTCCGCCAAATATACCGTACAGATCGACTATCCGTCCGCCAAATATACCGTACAGATCAAACTATCCGTCCGCCAAATATATCGTACAGATCAAACTATCGGTCCGGCAGATATATCGTACATATCGACTATTAATGTCTTAAGTTAACGACTTTCAGGATGATTAGTGATACTGATCACACACTCCACAACCACAAGCCTTTCATGGCCAATGTTTGTTTGGTTCACGTTGCATGATTCTAAACATCTTTAAGATTTGGAAGCCAAATATTAGGCGTACACGATCAACGATATCCACATGCGAAAACTAATAAGCATTACATATTTATTATACATACATGTGGGCATTTGTTAACGTATTATGTGTAATATGTAAAGTTCGATATTTTCAATCCCTTTTTCTAATATCGAATTAGACGCCAAACCAAATGTAACAGAAAAGAGGTGAGAGGTGTGGTAAATATTGTATCCTTTACGTACCAATTCAGATTGACAGAAAGTGATAGAAAAATATCACTTATTATGTACCACCAATAAGTGATAAATAATGCGATTATGAGATTTGAAGATAGGTATAAAGAAAAAGTATAAACGACAATATGATACGTCGTTTCTTGCGGCCCTTTAATCATACAAAACAAAACAATGGCATAAGCGACGTATAGTAGTCTTGCGGCCCTGTAATTATATAAGTAGTCAAAGTCTAAATGTTTCTACAACTAAGGGAAACAATTGTAGTCTTGTAGTCTGCAGCCCAGCACTCTCCATGTGCTCCTTAACTATATTGTACAAATCAAACTATCACTCCATCAAATACATCGTACAAATCAAACTATCTATCCGCCAAATGTACCGTACAGATCGACTATCCGTCCGCCAAATATACCGTACAGATCGACTATCCGTCCGCCAAATATACCGTACAGATCGACTATCCGTCCGCCAAATATACCGTACAGATCGACTATCCGTCCGCCAAATATACCGTACAGATCGACTATCCGTCCGCCAAATATACCGTACAGATCGACTATCCGTCCGCCAAATATACTGTACAGATCGACTATCCGTCTGCCAAATATACGGTACATATCGACTATCCGTCCGCCAAATATACCGTACAGATCGACTATCCGTCCGCAAAATATACCGTACAGATCGACTATCCGTCCGCCAAATATACCGTACAGATCAGACTATCCGTCCGCCAAATATATCGTACAGATCAAACTATCGGTCCGGCAGATATATCGTACATATCAAATTGTCCACATATCCATCATTTTGGGTATTGAATATGCACAACCATAAAGCATACAATTATCTTTTATATGGCGATTTGGTGGTTTATATGGCGAGAAAGGATGGAAATCTTTCAACTGAAAAATAAGCATAAAAATAGCCAAAGTAATTACCTAGAAAGAATCTAGCTATCTTGTGTAGATACAATCTTTTACTAGTAATTTGATAGCTCTCCAGTAAAAGAGGAAACCAACCACAAAAGTCTAACTATATGAATTTTTCCAATCATAGAACATAATATGTTAACAAGAGGGGAAACAAGCCAGAATGTTAGCTAAATTGGGAACTAACCTTATCATCATCTTTGTTCTTCTGAACGTACTAAGTTGTTCAACGTTGATGCTAAATCAACATTCCATAAATTATATAATGTACAAAAGAATGTCTAAAAGCATTGATACACGAATAGTAGGGGAAAAAAATCAAGTGAAGAAGTCAAGATGGTGAACAAACATCTGCAGCTTCTTCTCTATAATATCGATGATGAGTCCTTCTTCTCTATAACATCATCTACTAACTGTCATAAACCAAAGGGTTTTGTCCAAAATCTTAAGCTATGGTGGTTGGGAGAGACAGCAGAAAGCTTTACTTAAACTTACCCCTAAGATTGGACTTTCATATTTCACATGAACATAGTCATTCTTCTTCTCCACAATCCGAGGTGTAAATTTTTCAGGTTTCACCGACTTAATCTGCAACAATGGTGATAAAACAGTTGTAATTACTGGACGATTACAAGAACTTCAAATGGTGACTCAATTCATAACTTAATATCTTAGTTCATGTCTAAGGATTGTACCAGATTAAGATATCAACAGTTCCATGGAAAGAGCTTAACTTTCAAGTGCTGTATGCAATTGAATTAAAAATCTAAACTTCCTCTAAATCGAATCATAGCTTTGTAGAAGCCCTAAAATCCTAAATCTAGAAAGAGCGAATCCAAGTGACCACATAGATCCAGAAATCTAAAAACTAATCAATAAGCCTGAATTTATTTTGTTATGAGAACAGATCCGAGAAAGACCCATCAAGAGATGATTCCTAAAGCACCAAACTTTGAACAATTTCGATGAAATCCAGAGAAATTACGCAAAATCAGGATATACCCACAAGGAATTACGAAAAGTTACAGAGAAAGGACGAGAGAGAGATGAATTGCAACAGACCTGAAATGAATCGGCGAGAGGAAGAAGAAGAAGAAGAAGATGATGAAGAAGTGAAAAAGCCCTGAAGGAGGAAGAGGAAGATGAGAACGTTGACGACAGTGAGAGCAATTGTGGCGTTCTTGAACGAAAATAGCAAAACCAAACCCGACAAGCTTGCTTGGATGTTATCCAAATTCCCACCCAATGATACGTTTACTCTCACTAAATCTTCTCGATCCTTCAAACCCGATACAACTATTATTCTCCATTTTCGCTAACAAAAAGAAATAAAGATTGAATTTTTTTAGATACCCAGAAACAATGAAGCAGAGATCATAGAGAAGAAGAAGAATAGTAGTTATTGTGGTCCATGAATTCGAGAAAAATTCTGATTGTTTTAAGTATAGTGATGGCATTGTCGTAAATATAAGAAATATCTGAGGGTTACAATGTCTTCAAAACAGTGAAGCACAGTAAAACTGGGGGTTTTCCCAATTGTAAATAGGAACCGTACTAGTTTCCATATTAAGTTTCAAAAACGTACTATATTCCCAAATATCTCTATCTTTATCCTAAACTTAATGGGCTAAAGGGCTGAAGAAAAATGTTCGTTGGATGGGCTTTTGTAAAATGAAACTTGGGTTAAGGCAAAAATGAAAAAGTATAATTTTTCTTTACATAATTGAACAGTGACAAATGACAATGCAACCAAAAAAAAAAAGAAAAAAAAAGAGAAGTTTGCGAGATATCATTACCAAAAAAATGTTTACGAGATATTAAATGATATGTTTTAAATAGATAATTGCCTATTTTAATTTTATAATTAATTAAGTGATTATTTGATGAGAAAACTCTAGAAGTACAAAAACAAGTTTTATGGACAATTGTATCACTAACTCCACAAATTTTTAAATTTAGCATTAGTGAGTTTAAACAATAATTATTTTATCCTTATCTAATTATGTAAAATTATAAAATTAGTTTTTTTTTGTTGAAATGTGTAATTTATTAAGTTGAAGCTGTAAAAAGAGTATGTACAAGGATCATAATTTGAAACAAATAGAAATTTCAAAACAGGACAATTTCTAATAAGAAAAACAGAGCCAAAATGAGGCCGGCTACGGATAATAAAATTAGTTACAATTTGAAATCACTAGTATAATACGATTGCTTACATATATTAGTCTTTTTAATATTAAATTTGTGCTATTTTGGAACTTTAGAAATTGTATGCTAAATTTGTTAACAAAATTTATTTTTGTGCTATTTGTGAGAATTGCCCTTATTTGATCATGTTTATTGTTTAATAATATTTTCAACTTTTCTCTTATTTTTCATGTGCATATGTCCCTTTAATCTTGTTTTATTCATATATTGAAACGTTACATTCATTCACTGACTCGTTCTTTAAGAAGCTCTTTTCTTTCATTTTGGAATTTTTATGAGTTCTTTTTATATCTATGAAAAATAGAAATTTTGTCTAGCAGTCTAATAATTTCTTTTAAGACGGTGGTCGTATAAAAACGCTTCTCGCTGGAGACTCGGGTGGGGCGCTTGGTGGACTGGACGATGAGAAAAATCAGAAGGTGATGGTGATGCAACAAGTCTAGCAGTCTGCCACCGTACCGTCTGAGTTATTATCTTGAATGTAGGAAACTATTTTCTCTTTATTTTCTTAAGAACAATGTCTAAAATTTCTTATCTCTTGTGTTTTGACGTATCTCCCCCATATGTATATATTTCCAAGAAAGAGTAAATTTGAAGAAGAAAACTTCAAGACGATAGTGAATTTATGTGTAGATAAGATATCAGCGTAGTCGTCGTCCCAAATCCCAATCATTGATAAAGTTATGTGGTTAGGATTACATTGACTTGTTCATGGAAAGCAACTAAGAAATGAATTAGCCTCTAACGATTTATGGCAAAACAACATTTTACGTCGACCTTTGACAAAAACGAAAACAACATTTTACGGAGCACGGAACAATAGGTGACATCATCCATTGGCCTTTTAACTCATCTTTCAGTTATCATGTTGACATTTTTTCAAGTAGCCAACCGGAGCAAGAAAACCACTGACTTGTGGATTTAGTGTCATATGAAAAAAGACGGTAGTACTGACATCATCATCGTTGGAGCCGGTGTTGGCGGCTCGGCTCTCGCCTATGCACTTCCTAAGGTTCGTGTTCGGTTCAAATATTGAAACTGCATCGCTCTTCTAAATGTTTGTCTTTGTATACTCATATGAACACAAAATGAATCATGCATATTTATAGAAATCACTTATTAAATAGTTGGTGGATTTTATTTGATTTTTTCCTATATATGGTTAATAGTTTACATATTTCTACATAATATATACATATACATGCACAATGTAAAACGCCAGCCATCCTTTATCGAGTAGCCTTGATTATTCAAAACCTCTTGCTGATTCGATAGCCTGTAAAAGATGTAAGTTTAATTACCAAATGCAGAGTTTTGGCAGTATGCATAATTATGTTACTTTAATTAAATTGCCACGTATATTGGACATGCAACAAAAATAGAAACATCATTTCTAAAAGGGTTATAGATAAAGGATCTGCTAAAATGAAAGTTGATATGCATCCAAAATTAAAGTCGTGGAGTTACGAATATATGTGTGAAAACTGAAAACTAATTTGAAAAATCTAAACTGTTACCTAAAATATCAATTCTATTATAAAAATGCATTGATTGACACATTTAGCTTAAAAAATGTCAATAACTTGAGTGGTACGTACCTTTTATTTGTTTGTTCTATTTCTATATAGTAACAAACTCATTAATTAGGGTTGTCAATATCTTCTGTTTGTATCTGATATAAATTTATCGTCTCTTTTATGTCAACTTTGACAGCTCATAAATGATAACGAAATATGTGGACAACATAAAAGATCAATTTATTGCTTTCTAAATTATTATAAAAAATTAGCATGTGGTGATATACCACATCCAATCTGACATATCTTTGTACTATATACATGTTATTCCTCTTTCTCAATTCTTTCATACACCACATTAAGAACTAATAGATATGGATATCGCTTTTACACACGTTTTTGTATGGACGCTACTCGCCTTCGTGCTGACTTGGACGGTGTTCTACTTTACGAACAGGGGGAAGAAGGCAACGAAGTTGGCTGATGCGGTGGTGGAAGAGCGAAAAGATGGTGGTGCTGCCGACGTTATCATCGTTGGGGCTGGAGTTGGCGGCTCGGCTCTCGCATATGCTCTTGCTAAGGTATGTAAAGTGGCGTTGGAATATTAAATCTGCATGGCACTTTTGTTATCTATTTTCTTGTACTAATATCTGCGTATAAAATTGATAGGATAATAAAAACCTATATTATACATTATCTATGATTGTTTTTGTTTTAGCAAGATAGAATTCTATTGCAGCATATGGTTTTCGCATGATAAAATCAGAATCGGTCCTGAGAATTTGAAAGCCAAAGAGAATAATAAAAATATTAAAGACCTATAATTAGGAACTTTAAAAAACCTCTACGTCTCTACCGCTCCACCACAGTAGAAGTCGACAAGAACGTTTAAGTCAAAAAGGAGCCGATAAATTAATATAGAAAAAAAACAACAAGTAAAATTTGTCCTTAGGGCCGGCTTTGAATACAATCATATATTCCTATGCTAATTCCCGGTTATAGGACGGACGTCGAGTACATATAATAGAGAGGGACATGAGAGAACCAGAGAGAATGATGGGTGAGTTTATGCAACCAGGTGGACGACTCATGCTTTCTAAGCTTGGCCTTGAAGGTTTGTGTCCGCTTTACTTTCATTTAAATTTATGTAAACCAATCAAGAAAGAGAAATTGCGTCTTAGTTTCATGGTCTCATGCGTTTATAACATATACAGATTGTTTGGAAGACATAGATGCACAGAAAGCCACGGGCTTCGCGGTTTATAAGGATGGAAAAGAAGCAGTCGCTCCTTTTCCAGTGGAAAACAACAACTTTTCTTATGAACCTTCTGCTCGATCTTTTCACAATGGCCGATTTGTCCAGCAATTGCGTCGAAAGGCTTCTTCTCTACCCAAGTACGTTTCTCTGTTCACTAAACTTACTATATATATAATTCATTGATTTATTGTATTTAATGGAAAATCATGAATACATCTTACATAGTATTACATAGTGGATCGAAGTGATCTAATCGATATCAAACAAAAGTCAAAAGATACTTTATATATTTTTGTGTAAAGTTAGACAGTCAATTAATATATCTTTACTTATTATTATTAAAAAGGGAAAATATACATATATTTAAAAGCTAGTAATATCATATTTTATTTTTACACTAATTATAGATAGATGGTAGCCCCCTCTTGAAAGTTCAAACATCCAATTATAGCGACTAATTATTTTTTGTTTAGAAAATATTACTGATCTTGACAATAGCAATGATTTTGTTTACACCAATCGTTAATTGGTAGTGTGCGCCTCGAAGAAGGAACGGTGAAGTCTTTAATAGAAGAAAAAGGAGTGATCAAAGGAGTGACATACAAGAATAAAGAAGGCGAAGAAACAAGAGCCTTGGCACCTCTCACTGTAGTATGCGACGGTTGCTACTCAAACCTTCGTAGGTCTCTTAATGACAACAATGTAAGTATGCTCCTTTGAACTAAAAGACTACACTCTTTTCATAAACGCTAATGGCATAGAACTGGTGTTACTTACTCTGATTTACTCAGTTATTTAATAAGTATCAATGTGCTATGACTTCATATAGGCGGAGATTCTGTCGTACCTAGTTGGTTTCATCTCCAAGAATTGTCGACTTGAAGAACCCGAAAACTTACACTTGATATTGTCTAAACCTTCTTTCACCATGGTATATCAAATAAGCAGCACTGACGTTCGTTGTGGTTTTGAGGTTCTCCCCGAAAATTTTCCTTCTATTGCAAATGGTGAAATGTCTACTTTCATGAAGAATACTATAGTTCCTCAGGTACGCATTGGGCTGATTAATCTTTGATCGATTGAAAAAAGAACTAAACTTATAAATATATAAGTAAATTGGTGTTACTTGTACATAAATAAGTCATACATAGACACATTCTATAACATGTGCAAGAGGTCCATAAATCCATTCACAATATGCATTTAACATCTCTTACACTTATTTGCAGGTACCTCCAAAACTCCTCAAAATATTTTTGAAAGGAATAGATGAGGGAGCACAGATAAAAGTCGTGCCAGCAAAGCGCATGTCAGCTAGTTTAAGCAAGAAGAAAGGTGTGATTGTATTGGGAGATGCATTCAACATGCGTCATCCAGCAATCGCATCCGGAATGATGGTTTTACTATCTGACATTCTCATTCTACGCCGTCTTCTCCAGCCATTAAGCAACCTCGGCGATGCTAACAAAGTCTCAGAAGTTATCAATTCGTTTTATAGTATTCGCAAGGTGAGCATATGTACATTTTAATCTAAAACATAAAAATTTGATCAAAAGTGATTTACAACTCTTTTTTTAAAAACTAATACATGATTTTTTATGGTGAAGCCAATGTCAGCGACGGTTAACACATTAGGAAATGCATTTTCTCAAGTTCTAATTGGATCAACGGACGAAGCAAAAGAGGCAATGAGACAGGGTGTCTATGATTACCTTTGTAGTGGCGGGTTTCGCACGTCAGGGATGATGGCTCTGCTCGGTGGCATGAACCCTCGTCCGATCTCTCTCATCTATCACCTATGTGCTATCACTCTATCCTCCATTGGCAATCTGCTCTCTCCCTTTCCCTCTCCTCTTCGCATTTGGCATAGCCTCAAGCTTTTTGGTGTAAGTCAATATGTCTCTCTTTATATCAAATTATTTATTTTTATTTTTCAAGCGCTTTTTTATTTGCTATTACTATTTGGCATTGATTTTTTTTTTTGTTTATGTATTTTTTATGTGAATCACTAGTTGGCTTTGAAAATGTTGGTTCCTAATCTCAAAGCTGAAGGAGTTAGCCAAATGTTGTTTCCAGCAAATGCAGCCGCGTATCACAAAAGCTATATGGCCGCAACCGCTCTCTAAACAATATACATGTAGCACGAATCTTTGTGATTGTGCATTTGTGAAACCTGTATTGTAGTGCTTATAAAATTATTAGTATGGAACAGGGGAAATTTCTAAATATAAATAAATAAATAAACATTTGAATGTGAGATGTGTGAATTAATTTTGTTGTTACAAGTAATGCTCCTTTTTTTATTTAGCTTCACCCATGTATTTATGGAGCTAATTGTTTGTTGCTATGTCCTTATTTTTTAAGACGATGGTGTTTATTAATTTGAAAAGTTTTTTTTATACGTATTCGACATTTTTTAGTCATCCGGTATTCATATACATTAGCACGGCTCTGGTTAATCGTGTAAATGAAAGTGTAACAAAGAAATACATGGTAATCCTGAGAGCAAATCAAATGCAGTCAATTCCTAATTTAATTATGAGAAAATGTACATAATTGTTTTTTCATTTTTTCCTGAATGTATATATATATATATATATATATATATATAATCTTTTACTTAAAAAATTAAATATAATGCGATAAAATAATGTTCGTGCCCACTAAAAATACTACAGATCTGATATTTCTATATATATCACTAAACTTTTCTGAATTTTCTTATAAATTCTATCAAAGACTATGGCCCTGTTCGACGTGTTCGTTACGTGGTCGCCAGCGACAAGCTAATTAACAAAGAAAAGAGATGTTAAACAGTCGCTGGAGTCGCTACTTGCTTAACGAAGTGAAGCAACGACACCGACGTCGGAATCGCCTCTTTTTCAGCGACTTCGGAATCGCTTCTTTAACAGAGGCGGACGTCGCTACTTCCTTATACCAGTCGCTGCTTTCTTTTTCCACCTCATATTATTTACCTTCACAACAGTTTAAAATTTGGTCGCTTGATTATGTCGCTAGCAACACCATAACGAACAAGGCCTATCACGCAATTAATATGCAAAACCGTAATGAATATGGCTTTGCCATACTTCTTGTGGTTATGGACGCTACTCGCTTTTGTGTTGAGGTGGATGTTGTTCCACGTCGCCAATCGGTCCTATCTTTCGATATTATTTACTAGCATCTAATTTGAAGCATTGCATTAATGGTCTTTCTTGCTAAAAATCCCACCTAGAAGCAGGGGAATCTTAAATTGCATTAAATTGTCTCTCAGTCCACAAGGAAACTGTTAATTAACCTATAATTTTTGTAAAGCCTCATCATTTTTATTTATATATTCAACTTTTCACAAAAGAAAAGGTGTATAGAATCTGTTCGTTCTTTTAAGTGCTTTGTTTTTGTATATCCATATAAATAACCCAAAAAAAATCATGTGTATTTATAGAAATGATAAATATAGTTGGTGGATTTTTAAGGGATTTCCCTATAAATAATAGTGTACTTTTATCTACATATACACATGCACGATGTAAAACATGTTTGTTGACCATGGAAGATTTTTGCCAGTACGCATACATTAATCCATAAGTATGTTACTTTTATTTCCATGAATGTTTGTTTGTGACATCGTGTGCATAACATACATGCAACAAGAATATATGCATCATATCTTAAAAGGTTAAAGAAACCAGCATTAGCTAAAATGAAAATTGATTTGTGTCCGCATGCATATAAACTGGGGGGCTACAGTTTGCCTATGTTCTGGACCGATTAAATACATTTTGCAAAATAATATGAAAAATCTAAACTGTTATTTATACCTAAAATATCATTTCAGTTCGGACTCAAGGCCGGTCCAATGTATCCAAAATTCATATTGGATGTTTCATCCACAATGTGATTCTCTAAGTGATGACTTCTTTTGTCTATGTTCTGGACCGATCCTCTGTTATCAAAACATTGATTTATACATCCAGATTTAGCAAATTTCTTTACTATTTTAATCGCCATTCACTAGTTTCAAAGATATCAATAATTTGAGTGGTACCTTTAATTCGCTTGCTCTATATACTGACAAAATCATTAATTAGGGTGGCCAATCTCTTGTGTTTGTATGTGAAATATAAATATGATTTGTTTATGTCAATGTAGACAGCTAGAAATGATAACGAGTTATATGTGGACAACACAAAAGATCAATTTATTGCTTTTTTAAAAAATCATAATTTACCGTATGTGGTGATGCCACGTCCAAACTGACATAACTTTGCATTATATATGCATGTTACTTCTTTTATAGTAATCTAAACCATATTGAGAACCAGTTAATATTTTGGGATGGCCTTTACGCACGTTTGTTTATGGACGCTACTCGCCTTCGCACTGACCTGGACGGTGTTCTACGTTACCAACAGGAAGAAAAAGGCGACCGAATTGGCGGATGCGGCAGCAGAGGAGAGAAGAGACGGTGCTGCTGACGTCATCATCGTCGGGGCTGGTGTCGGTGGCTCGGCTCTCGCATATGCTCTTGCTAAGGTATGTAAAGTGGCGTCATAGTTTTGACTTTTGCGTCCAAGTATTATAATTTGCATCACACTCTTATTAACAATTTACTTGTACTACTATTTGTGAAAGAATGATAGGATTAAAGTTTAGAACTATATATACACTATATATTATTGTTTTTATTTTTGCATAGTAGAATTCTATTGCAATATTTTGTTTTTATTTTCATAATAAAACCTTATGTTAATTTCTGATTATATAGGACGGGCGCCGAGTACATGTGATAGAGAGGGATATGAGAGAACCAGAGAGAATGATGGGTGAGTTTATGCAGCCAGGAGGACGACTCATGCTTTCTAAGCTTGGCCTTGAAGGTAGGTCTCTTTTAATTTAACTTTCATTAACATTCACATGAACCTTTTATTTTTAATGGGAGAATCTAGAACCAAATACTTGAGAAATATCGAATTATTTCGTTATTTAAAGCGGCTATAGTGTCCGACTATGATTTAAATCGCAGTAGAACTCGAACCAAGGTCTTCCAACTTCTTGATGAAATATTCTTTAGCTACTAGACCATGAGTTGGTTTACATTTACGTTTATAAAAGTAAATGAATATGTCTTAGTTAGATGATGATCGATTTTGTGCGTTTTTTCTATATAGATTGTCTAAATGAAATAGATGCCCAAAAAGCCACGGGCATGGCAGTTTATAAGGACGGAAAAGAAGCAGTCGCATCTTTTCCGGTGGACAACAACAATTTTCCTTATGACCCTTCTGCTCGATCTTTTCATAATGGCCGATTTGTCCAACGTCTGCGCCAAAAGGCTTCTTCTCTTCCTAGGTACGTATCTCTCTGTTCACCAAATTATAATTACTAAGAATTTTGCATCAAAAAGGTTAAGAGATTTTATTGACCATTAAGAAACATAAGCCATAATACTCAATGGAAAATCAAGATTTTGATATAGTATTAGAATCAGATTGATCCAAAATAAGTATTATGTGGAAGTAATCTATTAGACTATACAAAAGATATAAACCTTATTGATTGCTAATTAGAGGAAGCTAATAAACTTTGATAAAATGAATTTACTCTATATAATAAATTAGTTAGGTGGCAGACCCTCGAAACGTCCTATTAACTCCTAATAAAATTTTGAGCATTGGAAAATACTACTAAACTTGACAATAGCAATGATTTTGTTTACACCAATCGTTAATTGGTAGTGTGCGCCTCGAAGAAGGAACGGTGAAGTCGTTAATAGAAGAAAAAGGAATGATTAAAGGAGTGACATACAAAAATAAAGCAGGGGAAGAAACAACAGCCTTGGCACCTCTCACTGTGGTATGCGACGGTTGCTACTCAAACCTTCGTAGGTCTCTTAACGACAACAATGTGAGTATATAATTATATAGTCTCATTTAAACGGAACAAAAACAAAACTTCAATTTTTCCTTAAACGCTAATGACATATAATTTATGTTACTTTGATTTATTCAAGTTAGTTTAACAATCATCAATGTATTATAACTTGATATAGGCGGAAGTTCTGTCTTACCAAGTTGGTTACATCTCGAAGAATTGTCGGCTTGACGATCCCGAAAACCTTCATTTGATAATGTCTAAAATCTCTTCCATCATGTTGTACCAAATAAGCAGCACTGATGTTCGTTGCGGTTTTGAGCTTTTTCCCGACAATTTTCCTTCAATTGCAAAAGGTGAAATGGCTACTTTTGCGAAGAACACTCTAGCTCCTCAGGTACGCAATGTGCTGATTAATTAAAAAAGTAATTAAACATATGATTTAACTAAGTTGGTGTTACTGGTACATAGAGAAGTCACACGGACGTACATATATTCTAACATTTGCAAAAAGTCCATAACTCCGTGTATATAACACCTACTTACACTTTTTTTGAAGGTACCTCCAAAACTTCGCAAAATATTCTTGAAAGGTCTAGATGAGGGAGCACACATAAAAGCGGTTCCAGCAAAGCGCATGACAGCTACTTTAAGCAATAAAAAAGGAGTGATTGTATTGGGAGATGCATTCAACATGCGTCATCCATCAGTCGCGGCTGGAATGATGGTTTTATTGTCTGACATTCTCATTCTACGTCGTCTTCTCCAGCCACTAAGAAACCTCGGTGATGCAAACAAAGTCTCAGAAGTCATTAAGTCCTTTTATATTATCCGCAAGGTAAGCCTACATCACATACTAACCATTTAAGGCTAAAATATGAACATACTAGAATTTTAAACCTATTAACAACTTCAAAAATTTAAGAAAGCTTGTTTTCTTATGGTAAAGCCAATGTCAGCGACGGTCAACACTTTAGGAAATGCATTTTCTCAAGTGTTAATTGCATCAACCGACGAAGCAAAAGAAGCAATGAGACAAGGTTGCTATGATTACCTTTGTAGTGGCGGTTTTCGCACGTCAGGGATGATGGCTCTGCTAGGTGGCATGAACCCTCGTCCGATCTCTCTCATCTATCATCTCTGCGCTATCACACTACATTCCATTGGCCATCTTCTATCTCCATTTCCTTCCCCCATTCGCATTTGGCATAGCCTCAGGCTTTTTGGTGTAAGTCATTTTATCTCTGCTTAAATTAAATTATTTTCGATAGAAAACTTTTTCTTTAACTCTCTTTGGTTTACTAATTACAATTTGACATTTAATTATTTTTTTAATTATATGTTTTATGTGAATCACCAGTTAGCTACGAAAATGTTGGTTCCCCATCTCAAGGCTGAGGGAGTTAGCCAGATGTTATTTCCTGCAAACGCAGCCGCATATCGCAAAAGCTATATGGCCGCATCTGTTCTTTAAACATATTGATGCTCTAAACCGAAAAATATATATATATCATATATGGACTACGAATCTTTGTGATTGTTAAATTGTTGAAATGTTATTGTAATGCTTATCTTACAATTATTAGTATATGAGTTATTTCTTTCTAACCCATTGGTTAAAAACATCAGATGAATTTATCCCTTCTAATTGTGTAAAATGCATCCTCTTTCTGTTTGTCCAAAATATATATATATATATATATATATATATATATATATATATATAAAAACAATCATTAATTTTTTTATTTAATTTTAACCATGCATAAACCAAAAAAAATAATTTTAGTACATAACAACAGGGAAATAGTCTACGGAAAGAAGAAAGTTTAATAATAAACAAGTTTTCGTTTTTTTTTCGTCGAATCAAATATTATATTGAATTAACAAATCATACATAACTGTTCTTCTGGCCAATATGGCAGATTAACATATTATCAGAATATAATCTGTTTTATGTTGAACGTTTGTGTACAATTAGTGGCTTTGATTGTTGTTTTTTTTTTTTTTTTGTGAATTTCATTAAAACTTTAAATTCAGTTGTCGAATTCTTATTCTTAATATATATATCCCAAGAAAAATTTATGGACGTCGATAACAACTTCAAACTGCAGCTGTCCCAATAATTGATGAAATTTTGTGGTGAGGTTTTTGTTGTCGTATACATAGAAAACAGCCAAAAAGAGTAAAGTCTCGTCTCTATACTTCTATTTATAGAAAAACAAAATTAGATGAATGACATAATAAGATGCATCATTTAACAATGAATGACATAATAAGATGCATCATTTAACGATGAATGACATAATTATTGGCCTTTCAATATCTTTGAAGTCGACCTTTTTAGGGGTTATGCGGATAAAGATAATTCCCACCTTTACTGACATGTGTGTTATTTTTCTATTTTGAAATGTGATTAAAGAAGTCTGATGAACTTATCGTTGTAACTTTACTTACAAAGAACTAGACTTTTGATGCACTAACGAATAGGCGTTAAACATTCATCAAGTTTGTTAATGACCTAGTTTAGGACATCTCCATTCTCCAACCCATCTATTTTCTCTTTTAAACTTTATTATAGAATAAAATTATCTCTAATCCTACTCTATATTTCAATCTAAGATAAAGTAAATTAATATATTATTACACTATACTTAGAGTAATTATGTTTCTCATTCGATCTTTTTACTCTATTTCTTTTGTAATCTATATATAATGGCAATCTCAATAAATGCGTTTTGCACTTTTGAACGGTTGCGACTTTTTATCGCAATCTTTCGTTTAAATATTTATGGTTATTTTTTTTCGGTTGTTTCTTTTTATCGCATATTTTCGTTAAAATATCTACGGATATTTTTTTTACGGTTGTGTTTTTTTATCGCATCTCTTCGTTAACATATTTACGGTTTTTTTTACAGTTATATTTGTTCAGTTACATGCGTATCTTTTCAGTTTACGGTTATATCTTCATAGTTACATCTATTCATTTAAAGTTACGTCTCATATTATATAGTTTTGTTTTTTTTTTAACTAAAATATATACTTTACGGTTGTTTTTTTTCAAAAAGTTGCAATCTGAATAAATATTTTTTACGGTTACATCTTTTTATCGTAACACTTCATAAACAATTGTGATTGTTTAGTTGAACCATTGCTACATTTACATTATTTAACGAAAAATTATTTTGAAACTTGTTGTCTCAATTTATTATGAAATTTCATTAGATAGTTTTTCTTTAAAAAATTTTGAAATCTTTTCCCCGCGACATCGCGGAGGTCTAAGTCCTAGTAAAAAATAGAATGACACATTAGAAAGTGCTCTACTTTACTTTAGAAAAAATAGAAGAAATCATTGGAAATGGTTTTAGATCAACTAGACTCTATTGTATTCGAAATCAACTACATATTTGATTGTTGATATACATTTGTGTTTGATTTTACATATATATATATATATATATATATATATATATAGTAGTAAAAAATTATTATTTTACTTGAAATCAATTTGTTTAGTTTAATCAAAATATTTTTTTTGTTCATTCTGAAAAAGGTAAATACAGACGGTAACGGAAAAATAAATTTCTTTTGTATATTATTTTTTTTTCTTTTTTTTTTCCTTTTTCGTATTATTTTTTTCTATAAGTGAGTGAATATCATATAAAAGGAAGAAGATTTGGATTTAATTACATGTTGATAATTTAAGCTTTTAGTTTCTGAAAAAGAAATGAAAAAATAAGGAAGGAAATCACGTTTTCATCTATATGAGCCATAAGCCCACATGATTTGTTTCTTTACTATTTTTTTTCTATTTTTTTAGACTGCAAAAGTATGTATCAAAAGATTAAAAATATATACCTAAAAGTAAATGTCGTCATTTGAAAAAAATACATGTATATATGTAAACCACAAAAACAATGCAAAATTTGGCTTTTGGTATCATGAGCCCGATCGAGACCTCAACCGTACCCTATGAGTAAACTCTATTCACATCCTCTTTATTTTTTTTTTCCTATCCCAGTCTTATTTGTTTGGTCGATACGTGGTTGTCTCGTCACCTAACATCAAATAGTACTCGAAATAAACCCTATAATTACTAATTTAAATCCTTTACCATTAAAAAAATTATATATACCAATTTAACAACATACATTTGTTCTATCCAATTTTACAACTAATTTATAATATAGTTTTGATTATATTATTATATTATTTGAAAATTAAATTAAAAGCAAACTTTCTGCATATACAAATTTGAAATACTTTAAATTCAATTGAAAAAATTCGCTACTAAAATATGTAGCATTTCTTTGTTTTTTACATTGATTTGTCCCACATAAAAAATTTCATGGATTTTTCATTGTTAAACATGCAAACTGCTGATCAAGAGATAACCAATTTGTGGACCAAGATAAGCCGTTTGACAGCCTAACTTATATGCCACATGTTGTTTTAGTATTAAAGAAGCAGGTCAGCACACATACACAAATAAGTTCATTTTATTGAATAGATAACAAGTACAAAAACAATTGTTACAAAATTGAAACAAACTTGATGATTTCTTCTCTTTTTCACTAACAAAATATAGATTGGTAGAAGGTTGTAATAAGCAATTTCCTAAGACAAAATTTTATCCTTACGGTGGTTTAAGTATCTTTTGATAAGCACCTATCTTCTAGAATATAACTACCAATCTCTGTATTGACACCGTACAGAGATTCTAACAAACTTTACTTTGAAATTTTCGAAAATCGATTTGAACTAAGAAGAAGAATATTAGAATCAATCTCAATCTCTCTCTACCCTATGTCTCTCTTGTATCGTTTTTCTCTCTCGTCTTCATTATCTACATCGTGACATCTTTATATGTTAATCCAAACGGTGCTTCAAAGCGGTACTTGATCCAAGCGATGTTTCTCTTATATCAATCTGTGGTTTTCTAATCGGCGTATACGAAACCAAGATCTAGTGGTTTTCTTAATTTAATGCACCACATAAATATAAATCTGAAACTACCAAACCATTGTTAAATGTGTTTATTGTATCTGAGTTATTGTTTGAGCGACATTTTTTATCGAAGTCATCGTTTTTTATAGATAAAATCATCATTGCTATACTTGTTAATAATTAATATGATTTATGTAGTATACAAATTTATTGACTATATTGTATTAACATAATATGAAAATTAGTAACTAGTTTAGACTTTAGAGGGAGAGAGAAAGAGAGAGAAAAACTATATTTTGTGGTCCACAAAGAGTGGGAGGTTTTATTTTTATTTTAGCTTTTTATTTAGATGGAAAACATTTTTGCACAAAAAAAAAAAAAAAAAAAAAAGATGGAAAACATCCTTTTAGTGAATTTTAAAAATGTATTTTCGTTCTTTCTCCCTCTCATTCTTGTTCTCTTTCTCGCAATTACATAACATTCACACCATTCATTAGTAGTTACCTAAAAAACCAATTGAATACGATACTCCATTGTCAAAATCATGGCCGACTTATTAGCTAACGTCTTGACTAGGAGTATAATTCATCATTTAAGCGTCTAAAAAATTGTCAGTAATTTAAGTGGTTCCTTTTATTCGCTTGTTCTAAATAGAAACATATTCATTAACTAGGGTGGACAATATTTTCTGTTTGTATCTAGGAGTATAAAAATATCGTTTGTTTTTTGTCATCTTACAGCTTATAAATGATAAACAAAATATGTGGACAACAGAAAACGATCAATTTATTGCTTTCTAATATAATAATTTAGCATGTGGTGATACCACGTCCAAACTGAGATATCTTTGCACTATATATATGTTACTCCTCTTTCTCAGTTTTCTCATAAACTACATTTTGTTATTGTTAAAAGATATTATAAACCACATTAAGAACTACTAGATATGGATATCGCTTTTACACACGTTTTTGTATGGACGCTACTCGCCTTCGTGCTGACTTGGACGGTGTTCTACTTTACGAACAGGGGGAAGAAGGCAACGAAGTTGGCTGATGCGGTGGTGGAAGAGCGAAAGATGGTGCTGCTGCTGATGTTATCATCGTTGGGGCTGGAGTTGGCGGCTCCGCTCTCGCATATGCTCTTGCTAAGGTATGTAAAGTGGCGTCACATATTTGCGTCTTAGTATTAAATTGATTCTTGTTGATTTTGTATAATATTTGTGCTTGAATGATAAAGTAAGGGCATCTCTATTCATGAGAAACCCAAAAAATCTCTCAAACACAAAATATTAATATTTAAATAAAATTTAGTCATATAATTAAATTTTAGTTATAAAAATAAAATTGAACCAATGTACAAGACAAAAAATGTCTAATGAGTATTTTATATTCTCATGGATCTCTTTTTTTTGTTAAAGGGTTTTCTTATATAAAACAGAAAGTATACAAAGAAGCAAATACAAAACCATTACAACAAGAAAATTAAAAGAACTAGTAACTAGAACAGGAGGACGAAAGATCCAAACAAAAGAAGCTTGAATAAAGGAAGGAGACAAAACCTAAACTTTTGCAGACTTAGGTAATCCAGCATTTAGAATGGAACTCCCACGCTTTAAGCCTAGCTGAATCATTGCATTACACTTATTCTCCATGGTGGAAATAATGAGTCGTGTAACAGTAATCGGAGATAGGGAGAGACCGTCATGAAAACGTCTATTCCTCTCTTTCCACAGTTCATAAATCGCACCCTGCCAGCCTTGAAGAAGAGCAAGTTTTTTGTGCTTAGATACTGAAGTTGTTGGCAGCCAAAGGAGGATCTGATCCCATAGAAGCGGAGAAGATGAGATTTGAAGCCTTTGTGTAATCAATGTCCATACCTCAGCAGAAAGGCACAAGTAAAAAACAGATGATTGCGTGTTTCATGGGCTAACCCACAAAGGAGACAGTCTAACTCAACATCAAAAACCCCAAGTAGACAAACGATCAAGAGTCGGGTTTACGATTGAGTATAACAGCCAAGAAGTGATAGCGTGACGTGGGATGGCTGCTTTGTGCCACACAAGAGGAGCCCAAAATTTTGTTGGATTGGAAATCCTAACTTTATTCCACACAACTTTTGAAGAGAAATACCTGGAAGGAAGACCATCAACAGCCCAAACCGGTGTATCATTTGAAGAAGACATGGTAATGGTAGAGATGAAAGAGTGGAGAAGAACTTGTCGCTCTGTTCTGGCATTAGGGAGAGACCATCCATTCTCATTCTCAATTCAGCCACAGTTGAAAACATAGGGATCCCTAGGTGAGTTGGACCATCTGAACCAAGAAAATTGTAAAGAGGACCAAAAGGAGTCCATGGATCCCACAAAAGAAAGTAGAATCACCATTGCCTATGGAGATGCTTAAAAATTTCAGAGCTTTGGGTCGAGCTTTAGTAGTTTTCGAAAAGCCAAGAGTAAGAAGCATTTTTTTCATGGATCTCTTAAAATCTCTTTCTTATTTTTTGATTTTTTTTATTTATTTAAGAATCTGTCATTGAGAGATCCTCAATGGAAATGGTCTAACAACTATATACGCTATTGTTGTTGGTTTTGCATAATATATATACACTTCTATTGCAATATTTTTGGGTTGGAACGAATAATCTATATATATATGCTAATTTTCGATAATATATAGGACGGGCGTCGAGTACATATAATAGAGAGGGACATGAGAGAACCAGAGAGAATGATGGGTGAGTTTTATGCAACCAGGAGGACGATTCATGCTCTCTAAGCTTGGCCTTCAAGGTCTGTCTCTATCTCACTTTCATTTATGTAATTGAATCAGAAAGTCAAACTTAGTTTCATGATCAAATTTGTGCATTTATTATAGATTGTTTGGAAGGAATAGATGCCAAAAAGCCACGGGCATGGCAGTTTATAAGGACGGAAAAGAAGCAGACGTATCTTTTCCGGTGGACAACAACAATTTTCCTTATGATCCTTCTGCTCGATCTTTTCACAATGGTCGATTCGTCCAACGTCTACGACAAAAAAGCTTCTTCTCTTCCCAAGTACGTATCTTTATTTGTTAGTTTTTTACCAAGTATATAGGTAAAAGGATTAATTTATAGTACAATTAAAAATCATGAACCACTCACTATTCAGTGTTACTATTTACTTGAGATGGGCAATCATGAATATGATTTGGTCTATATTAGATTCAGATTGACAGGAAATCGATTATACAAAAGATATTAACCCTATTCATTGCCCACTAATTTCAAGATGCAAACTAATAAGTTTTGAAAAAGATATAATTTTTTCTATGAAATATTTTTTTTTTTGAAACTCAAACTGAACAGTCTTTTGGAATTGTGTTTCTACATTCATAATTATTTGCAACATTTTGGAAAGTCAACATTTGTGTCTAGCCCATCAATATATCTATTATAAACTAAATAAAGATAGAAAACCTCATGAATATATATGAAACAATAATCCCTTCAATTAGCACCTAATAATTTTTTGAACATTGGAAAATATTACTAAGCTTGACAATAGCAATAGTTTCGTTTATAACACTAATCAATACACCAAACATTAATTGGTAGTGTTCGGCTCGAAGAAGGAACGGTGAGGTCTTTAATAGAAGAAAAGGAGTGATCAAAGGAGTGACATACAAAAACAAAGCAGGCGAAGAAACAACAGCCTTTGCACCTCTCACTGTGGTATGCGACGGTTGCTACTCAAACCTTCGTCGGTCTCTTAACGACAACAATGTGAGTATATAACTACATAGGCTCATTTAAAATGGAAATGTCATCAATCTTTTGCTAACTTTATAGAATGATGTTACTTACATGGATGTAGTCAATTAGTTAATAAGCATCAATGTACTTTAATGTGATGTAGGCGGAGGTTCTGTCATACCAAGTTGGTTACATCTCACGAAACTGTCAGCTTGAAAAACCGGAAAAAGTTAAAATTGATAATGTCTAAACCCTCCTTCACCATGTTGTATCAAATCGGCAGCACCGACGTTCGTGTGTTTTTTGAGCTTTTCCCCAACAACATTCCTTCTATTTCAAATGGTGAAATGGTTAATTTCGTGAAGAACACTATTGCTCCTCAGGTACACATTGGGCTGATTATTCTTTGTTCAATAAAAAAACAACTCAATATATATTGTAATAATTGTAAGTAGTCCATGCAGATATCTCTAACATCTTTTAACATTTATTAATTTTCTAGGTACCTTCAAAAATTCCGTAAAATATTTTTGAAAGGGATCGATGAAGGAGCACATATAAAAGTCATGCCAACAAAGAAAATGTCAGCTACTTTGAGCGATAAGAAAGGAGTGATTGTATTGGGAGATGCATTCAACATGCGTCATCCAGCAATCGCATCTGGAATGATGGTTTTATTATCTGACATCCTCATTCTACGCCGCCTTCTCCAGCCTTAAGCAACCTCGGCGATGCGCAAAAAATCTCAGAAGTTATCAAGTCCTTTTATGATATCCGCAAGGTGAGCATATGTCACATACTAATCTAGAACATGAAATTTTGAACAAAATAGATTTACAACCTCAAAATTTTAAAAATAATACATGATTTTTTTATGGTGAAGCCAATGTCAGCGACAGTCAACACATTAGGAAATGCATTTTCTCAAGTGCTAATTGCATCGACGGACGAAGCAAAAGAAGCAATGAGACAGGGTTGCTATGATTACCTCTGTAGTGGCGGTTTTCGCACGTCAGGGATGATGGCTCTGCTCGGCGGCATGAACCCTCGTCCAATCTCTCTCATCTATCATCTATGTGCTATCACTCTATCTTCCATTGGCCACCTACTCTCACCATTTCCCTCTCCCCTTCGCATTTGGCACAGCCTTCCGACTTTTTGGTGTAAGTCACTAATTATTTCTCTCCTTTTATTAAATATTTTCTATAGAATTGTTTTTCATTTTTGTTAATCGTCTTTAGGTTTACATTTACTATTTGACATTATTTTTTATTTTTTTGTATCAATGTTTTATGTGAATCACCAGTTAGCTACGAAAATGTTGGTTCCCCATCTAAAGGCTGAAGGAGTTAGCCAAATGTTGTTTCCAGTCAACGCAGCCGCGTATCGCAAAAGCTATATGGCCGCAACGGCTCTCTAAGTACTGATCGCTTGAAATTGCAAAATGTATAACACATAGAAATCACAAATCTTTGTGATTCTGCATCTATTATGTTCTACAATTGTTAGCATATAAATGAGAATTATTCTATGTAAAATAAAAAAGAAGGAATTGTAATACTAATAAAACGAGTTTTTCGTTCTGTTGAACTTTTGTCATAATATTTCACAACATATTTTCATTATAATTATAATTTGAACTTTTAAAGACAATAAGTTACTTTATATAAACAAATATATATTATAATCAATTTAAAATAATTTAAACTCGACATAGTTGGGTATGTGAGTATGTCATATAGTATTTGCAACAAAACAGATTAGGAGAAAATAAATTTTTATAAAAAACATTTTAATCACATTACTACATCATATTCTATTTTTTTATAGTTTTGATATATCTCTTATTTAAACTTCAAATTTTAAATTTAGTTTCAGTATTAATTTAATTTTTTATTTCTAAACTAGATAAATTACTGATGAAAAATATATGGACATTAATAACATCTTAGCGCAGTAGTCCCAATAGATGATGAAGTCTGTGGTGATATTTTGTTGTCGTCGTGTTCATGAAAAGCAGCCACAAAAGAGATAGTCTCGTCACCATACACTTAATGAAGAATGACATAATTCATTGGCCTTTAAATCATCTATGAAGTCGACCTTACGGGGAAGATAGACCATTCCACCTTTACCATTCGGTTTTGTGGATGATGTGATATTGTTTTTTTTTGTCTTCTTTTCTTTTTATAGAGTAAGAAGTATGATGTACTTAATTACCTGCAGAAACTATTACAAAATTTACACAAATTGTTTTTCAACAAAAATAAATTTATAGCTAAGTATTTTTAATAAATTGATGAAATATCTAGATAAATTAGTCAGAGAAACTTTTTTTTTTTCTTTTTTAGTCAAAGAAACTTTTGTACATTGATAACATCTTAATGCAGACGGTCCCTATAATTGACGAAGTTTGTGGTTAAGGTTTATGTTGTCGTCGTGTTCATACATTTATTGTTAGAATCTCTCGTCTCCGTAGTCCATACATTTATTTGGTACATTTATAGCAAAATAAAGAAAAATGGGTTTCCCATCTAGATCTTGTTAGTGGTTTTCGCTCCAACTTTAGACTACTTACAATGACAATATTTTAACTGTTGAAAAATTGGCCAACTGTATAATACCTTTTGAAAATAAATAGGAGATGATGTGGCAAAATTATGAAAAATTTGTGGGTGGGTTTTTGTAATATTGTAATCAAAAATCTAACCAATAAAAAAGGGTATTGTAATATTTTAATTAATGTAGATAATCATATACATGTTCCCACTCTCCATAATCTCTGGTAAATATATGCTACATTTTCAAGATATTTAAAAAGTAAAAAGAAAAAACGGAGAAATCTACTCTTCTCCTCTAGGCTAGACGACCGATGAAAACTTTTTTTTCTTTTCAAATTACGTTTAAAAAATAGAGAGAAATGCAACAAGTTTGACATCATTGCCTTCATATAATATTTGAAGACGTCGACCTTTAGATTAGCAGATAAAGACAATTCCACCTTTTACTGGTTTCGTGGATGATGTGAGATTAGATTTAATTTTAGTTTTCGTAACTAGTTTTTAGAGCATCTTTATTAATTGGGGGTGTCTTATATTGTATAGATATATTAAAGAAGCAATTAGCTGTATGCTAGTTTTTCGAGAAATAATTAGCTCTCACATACACAAGTTTTTTTTTTTTGCAAAACAAGAGAGAGAGTGCTATAGTAACAAATTCTGGACGAAAGTACCCTCCAAAATATAAGGAAGATAATTTCATAGGAGACAGATATGACAGAGAATCTATAGTGGGCCACCACTTGTTAAATGTCTGCATCGATAGTATATTCTGCTATGCAATTACGTATCGTGATATCTTATTTTTTATCGAATACATGGATATATATCTTACATCGTATATTTCAATATGTTGTTTATGGTGGATGTGGAGGATGAGTGAAGTAAGTAAGACATTGTGGTTGATTGTATCTTAGTGAAGAAGGTAGTGATGGTGATGTGAGCGGAGAATATGTTAGCGGTGAAGGAGGAGGATGTGGTGGTGGGATGGGAAAACAGAGTATAGTGAGACAACATAAGTGGAATACGGTGACAACGAACGAATTGGGAGATAAATATGTTTATCCATCACTGGTCGATGATAGCATCGCCGGTTTGATGGTGTCTTATATCATTTCTGATATATGTCCATCGATACATGAACGACATCAAATTCGCGACGTCTTTGTACCGAGAATTTTGTAAGGTTTATTGAGTGTATTCTGATCAGAAAAATACAACGAATTTAATGAATTAAAAATATCATAATTTTATATGTAATCAGTTTCACAATTAAGAAGAATCATTTGTTTGAGGTTTTCATAAAGTAAGAAAAAAAAGAAAAAGAAAAAATAAATAATAAAAGGAAAGAGAAACGAAGAAATAAGGAAGAAGGAAGGAAGCGTTTGGTTTTGGGGGTATTTCTGTCTGCATACGAAAACTTCCAAACTCATGTGTTTCACCTCAACAATGCAAGACAGACGTTTCCTATTTCGTTCAATCCCAACTGGTTCACTATCCGGTCGATTATCAGATGCAGCTTGATGAAGATTTACAGTATTACATGATGAAGTTTGACAGAGGAATACCAAACAGTTCAAAAGAAGAAACAACTTCCCAGGCAACTTCTCAAGATTACTGTGCTGATCACTTTAAGTACGCTCAATCTCCAGATGATGAAATAAATGTTGAAGATATCGAAGAAAAGTTCAAATTCTGCATAAATGTTCAACCAGGAGAAGATGCACGAATGATTGAGGACTCGTATGAATGTCCAGATGATCATTATGGATGCTGTGAAGAACATATGCTGGAATACGAAATGGATCATTAAAAGGTGTGGAAAAGTAAAATAAATAAAATATATAATATGTGTGATGTGTTTAAAATCATGTAAAATAAATAATTATGTAAGCGATGATGTAATCATTATGTAAGCAATGATGTAATCATTATGTAAGCAATGATGTAAGCGATGATGTAATCGCTGAGGTAAGCGCTTATGTCAGCGCCTTAAACCCTCCTATAAATATGTGTGCACCCCTTGTAAGAAAACACAACTTGAAATATCATAAAATTTCATAATAGCTTTCTCTCTCTAAAATGTCTCTCTAACTTCTCTCTAAGTTTTCCAGACTTCCTAACTTCTTCATAAACCTTGTTTCTTTCTATTCTAAACACAGTCGCGATTCTGTATCTTTTCTTAAGGTTAGCATAAGTGGTCCGTCAATACGACGGTCGAACACGGCAGTCAATAGTACTCGCCGGGGTTCACAGTTCCTAATAGTAGGTTGAGCAACACAGATGGCAATGAGGCCCGAACCGCTCCCTTTACCTGGAATATGAACCCTAGCTTGTCAATACGACTCGTCGTCTAGACTTAGTCAACACGACCCTCCGCTCGTGCTAGCTTTAAGATTATGGTATCAGAGCCAAAGACTCGTGTTGAGATAGAATGAATCATTGTTTATGACTGATCGTTTTGAATGTTCTGGAAAACGAACTCTCAATCATGTCTCTTTCAAAGCCTTCTAACCCTCTACAGTTAAATCCTTCAATAAATTCTCAATTTGCTATCTCTACTTTACCAAAAATCCAAAGAAATAATTCCCTTTCTAAACTAAATTCCTTGTATGAAATTGAATATGTTCCGGGAGATCAATTGCCAAAAACAACCCTCCCGTTGGTTAATCCTTATGAATACTTTGCTAAAAAGCCTAGTGTTTTTTCAGTAAAAGGTGTTCGTGAGCTCATCAAACCATCTTCCAGCCGACGAGTAATGGAGTACGTACAATCCAGCAAGTTTTCATCATGTCAAGTTCCAGCCACCGAGGATGAACAATTCATCTCGCTAAATATTCGGGAGCATCTACCAAGGCTATGGCAGCAACAGGGCTATACTCATCTGCACTTTGGTGTAGTAAGAATTGGTTTAACCTTACATGCACGAAAAGGCTTACCGGTTGTAGCACGGATAGCTTTGCTTGACTCAAGGCTCAAATCCTATCAACAAGCTTGCATCGGAACAGTACAAACAACGTTGAACGCATGAATAGTATTTATAACACTGTTTCCAAACTTCAATGCCTCACTACAATCTGATCTTGCTCTTGATCTTGGATTCTGTATACAATCTGATGATGTAGAGTTGCTACCACACTTTCTTCTTGCATAGGTGCTCCGATTAGTTGTAATTAAACTTTAAGCGCCTTTAGGAGATTTGGATCTTGTAGTGAGACATTGAAGTTTGGAAACAGTGTTATAAATACTGTTCCTGCGTTCAATGTTGTTTGTACTGTTCCGATGCAAGCTTGTTGATAGGATTTGAGCCTTGAGTCAAGCAAAGCTATCCGTGCTACAACCGGTAAGCCTTTTCGTGCATGTAAGGTTAAACCAATTCTTACTACACTAAAGTGCAGATGAGTATAGCCCCGTTGCTGCCATAGCCTTGGTAGATGCTCCGGAATATTTAGCGAGATGAATTGTTCATCCTCGGTGGCTGGAACTTGACATGATGAAAACTTGCTGGATTGTACGTACTCCATTACTCGTCGGCTGGAAGATGGTTTGATGAGCTCACGAACACCTTTTACTGAAAAAGCACTAGGCTTTTTAGCAAAGTATTCATAAGGATTAACCAACGGGAGGATTGTTTCTGGCAATTGATCTCCGGGAACATATTCAATTTCATACAAGGAATTTAGTTTAGAAAGGGAATTATTTCTTTGGATTTTTGGTAAAGTAGAGATAGCAAATTGAGAATTTATTGAAGGATTTAACTGTAGCGGTTTAGAAGGCTTTGAAAGAGACATGATTGAGAGTTCGTTTTCCAGAACATTCGAAACGATTAGTCTTAGGGTATGCAGTGTAATTACTTTATATTAAATTTGTTATTTTCTTATATTTAGATGATTAAGGTTTTATAGAAAAAAACGCATAAAAAGTATATAAACAAAAACATGAATGAAGGTAAACAAAATTTGGTTTAAATATGTCTTTTTCCATAGTTAGTTCTTAATGGTGTATTAAAATATCTCGACATTTTCTGGCTTTCTAAATATTGGAGAACTGGTGTAACTGCTTCGGGTTTTTATCAATCAATGTCAACAAAAGATATATTTTTGGGGGGGGGGGGGGGGGGGGGGGGGGGGGGGGGGGGGGGGGGTGGGTTGACGTACGTATACGGTTTGATTTGGTTCTCTCTGACATTTTCCTTTTTTGCTGGCTGTGATATTTGATCATTTTCGTTTTATTTTTCATACCACTCTATCACGCTTATCAGTTTATGAATTTTCTAATTAATATGTCCGACGCCATACAAATTTTATTTATTATTAATTTTTTTTTATTATTAAGGATCTGACTGGTATATCTCTAGAATAAAAAAGAGCAAATGGACTGATACAAAAAGATCAAATCCAACGCAAAATTTTTTACCCTATTTAGGGCTTGATTGGTTCTCCCGCTAGCACCCTCCTAGCGCTTGCTAGCGGTCGGTTGCGGTTGTTAGCGGTTGGTACCAATCATAGAAACTGCTCCGTACCGCTTCAAACCGCTCGAAATCGCTGAATTTCAAAAGCTCCTTCCCGCAAGCGTTTGCGGTTGCGGGCGGGTAGCGGTTGGATTAAAAAAAAAAAAAAAAAAAAACAAATCAAATGTTTACTTATAATTATTATAATATATATTAATCTTATATATATCTTTCATCTTTTTATCACGTTCTCATCACGTTCCACCCAAACTGATGAAAATCAAGAACCAAACGTAAGTATCATATATCCTTTTATTCATTCATCATCTCATGTGTAACTTTTTGAATATTTTTCATGGCATCGTTTTTTTTCTTTTCATTACGTATTGCTTTGCTTTTTGATTGAATATATGTTTCGATTTGTTTTCTCGAATAGAAACTCACTTGTTTTTTAATTGAATTCAACGTTATTTACAGTTTGTCCCATTACTTGATGCAATTTTTGATGTTAAACCAGATGCATAAAGTACTATCTTGTTACAAAATTTCTTTATTTTTGAATAATTATTTAGTACTTTATTTATAGTTTTAATTATTAATCATGTTCAATTTTTCTAATATTATCATAATAATATATTGGTGTTTTTATTTCCTTTTTTGTAATATTTTTTATTTATTTTGGTCATTTTTTATTTAACTGCTACCGTACCCGCTGGTTTTACCAGTCATAAAACTCCCGCAAACGCACCCATTTTCAAACGCTAAACCAGTCGTTCAAAACGCTTGGTAACGCTTGAAGCCGCAACCGCCCGCTTCCGCAAACTCCCGCAACCGCAACCGCAACTGCTGCGTTTTAAACCAGTCCGACCCTTAGTAGGTGGAAAAATTCTCGTCATTTTTAATAGTTCTGGAAGAAGTGAGCAGAATTATTTTTCTTCTTTTTTTATTTGATCGGTAAGTTTTGAACTGAAGTAAGAGTAATATGTTTCAACCTGTTTTATTTTTACTCTAAAATATATATACAGTCATAGTCTAAGTATTTTCCATGCTTGTTTAGCTAAGAGAGCTTGATTGAATTCTATTTAAAACCCCATATTTTTCATTATTAATTATAATTGACTGTCCAATCCAAAGAAAAAGATTTTACAAGAATAAAATTACTATCTTTACTACAAACTAAACAAGATATATATGATATAGAAATAAGAAAAGACGAGAAATAATTAAGTCGGTTTCTGAGAAATTTGAACCGTCCAAAAATTTAAAGAAATTAGCTAATCATCAAGAAATTGCATTAATGTGATCAATTATGTGCAATTCGTCTTCGTATCAAAATTAACTACCCCTCGAGAAAACATATGATTGCCATGACATATAGTAAAGTTTTCTATTAGGAGTTAAGGAGAAACAAACTTTTTGGCTAACATTTTGCTCCTAGGAACCCATGATAATTTGATTGTTTATAACTACAAATTTTGGTAATATCTTATTAATATTCTTTTATGGAAGTTGATATAATTATTAATTACACCATGTCCATAGTTCTAACTTCTAACTAATGACACTTATGATTACAAAAAAATAAAATACTAGTATATTATTGATAGCTTAACACGTTCTTATTAATTAATTCAAGATATGATAGATAGGCCATGCTGTTAGATTCCAAAATTCGTGCTCGAACTTTGCGGAACTGAAACAAACATTATTATTATTATTTTGATAAAACAAATACATAAATTTAGAATAAATAATTTAATTTTCTTTGCCCTTTTTAGTCCATTTAAAGTTCTTGATGGAGCAAACACTCAGGGAGTATTTCTTAAAGATCTATGACGCACAAGAAGTTAAAATAGGTGTGGTTGTCGATAGATGTCTATGCACAAAATATATCGATCCCGTTATGCGCTTGTAATTTGTTTGTGTGGTGGCCACTTCTTGTTGGATATTACCTTAGTTATATCTTTAATTAATAATTATAGGAGACTATGCTTAGCAAATTAATACGAATTATTTTTGTTTTGTCAACGAAGATATGATAACTAACTAGAAACCATATAGAATGAGTAATTATTGATTTATTTAGAAAGCTGGCTTACAAATATTATGTCATGTGAATGTGATGTGATCTTGTTAAGTTCTTATGGACTTCCAACTCAAAACCAATTGGCAATGAGTGGAGTGGCCCATATCCCTTTATATATTACTTAGGATCCCTTCCAACTTCCGATGTGGGACATTATGTCCTAATACGCCCCCTCGAGATGATGGCTCTTTGGCCATTAATCTCGGAATATTCGGGCTTAGATCGACGGCATCAATTTTGGGCCTTGTCGATGATTGGACCATCTTTGGGTCGGATCGGGTTGGACATGTGTGGATCGGGCTCTGATACCATGTTAAGTTTCATGGGCTTCATGAGCTTCACGGGCTTGGTCCGCTGTCTTGTTATTGAGATCAATAACACATAATCCTCTTCTAGTTTCTACATGGTATCAGAGCAGACGATTCTAGTGGATCATAATTAAAGCTTCCGCATTAGAGTTCTTGTGATTAAGAGAAGATAGTGAAGACGGTGATCACTGAAGGAGAAGACGGTGACTCCGATGGTGGAGATGAAGACGACGAAGACGTAGACATATTAAGAGATGGAGGTCACGTGATTGTTTCTTAATCACATGGGTATTATTTTTCCAAAACTTTAGGTAGTTGGTTTCCTATGTTTTTAGTAGGATTGATTATGATTTTTTCATGCAATGATTAGTGGGGAGATTTATGGAGAAAAAAAAAGGCTTTAAGAGGTTTCAATTTTCACGGGTCACTTATGTGTTTTCTTGGGATATATTCTTAAGTTTTTGAATTTCTCAAGTTTGTTAAGTATTTTTAGTTTGGTAATAGTTTCCCCATTACAGGGGAGTTTGGTTATGGTTTAACCATTAGTATAGTTTACTAGAACGCTCATGTTTTTAGGTCATGTTTAGTCCGAGTTATGGACCATCCAAGATAAGGATGATTGTTTGTGGAGCAGCATAATTTGCGCCCACGGGATGTATTCTCTTTTACCAAGACCAAAGACAGAGCAAAAAATTCCACCCCTATTTTCAAGATTGAAGCTTATACCCTGAGGCGTTTGTTGACATGATTTGTCCGTCCCGACATATCGTCCACGACATACGTGTTCCGCTTTGTGATTGCAAAGTTTGCGTTTTGCGGACCACGTTTGTCGTGCAGGGGAGTATTGGAGATATCTTGGGGAGCAAGATGTGTATCTTGCGGACCAACTATTGTGGACCGTCAAAGTCCGTTTATGAAGTTAACCCATGAAACCCAAGCCGAAGAATATTCTAGATATCCTATTGTGATAAGGATTAAGAGATTTAGAATATTTACTTATTCATGTTTATCTATTTCCTATTCTAATTAGGTTAAACATAAGTTAGTCTCTATATATTGTGTATCAATTCTATTGAGATCAATAACACATAATAAAGAGTTTTCCCGCAAATCCTTCTCTACTTTCTACAGATCTCATGTCGGCCTGTAACTGACTCATATTGATTTGCCAAGCTGTGGAACTCTAGTTTATTGCATTTTTAAAATTTTATATTAAGGGTTTGTTACATATTTTTGGCTTGTTTTGACATTGTGGGTTTCTCCTATTTAACGATCACTGCAGGTACAAAGTCATAGAAATTATTACTAAGTGGTAATGACAATGACTTACGCGTGGTTATGGACGCTTCTCGCCTTCGTTCTGACATGGATGATTTTTCACCTCATCAAGATGAAGAAGGCAGCAACCGAAGATGTAGAGGCAGAGGCAGAAGAGAGATCAGATGGTGCCACTGATGTCATCATTGTTGGGGCGGGTGTTGCAGGCGCTTCTCTTGCTTATGCTCTTGCTAAGGTATATATTTGTACATGTGACGGTCTTTTGCATCAGTTGGTCGGTGAGAAATTAAGATCCGCCATGTTAATTGCAGTGATAAGTAGAAATGATTAGAGTTCAAATTTTCTTGATGTTTTGGAATCCTACATAACCGAATGATTTAGGATTTTGGTAGTTTTCATGTGTTTTGGGTAGCTTCATTAATCAAAGTAAATACTTCTTTTTTGTTGCATCAGCTATATAGTATGGTTGATGGCGGTGTTATAATTAATTATCAAACTTCAAATAGGTTGAATTATCTTAACCGTTGTAACAAGTTTTGAGGCTTCAATTGCTTTTTGGTATGGATTAGAGATAGATCTTAAATAATAAATTTAGAAAGATGATCAGATTGTTAATGAAAGAAGTTATTTATCAAAACTAGTGTTCTTAACCTAAAATTAAATAATTACGTGATAAAAACCCTTCCATGATACGAATAATATGAACTAAATTAAATCAATGAACTTGGTAAAATGTTTTTATTCAAAAAAAAAGGAACGTGGTAAAAAGTTTTTCTTTTTTTAAGAAATCATTTATTACGCTTCTAGTCCAACATTAAATTTCTAAAAGAATTCGATAGCGGATATTCAACAATGTTTTTACAGAAAATGTTGTTTTTCTATTTTTTCCCTATTAGTTACTAATTATGTGTAATTAACTGAATGCGGATGCAGGATGGACGACGAGTACATGTGATAGAGAGGGACTTGAAAGAACCACAAAGATTCATGGGCGAGCTTATGCAAGCGGGAGGCCGCTTCATGTTAGCCCAGCTTGGCCTCGAAGGTCTCTTTCTTCACTTCATCTTTACATTCATTGCTACACATTGCTTGACTTGTTGCCACAAGCACATATATGTGCATATAAACATATGTTATATGTCGTTAATTTGCGATTTTGGGGTTCTACATGTAATATGTATTAGATTGTTTGGAGGAGATAGACGCTCAAGAAGCCAAGTCCTTGGCAATTTACAAGGACGGAAAACACGCGACATTACCATTTCCAGACGACAAGAAGTTTCCTCATGAACCAGTCGGTAGACTTTTACGTAATGGCCGTCTGGTACAACGTTTACGCCAAAAAACAGCTTCTCTTAGCAAGTACGTACAAATTCTTACTTCTTTTTTTTTGTATACTTTTTATAACTTATGAATGAGTAAAATAATCTTACGACGACTCTTATATACTAGATTTCTATTTCATCTTCTTGATAAAATGCAATGAACATTGGCAGTGTACAATTAGAAGAAGGAACGGTGAAGTCTTTAATTGAAGAAAAAGGAGTGGTTAAAGGAGTGACATACAAGAACAGCGCAGGCGAGGAAACAACGGCCTTTGCACCTCTCACTGTCGTATGCGATGGTTGTTATTCAAACCTTCGTCGGTCACTCGTGGATAATAATACTGTGAGTACATACTTATCTTTTAAAAATTTGTAGAATGCCATTTTTCACTATAAACTACAACAAAATATTGGTCTCGTCGTTAACTACCAAGTTTAAGGATCATAATCATATATTTATATATAGGAGGAAGTGCTCTCGTACATGGTGGGTTATGTCACGAAGAATAGCCGACTTGAAGATCCACATAGTCTACATCTTATATTTTCTAAACCTTTGGTCTGTGTTATATATCAAATAACCAGTGATGAAGTTCGTTGTGTAGCCGAAGTTCCCGCTGATAGTATTCCTTCTATTGCGAATGGCGAATTGTCTACCTTCCTCAAGAAATCAATGGCTCCTCAGGTACGTAGCAAAGTATTGATAGTAACAAGTAAAAAAGCTTTTGTATATATATAATGGTATGTTTTAACATTTTCATGGTGTTCAAATGACTTTGTTTATATCATCGATCCCTTTGGTGTTGTAGATACCCGAAACTGGAAATCTTCGTGAGATATTTTTGAAAGGCATAGAGGAAGGATTACCAGAGATAAAATCAACAGCGACAAAAAGTATGTCAGCGAGATTGTGTGATAAGAGAGGAGTGATTGTGTTGGGAGATGCATTTAATATGCGTCATCCTATAATCGCGTCAGGGATGATGGTTGCTCTCTCGGACATTTGCATTCTACGCAATCTACTCAGACCATTGCCTAACCTCAGCAATACTAAGAGGGTCTCTGATATTGTCAATTCCTTTTACATCATCCGTAAGGTTAGTTATAACATAGTTTTTACTAGAGAAGTATACTACTTTGGTTTTGGTTTAATTAAATGGAGTGACTCGATATTTATATATGCTAGAATGTCATATATATATCCTATTATCAAGTTGTGTTGGACTAGTGGTCTGACTCTTACTTTTTATTTGTTGATTTTGAATGGCAAAAGCCAATGTCAGCGACCGTGAACACGCTGGCTAGTATCTTTTCACAAGTGCTTGTTGCTACAACGGACGAAGCAAGAGAGGGAATGAGACAAGGCTGCTTCAATTACCTAGCTCGTGGAGATTTTAAAACAGCCGGATTGATGACTATTCTCGGAGGCATGAACCCTCACCCCCTTACTCTAGTCCTTCATCTTGTAGCCATCACCCTTACGTCCATGGGCCACTTGCTTTCTCCCTTTCCTTCGCCTCGTCGCTTTTGGCATAGCCTCAGACTTTTTGTGGTAAGGCTTTCTATTTTCTTGGCTATTTTAACACAATGTATACCTTTTTAACGGTTATAATTTATAAACTTGTTTCTTATGATGACTTTTTCTATGTGAATCAACAGTGGGCTTTGCAAATGTTGGGTGCACATTTAGTGGATGAAGGATTCAAGGAGATGTTGATTCCAACAAACGCAGCTCGTTATCGAAGAACCTATATCGCCACAACCACTGTTTGAGCGTTGACTGATTGATTAATCCATAACATGAAGACTGTTTACTCGGAGATGAAAAATAACAACAAATTGTAAAAATAAATAATTGTGTGTATATGAAGTTGAGCCTTTGGTTAAGCTCTACTGAATTATCTTGTAACCAAACATGGATATGTTACGTGCTGATTTGTTATATTCTATATATTGATTCTTGATTTTCTGCTTATAAATTTTCTCTCCTGTTTACTCAAGGTTCTCTGCTGATTTTCAGGGTCCCATAATGTTACATTTCTCAGCTTCTCACTACAACCAAATTGTTAATCTTCTTTGCTTTAGGCAGGACGTTTTTGGTTAAACCAGTTTCAAACAGAGAATTGAACCAGGTTTCTGTAATCCGGTGCAATGCATGGTAAGTGGCTCTGAATCTCAAATAGGTATAAAGATTAAAGTCTTGATGTATTGTAACATATTTCAATATTCATAAAGGCTGACCAACAAGGAAACGAATCATAGCTTGTGGTGAACGGCAAAATCTGTTGTCTTCGTAGATAAAAACGAATATAGAGTACAAATTAAACAACATTTAAACAAGAATAATCTTCCTCAGCTCTGTCCAACGAGAACATCCTTGTATGGTGTCGGAGATGATACTACCACGGTCTCTGTAGCTCCCGCTCCGGCTTTGGAGGTTAAGTGAGCACGGGGTTTGGGTCTACTAGAAGCTTCGTCAGCTTCCATTTTCCTTATTCTTTCTTCTTCAGCAACAAGAGGGAGATATCCTTCTCTCCCTTCAAGAAGCCGGTCTTGAGCTCCGCCCCGTAGTTTCTCGAGGCGGAGCCCAGTGATCTGAACGAAGTTAAAAACCTTAACAACGTTCATCAATCCTCCCACAAACAAACATATAGCCCCGGAAATCCCAAGCCAAACCCATCTTTCCCCCTGAAAATTTATTATTTACGGTAAGAAGCGGATTTTGGAAACCAATTTTTATGCGATAAATTAGGTTTTCAAGTACTTACAAGAAGCTTCAAGCCACTGTGAGATGACCCGGATTGGTCGAGGCTATTGAGAACTGCCGAAACCAAGAATAGAAGAGATCCAACCAAGAAAGGAATGTGAACACACTGCTGTAGAATTTGGACATGACTGTCTGCTCTCTGGTAGATTTGGCATGAGTTGTGAATCGATCCTATCACCCAAAGTAACGGACCCGCAATAAGCAAGTTTAATGCATGATGCTCTCTTCCACTGTATCCACGTTTTGTCTCAGCCTAAATACTCCAGAGAAAAAAAAAAACACATCGGAATGTGACTACGTGTGATTAGTCCGACACATATCAAAAGTTGTCATTCACAACATTTTACTCTATTACTTATGTTTTGTGACATGAATCACAATGAACATAATGGACAATCTCAGATTAATATACCACAAGCACTTGGCTTTATCTTCTCAATGCTTATGACCTCTTCAAATACTAGCTATAATTGTTATAAATGTGATATCACCGAAACCTAACCGATTTAGTTCTCTTTTCGTAGGAGGCATATATGTAAAATTTGATGAACAATATAAGTTATACCTGATGGAAGACGAAAAAGATTCCCAAGAAAAACACTACTGAACCCGCTATCTGAACCAGAGGGACTGCAAATTCCACAAGCCCCAGTTGCAAATCATACTCCATTAACCTTAACCTTATCACATAAACAATAAGCTCATAACTAAAACGTTCTTCTTAATCCCCCAACATTGGTGAATATAAAGTTATATATATCACACGTAGTCATATTCGAGATAACAAATTATGGTAAATTAACTCTTTTTTTTTTGGTTAAGAAGGTAAATTTAATACTAAGATAACTAAATTAAGCAAGCTTTTTGAGATCATTTACCGGTAATCGATTCCGGCTAGATGAGCCACGAGATCATGAACATTCACGGCGGTTATAAGAACGAGAGCCAAGAGAATAAGTACGAGGCCGGATCTTGGTTCCCATGAGAATCCTGTCGCCGTGAAACCGCCGATGAGCACCACGGTTGCGAACAAGTATAGACCTGCGTTGATGTACTCGGCCCTGCTCCTCCCTAGCCGAGGACCGTACGTTCTAATCTCACGCGCCGTCGCGAGTTTCACCATTTGATTGAAGGTTGTGTGTCTAGTCTAGAGAGAGACTGAGAGATCTGGGAAAGACTCAGAGAGAGAGAGAGAGCTTTACGTGGCCTTGTGCATGGAGTTCTATTAGGAAAGTGTAACGTGGCAGATTGTAGAAAATAGCTGACTTTTGTACAAGACGTTGTCGTTTTATCTTCCAGGTACTATTTTGAATTGGGCTTCTTATTGGGCCAATCTTAGGCTATCTTTTTTTTTTTTTTTTTTTAAATATATATCTAAACATAGTTTTTTTTATAAAATCTAAACATAGTTTATTGTTTATTAAATTTGATATCTGTAAATTATGTTTAAACTTTTTAAACTTTAGTACTGTATTCAGCTAAAATTTTGAATACTTTAAAAAAAAAGAAGAAGATTTTAAATATTTTATTAAAATTTAATGTGATCTAAAATAGGTAATGCCATTAACATTTCTTCAACTTTGTAACTCCGACTCTTGCGCTATACCAAAAGCCACAAAACCAACAAGGAAAAAAAGCAAATGGAAATCAAAGTATCTAAACAATTGGAGTTTTGGCGTAATGTTTAAGATTAATATATTTGACTTTTAAAAGTTCAAAAAAATATGTTAATCGGTTTATAATATGGCTACGTAAATGCTTCTCAAGCCACCACTTTATTTTGGGTCCGACTGTTGCTGAGAAGACCATCCACGTGTATATTACCTGATCCACAACCACAAGACTTGACCCTTTAGGAAATATCTTCTCCTCCACTATAAATTGGCCACGTCGTCTCTCTCTCTCGCAATCCCCCCTTGTGCATTCTCGCAACCGTTGGTTTATTTTTGTGTAGCCTTATTGGCCGTTGGATCTTCCTGAGATGCCAAACTTGTTGTTTATTAGCATTTTTACTCTTATTTTCCAGTTATTTGCATTCTAGATTTTTTTTTTTTTTAGATTTACATTTACATTTACGCAAACTTGTTTTGGAAACGAATTAAATTATAATTTATAACAAACTAAAAGTAAATTGTGACAAAGAATTTTTGTAAGAATGTGCGGTACAAACACACTCAACGGTAATAGTGTAAAGATTAAATATCTGAAGATGACGTAATTTGATAAAATTTTGGGTATGATTACGCTTGTGATTAAGTGATTTGATTCCGAAAATGAGTTGATTCCGAAAATTTGACACATTCCAAATATCTTTCAAGCTCGGATGTTTTACGTGGTGTGATTGTATCCAACAAGTTTATACACCCATCAAATTAGTCAGGCTTATTCCGGATCACCAACTTAGCAAATAACAAGGAGGGAAAAAAAAAAAAGGAGGAGGTTGGTTATTCGAGACGTATTGCCTAGCAAAAAGGGGTTTAAAGTGATATATAAAAAACTTTGGGGGTTCTATGAATAGATTCCAAAATATACGGCGTCACATTGTAATCAACTTGTGGACACCATAATTTACGTAGTTCATTGAGACACATATTTTCGTATTCCTCTCCAATTTTTCTTTATATTTAAAATTCGTGAACCAGAATCTAAAATCGAACGAAGATTCTCTCTCGCTTGAAGAAAAATTTCTCTCCGACGATACTTACAAAGGTATGCTAAAAGCAATTTGCTTCGTCGATATCGAACATTAAACTTCATTTCGATAAGATCTTACTTAGTGCGTAATGATTTCTGCGTTAGATTTATTTGATCTTCCTGTGTAAAATTTCTTACAATTTGTTGATCACTGGTTCTGCTCACGAAAGATTTCGACTTTGCATTTAGATTCTCTGTAATTTGAAGAAATCTGAATTTGGGTTTTCATGATCGCTCTTAAATGTCGAATCTTTCAATTTCTAGTTTTGGTTCGTCTCTGTATATCATCGCTTGTTCTGTAGTAAAATTGCTGTAAGGTATAATGAGACATGTTTCTGCTTGCAGCACAAGTGAGCTAGCTTTTCGAAAGATTCAATTTTTCAGCCTTAAAATTGTGATGGGAGTTGTATTTATTTCAAGTTCAGCTGCAAGATCTCCGATTGGGTTAAGCAGTGATCTTTTGACACATCGGTCTTCACTTAAGAAGCCATCAATTGTTGCGTTTAAAGCCGATGATTCGAGCAATTCAGCTTTGATCATTCCTCCTCGAGAACAAGTTTTGATTCCTGCGGAAAAGCATAATGAGAAGAAGAGAGTAGTAACGAGGAGGAAGCTGTGTAAAACCCCGAAAAAACCGAGTTCGTTGGAACATAATTCGGCTCCTTCGTGTTCATTAGGAGTTGATTACTATGAAGCTGCTGCTAGACTTGAAAGCATATATAAGCTTAGTCCTGCAACAACCACATTAGTCGAGGAGGATGTTGTTGAAGATGGCGGCTCCAAAGCGAAAGTTTCACCGAGGAGAAAAAGGAAACAGAGTGGTGTGGAGAAGAAAGTTGTTGTGAGGAATAATGTGAAGAAGGAAAAGCGTTTGAGTCTTGATAAACGGATCGCTTTGAAGAGAAATGTTCAAGAGAAACCAGTTGTTGTTTCTGCTGAGAAGAAAGTAACAAAGAAGCAGCAAGAGGAAGAGAAGATCGAGAGGCTTGTGCGGGACTATTCAGCTTCTAATGATATAGTGAGCTTGGACTGGAAAAAAATGAAGATACCTCCTGTTCTTTCTTCCACTGAACATGCTTGGTTGTTTAAGTTGATGCAACCTATGAAGGTATTCTTCATTTTCTTGAATGTAGCATACAGTCTATAGAGATATGATTCACTGTTAAAGGAAGCTGAAATCGGGTTTTCAGTCTCTGGTTATCAAAGTTGCAATATATGCTTAAAATGTGTGGGGCTGAACATTTTTGCAGGCTCTTCTTGAAGTAAAAGATGAATTGCAGAAGAGCTTGGGAAGAGAGCCGAGGGAAGCTGAAATAGCCGAGGAGATCAATATGACCGCAGGTGAAGTAAAAAAGAAGATCGAAATAGGTAGAGCTGCAAGAAACAAACTTATTAAGGTGAGTGTGTCAAAAGGTTCAGAACCAAGTCAAAAAGATTTGTACCAATACATTTTCTTAGAGAGGCTATTGTTATGGAGATAACTCTTTGAGCTTATTGTGTTTTTCTTTTTTTCTATGTTGCAGCACAATCTCCGGCTTGTCTTGTTTGTTATGAACAAATATTTTCATGATTTTACCAACGGACCGAAATTCCAAGACCTCTGTCAAGCGGGTATGAGAGGGCTTATCACAGCAATTGACCGCTTTGAGCCAAAAAGGAAGTTTCGTCTTTCAACTTATGGTTTGTTTTGGATTAGACATGCCATCATACGGTCAATGACAACTTCAAACTTCACTCGCGTCCCATTTGGACTTGAATCGGTATGTTACCCTCTTTGGCTCTTTATTCAGAAATAGATTGTTTTGCTGAGACCTTACGCATTTTCTCTTTGTTGAAACCATTCAGGTTAGAGTGGAGATTTTCAAAACAAAGACTGAGCTATTGTTTGAGCTGGGAAGACTTCCAACCGAGGACGAGGTAGTTGAGAGACTCAAGATAACACCTGAGAGATACCGTGAAGTATTGAGGGCTGCAAAACCGGTTTTGTCACTAAATTCAAAACATTCGGTTACTCAAGAAGAATTCATCAACGGAATCACAGATGTTGACGGTGTTGGAGCTAATAACAGCAGACAGCCTGCTCTTCTCAGGCTCGCTCTCGACGACGTGGTGAGTTTCAATTCTCCATCTTACTCATGTTAGTTAATTAGCTCATCTTTATCAGTTTTGGCTTCTTGTCTATATGAATACCGAAAACTGATTACATTTCATTCTCAGCTCGATTCATTGAAGCCGAAAGAGAGTCTGGTTATTCGACAGAGGTACGGTCTTGATGGGAAAGGCGACAGGACGCTAGGAGAGATAGCTGGAAATCTCAACATCTCTAGAGAAATGGTTAGGAAACATGAAGTCAAGGCCTTGATGAAGCTTAAACATCAGGCCCGAGTTGATTACCTTCGTCAATACATCGTCTGAAACCGAACCAAACCGCACCGAGCCAAATTGAGCCGCCTCACTCAACCATTTGTGCATACTTGGTATGATTTCCCGACTTTACGAGATACTTCAAACCCTCTTATAACCGTTGTATAGTTGTGTATGTAATATCAGAGTTACTTATAGCTGCGTTAAATCGATCAGTGAATCAAAATCGTTGTATTATATCATTTGTATACTCATACTGAAAAGTTATACATGTAATTATGTAAAGTTTGAGACATTGTATGCTTTATTTTCACAAAATTGAACCGGTTGATTCCTAAGAAAACGGAATCATAGACCGGAACATTGAACCGGTGTGAAATAAAGATACAATTCAACTACTTTTCAGTCCGGTTAGATTGAACTTTGATTAGCTTAAAACCGGTTTAGAGCGGTGCTAAAGATTCTTTAGAAGAGTTAACAATAATGTTAAACCGTTGATTATTGGCTTCTTGAAGTCTATTACACGGCAACGAACAAACTTTTTGGTCTTTGCCATTAATGTCTAATCATAATATTTCTGCCGTATTCTATAGATTGGTTTGTATAATCTATAGTTCCCACTTCTAATTATATATCTTTATATAAAGTTGAATTATCCGAGTCATGGTGAATATTGAAGAAAACTTATATATTAAATGTGAAATGTGCCTAAAAATCAATTTAATATTTAGGTTTGTCCATTTAACACGGAATTTTTGATACAAAGAATTTTCAGTGGCTGACACTAGAGAATGGTCAAGCCATTATCATCACAAAACCTTAGTCACACTTCCAATTTTCATTCTAATGACTGTGATGTCATTGGGTCGTCATAACATGTTAATGTGGTATCTTTTTTTCTTTATGTTAGCGTTTGTATTTAGTGTGTGGTAGCGTTTGTGTTTTTAGTATTAACGTTTGTGTTTGTGTTTAATTTTTTGTTTCTTTTAAGTTAGATATTAGCGTTTGTGACAAACCTCAAACGTTTTTGTTTGAAGTTTTGCATTTGCATTTAGAGTAGAAGCAGTGCAAAAGAATAGGCATAAGTGTTTAGGCCCAAGGCAAGGCCATATCTAAATATATTTTCATACGAAAAGGTCTATATACCTAAATTTTGTTTTGAATAAGACCAAAAAAATTGAAATTTATTTTCATATTTTCTCTAAAAATATATTAATTTTTATACAAAATGGCAAATAAATTTATTTTCCCTGGAATTTCTATGTACGTTAGATTGTCCCTAGTTTATTAGAGTTTGCGTTTGGATTAGCATTTCTGCTGGATTTATTTTGCATATTTTAAGAGTTTAAAATTTGAATCTATTTTTAAGATTTATTATGTATGAATTTTATTATTTATGAATTATGATATTTCATATATTATCCTATATTTCTAATGTATATTGTTTAATCTCATAAATATTTAAACCGCCTGATATCGTCTAAACTTCGATTATATGTTATAGATATACTAGGCGATGAATTGTCACTCGTTTATTGTGTAGCGTTTTCTTAAACACTTTAGAGAAATTCTAGAAATTGGATCTTATATTGAATTTGGTTCCATTAAAGATAATTAGTTAATTACATCATCTATCTACGATTAAACTTGATCCAAAACAAAATGAATATTCCAACATAGTGACCAATATATTTGATATTTCTCTTGGAATTTCTAAACTCAATATTATAATTTATAGCAAAATTAAAATTTACAATAGAAAATCATATTTCTTAATAATAATGAAAGTTATTCACAAATTAATTTTACGAAAAGAATTACATGAATGTGACCCCAATATAAAAACAAAACCAGATCATGTAAAATCAAACTTCAAAAAATGAGATCTAATAAACCAAAAATAAAGGATCGAGAAGCAAAGAACTGGTCAGCATGTTGGACTTTCCAAATTCATTGACCAAAGACCGGTCTCACTTCTCCAATCCACATCAGCTTTCTTCGTTCTTCAGTCAAAAAGTCAAACTATCTCTCTCACACATAATCCTCTTTAAATTCTCCTCTTTCTCAGTTTCCAGAAGCCATGCAAAACTAAACATAGTAACAATACTTTAAACTATTTTACACCACTTTAATCTTATCTATTTGAAGGTAATGGAGAAGAACCATAGTAGTGGAGAGTGGGAGAAGATGAAGAAGGAGATCAACGAGCTAATGACTGAAGGAAGAGACTATGCACACCAGTTTGGATCGGCTTCATCTCAAGAAACACGTGAACATTTGGCCAAGAAGATTCTTGAATCTTACCACAAGTCTCTCACCATCATGAACTACTCCGGCGAACTCGACCAAGTTTCTCATGGTGGAGGAAGCCCCAAGAGCGACGATTCCGATCAAGAACCACTTCATGTCATCAAGAGGTACCTCCATATCTATAAACTGTCATAACGTATTTTTGCTTTGTTTTGTATAAACTCATAATTATTTGAAAATGTAATATAGTTCAAAGAAGTCAATGCCAAGGTGGACTTCAAAAGTGAGAATTGCCCCTGGAACTGGTATTGATAGAACACTTGACGATGGATTTTGTTGGAGAAAGTACGGCCAGAAAGATATCCTCGGAGCCAAATTTCCAAGGTTAGTCTCGTCATTTAAACTAAAAAATAACTAATTAGGAAAAGAAGAATTTTCTAATTTTAGCCCTTCACTGAAAATGTGACAGACACATATATAGTCCTCTGTTTTATGACTTAATGTAGAATTTTGTACTTTTAAATGTAGAATTTTAACTATCATTCTAGTTTATTAATTTAAAAGATAAAAGCATAGTGTATATTAATATGAGATGTAATATAAATTTTATAGTTTTTAATATGTAATAATAATTCTTAATGATATACGAGAAAAGAAAGTTCAACTAATGTTTTTTTTTTGTTTTTGGGTACAGAGGATACTATAGATGCACATATAGAAAGTCTCAAGGATGTGAAGCCACTAGACAAGTCCAAAGATCTGACGAAAATCAGATGCTCATTGAGATCAGTTACCGAGGAATACATTCTTGCTCTCAAGCTGCAAATGTCGGTACAACCATGCCGATACAAAACCTCGAACCGAACCAGTCGCAAGAACACGAAAATCATGACATTGTGAAGGAAAGTCTAGGAAACTACAATCATCAAGCACATTTGCATGACAATTTTCACTATCCATTGTCCTCTACCCCAAATCTAGAGCATAACAATGCGTATATGCTTCAACTGAGAGATCACAACACTGAGTTTTTCGGATCTACGAGTTTCTCTAGTGATCTAGGAACTAATATCAACTACAATTTTCCGGCATCTGGCTCGGCTTCTCACTCAGCATCAAACTCTCCGTCCACCGTTCCTTTGGAATCCCCATTTGAAAGCTATGATCCAAATCATCCATATGGAGGGTTTGGAGGGTTCTATTCTTAGGTATCCACTTAAGGGAGGGCCGGAACTTTTACATGATCTCTTGATTAAAGAGAGAGATAGTTTTTCATAATAGCTAATCAATTTCCAATTCAAATATCCTAATTAATTACTTTTTTACTCATTTTTATCAATATTGCATATTAAATAAGGCTTATTATATTTTCAGGTCTATGTTGAAATAAATGGATTTGTACTCGTACGTATGATCCTTGTTATCTAGCTTATAGTCCATGGTTTTTACTTTTTACCATGTGTTGTTGTAACACATTTGGATCTTTATATTGCAAATTTGAGTCTTTTTTTAGCTATACTATTAATCGATCGGCCTATGTTAAAGATTGATTTTCACTGAGCGGTTCCGTATAGTTACGAATTTTACAATGGTATTTTTATAGTTTGAGGTTTTGTTTAAAAATTTCAGTTATAAAATAACAAAAAAAAATGTCATTTAAGATAATGAATATGTGAAGAAGAAAGATGTAATAAGGAAATGTAAATCGATGAAATATATTTCCAACAGTTGAACGCACATCGACTTATACAAATGAAATGACCTTCAAAAATGTATCCTCCAAAAATTAGAAAACCTCTTTAATTTTCTCTACCACACATACAAACTTTTCTGGTCTCTATTTAGTTATAATCAAAATGCAAAAATATAATTAAACTAAATAGAGACCAAACTTAAATTGACAAAAGGATCAATGGATGAGATATGTGAGGACCAAAGCCACCAACATAAGGACATATGCTATGCCTTGGTCTATCGTTGTTCCTGCAATATTTTGTTCCAAAATTAACCATCCGAACAAATATAAAATAATTGCATTATCCATAAAGAATTAGCAATTTTACGTTACAGCTTCATGGTTGCTTGATTTAACTTTTCCAGTTAACTAGAGAAATCCGAATTATTATGGACATGGCATTGTTTTATCTTAAGCATTAGAAAGTAGAACTACATATCATTGGTTAAGAGATAACTAATTACCTACTCTCTTTTTTTCTTACGACAAAAGGCATAGATTAATTAGATAATTTTGTGAACATGCATGTATTGAGAACTTTAATATATTCACACATCTAACAAATTTCAAGAAACCTATGTAGTTAAGTAACCATTGATTATAATTATATAAACTCACCGTCACTTGTTGGAGCCGGAGCAGGAGCCACAGATTGAGCCTGTGCCATCGGCAACAAAATGGCGAAAATTATCGATACAATTGTAGAAACTCCGAAGAAAAGCCTTGAGCTCGACATTTCAATTATTTTTCCTCCCTCTTTAGTTTTTAATTCTTTTGTTAAAGCTCTTCCCTCTCTTAACTCCTTAATTTCTTGGAGAAGGATTTTAGAGAGGGAAGAACAAAGAGAGAGAGGAAAATGAAAAGAAGAAATCAAAAGAAAAAGCTAGGCAGAGCGATAGATGAGGTAATGAGAATTATGAGAGATTCTTTTGGCATTTTATTGAACAATTATTTTCTACTTTATGGTCGACCCGCATCTCTCGGAACAACTCATTTTAGCCCCACAATAATTGATGCTTTTGGAAATGGGAAATTGAAACTTGTGAATGTGAAAAAACTGCTATAGTTTCAAATACGTTTTTAAGTATAATTGAATTGATCCCGTACTCACAAATTGTGGTTGGTCCGTCCAAAAGAGAGGTTATTAGGCTGTTTTCTAGCTTCTTGTGTCTAGCTTGGACACATACAATATTCCCCCTATTATTGCCATTAATCCAAACTCTCATTTCATTTTTGTTTTTAGTAGTTCCCTTTTTTAAGTGTATACTAATTTTAATTGTGCCATGTAAATTCGTAATTGATATTAAAGTATGAGTACTATTTTACCTCCATAATTTTAGATTTTGTTTTTATGTGTGGTCAAAATCCATAATATAGTTGTTGTTTTAATAAAGGAAAAATTCCATAATGATACTCTTAACAATTTTTAGATTTCCATAATAACAAACGAACTTTTTTCTTATCTAGAAAAAATTTATATAATACATGAACTATTTCTTAATCATTTTAATACTTAAAGCCTTAACAATGCATCCATTTTAGGACATCTCATAAAATCCAAATTTCAACAAAGCATTTCAATAGAATTTCTTCTTTGAACATTATAAAAGATAAAATCCAAATTTAAACAAAACATTTCAAAATCCACACATATATCCTTAAGAATAGTATCAAAGTTTAAATATCCAAGATTACAAAACTTATGGAATTAAATTATTGATGGAGTAAGTTCTCCTATGCTTCATCTAAATGCTAAACACCGTTTTAATATTAAATTATCTAAATGTAAAGAAGCATCGCTAAAATTTGATATATCTGCCACTGATGATACATTTTAAATCATAATGCCAAAACCCGTAAAATAAAAATTCTAGAATGTATTAATCAGTCCCTCTCAATCTCCTCCAAAGTCTCAATCACTTTCACCATCTCTGGTCTCTTCGCAGGAACCCTAGCCGCACAACTTGTCCCTAACTGCAACATCTGAAGCAACTTTGATTCAACGTTAGGAGTCTTGACAAGCTCCATATCAAACACTTCACCTGTCCATTGTTTTGCAATAACTTCATTCACCCATACCACCAGATCTATCCCTTCCTTTCTATCATCCATACTCGATCTTCCGGTTAGAGTCTCCAACATCAAGATTCCAAAACTGTATACGTCTGATTCCGGTGTAGATCTCCTTGTGTCGGTTACTTCTGAGGCACGGTAACGTAGTATTGATCTGGCTGATGAATCTGCTCTCACAACCGGGTTTGTTAACAGAGGTAAACCGGCTTCCGATATACATCCATATCCTTCCGAGTTCATGAAGACGTTAGAAGATTTGATGTTTCCATGTGCGAGCTTCTGTGTGTGTAAGTGACCTAATCCTTTTGCTACTCCGATCATGAATCTCAATCGCGTTTCCCAGTTCAACGGGACATGGCCCTCGTCGGTGTTCTTGCCTGCCCGAAAAAGAAAAAAAAAAACTTTCTTCAGATGCAAGAAACTAACATTATCAAATAAGGTTTCAATTTTATGTTTGCGTTTACCATTTGCGTTTGCAAGAATAAACTGAAAATTGTGGAACGTACCATGGAGACGAAGAGAAAGACTGCCATCAGAGTAGTAATCATACACCATAAGCTTCTCTTCCTTGGAACACACGTAAGCCCTTAAGGGAGCAACGTTCTCGTGCTTAATGTTTCCTACAATCTCCATTTGTTGTTTAAAATCCTTCCTGGATACCACTATGTCCTTCAACCGCTTAACCGCGATGACCTTGGAATCTTCTAGAACCGCCTTATACGTCATCCCGAAAGTGCCCTTCCCTAGAAACTCTGCAGAAGCTATCAACAAGTCTTCCAAGTTAAAAGCTAGATTGCTTCCTTCAAAGAACATAACTTTGTTAATTTCGCTCTTATCCTCCATATCTTCTATATTCTTCTCTTTTCCTAATTTAGAAACTTCCTTCTCACTTGGCATCTTTTGAGCTGGTTTCAACTTCTCTGGTTTTGGTTCTGTCTCTGTCTCTGTCTTTTGCTTCTTCTGCCTTTTAACATAGCAAACGATTATCAGAACCGCGATTACAAAGAATATCACGAAGCAAACGCTAATCGCTATCCCGAGAATTGCGGGTTCAGAGATATAGATCCCGTTTTTCTTTTTCTCTTTGGGTGAAACCGCCGGAGGAGGGGCATTTTCGTAAACTAAGTTGTTGCCGGAAAAAGCCGAGTTCCCGAATCTTTTCAGAGAATTTGGGATTGATCCGGTGAGATTGTTGTTGGAAAAGTTAAGTCTGCGTAGACCGGGGAGATTTAGATCCGGAATCTCACCGGAAAATGAGTTTTTAGCTAGGTTAAGCGAGACGAGTCCGGTAAGATTAGCAAATCCCACAGGAATACTACCGTTAAACCGGTTACCGGACAGATCAAGAACGGTGAGATTCGTCCACGTGGCGTAATCGGACGGTAATGGCCCAGAAAATCGGTTGTTGCTGAGACTAATTGCTTTGAGTTTCTTCAGCTGCAAGAAATCAATCGGGAACGGGCCTCGTAGGCCGTTGGATCGAAGACTGAGGATCTGAAGCTCTGATAGACGGCTGATAGTTCGAGGCGGGATCACTCCTAAAAGACTCGCTCCGGGCAAGTGAAGGGCAGTGACACGTGTGCCGTCTCTGTCGCATGTGACCCCTGGCCACGTGGTGCATACCGGACTGCTTGCGTTCCACGCTAGAGACCGTGGGTGAATGATGTTGTTGAGGAAGTCAAGAAGGGCTTGTCTGTCGCCGGCTAGGTCACCGGTGACCGGAGAAAACAGAGCAGTTGATCCAAAGAAGAGAAGTAAAACAACATTGAAGATGGAAAATCTTCTACTCATCTTCTTAATAATTTCTCTGGTTATGTGATGGAGACTTTTATATCTGCATTAGATAATATTATTTGATGAGAAAATGTAGATTTTAACGATTTTCATCATTTTGTATATAATTTTATGTTATCTTGTCAAATCAAGTCTATACACTCGGCCTAACATGGTTCCACACAAAGAATAAACTACACTTATTCATGGCTAAAATGACATTTGAATAGAAATATTCCAAAAGTTTAACTTATATATCAAATGTATAAGCCAAACGGATTCTTCAAACGTGATTGCAAAGAAAGTGAAGATAAAGAACAACTTACAGTTCAAATGCGGAATCTCATCAAGTACTGGCTGAGACTTTAGTTTGAATTGGGAAGAGAGAATGTAAGAGATAGTTATGAGAATTTAGAAAGCAGAGAAGAGAGAAAGAACAAAGAAGTTCGGTCTGCAAAAACTATAGGCAATGGAAGCCATCAAAGATAAATATGGTTTAGGAAAGTCAAACCGATACACAAATGATTTGGTTAATCACATACGGCAATACACAAACGCTAATAAATGTTTAGTTTGGGCACATTTCCGGTTCAAGGAGCTTCAGTGTTTTAGATTAAAGATATGGAAGTTGGTTTAATAAAAGTACAATTAGTTGGGGCGTGATGGTGACAAATATTGATTGTTATAACTTAGAAACCATTTAAGGGAATATGAGCTGTTAATTTATTTTTCTTTGATTTTTAATTAACATAAAACCCCTCAGATTTTTTGTTTCTCAACTTTTCCCACCAAAACTAATTTGTACCCTAAACAATATACGTAGTTTGAGTTCTGCATGCATTACATAATTAGCAATGTTTCATAGATATCATTTTTCGAAAACATTGTGTGTTAATAGAGGTTTTAGAAGATAAAATATTCGATTTTTTCATATGTCCAAATTTCTAAAATAGCTTTGTTTCTGTTAACAAGATATATTATGTGCATGAGTTGAATTCATGTATAACTCAAGAGTCAAGGACAATTTGAACTCTTTATCAAAAAAAGAGAACAACAATTTTAACATAAACCACTAGGCTATATGTCTTAACCCTAAAATTGCAATGCTTCTCCAACCTAAAATTAGGGGGTGGGGAGTAGAAAACTTTCTAAGGTAAAGGACCTTTTATGCTATATGAGACTATATATGAGTATCTTTAAAGTGTATATACGGTACGCACATGCAACTGCATGAATAATTTGTATATCAAGTGATTACTATAACATATTAATAAATTAAAATCATATCTTATGTGTGTTTGGCAATGTAACTTCACATGATCGACGAGCATCACAATCATTGACGTAAAGTTTTTGCCTTGATTAATAGTTGTTGATATATTTTACTAATTTATGTTGTTTGTTATGCATATATTATTGTAGCTGCATGTGCGGCCAAGGAACGATGACGAACCATGATAAATGGGAAAATGGTTTTTTGCAGCTTAATTTATTGTCTCCATTACCAACAAATTTATAGCTTTTTCTATTCCCAATTGCTTAACATAGCCGTCTCACACAATTAGAGAAAGCGAAATCATTAATTATCCCAATACAACAATGAATTATCAAACGCCTAAGGGAAAGTGACAAGAGTTGTTGCTACTTCTAAAGCCAGCCTCTAGGCAAAGTCAATGTTATTCACTGTAGAAAATGGGCCATTCCGGCCTAAATATTTATCAACGTTTGGGTTACGAATTTTTGCCCTGAACTTATATGGATCAACAATCTCCCCGAATATATGTATCAATTTTTCTTTTTGTTTTAGTGGGTTTAATCAACAAAAATATTCTACATTCCACCAAAACACTATGATCCGCAATTTTCGATAATATGTGGGGATTTGGATTAATCATGTGGAATTTTCTGATTAATTATATGTATCTTTCCGGTAACAAATGATGTAATTTAGGACTACTAATTTGTGTTTATGATTATTTTATATTATCCATACATTATACAAGTCAAGGTAAGATACTATTGTACATTTGTACCTAGGTTAGGGTAATTGGATAATTTGCTTACAAAACTTTGACTGGTGTTTGTTTTAGCAGAATGATAATCAGATTAATAGATAACTTTTTATTTTGTATACATAATTTATATCTCAAAATAAAAACAATACTCTGTATACAACTTTAAACTATTTAGGCATGTGCATTTTCAATTGGTCATCCGACTTTCTACGTTTGCCCAATCTGTATCTAACTTTCATTAGGTATTTGGTAGCTAAAGTTTTCACTGGGTATAGTCGTATCGATATGGATCGGCTGTTGGTACGAATACGTACAAAATTAGTTGTTTGATAGTTATCAACTATATAGTTATTCTTTTACCAAAAAAAAAAAAAAACTATATAGTTATTCTTTATCAAAAAAAAAAAACTATATAGTAATTCAAAATTATCTAAAAATACTCAAAATTACTCAAATTTTACCTAAACAATAAATTACTAGAAATACTTGAATATGATTCCGATGAAAATTTTGACGACATATTATCTACCTAAATTACATACATCATAGACTTGAATTACTTACATGCATATTTAAAAATATGTAGTATTTATATTTCCTAATTTTCGTATATATTTGTTGGATATTACATAAATAAATGGAGAGGCCTAATAAAATATACTCGGAGTATATCATTTGACTTTGAAAGTTTATCGAGTCAAATCAACGATTGTATTTTTGATGAAATTAATTATTATGAACACTTTTGAAAGTATTAAATGATTTTAATTTCAAAAATTAGTAAATGCGTAGGTCATCCATTGATTGGAAGAGAGCATAAGACCTTTTCAAAGCTAGTTGATAGAAATACTTCTCGGTCTTATCTCTAATCTTACAAAGAAATTATAAATACTTTTAGTGGGTTTAGTTGACAATAAAATTTACCATAGATATGTAATAGACAAAATATGATAATACCATAATTATGGTTCAACTACAATTTCGATTTCTAATTTGAATAATGCAAATTTAGATCAAAATAGTTTCAACTCTATAGATAAATTGAAATGCGCCAAATGGCACGTAAACCAGCAAGAGGACAAAGTCAACACCACAAAAGACGACAACGAGCACAATGTGAGGTTCATGATCTATACCCTCCGCGACTGCTATTACTAATTTGATCGCAAGTTTTTTTGTTTTTAATTTATTTTTCTTTATTTCCTTAGACAATTACAGTTAGTGGTCAGAGATTCTAGATGGCTTTTTAATGTTTGAAATTGATATCTAGTTTAAGTCGCAAAGCGGTATAATTGGACGAAAGCAAAAACAACCAATGAAAGTCATGTAATGTGTGTGAGAGACATTATAACATACATAGATAAGATATAAAAATTAAAGCAAACAAAAGTCATCTTTTACTTTGGGGACATAAGTCTTTTATAATAAAAAGAAGTTAAGCAATAACAAACAAACACATAACCACAAAGAAGACAAAAAACATGACTAACATTAATCTTATCACGCATGTTATATACTTTTTCTTCTTCATAAGCTGCTTTCTTACCAAACCATCCGATGCATCTAGAGGTGGCATAGCCATCTATTGGGGCCAAAACGGCAACGAAGGTAATCTCTCGGCCACGTGTGCGACCGGCCGGTATGCTTACGTCAACGTCGCCTTTCTTGTGAAATTCGGAAATGGTCAAACACCGGAGCTCAACCTTGCCGGCCACTGCAACCCTGCGGCCAACACTTGCACCCATTTTGGCTCTCAGGTCAAAGATTGTCAGTCTCGTGGCATCAAGGTTGGTTCATTCACATATCCTTTAGGTCTAGATGATTTTTTATCGTGATAGAAAATAAATAAATTTTGTTTCTCAAGTTTTGATTCTATAAATTAATTAACTAATTTGAAATCACATTTATTTTGATACTTATGTCCAAATTGTTTTAAGGTTATGTTGTCTCTCGGCGGCGGGATCGGAAACTACTCGATTGGGTCCAGGGAGGACGCAAAAGTTGTCGCTGATTACCTGTGGAATAACTTCTTGGGAGGAAATTCATCATCACGTCCCTTAGGTGATGCTGTTCTTGATGGTATCGATTTCAATATCGAGCTTGGCTCTCCTCAACACTGGGATGATCTCGCCAGGTAGTAAAATTAAGGAAACATTTTGAATAAATGTTTTATGACAAATATTATCGTGATTGAAAAAGACTATTTATCAAAAGAAGATGTCAAACACCAACAACGAATGGTGACTAAATTAACTATTTTAGTTGCGGTGCAAAAAGATAACAGGACTCGAACTCTTGGTAACTATATATAAAAGTTTTATTTGGGACGGTAAAGATATGATATATAGGTGTTTAAATTCCTTCTTTTTGTTGACTTTTTTTTTTTGTGAAAATAACAAACTAAACTTTTTAAAAAAATTTATGTGGATAGGTCTCTCTCAAAGTTTAGCCACAGAGGAAGAAAAGTATATCTAACAGGAGCTCCTCAATGTCCATTTCCAGACAGATTAATGGGAAGTGCTTTCAACACTAGACATTTTGACTATGTTTGGATTCAATTCTACAATAATCCACCATGTTCATACAATTCAGGTAATACTCAAAACCTCTTCGATTCGTGGAACAAGTGGACCACTTCAATCACAGCCCAGAAAATCTTCTTGGGTCTGCCGGCAGCTCCCGAAGCTTCCGGAAGTGGCTATATTCCGCCAGATGTACTGACTTCACAGATACTTCCGACTTTAAAGAAGTCTAAGAAATATGGAGGTGTAATGCTTTGGTCTAAATTTTGGGATGATAAAAATGGATACAGTTCATCTATATTGGCTAGTGTGTGAAAAGAATCGTAATGACCATTGTATGCATATCATATCTCTCGTGTTTGTTTTTTGAAGAATTGTTGTTGTGTGTGTGGTGTTAGTATTCTAGTTTAAATTGTTTGTATTTATAAATATACTTAATCAACCTTCATTAATGAAATTAAGGATTTGCTTTTAGTATGCACGGATACAGCAGTAGCTGCATGAAATATCTTTTTAGAGGTACGATGTCTACTTTGGAAATATAATTGAAACTGAAAATTCTTAGAAGCGCAAAGAAACGACACGAATCACAATTCCGAAAAGAAAAAGAGAAAAGGGAAACTTATGTTTTCTATGAGAAAAAAACAATATCTCACATTGGAACGATGGACGAGTCTTGACTAATATACGAAAATAAGTTTTTGATATGCTTTTAAAATAGAAATATTGAAAATAATAATATCCCACATCTTCCATCATAGCTGGAGTTTTGATACTATTAAAAAAGATTTAACAAAAAACAAAAAGGAACAAAACAGGTGCCGCCATATCCAATATCCAACATTGTCAATTACTCAGAGCCGACCATTTACGAAACGAAGACCTTTTGTCAAAATTTAGTTCAACCACAAAGACACGTGCCACAATCTCAGTCTTCAGAGTTCTCCCACCGAACTCTCTCTCTAAATGCGTTCAAATTATAAGTGAGTGATATATAAAGAATACTAAAGCATATGGTATAACGATTTTTTAGCCTCATTCTCTTTTGTTACAAGATTCTTGCTATGTCTTCATTTCATTTTTATTTTCCTTCTTATAGTCTCTTCTTCTCATTCTTATGCTTCTTCTTAGTTAGCTCCGTAGTTCAAGTTGGCTTGGCCACTGAATCACACATTGGTTTGGGTTCAAAGTTAAAAGCTAGTGAACCGAACCGGGCATGGGTTTCCTCCAACGGCTCTTTTGCAATCGGGTTTACTCGGTCTAAGCCAACCGACCGGTTCTTACTAAGCATTTGGTTCGCACAACTTCCTGGTGATCCAACCATCGTCTGGTCTCCCAACAGGTACACATAATCCTTAAAATTTTAGTTATTACAATAATCTATATTAGTAGTATATATAGAAATTTGATTTTTAAGCTAATAATTTCTTTTCATATAATCAGAAATTTTCACATTATTTTCACTTAAATATCCAAATATCTAAAATATAGAAACTCCCCAGTCACAAAAGAAGCCGTGTTGGAGCTAGAAGCCACCGGGAACCTAGTACTCTCCGACAAAAACACTGTCGTCTGGACCTCAAACACCTCAAACCATGGTGTTGAAGCAGCGGTTATGTCTGAATCCGGAAACTTCCTTCTCCTTGGAACCGAAGTTACCACCGGTCCGGCCATTTGGCAGAGCTTTTCGCAACCTTCCGACAGTCTCCTCCCAAACCAACCTTTAACCGTCTCCTTAGAACTAACTTCTAACCCTTCACCGTCGCGACACGGCCATTACTCCCTGAAAATGCTGCAGCAACACACTTCGCTTAGCCTCGGCCTAACCTACAACATCAATCTTGACCCTCATGCAAACTACTCCTACTGGTCAGGACCAGAGATTTCAAATGTCACCGGAGATGTTACCGCAGTTCTTGACGATACCGGAAGCTTCAAGATCGTTTATGGAGAATCCTCAACAGGAGCAGTGTACGTCTACAAGAACCCAGTAGATGATAACCGGAACTACAACAACAGTAGTAATTTTCGGTTATCAAAAAATCCGGTTCTACGGAGATTGGTATTAGAGAACAACGGTAATCTCCGGTTGTATCGATGGGACAACGACATGAACGGTTCAAGCCAATGGGTCCCTGAATGGGCAGCTGTTTCAAACCCGTGTGACATAGCTGGAATTTGCGGTAACGGAGTCTGCAGTTTGGACAGAACCAAGAAAAACGCCGACTGTTTATGTTTGCCCGGTTCGGTTAAGCTTCCTGATCAAGAAAACGCTAAACTCTGTTCAGATAACTCATCTTTGGTCCAAGAATGTGAGAGTAACATCAATCGTAATGGCACCTTCAAGATCTCGACGGTCCAAGAGACCAACTATTATTTCTCAGAACGTTCTGTCATCGAGAATATCAGCGATATGAGCGTGAGGAGATGCGGTGAGATGTGTTTGTCGGATTGCAAGTGTGTGGCTTCAGTTTACGGTTTAGATGAAGAGACGCCTTATTGTTGGATTCTAAAGAGTCTGAATTTTGGCGGGTTTCGAGATCCTGGCTCGACCCTTTTCGTGAAGACTAGAGCTAATGAATCTTATCCCTCAAACTCGAATAATAATGATTCTAAATCGCGTAAGAGCCACGGATTAAGACAAAAGGTTCTGGTTATTCCTATAGTTATGGGAATGCTTGTGCTTGTGGCACTACTTGGGATGTTGTTATACTATAATGTAGATAGGAAGAGAACACTAAAGAGAGCTGCAAAGAACTCGCTTATCCTTTGTGACTCTCCTGTGAGTTTCACTTACCGCGATCTCCAGAACTGTACCAACAACTTTTCACAACTTCTTGGATCAGGTCAGAATCAAGAATCTTCATGTGTGGATTATTTAACAAGTTTTAATTTAGAAATGTTTAAAATCTTATTCTCTTTGTTTTATGATGTGTTAGGTGGATTTGGGACAGTATACAAAGGAACAGTAGCTGGTGAAACGCTAGTCGCGGTGAAGAGATTAGACAGAGCATTATCTCATGGCGAGAGAGAGTTCATCACTGAAGTCAATACCATTGGTTCAATGCATCACATGAACCTCGTTCGCTTGTGCGGTTATTGCTCGGAAGACTCACACCGGTAAGACTTAGAAGACTATTACAAAAAAATTTACTCTGTTTTCAAGAAAATAGATTTGAAGAAAATATGTTTTTTTGGTGACATGACAGGCTTCTAGTTTATGAGTACATGATAAATGGGTCGTTAGACAAATGGATATTCTCTTCAGAACAGACAGCCAATCTACTTGATTGGCGAACACGTTTTGCGATAGCGGTTGCAACTGCGCAGGGGATCGCGTATTTTCATGAGCAATGTCGAAACAGGATTATTCATTGCGACATTAAACCTGAAAACATCTTGTTGGATGAGAATTTTTGTCCCAAGGTATCAGATTTTGGGCTGGCCAAGATGATGGGGAGAGAGCATTCACATGTGGTTACGATGATTAGAGGGACAAGAGGGTATCTAGCGCCGGAATGGGTGAGTAACCGCCCGATCACGGTGAAGGCCGATGTGTATAGTTATGGAATGCTTCTTCTTGAGATCGTTGGTGGTAGGAGAAATCTTGATATGTCCTTTGGTACTGATGATTTCTTTTACCCTGGATGGGCCTACAAGGTATACTAAGAAATGATTCAAATAGTTATAAACATAAAGATATTTAAACTATGAAAACTTATCAGCGCCTAATGATTTTTTGAAAATTAATGTATAGGAACTAACGAATGGGACAGCTTTGAAAGCTGTGGATAAGAGGCTACAAGGAGTAGCAGAGGAAGAAGAAGTAGTGAAAGCTCTTAAAGTGGCTTTCTGGTGCATACAAGACGAAGTATCGTTGAGGCCTTCGATGGGTGAGGTGGTGAAGCTTTTAGAAGGTTCTTCGGACGAGATAAATCTGCCACCGATGCCGCAGACGATTCTAGAACTTATAGAGGAAGGATTGGAGGATGTGTATAGAGCGATGAGGAGAGAGTTCAATAATCAGCTTAGCTCTTTGACTGTTAATACCATCACAACCTCTCAGAGTTATCGTTCCTCCTCTCGGTCTCATGCTACTTGTAGTTATTCTTCAATGTCTCCTAGGTAGTTTTGTTTTCTTTTTTTGCATCATTTCTCTATTTCTTGGACTAAGAAAAAATATGATATTTATTGGAAATAACTTAAGAAACAAAGATGTATATCTTGCGGACCAATAACAATAAACCGTAAAAACTCTTTAACACCGGTGAAGTCAGAATGGAATATCTGTAGCTCCCTAATATTATTCCATAAGATTAATCAAAATTTACTCTCTTGATCAGCATTTTGTGTTTTAATTGATGAAAATATATTGATGGTATGATAGAGTGCTAGTCAGGTGGAAATTAAAAAATGTTTTTTGACCCTCTAATGTATTATATACTCAAATACTTGTAGGTAATATTTTCCTATATAGCAAGCACCTGACCAGACCGACCCTGATATATTTGAACCATCCACCTTTTTATTAAGGATGTCGAAGTCTCTTACTACTACAAAACCAAATTAATTTTCATAACAAAAAGTTGTCCCCTACGATTTGAAAAAAATATAAAAAATAAATTAAAGGTTAGAAGCTCATGTTTGATGGACTTCTATTCAAAACCGGCTCTGCACCCAATCATGGATTGGACCAACTTACATTAACTTTATAATATCTTATTGGGTTCACAGAAAAGGTAACAAATGATAAGAAATAGTGTTTGACGGAAAATGGTTAAAAAAATCAGAAGTACCATGCTTAGAGAAGGCAAACGATATAACTCTTATCTTAATCATCGGATCTTGCTCTAGCGGTATCTATCCCGCTAAAAACGGACTTGGGACGGTCAAATCCTATTTCATTTTTAAATCATCAACTTCGATGAGAACGTTTCTAACGTTGACGTCTTGAAAGATAGTACAATAGCCAACACAAAACGAATTTATTTTCATCTCCTATTTACTCTTTAAATTTTGAATTTGTAAAATACTAAATAATACATTTGATTATGAGTATGATTGGAGAAAAAATGAGTATGATTGATAAACAGTGTCGAAATTTTCCTTCACTCTGCATCAATTTTCACTACCACTTTTTCCCAAAGCAATTATGGTAGAGTTGAGTGGTTAAAGATTCTTCCGTGGATCAAGAACATGGTTCAAATCTTTTGTAGGTTTTATTATTATTTAATTTTAAGCTACAAAGTAGTTTTAAACTGGATCATGAATTTTACTATTTATAATCTACATATATTTTGATCGGATCTTCTAGCACAATTTGCAATGCTAACTCTGAAGATCCTTGCACACGGGAGTTTTGACTTCAGTTTTTTCACCAAAGGTGGAGAAAGGTCTAGTAGACCGTTGACCCAGAAAAAAAAAATCTAACGTATTGTCTTATCGAATCACCCAAGACATTTCTAATTTAAGCAAAATTACAAAAATAGTATTGGTAACTCTAAAATTCTTTAGGTCTATTAATACGCCTTCATAAGAAGAGAAAGTGTCAGAAAGGAATAACAACAGAATGTACCCATAATGCATACTAAATCCTAAAAAGTGCCTATGATCTGACTTTCTCAAATAATTTAAAATATTTATATGATAAGACATTCTTGTATTTAGTAAGGAAATACAATTTTTTTTTTGTCTACACCTAACCCACTAATCCTGCCAGTATGAGGTATGAGTTGAACTCCTAAGAACATGATTATTGGTTGGACTCACATTAGGAGTCCAAATCATATATATAATTGTAAATAATACAAAATTTGAAATTTAGACACTTTGAGTCCAAATCAACCAATTGAAGACACTTCTAGGTGTCTAAATGACTTCTAAAAGTCTAACTGTAGACGTGAGTCCAATGTTTTATTTTGTTTTTGATTTAAATTTTAGACATTTTTGCTTTAGATCTATAGACATTTTTGCTTTAGATCTCATAAGGTAAGAAACTAGCAATATGTGGACTTTGCCACTAGACTATAAACCTTTCTCATTGAAAGAGCTTTAAAACATTTTCTTTTATATCTTAGATAATTTTTTTTTTTTTTTAACTAGGGTTTTTAGAACAAATTATGTAGGATATGTATAGTTCCTGAACAACTCACTAGATTTCTAAATAGATCTGTGATATCATTTCGAGTGAAAAAGTGAATTTTTTTCTAATGGATACTGAATTTAGAGGAAGCGAATATATATATTGTCACGTAATTTCTATCACTAGGTCAATACTAATTGTAGTGTGTTTTCTACTATATTTTTTCTTTTTTATACATATTTTTATTTCAAATGGACGTAATTAACTAACTAATACGGTAAGCCAAATAAAAAGGCAGACTGTAGAAAACAAAGTTTGAGGCAAAATTGAAAAGAAAGAAAAAGAGTGAGAGATGGATTTATTTAATGCACAAGTTAGTAAGTGAGCTTTTAATATTTTAACCCTTGTTGATATGAAAGTTGGAATAAATAAACCATGTTGACATAGAAAATTCAACAAAAGTAACATAGTTGGATTATAAAGTAACCATTTACACAAATTCCTTAGAAATGAAATACTAAGTTTTCGATTAATTGACGCTTATATAAGAAAGGACAAGTTTTCAGCAATGCGTTGGCGTAGGATTGTTATTCAGTCCTTACTCTTACAGCTAGATTTTGCTATCAGGTTTTTGTTTTCTCGTGTAGTGGAATTAGCTTACTTATTCATAGATCCATAACAAGAGCAAGCGAAATGTTTAATTATGAATATTTCTCGCCGACCAGTTTGGCTCACAAGACGTTGATTGCAAATTTTAAAACAAGAGTATAATTAGTAAGCTAATTTTAAATCATAAGTACAAATAAGTATAAATCACAGTTAAAACTACAGTAATAAAAATTTAATTTGAAATTTTCTTGATATAATTAATTTTGAAAAATTAAGAGTGGAATTGTAGACTATGTAAAGAGAAACAACTTTTATGTACGTTTTATAAAATAAAATAAAAAACAACTTTTATGTATGGATTGAGATACACTTTTTTTTTGGGGTATATATGGAGATACACAATGTTATAATATTAAGCTTTATTTATTTATTTCTACATAAACATATTTTTCAACTAAAATTAATATTAGTAGGTACATGAGAAAAAAGTGAAATTACTATGTAAAGGAATTTGAGTCAAACGGGAAAAGAAATAACCAAGTAGGTCATACAAAATAGCAAAAACCAACTAGGGCATACTTTAAATTTCTCAATATGTGTTCTACAATTTACATCAAAATTTTATAGGGGTGTCACCCTCCTTAGTCACTACCTAAGTACCCAAATGACTGCAACATATTTTTAAATATTTAAAAACTACCACAACTACTTTGAGTCAAGTATTTAAGATAGAGAACTTTTATTTTTAACTAATTTTATTTTAATTTTATCAACTATTAACTAATAAGATATATATAACACAAACACATATATTTTTGGTTAAATAACATATAAACTTAGTTCAATATATATGTATTTGAATGTATTGAACTTTATGTCATTTTACTGTAATAATATCTAATTGTAACTGAAGAATATAAAAATATTAATGGGACTCACTTTCTAAAGTGAATCTCTACATACATATTTAGTACTTTTGAAATTATAAGAGGTATTTCATTACAATATTTTAAAGTGTGAACTCAAAATTTGTGGTATACCAATTACCAAGCAACCCACATAATTAGCCGGACAAAATAAAAGGACTAATCAAAATTTCGAACGTGGAACAATATCGTTTCATTTCATGTGAATCCGCGTTTGTCCTACACGCGCTTCCTTGTACTGTACATCAAACCGATCAAAGTCAGAACGTAATAATAGTTTTTTATATCGACATTACCGGTTCACTCACGTGGACTTGCCACCCAAGTCAAACCTTATATATAACTCTCATCATCGAGCACTAATCCATATCTCTTAATTCATTACATTTATTTTCCCCTCTACCTATTTCTTTCTCTTATACAAAAATAATAAGAATCTAGCTACTTTGATCTTTTAATCAAGAAAGCAAAAAAAGAAAACTAGGGTTTTTTTGTGGTGGAAGATTTTTTCGTCTTTTATAAAAATGAGGCAGTTTGTGAAATTTTTCCCACTATTGGCCATCGTAGTCATAAGCTTAGCCGGAACGGCTACAGTGAAGGCTGCGACGGGATTGAACCCTCCGGTGAAGCTGGTTTGGCATTATTACAAAGTTACTAACACTTGTGATGATGCAGAGAGTTATATTAGATACCAAGTTGAAAAGTTTTATAAGAATGATAGTAGCATTGCCCCAAAGCTGCTTCGTCTCCTCTACTCCGATTGTATGGTTAATGTAAGTAAAAACAACTAGAACATTATATTCCTTCATTCTTTTTATGACCTATGTTGTTGATTTATCTAAAATGCATGTGTATGTAGGGATGTGATGCTTCGGTTCTTTTGCAAGGACCAAACTCGGAGAGGACAGCTCCACAGAATCGAGGGCTTGGAGGTTTTGTGATAATCGATAAAATAAAGCAAGTTCTTGAATCATATTGTCCTGGTGTCGTTTCTTGCGCTGATATCCTCAACCTTGCCACTAGAGATGCTGTTCACATGGTACATATATACTTGCATGTTCTTATTAACGTAGATGTATCGATCGATTTTTTGAATTTTATTGAATGGTGTTGTTTTGACGGATTCGATGAAATGATGAATAGGCCGGTGCACCGTCTTATCCTGTGTTTACCGGGAGAAGGGACGGTGGGAGATTAAATGCAGACGCCGTAGATCTTCCATCACCGTCCATCTCAGTCGATGAGTCATTGGCATACTTCAAGTCCAAAGGTCTTGACGTTTTGGATATGACTACTCTTCTAGGTATCTCATTCTCATAGTCTTCTCTTCTTCTTTTTTCTTTTTCTTTTTTCTTTCCTTTAGAGACAAGCATCTTTTTTATCAGTTCTTCAAGGGAAACGTAATCCTAATGCTATTACTAAAACTTAATTTGTTTGTTTACGTTTGTGTTTATATTACTAAAATAACTTTTTGAAAAATAAATCCACATACGTATTTTAATCAAAATCATTAGAAGTTATAAAAGTATACATCAAATGAACTTTTACCGTTACTTTTTGGCCGCTGCGTTGGAATTTGCAAATATATTTTATGAAAATCTGAAAATGTTTAATATTTCTATAACAAAAAAACTGAGATTGTAATTTAATGGTATAGTAGCTTTGTTTAGTTAATATAAACAATTAATTCTCATTATATGCAAAACTTAAATACTACTATAAAGTTTACAAGACAGTTTCACATCCTAGAAGATTATCCACAAGTAATCCAGAAAGAAAGATATAGTAATATATACTTAATTAAAGTGGAGCTAAATAAGTACTATTGGGTGAATATCAACAAGCTCTAACTGTGTAATGGAACAGGAGCACACTCAATGGGGAAGACACATTGCAGCTACATAGTGGACAGACTATATAACTTCAAGAACACAGGGAAACCAGATCCGACCATGAACTCAACATTGGTTTCACAACTTCGATATCTTTGTCCTCCAAGAACACAAAAGGGCCAAACTGATCCATTGGTTTACCTAAACCCAGACTCAGGCTCGAGCAACAGATTCACCAGCTCCTACTACTCTCGTGTCTTGTCTCACAACGCTGTTTTGAGGGTGGACCAAGAATTGCTCAACAACGACGACTCAAAGGAGATCACGCAAGAGTTCGCTTCAGGTTTTGAAGATTTCAGAAAGTCATTTGCTTTGGCAATGTCGAGGATGGGATCTATCAATGTTTTGACGGGAACAGCTGGAGAGATTCGTCGAGACTGCAGAGTTACCAACGCTAATTACGGGGCTTAAACTATATTTATATCTTATCTAATTTATGTGTGTGTGTGTTTTTGTTATAATATAAATATAAATTATTTTGATAAAAATATTATCAATAAGGATGGAAAATAAAAAATATAAATGGCATTCTAGGAGATGGAAAATTTCTGAAGCAACACAAAGACTATTTGACATGTATTATTACGTGTAAAAAACAACGGCGACACTCTTGAATTTTGATTATCATTTATCAACACATCTTTGTGTTCTCTCTCCTTTTTCTCCGATGAAACGAAACCACGATTTTAACGACGAAGAGATGAAAATAAAATCGAAAAAAACGCATCGTTATAGAGTGAAAACAAAAATCCCATATAGAGTGAAAGTGAAGTGTTTGGTTACTTTGACAAAAACGCATCGTTTCAAAGATTGATTTACCTTTTTGGCGCATTCCTCATCCCGGGTAAGAAAGGACACGTCATCACCATTTAGCAAAATCCCAAAAGAGATAGATATTTGCTACATTGGCTTCGCGGTCTCCTCTCCTCAGCTTTGAGTCGCTTGCTCATGGCCGTCCCCGGATTCTTCTCTTCGACGGCGCTTCTCCGTAATCTCTCTCTCTCTCTCTCTCTCTCTCTCTCTCTCTCTCTCTCTCTCTCTCTCTCTCTCTCTCTCTCTCTCTCTCTCTCTCTCTCTCTCTCAATTTCACCTTTTCAATTTCATCTCTGAACTGAATCGAACAAATACTTGCAGGGCATTGTCCTGTATCAAACACAGAGGACGGAGGAAGCTACTTCCATGTCGCTACTCGCCCAATTTTTCATCCTCACCTCCTCAACACTAGTTCTGGGTACTTTCTATTACCAATAATTGTGTTGTGTGTGATTCAAAGTTGAGATTTTTATATATATTTTGAATCCTCCTCACATATGATTATTTACCAGATTTTGAATGAACTTGTATGCATATTATTACTAGGTGTGGATTTCTCAAGTGTAACAGTGACTATCTTACAAGAAAACACCTACGGAGGAATAGAACTCAAGCCATAGCAGAGTATTTGGGTTCAGCTTCAGATCCTAAGAAGCCAATTGGGAAGTCAAGTTATCATCCTTCAGAAGAAATCAGAGCATATGTGCCAGAGAAGAATCCTGGAGATTCTAGGCTTTCACCTCCAGAAACTGCTAGAACCATCATTGAGGTATTATTATATATGGCATCTTTCAGTCAACCATTTCATTACATAAATTTCTGGTAAAACAATCCTAGGACTGATGTCTTAATGTAAATTACAGTTACATGTTAGTGTGAAGAGTTCTTCTTTAGTACTCCCTCCGTATTTTAATAAGTGTCGTTTTAGGATTTTCTTTTTTTAAAAATTAGATGTCGTTTTCAAATTTCAATGCAAAATTTCTTACTTTTTAATGTTTTATGATGTCATAAAACATTAAAAAGTAAGAAATTTTGCATTGAAATTTGAAAACGACATCCAATTCAAAAAAATAAAAATTCTAAAACGACAATTATTAAAATACGGAGGGAGTATTCATCTATGAGAAATTTCTGTAGAAACCTTATCTGTTCCAGCATGTCTAGTTTGACTCTACCTGTTTGTTTTTCCAGACCTGGGTTTGCGGATCTGACATTTCCAGTAGTGTGTCTTGTTCAGGTGAACAAAAAAGGAACCCTGATGCTTTCAGGTTTACTTGGTATTGGAGTTCATGAGAATATTCTCTGGCCGGATATACCTTATGTAACGGATCAGCATGGAAGTAAGAGTTCTTATTTTTCTGCTTCGTATTTATTCAGTTGGTTTATAACTGTCAATAATTTAATTGAGTTACCCTTATGATCTGCACTCTGCAGATATATATTTTCAAGTAAAGGAAAATGAGGATATAATGCAGACTGTTGTTACCTCTGATAATAATTATGTGGTATGTTGTCTTGTTACATACATGCAAGTTCTTGACCATTCATTAAAGAATGGATACATTAAGTCATTTTAAGCCTAGCTTTCTCCGTGGACATATTTGTTTTTCTGGAACTGTAGCTAACGCTGCTTTCTTATTACTCTTGCGTTTTTCCGTTTTTCTTGCTAACTTTACAATCTTCTGAATCTAAATGTGCAAATGCATGCTTCAATAGTAGTCATCTAGGTTGGTGCCACTGCTTTATATCCTTGTGTATATGTCTATATGTTTTTCTTTAGTTTAAATGATTCTGCTGCATGGTGTAGTCTTTAAAGTTGCTATTGTTTTCTCTCTATTCACTTGTAAGGAGATAGAGCTGTGATAAGTTACATATGCAATGCAGCAAGTAATAGTAGGTTTTGATACAATGGAGATGATCAAGGACATGGAGCTGAGCAGTCCATCTGGTATTGGTTTCGGGATTGAAGAAATCGAAGATGGTGAAAGTGAAGTCGAGGATGAAAATAAGGGGGATGAGGATGAAGGAGAAGACAAAGATGACGAGGTTTGAAAATTTTATTTCAGCTTTCGTTCTCAATTATTGAGGAACTTCAGATGGAAAAAACCTGTGTTATGCGTATACATGCTTCACAAGATATTGTGATCTTGAATCCAGGAATGGGTTGCTGTTCTAGAAAATGGAGATGATGAGGATAATTATGTCTCAGATTCTGATGAATCACTTGGAGACTGGGCAAACTTGGAAACAATGCGGTATTGCCATCCTATGTATTTTGCCAGGAGGATGGCCGAGGTTACTTGCAGTCCCAAAATTGATTTATGATTTATTAAATATTCACCATGTGAAAGACTATAAAACTTAGTTTCTTTATTTAAATTTAGGTTGCTTCAACTGATCCTGTAAATTGGATGGAGCAGTCGTCCGCTGGCCTTGCTATCCAAGGGCTCTTGAGTCGTGTCGTTGTGGACGATCACTCAGATATCCAAAAACATATCTCTGGTTGCAAATCTACAGGCACTGACAAAAACAAGGAGGGAGAAAACTCAGAAGAGAAATTTGAAGGCATTGGTGAGAATGAATCTGAGATATTGCAGCTTGAAAATTCGAGAAATGCCATATCGTACTACAAGCTGGAGATAATAAGAATCCAGCTCATCACGGCACAGGGACATCAGGCAAGATTCTCTTTCCTTGTCTTATTTTGGTAATTATGAGATCAAACAATATTAGACACCTTAGTTAGTCCATGTTCGCATCTGGCTCATATTTCATAAACCTGATGGTTCCCATTTTTGGAGTGGCAATTATTATCTATGCTCATGCTTTTGGTTGTTTGTGTATTTTTGGCTTCGGAACAGACTGAAGTGAAAGTGGAAGACGTCAGGAAAGTACAACCTGATGCTATTGCTCGTGTATCAGATGGTATCGTGACTCGTCTAGAAGAAGATGGCGATAAACTAGCTGAAGCTCTCAAATCTCTGTGCTGGAGACATAATGGGATTCAAGCAGAGGTAAAAAAAAAAACTGTAACTTTAGGTTGCATTACTGGAATTTCAAAACGAAGTTGTTGTATAGCTTTCATGACTATACTGCGACAAATATGATTATATCCATATGCTACTAAAATGTAGGAAGTGAAGCTCATCGGGATAGATTCACTTGGTTTCGATCTCAGGATTTGCTCAGGAATGCAAATTGAGACATTAAGGTTTGCATTCTCGACAAGGGTATGTCGATTTTTCTTTTATATCTTCTCAGACTCTGTTTAGTGTGATTATGGTACATAGGATTATCACATGACTAAATCAAACCTGTGAATTGACATAACAAATTAATAATATCATATAGATTAATGTGGCCTGGGAACTCTATATTGCAGGTAACATCAGTACACAACGCTGAGGGACAGTTGAGGGAATTATTATTCGCTTCGACACCTCCCAAGCCACAGAAACCAAAACAAACGAGTCAAAAGGAATCTTGATGATGTAGCAACAAGAAACAATTTCAACCGCAATTTCTCGTGTCAATGAAAGTGCCCTCACCAGTGAGACATGAACTAACTCCTGCTAACGTTAAAGACCGTTTGTGGTCGACAAGCGACTTCAAGGTTGGCTTATTGGAGATTGGTGGGTGGAGTCTCTTGTTTGATTGTTTTTCAATTGATTATTGACGCTGTATCTTTGTGTTATGTGCCTTCAAGTCTCTGGGTTAATAGAGCATTGATATTTAACCCAATTTATACATAAATATATTATGATCTGTGTAACTGTAGCAATATACTTCAAGTTCATGCGGTTTTTCCCGACTATTACATCTTCGATTTACAACCTAGAAAATTATCACTTTTGAAACATCACAATCTGTTACACAACTCAACATATCAAATTCAAATTTTGGTTTTCATTTAATAAAATGGTAGTTTTGTTTACTGTATAATCATGTAAAATTTGACTTCGTTAATTAGGTTTGTTGGTCTTTTGGTCATGTAAGCAAAAACAAAAAAGGTGTTTTTGCTTCACCTAAATAAGGTTGTGACAACTTCGTTGGTCTATTGCTTGGTTCAGTAGTAATGGTTATTCCCGGAATCATTATTACCAACGAAACAAAAATCCATGGTGGTATCAGTCTGAAGAGTGATCCCACGATGGAGGATATGGTAAAAGTATGAATACAGAGTACATACATTAAGTACGTTATTAATTAGGTATAAGAACGAAAGTTCTCAGTTTTAATCTATGATATAGAAATTTTTCTTTCAAAACTCTAATGTGCATATATAATTTCAAAAGTTTTTCTTGTTCCATAAATAGTAGAAAGTTTTAGGTCTTGTGTTTCTTTTTTTTCTTAAACATATATTGTTTTAATTTTAACTTGATGCATTATATTAACAAAATGGTAGAAGAGAAGATGAAAACCCACTTGAAACTTGACAACTTGCATATCATATTAGTACAAAAATATGTTTTTCAATAAACTAACAAAATGATAACGTGTCAATAATTTTTTTTTGTTTAATTAATGTTTTTAATTAAATTTTTTTTCCAATAAAAAACACATACCTAATCATCTTTTACTTATGTTTTACAATTCTTTTGCTCATTTTTTTGTCAATTTTTTCTTCGTATTAAGAAAATTAATTAATAAGATATTATAAACACAAAATCACTTTGATTTTCACTATAACAATATATCACTTTGAAAATTTCTAATTTAACATTAAATCCATTTAATAGTTTTTGATCTTTTTTTGTTAAGGTAGGAAATGCAGAAACAATGGGAAAAATTCACGGAGGCATGTCATATCGTCATTAATGCACTGATTTTTTCCATGATTGTGGCCATACATGGGGTCCTTGGCGATCTTGTTTATCATTTTTCTCTTTATCATCTCATATTACTCATTGTTACATTTTATATTAGTTTTCTTTCTATAAAGAACATTTTATATATAGTTATAGAAAAGACAATGATCACTTTGCTAAAATGATATATCGAACTAATAATCTGTAATTATCTGTTTTTCTTCTCTCTAAAAATGAAACATTGTAATATTCTTATTAAAAGTTTTAGAATATATTGACTTGTCAGTATTTGATTAATGTAGAAATTCTGAAATTACAATACAAAAATACAAATTCTAGGTGAATTATAGTTTTGAAAATTCCTATTAAAGAAAAACATCAATCCATATAGATTGAATATTTATATTTAAAATACATCAATCAAGTGTTGATATTTTTGCATTTTGAAAAAAAAAAAAAAGTTAGGCAATTTGGAAGCAAAACAAAAAAAAAGTCTCCGTACGTAGAACTTCACACTTCTCTGCTACAACCCATTGAGCCTCTCTTACCAGTGTCTGCTCCGCCCACAGTGTAAGCTTAAGTTAACCTTTACAAAGTTGAAAATTTCTAATTAACAATAATTTAATCCGTTTAACCGTTTTTCTGTTCAGGGAGGAAATGCAATGACGGTGGGACAAATTAACTGAGGCTTGTCACAATGTGATCAACACACTGCCTTTTTCAGTGGTTGTGGGAATTCCCGGCGTACTTAGTTTCAGCCAAGCTGTTGGGACAAACACTGATCAAAGGCCGGCATGGGGGATCAACTATTTACTATATTTCAACGTCTTCAATAGCAATTTATATATTGGGTCAGTTTTGGCTTACGTTTTATGTTACATCGTGTCTAAGGGTGTTGAATCTGTGGTTTTAGCTGCTTATTTTGATATAATTTGTATTTTTGCTGGGTTTTTCGCAATTTTTCTCGGGATTTATCACATATCAATCAAACTATCCATCATCGGCGGTCTCCTCTTTGCCGTGGTCCTGGTAACGGTCTTCTATCGACGGTTTCCGAGAGCTCGTGGCTGAAGATCGAGAAGAAATAGTACTCCCATTGTTTCAAAATATAAGATGTTTTAGATATTTTATTTGTTTCATATTATAAGATGTTTTGCAAGTTTCTATGCAAGTTTAAATACATTTGATTATTTATGACCATTTATATTTTGCAGTATTTTTATGATTGGTGAGATTTGTTTATATTAAATACAAATCATATTTTTAAAAGAAAAATAAATTATCTAAATATGTGTGTTTTTACCTTAAACATCTTATAATTTGAAACATAGGGAGTATTTTAATAATAACTTGTATCAGATTATATATTGGTACAATGTCCCGGTTTACTATTCTCGCTTGGTTTACCTATTATATCTTAGTTTAGATGTTTGTATTTAAGGAACAAACAATGTTAACTTTACATTTAATGAAGCGTAAACATAATCTAAAAGAAAAGTTTGTTAGATCTGAAATGACTTGGGTATCCTAAACATAGAATTGAACAATGTTTAGAATTGACTTCTCCCTCAATACCCAATTATCCAAATCAGTCTAAGAAACATTGTTATACTCTTATTAAAAAGTTTAGGATAAATTGACTTGTCAGTTTATGATTAATGTAGAAATTCTGAAACTACAGTACAAAATACAAACCTAGGTGAATTATAGTTTTGAAAATCCCAATTAAAGAAAGACATCAATCCATATAGATTGAATATTTATATTTAAAATACATCAATCAAGTGTTGGTTATTTTCGCATTTTGAAAGAAAATGTTAAGCAATTTGAAAGCAAAACAAAAGCAAAAAAGTCTTCGTAGTCTCTCTTTCCCTCTCTGAATAGTCTCCATTGTTATATTTATGCCTTCTTCGTGTTGTAATTGCTATTCTATTCTCATGAAATTTTAATCATTCACTCATTCGACTTTCTCCTCAATTTTGCAATTTACTTTCATAAAACTGAATCAAAAGAATACTAGCAGGGCTTTGTTACAGCTTGTAGTATACGTCAAGTAATAAAGTCAACGCATTCCTCAACCAAGAGAACAACAGAGAAAGTCACACGTTTTAGTTTTTGGGTTATTCTTCTCAGATCAAGTCTATTATCATTCAGAGAAGAAAATGGTAAAATGGTCGGAGTTGCCACCGGAGATTCTCCACTCGATCTCCCTAAAAATCGACAATCCCTTTGATCTGATCCACTTTCGGTCAGTTTGTTCCTTTTGGCGATCTTCGAGTCTCCTCAAATTCAGACACATGACATTACTTAGATGTCCTCTTCCCCTTGATCCCGGCGGTTGTGGTGATGATTGTCATATCTTGAGCAGCCGTGTTTACCTTGTCAAGTCTCCTAATCGCGACCGTCCCCAATATTGGTAATAAAATCTGTTTCTTGAATTGATTCTTGAATCTTGATGATACTGATACGAGAATTTGATCCTGCCAGGTTGTTTAAGCTACAAGAAAAAGAGAATGGAGAAGTTGTTCTACATAGTTTGTTCTTAAGAAGAAACTCCTCTGCATATGGATGCTTGTATCCTAGTCTGTCACTTGATTTGCTTAATTGTCAAATCTTTGAGCTAGCGCAAGAACATGTGGCTTGTTACAGCGAATGGTCTGAATTATTCGAATGCATTTCAAAAAGTGAAGAACGTATCGGCTTTATGGGTTTAAACAAAGAGAACAATGAATATATGATTCTAGGGAAGCTCTCATTCAATGGTCTCGCAATGTTTAGGTCAGTCGATAAGCGTTGGACTGAGCTTGAAATAGTCTATGATTCATTTTTTGAAGGGATAGTTCCATTTAAAGGTAAGTTTTACGCAATAGATCGCACTGGGAAAACAACAGTGGTAGAGCCAACTCTAGAAGTGAATACATTTCAGCGGTCAAGACCTTGTGATAAGACAAGGAAACGTTGGGTAAATAGACTAACATTTTTATATCTTGTATTTCACGCAACTTGGAACAAAACTAAAACTTAAAAGTGCTTCTTTTTTTTTTTTTTTCATTCGTTGTCTCCAACAGCTTGTAATGTCAGGGGACAAACTCATACTCGTAGAGATGTGCACAAAGAGCCGATACGATTTTCACATACCAAAAATCCGTGAGAAAAAGATATGGTTCGAAATATCAGAGTTAAACGAGGAGAGAAACGATTGGGATCAAGTGGAAGATATGGATGGTCGCGTGTTGTTCTTGGAGCATTATTGCACTTTTTCATGCTTGGCTACTGAGATTCCGGGGTTTAGGGCTAACTCTATAATCTTCATGGACTTGTGGGGAGTATCTAACTCGTATGAACATGAAAGCATTCTCGTGTATGAATTTGATGAGCAAGAAGTAAGATCTTTAAGAGATAAACCGGAGTATATAGAGCTGTTTCCATCTCCCCCTGGTTGGGTAATCTCCAACGGATGATCAATTTATTCTCTATAACGAAGATTTGTTTCTTCACTTCGATTTTTCTTTTTTGTAAAATTAGACTAAAACAATGATATTGATATAGGATAAAGTGAGTTCATCAATCATCACGTTATAAATTCTAACTTGATTTTGGCTAAATTATAAATCCTTAATATTTCGTTGACTTTTTCAAATTAGACATAACATTAACAAAACCAAAAACTCGTCACAAATTGTTAAATCTATTTCTGTCAAGTGAACTAATACGTCTTTTATTTCGGATAAAATTAAATAGTTTAACTAAAATCGAATTAAACCGTATAAAAATAAAATATTACGAATAATTGTGGGCTTGCCACATCAGCACCAAAACTTATATTTTACATTATAGAGGATAATAACAAAATATATTTATATGGTAACAAATATCTTTTCAAAATCATTTATTAAATATCTTAAATATATTTGTATACAAAATCAAATTTATGACATCAATAGATGTTTGAACAAAAAGATCTTTAAAAAGTATAAACCATTAAAAATATTTATTTGTGATATTTAAAATATTAAATTAAATCTTTCAGAAGTTCTTAACAAGTAGCAAATATTTGATCAAAGAAAAATTTCTCAAACTTATCATTGTTATTAAAAATATATATTTTAAGATATTTGATTACAGAAAAAGTTAAGACATTTGTAATTACTTCTAACTATAGTGGACTATTAAATCAAACAAAATTTATTAATAAAATAATAAGTTAATCAATTTATGCTTATTAACAACAACTAGCTAGTAGTCATATATATATGCTCTTAAGTAATATTCTTTGTTATCAAATCCAAGCGATCACAACATAAAATATTAATTTAGCCTTTTCACCGACGCACGGGTTCACCTCTTCCATCGTTATGGCTGAAGCTATCCCCAAACTCTCGCCGGTTTGTTGTTAATCTCTTGTCTTTTATTTGGATTCCGATTTTTCCTTGCCTAATTAAGCGGAAATAAGATTTGTAAAAAAGAAATCTCTGATAGAGTTCGATTCGTGTATATAAGATTTTGTACGTGTAACTTTTGCTTTCCATGTACAAGAAATTGATTGATCCTTAAGTTAGATAGAACGAATATTTTTGTTGTAGATGGAAGAACCGCTCATAACAAAAGACATGTTGAAAATTACACTTGCATTTATCATCAAGTGAGTGTATTCTACTAAGCACATCAAATTGGACTACATGTTTAGAAGCGAGCTTGGTTTTAATTAACCCATGTCTCAATCTTTGGCTAAATGGCAGGATGACCTCGGGAATTGTCTACTCGATATTGATGCACTTCTTGATCATCACAGCATATACTTTTTTGATTTCTCAGCTTTTTGGCCTTACAAGTGATCAGTTTTTTAAAGACCCGCATAGCTTTGTGAGGGACTGGCTCATGTTGCCTTGCTTTTGGTATTGTGGGTATGAACTTGTCTTAAGGAAATTGGATCGGCGGCTTGTGCATTTTTGTCATAGCTTGTTATATATGTTCATCTACACCACCTGCTTGGCACCATATAATCCCACCAAGGCTTTAAACTGTTTTTACGTTGGGGGATCACTTCTGTGTTGGACATTTTTCGTTTCAATCGCCTTTGTTATTCATCTTGCTTTTCGGGAAACGATGGATCCTCCGAAGTCTTTACCAATCACCCCCATAGAGACAGCTATGTATATTTTTATGATAAAACTCTTTTTATTATATTATAAATATTAATATTAATACTATTGGTGGTCATAAGTAGATAACTTATATATATTAATAAAATGATTTTTAAAAATTAAAAAAAAAACATCAAAATGTTTGTTGAATAACATTTATCCTATAATATTATTTGGGGAGCACAATTTATAATTACCTTTTAATAACCTTCCCCTTTGTAAGTTATTACATTAGAATGTCAGTAGAGATAAAAATTTAAAGAGTAAATTAATTCAGCTCATTAAGGATAAACAAGTCAAATACTAATTTATGCAATTTAATTAATTTAATTATTAAAAACGAAAATATAATATTAACTTAAAAAAGAGAATGACCAGTCAAAATGAACATATAAGATTTGATATCTAACTTACCATATTAACTAGATTCGGACCCGCACGTTCGTGCGGGGTTATATTTGTAGATGTATTTATTTGGTATAACATTCATTATCCTACCTCATATCAATTTGGTATTCGGTTTATTTTCAATTTGGTTTAGACAAAATAATTAAACGGATTTGTTTTTGTTTACAGTAAAGACAATTACATAATTAAAAAGAGAGAGAGAGAAAATAGACATATCAATTTTGAGGCAGAAAATCCGTATGGTCACATATCTACCACACATATCTAATCACATAAGCGTTAATTTACTCGTTTGTGATTGTATATCGTGTAGGTCTAGGATTCGGATGGAATACCAGTATTTTGTGTATTTTCGTTTAGGTATTTAATTTTTACATAATTAGTTGAAGTTATCCGTATTTTCTTTATATTCTCAATATTTCACTATTATGTTTTAGAAAATACCCAAATTTCCCAAAATTTCCATCACGAAATAAACTTTACCCGTTCCAAAATCTTTTATTTGGCACATGCTATGCTAGATAAATTGAAAGAAACATTTTAAATATATGATTGCAAGCAATGTTTTAGTTTAATTGTAATTTGTTATACGACATTTTTTTAAGAATTCTCATCCCATCCCGTTCAAAAAATAAGTTTCAATATTTAGGGTAACACACTATTATAATCTTAACAATATGTTTGCGAATCAAAGTATTAAATATAGATTCGAGTTATATGCTTGATTTTTTAAAAAAAAAATCTATAATTAGAGTTATATTTGGCAAGTATAATAATTGTTGTGATATGATTTCGTAAACTAATTTAAGATTAGATTTAATCGTAAAAATTTGTATTTTCTATTTTTATTATTTCGAATTTGTTATTGTCAATTTTTACGGAAACCTTATTAAATCATAACAGTAAATTTAGTTTGTTTGAGTTTTAGATAGAAAAGACAGAAAAAATCTTTTTTGAATATATATTGTTAATTCTCCAACAAAATAAATATATATACTTTTTGACCAAAAGAAAAATGCTTTCGAATTTTTTTCTTTTGTTTTTCAAATTCAATAATTCTAATGGCATTCATTGTAATTAATCTACCAAAATAAGGTTTGTTAGTTTTGAGTGATTCCCAATTAATAATATAGATTTGTTATTAATCATTATACTTCACCTCTCATCTTTATATGATTCTATTTTTATGAAACAAATAAAGAATCATATCATCCATATAACAAAAAAAGTAAAATTTTTCTGCATATGCCAAGATTTGAATTTTTTAAAATAGTTTAATTTAATATACTAAATAAAAATATAGACTCCACGCACGGGTTGAATTTAGTATATTATATACTAAATATATGTTCATAACATATTCAATTACGCGAATAATTGATAAATTCCGTAGTTACCTCAAACAAATCTCTATTTCAACAACCAAATAATTAGAAATTGAAAAAAGAATTTCCTAAATTAATTCAAAATAATAGCTAACTTTCTTAATTAATTAAAAATAATCTATGTTTTTGAAGCGATTCATTTATAATATTTTAATTTTTGATCTAACTTAATTATATGCAATCTCATTTTATGGTTGTTAATATAAATTAATTCATTGTTCAGACCATATTAATTTATTAAAATAATTTTATTTTCCGTTTTCATATCTTAAAAAAAATATATGCATAATTGAGTATAATTAAATATATATATATATATATTCATTCTAATATTATATATAGGGACTGACAAAAATCTAATTATATTTTTTCAATTACCATTATAATATATCACAATTTTATTCTAAAATATATAATATATATATTTTGTAATAAATAAAATTTAACCCGTACTGTAGTACGGGTGATGAACGGGTGATGATCTAGTAATTATGTACAATAGAAACCTTTAGACTAAACTCAAACAATTTCTTTAAAACTTTTTTCTCTTCACTTGTGTTTTCAAAGATATATGATGATTAATTTGTTTATTCATCATAACGTTTTTGACTTAATTTTTGTTTTCAAAACTTCTTTCTCATAACGTTTTAGATATCAATTCATTAATTTTTTTATTCAAATTAAACTTAATATAGAGAAATCCCTGAAATAAGACAGGGACACAAGTTTTTGAAATGCAATTGCCTACGTGATGATTGTCATATCTTGAGCAGTCGTGTTTTCCTTCTCCAGTCTCCTAATCGCGACCGTCCCCAATATTGGTAATAAAATCTGTTTTTTGAACTGATTCTTGAATATTGATGATACTTAAACGAGAATTTTTCTTCTACACACTTTCAGCTTTGATTTCTTAAAACATGTGTTGCACAAGTTGTAAAAACGTATATATTTTTTTGAATCTAATTTAACATTAAATTCAAAAAGATAAACGAGAATTTGTTAATGAAAGGTTGTTTAAGCTACAAGCAAAAGAGAATGGAAAAGTTGTTCTACATAGTTTGTTCTTAAGAAGAAACTCCTCTGCATATGGATGCTTGTATCCTAGTCTGTCGCTTGATTTTCTCAATTGTCAAACCTTTGAGCTAGTGCAAGAACATGTGGCTTGTTACAGCGAATGGTCTGAATTATTTGAATGCATTTCAAAATGTGAAGAACGTATCGGCTTTATCGGTTTTGACAAAGAGAATAACGAATATATGATTGTAGGGAAGCTCTCATTTGTTAGATTATAATTGATTTTAGTCGATATTATTTAATTATACAAGTAATTATGTATGTTAAGTTAAAGTGTGTATGTGTTCAAGAGACGTGTCTCTTAAGTCTTAAGTAGTTATGGTTGTTGTGTCACAGGAAAGAAGAGTTACAACTCTTGTCTTTCATGTCTATTGGATTCTATTTAAGGTTGTTGTTATAAACCTTGAAACATCGTCGTTGGTTTTCACTTTTATCTAATGAAAAGAGAAGTTCTTTTCTTCATTGTTTCAAATAGATTGTGATACAAAGTCTGATTCTCTCTCATGTTATACTCTGTTCTGTCTTGGAGACTTCAGTTTCTAACATCATTCAGTGGTCTCGCAATATATAGGCAGTCGGTAACCGTTGGACCGAGCTTGAGATAACACCCGATTCATTTCTTGAAGGGATAGTTCCGTTTTAAGGTAAGTTTTACGCGATAGATCGCACTGGAAAAACAACAGTGATAGAGCCAACTCTAGAAGTGAATACATTTCAGCGGTCAAGACCTTATGATAAGACAAGGAAACGTTGGGTAAGGAGACTAACATTTTTATATGTTGTGCTTCATTCAACTTGGAACAAAACTAAAACTTAAATGTGTTTTTATTTCATTCATTGTCTCCAACAGCTTGTAATGTCAGGGGAAAAACTCATTCTCGTAGAGATGTGCACAAAGAGTCGATACGATTTTCACATACCTAACATCCGTGAGAAAAGATATGGTTCGAAAAAGTTAAACGAGGAAAGAAACGATTGGGATCAAGTGGAAGATATGGATGGTCACGTGTCGTTCTTGGAGCACTATTGCACATTCTCATGCTTGGCTACTGAAATTCCAGAATTTAGGGCTAGCTCTATAATCTTCATGGACTTGTGGGGAGGATCTAGCTCGTATGAACATGAAAGCATTCTCGTGTTTGAATCCAATGAGCAAGGCGTAAGATCTTGGAGAGATAAACCGGAGTATATAGAGCTGTTTCCATTTCCCCCTGGTTGGGTAATCTCCAACGGATGATCATATATATCTTGATCAGTTTATTCTATGTAGCGAAGATTTTGTCTTCACCTTTCCTTTTGTAAACCTAGTCTAAAACAATGATACTGATATAGATTAAAGTGAGTTCACACCTAAATATATACTCGGTAGTCCAGAGTCCAGACAAAGAGAAATGTTTTCGTTTTTTTTTTTAGAAAAATTACTTGATCTGGCTAAATTATAAATCCTTAATATTTCGTTGACTTTTCCAAATTAGACATAACGTTAATTAAAACCAAAAACTCTGTCACAAAATGTTAAATCTGACTAGCCTAATTCAGTCAAGTGAACCCAAAGGTGAACATTTATTTGTCTTGTGAGATATTTGAAAAAAACAAAATTAGCCAAAAAGCGATTATGATGGATTAGTGTTTTGTTCTATTATATTTTATATATGATTCGGAACAAGAATAATGAGTTCAACTTGTTAATAATTTACCCTATTTACAGCTTGGTTTGCACGGCAAGTAAGAAAGTCAACGCATTTCCTCAACCCAAGAAAACAAAACAATAGAGAAAATTAAACATGTATATTATAGTATAACGCTCCATCTTCTTATATTTCCAAGTCAAGAGAAGAAGAAGAAATGGGGAACTGGTCGGAGTTGCCACTAGAGATCATCCACATGATATCTGTGAGAATTGACAACCCCTTCGATCTGATCCATTACCGATCGGTATGTTCCTCGTGGCGATCCTCGAGCCTTCTCACATTCCGACCAGTTCCATCACTTAGATGTCCTGTTCCACCAGATGCCGGGGGAGATGATTGTTATATCTCGAGGAGTCGTGTTTATCTGATCAAGTCTCTTTCTAGCGTACCTTTCCAATTTTGGTAACTAAATCCTCTTTAAACTGTTTTTTTGGATCCAAAATTAAAGTTACCATAATAGTTGGTCTTTCTTTTTCATTTTGAAATTATTCTTAAATCTTAATGAATGTGTACGTTAGAAATTTTACATCAATCATAAATTGCAACCTAATGTAATATATTAATTAGAAATACGGCTTAATCAATCCACTCGTTTTTAAATTGCATTTTGTTCTCTCTGGACCGATACTTTTTCAAATTATATTGTTTTGAAGCTAACCGGAAATTTGGTGTTCAGATATTCGCTAAACGCGGATATTTAACCGTTATCCGTATGGTTCCTACAAATTAAATAGTGTTCCTCTCAGGTTGTTTAAGCTACTAGAAGAGGAGAATGGAGAACTTGCTCTGCACATTTTGTTCAGTAGAAGAACCTCCTCTGTGTGGGGATGTTCATATCCAAGTTTGTCACTTGACTTGCTCAACTCTCAAGTCGTTGAGCTAGCTCAAGAACATGTTGCTTGTTACACCTCTTGGTGCGACCTTTTCGATGATGATTTTGCGAATAAAGAAGGAAAAAATATTGGCTTTATGCAGTTAGATGCAGAGAACAAGGAATTTATGATTATGCGAAGACTCTCAATCCAGGGACTTGGCATGTATAGGTCATTTGATAATTGTTGGACCGAGATCGAGATAGAACCTGATCGTTTTCTAGAAGCAGTAGCGTCGTATAACGGACTATTTTATGCCATCGATTCTACTGGAGTAATGATAGTGGTAAAGCCATCTCTAGAAGTGAACTCGTTTCAGCGGTCGAGGCCTTGTGATAAGACAAGGAAACGTTGGGTAAGACGAACAAAACTTTTTTGTAAAATACTAAGCATTTTTTCATCTAGTTACAAGTTACAACTTTCTTCCTACGGCGAAAAATACATATATTCACACTATTTTTAGTCAACCAAATAAGTTGTGATGAGTCTAAGATAAGATTTTAAGTCCCTAGCTTGTAAATTTTAACCCCTTAATCATAAACACCTTTTAAAATTCTCTCTTTATATTATTGTCTATATCCAGCTTGCCAAGTTGGAGGAGAAACTCCTACTAGTAGAGATCTGCACCGAAAGCCAAAAGGAGTATCTCACACCAAAACTCCTAGCGGAAAAGGGATGGTTCGAGATTTCGGAGTTAGACGAGAAGAGAAACGATTGGATTCAATTGGAAGATGTGGGTGGTCACGTCTTGTTCTTGGACTGCCATTGCTCTTTCTCTTGCCTGCCTACTCAAATTCCGGGTTTTAGACCCAACTCTATAATTTTCGAGTGTCTTTATGGATCTTATAGACATAAAGATTTTCAGGTGTTTGAATTTGGTGAGCAAGGTATTAGATCTTTTGAAGATATCTCCGAGTATGCTCAACTTAAGTCGTCTCCACCATGGATAGTTTCTAATGGATGATTGATAATCGATCACAAAACATAATTGAAACAAAAATGTTTGTCGTCACCTTTCAATTTTTTTTTTTGTTCAACACAAATTGGTTGTATATAAAACATTTTTGTATATTAACTAATTTATGGTTTTGTATTATATCATGTATTAGCAATTTAGCATTGATAGTGTACCAATTTTTTGACTTTATTTATCAGCCAACTTTTTCTATCTTTTATAATTTAAGGTTGCATAAGGGATTTTAAATGGGCCAGCTACTAGAAGATGCCAGCACTTATCAAGTCACATGAGTCCATGGCCGATCAAATTGCAGCTCCATAATTTATCAAAAATTTATTCACTTTTTCACCAAATTTTGTCGTTCACTCCTTTTAAATTTCCTATTCTAGTTTTGTCTGCTTGCATCAATCCATCCATCCAAAAAAAAAATCTTTTTACATAAAAGTTATAATAATTGATTCAGCTAAACAAAATGGATAAAAAAAAAAAACAATTCAGCTTATTCATATGAACTACTACTAGCTAGATTATGTTCTAGTCCGGATTTGTACTCATTCTTTGTTAGTTTTCTCTTCTTTTTTTTTTTTTTTCTTTGTTAGTTTTCTCTTTTGTTTGTTATTTTAATTTTTTTCGTAATTTACAGAGTGAAAAACAAATTGTATAAATTCTCAAATAATGCTAAGAAGCGACTGAAAATGGATGTGACTGTCATATTGAAGGTAAAACCACTGTAAAACTTATCTACGTGTTGAGGGTAAAATTACGAATATTCTAAGATATAATCTAGCCATTAATAATAATTAAAAAGATAATAATTGAAGAATATAAATAAGTGTATTATTATGAACTCTAATACGATAAGTTTTTCAAAAAAAAAACTTTGATAGATCAGTTTTATAATTTACATCAACCATGCAAGTAAACCAACCTATAGATGATAAATTACTTTAATCAAAAACCCTTAAATTAAGCAATATAGAAAACGCTTGCCGGTGAGTAATTTATGTTTATTATTGTTTTTCTCGTTAAGTTTATTATCATCGTCATTATCAATCTGCTTTTATAGTCAAACCTAAGTTTTGTCCGCTCTAAAGACAAAACTCATGTACAGCGCATGTAGATAGGAACAAAAAACTATTATATTTATGATTAACTAAGATATAACTGGACAAAATATAAAAACAATTCGGTGACAGCTAAAATCCTAACTCAAACAATCAACCAAATACGTACCTAACGACACAATCTATGCGAAGGGTTTTGTGAACCAACTTGGTTTCTTCCTCTTTCCTACTTCTTTGTGTAATTTACCCCAAAAAAATGCGGGTTACTCATTTTATGTACTCGGTTTCTTAAAAACAGTTTTGTATTCTTCCACCCACAATTTGGCTATACACCTAATTAGCCCATAATTCTATATAGATAACTTGTTGGCAAATGATTTCAAATATATGGATGTGAGACAAAAAAAATAAAACAAAGACATAATTAAACTGCCAACTCTAATACCGCAACATAAAACTCTATACCAAAATAGAATCCATGAATATATATACCAGAAATAGACGCGAAAATTTATGAGAGGAAAACCATATAACTTTGTAAAAACATTATTGTAGAACACAGACATTTTGTAGTAATAAAAACATTATCTTGTACAAGAAAATGGGTGGTTGAAACATAAGGTGCATTGGCTATGCAATTGTTAGTCTTGTGTAGCAACTACATGTAAAATAGTTGCGGTTCAGTTAGCCTTCCACCAATATGCATACTGGTTAAGTTTGTGCATGCTACGCCCGATCATTGTCTTTCCTCAAAGTGGCAAAATGTGTTATAGCTATTTTTGCATTTGGGTCATTATCGGATACGTTTAATAAACAAATTTTGAAAAATCGTTTTTGGAAAAATTTAATATGGGTCTCATTAGTCTACGTGTCTCATCGTGATTGGAACTAAAATTACTCTTAAATAAAATTGTATTCTTCTTTCGTTCCATAAAAACCTTGGTGATAAGCTTATAAGAAAATAATATTTCTCATAAAAATCATATAAACAACATTTTATTTATTTGTTAAATAACATATCAACTTCAATTTCATAAACTAATATGAAAATCTTCCGAATTACTTTTGTTCCTTTTTTTTTTGTCCGTTTTCATATAATGGTCCACCACAAATGCTTAAAAAACTTATCACTGCGACTAAAAATAAAATAATAATAACTTGAGATTGTCAATGACGTGAACCATCATGACTAGTTGATCAACAAAAAGACGGCCACGTTGAAAGCTTTGAATTACAGCTATACATTTAACAAAGAGAATATGCACAAAATAGCCAAATTTTTGAGGATAATTAAGAAAATAGCCATGAGCTACAGTAACTTGTCTGTATGATGTCAGAAAGCACGTGTAATTACATACATGCCCCTTATAACATGTTTTTTTCTCGAATTACATGTGATAGAATAATATATCTCTTTTTATTATATTATTTTCTCGTATTACACGTTATTTATAAAGAGCACATGGTATTTTTTGAAAAAACACTCTATTCAGTTTAATATCTTTCTTTATCATGTTATTTTGTAGTAATACACGTTTTTTATTATGATCACATGTGATTTCTTTAAAAAAAGATTCTTATTTTCTTGTAATTCACGGTTTTTATTAAGATCACATGTTATTTCTTTATAAAAAGATTCTATTCAAGTTTAATTTTTCCATAACAATGTTTTTTTAAAAAAAAACACTACGTAACAATGTTTTTTCTTAAAAATTCACTACGTTTTTTGAAATAGCATGTCTTTTAGTTAAATATAACATGTGAAATTTAGATCTTACGTGCTATTTTGAAAAATATCACGAAACAATGTCGCCTACTGTTGATCTCAAAACAAACGGAGGATGGTTTTGTTATTTCACATCCTCAAACAACGTGGGTCCATGCTGTTTTCCGACAAAAATCTTTCTCTCTGCTAGTTTCTTAATTTATGTGTCCAATTTGGCTATCTACTAATATTACCCTTTAACAAATACATACTCTATAGATTTCTGTAACTGTACTTACGTGAACACTTATTTATAGTACGAAGACGTGTTTTGTTTTCGCCCAAACCAACTCGATCACTTTTTTTTTTATTTCCTCCTAATTCGTCTTCGCTTCTTTCCCAACCAAAAAACACCATTCTTATCTCTACAAGAATTAAAGAAGATCTATAGATTTCAAACACCATTTCTACGACTGCAAATTTCAAAATCGCCAGGTTAGTGTTTTATTTCATTTGTCCTTTTTTTTTTTGTTCTTGGGTTCGTGTAGTTGACAAATGACAAAGTCCATTACATCACAAACAATAGTTTTATGAATCCTTTCTTGAGAACATGCATAGGCTACATGTGATTCTTTATTTGCATTAATATGATCTTAGGGTTCTGATTACGAACTAATAAATTTAAGAATTGATTTTTTTATCCTTTTTTTTTTATCTTGGTTCTTTCTTTCCTAAACCCAAATTGATTCCAGAAACAAAAATTAGCTTATTAAACCCCAAATGCCAATTGATATAGTTACAAAGGTTCCTGGTTTACAAGTATATGTTTGTGATAAAAAAAAAAAAAAAAAAAAAAAAAAAAAAAAAAAAAAAAAAGTATATGTTTGTGATTTTTATAAGATTAAACCGGTTGTCACAAGCGATGGAGCATGATCAAATATTGGTTACCAGTAAAACGCGTAAATATGCATAAGCGTTGTTGGCCGGTCGAGCCATAACTTTGAAGTGGACCCGATGACTTGATGGGCACATAGCACCACACCATACATTTGAGATCTTTTGTTATTTTGTTTTATTTTCTTTTAAAGGTTTTTCTTAAAACAAAAAAAACATTGACGGCCAAAAAAAAGAATAAAGAAGAAGTTTATTTTCTTTTTGTTTCGTTAAAATTAAAACCAATTTCGTAAGATTTTTGTATATTTCCTAATTATGGAAGTCTCGATATTACTGTTGAAACTACGATGTTTTAAATTGGTTTAGCTTAGATCATAGACGTGGAACACCTCAAATAAGATAATTAACCACGTAACGATCGGAATATATAAGGATTTATCAATGCAGTTCTAAAATTACAGTTTTGTTGGTTTCCTAAAATTACAGTTTCTCTTAGGTAAATAATTATTCAAAGAATTTACCCAACTCAAATTTAGAAACCAAAAGGAAAATTTAGTATTATCGAAAACGAGAAAATAATGAAAACTGAATTTTTGATTCTCTTCTGTCCTTGATGGTGTTTCTTGTTTGCTTATGATTGTTTAGTTTGAGGAGAATTTTCATGGGCTACCCAAGTCCCAAATGCACATTTACATTTATAGGTTTTTTGGTTCTTTTTTTTTTTTTAATAAAGAACATTTATTGGTTTTAAGTGCAATTGTTCCTGATTAACAAACAATAGTGGTCTTTATTTTATTTCTAGCCAATAACATCATTTTCCAATATATATGGGGTAAGTGACTAAGTAAGTAAGTATAGTCGAATTCCATTCAGCTGGGAAACCAGCTTAGTGGCAAAACCACCAGACTTTGCATATTAGTGATATATTAGGTAGATGTTTACATGTGGATAGTTTAGGTCAGATTGATTTAATTAGTGGTCTAAACCACTAGAATTTTCGTATCAGTTTATGATTTTAGAAAATGTAAAACCCAAATTCATTTTTAAATCATGCAATGGAGAATTAAAAAGGTGAAAATTCTAATGAATCAAGAACTCACTAGAACTCCTTTTCCCTAGCCAATATTTTATTGTGAATATTCTGTTTTCCATTGCATATGCTTTCAACAATCTAAAGAAATTATAAATAAATGAATCAATAATACAAGTCAAGTCAGAAGATTAATTAACTATAGATTTAAAAATAACGAAAAATAATTTAAATCTTATAGGTGCCAACTAATTAGTATGTAATCAATTTGATTGTTTTTTTTTCTTTTTGCTACAGGGGAAATTAAAAAATGGAAGAGAAACCAAACTATGTGATACAAGTAGAAGAAGAGCTTCCAAGTTTACTGAGAAAAGCCACAACAGAAGAAATGGTTGGGTTTGACAATTACAAAGAGAATGGTCATCCTTTTCCTCACTTAATCAGTCGTTTTCATCCTTCTCATGCCTCCACGACTACTTTGGTATGTTACTTATTTTATTTATCACTTTCCACAAAAAATTAGGTTATAAACTTATTATATAACTAAATCCGATCAAATTATTTTACACATATTTATATGGAAAGAATGGTCAAGAAGCATCAAGATCAATAGACACAATGGAAGCTCATCATAACTACAATGAGACACCACCATGGACTCATCAAAGAAAACCATCAATTTCAATGCCAACTTCACCAAATGTTCTCATGATCTCCGACCCGACAACATCTTTATCTTCCGAAAACAACAAGAACAGTGGGTCGACTGGCAAATCTGTCAAGTTTCTCTCTCAGCCGATGACCAAAGTCTCATCTCTCTACATAGAAACCGGTAACGATGATAATGATCGTCGTCGTAGCCATGATAATCATCATCATCGTCAACAACAACATCAGAATGGTCATCATCAAAATCAAAATCCGGCGGCCAACAAGCTTAAAGACAATAGGTACAACTCGTTCAAGACTTGGTCGGGGAAACTCGAGAGACAATTTACAAGAAAACCAGCTTCTGTTGAACCGGAGGCACCAAACCGGAATAATCAGAATTTGAATACCAATGAAGCCATGCCTGTGGACCGCTACTATGATGCTTTAGAAGGTCCTGAATTAGAGACTCTCCGGGTACGTACCTACTCTTGTTTTTCTATTACATGCATTGATGTGGTAAATTGTTTTAATGATCTTTTTGCGAAAATATGTGATTACTAGAAACATGCCGAATCATTTTTTCATTCAAAAATATTACCAAACATACTTATATTTAGGAGTGACATGTTTTATAACTCTCTTTTATTTTGTCTATGTCGCAGCCTCAAGAAGAAATTGTTCTACCAAATGATAAAAAGTGGCCGTTTCTTCTCCGTTACCCGATCTCCACCTTCGGTATGTGCCTCGGAGTGAGCAGCCAAGCCATAATGTGGAAAACTCTAGCCACCGCGGAGCCAACCAAGTTCCTCCATGTACCCCTCTGGATCAACCAGGGTCTCTGGTTCATCTCAGTCGCCTTGGTCCTCACTATCGCCACCATCTACCTCCTCAAGATCATCCTTTATTTCGAAGCCGTACGCCGCGAATACTACCATCCAATTAGAATCAACTTCTTCTTTGCTCCTTTCATTTCTTTACTCTTCCTGGCCCTCGGTGTCCCACCTTCCATAATTACAGATTTGCCGCATTTCCTTTGGTACCTCCTCATGTTTCCATTCATCTGTCTTGAGCTTAAGATCTACGGTCAATGGATGTCCGGCGGTCAACGCCGGCTCTCCCGAGTCGCCAACCCGACCAACCATCTCTCAGTCGTCGGGAACTTTGTCGGTGCCTTGCTTGGTGCGTCCATGGGGCTTAGAGAAGGTCCTATATTCTTCTACGCTGTTGGGATGGCTCATTACTTGGTTCTGTTTGTGACTCTCTACCAAAGGCTACCAACCAACGAGACTTTGCCTAAAGATCTTCACCCTGTCTTCTTCCTCTTCGTCGCGGCTCCAAGTGTTGCTTCCATGGCTTGGGCTAAGGTTACTGGCTCCTTTGATTATGGCTCCAAAGTTTGTTACTTTATCGCCATTTTCCTCTATTTCTCATTGGTACGTTTCACATATAATTTTAGCTCATATGTATTTCTTTCTTTAGAAAGCTTATTCACTAATACCAACCTTCCCTTTCTTTGATTTATAGGCTGTTCGGATTAATTTCTTCCGGGGAATCAAGTAAGTTTAAGAAAATTACTTTTTTTACTGTTGGATTTTTAGTTATCGGCTAGCTTAACTTTTTCATCCACTTTTCTTTGTTTCTAATAGATTTTCGCTGTCTTGGTGGGCGTACACATTTCCGATGACCGGAGCTGCGATTGCAACCATCAGATATGCAACAGTGGTTAGGAGCACTATGACTCAAATCATGTGTGTGGTCCTCTGTGCCATTGCAACGTTGGTCGTATTCGCACTGCTTGTGACCACCATTATCCATGCCTTTGTTCTCCGGGATCTTTTCCCCAATGACCTCGCCATAGCCATCAGCAACCGCCCGAGACCCAAACAGAATAGCCATCACCGGTGGCTAGACCAACTGAGAAATGTAAGCTCAGAGAACATCGAGAATTACTTGAAATTCACAGACTCCGACAGCACTCATAGTAATGATTTAGAAGCTTGCAACGGCAAAACTCAAGAGAGTGATTCATCATAAATTGGGAAATCATAAAAAAAGTTTTCATAACCCCTGCCCTGGTACAGAATCGTATCCAAAGTTTTGGTTTTTATTTGTTGTCAGTGTCTCTGACACAAGTGAGGAACCTAGTAACGTTAATGTTGCTGTGGTTCTAATGAGCATGTGTGTAAAGTAGTGGTAAGCAAAAGACAGGGGTTGTCTACAATGGTGAACCAATCCAAACGACCCAGTATCTCTTAAACCAGAACTGTTAGCAGTTATCATAATACTTCAAAGAGCATGTAAACTTGTTTTGTTCCAATAAATAAATTTTTTTGAGGGGTTATCATTGTTTGATAATTATGATGCGCAATCATGTTGGTTCTACTCAGATCAGCTAAAGCCTTCTAAGAGCTTCAGTTTCACATAATCATTTCTATTTCGGCAACTTAATGGATACCGCCATATCGGAATATTAAGATATAAACAGAAATCAAGAAGATCGAGAATCAAATGGTATAAGACCAAGCTAAGTAAGGAGCAGTAGTACTCAAGCCTATATAGTACAAAAGGGACAGCAAAATCATTATTCAACCATTAGGCATTAGCTAACGAATTCATCATACTGGGGAAAAGTTCTGGTCAGATCAGCTAAGGAATTGAAGTTCTCATCATAACCATTTGACATAAGAACTCGAGATATATTGTAAAAAAACAATTTCACATAAACAGATTGCAGAAACATATATCAAGACCCTCAAGAAACAAAAGGCATAAGAATCAAAGCTTGAACTCAGCAACAAACTAGCAGTAGAATTCCATATTGTCCTAGGAACAAATCTAAATTCTCAAGCAAAAGAGACAAAATCTTCAAAAATCTCTAGTTCCTGTACAAAAGATTTCGATGCATACATACCCGAGGAAGTTCATTTCAATTCAGTTCAGTCCGGTTCGCTCCTTATGCCATTTAGCCGCCAAAGAAAGAGAAGAAGCCGCGTTTCTTAGGCTCTTCCTCCACCATAACAGCCTTCATACTATCTTGCTCCACGAGTCTCCAAGCTGCCTGCTCAAATGCCAATCCCGCAAGCGTTGGAGGCTTATTCAGAACAAGCGGGAACCCTCGATTCGTGCTTCGAATAACCTCAGAATCTTCAGGAATCACGCCAAGCAATGACAATCCCAACATCTCCTGCACATCTAACACTGACATCATATCCTCTCCTTTGATCATATCAGTTCTCACTCGGTTCACAATCATCTTTATATCTCGAATTCCGTCGCATTCTAACAAACCCGTAACCCTATCGGCATCCCTTAACGCTGTTATATCCGGAGTTGTAACCAGAACTGCTTCATTCGCCGGAGTAATGGCGGTTATAAACCCGGCATCGATTCCTGCAGGACAATCGATGATAATGAAGTCCGGTGAACCTTCCGGTCTCGTTTTCAACGCATCAACAAGCCATTCCAATGCTTTTCCACCAAATCCCATCGGAAGTTTCGATCTAGGTTTAGAAATACATAGCAATTCGAAATTCGACCAACGCTTATCACGTACCAGAGCTTGATCGAGACGACAATCTCCGTTTATAACCTCGACGCAAGTGTAATTGACTCGATTCTCTAACCCTAGAAGGAGATCGAGGTTACGAAGTCCAAGGTCAGCGTCAATAGCGACAACTGAGAAGCCGTAACGAGCTAGAGAGAGACCAACATTTGCGGTGGTTGTCGTCTTTCCAACACCGCCTTTCCCGGAGGTGATAACAACGATACGCGGCGTTTCTCCGGCGAGTTCCGGTTTGCGATTAAACTGAAGAACGGATCGTATTGGACTCCGTCTGCTAGGGTTATTGACGAATCGTGGTGAAGATAGTAGAGGTTTGTGTGAGAGAGACGATGGAAGGAGAAGAGATTGATGATTCGTCGAGAACAATCTCAGAGACGCCATTGATAGAGCTGCTTCTTCAGCTGTCTCCACAGAGACAGAAATGTTTCTGAGCGTTGTGGCTTGAGAGGGTTTACGGTTTATCAACAACTTTTGAGATTCCGGTTTATAATTTCTTCACTGTAAACCGGTTTAATATTTAACCAAATAATGTCTCGGTTTTACCGGTTAAATGATTCATCTCTATTACAAATGAACAATCATAGACTCATAGTATACAACCAAACAAAATTATACCAAACACAAACCGAATCCGAATACCGGTACACCGCTTTGGTTTCCCGGTTTATGTATTGTCCCTCTATGACTATGAATACTTGCTCTATATAGCAATGACTTTCTTTTTTTATCTGCCAGCGTTAGTCATTAGCTGAGAGAAGACTTGGCTGCTACTGATTATGCCTGAAGTTCCATCTCCATAGTCCCTATCTGTGTTCGAGCCACTAGATGGACCTTGCCGAGCTGTTCCTGAGTCGGTAACGTCTCCATAAACTTCTTCAGGATTGTTCAATGGTCCTGATTCTTGAAGCTGAAGTACATGTTCTAAATTCCACAGAACATCGCCAATTGTCGGTCTATCTACGCCGTAATCCGCACAGCATTTCTCTGCGGTTTCTGCGAACTTCTTCAAGGAGCACGGTTTGATTTCATCCGCGATATTCGGATCAACGATCTGATCGAGCATCCCTTTCCTTTGCCACTCGATTGCCCATTCTGCTAAATTTACTTGCTCCCTAACAAGCAACGGATCAACAGCGGGTCTAGCGCAAAGAACTTCGAAAAGAACAACCCCAAATGAATAAACATCGGATTTATCCGTGAGCTGTTGTCTCCTGAAGTATTCAGGATCAAGATATCCGAAGCTTCCTTTTACACCGGTGCTCACATGTGTCTCATCAATACAAGGACCTGATCTTGAGAGTCCAAAGTCTGCAACTTTGGCTACATAGTTGTTATCTAGTAGGATATTGGTGGATTTGATATCCCGGTGGATGATTCCTTGCGAAGAACCGGTGTGAAGGTAATGAAGACCTCTGGCTGCACCAATGCAGACCTCAAGCCGTTGTTTCCAAGACAAAGGCGGGTTGGTGGATCCGTATAAGTGACTTTTGAGCGGTCCTTTATCCATGTACTCATAAACAAGAATCATCTCAGACTGTTCTTCGCAATACCCCACAAGCGAAACCAGATGGCGATGACGGATCTTAGAGAGGATGGTTATCTCAGAGAGAAACTCCGGTAAGCCCTGTCTTGAACCAGGCGAGCCTCTCTTTACAGCTACTTTGGTGTTGTCTTTGAGAGACCCTTTAAAAACCATCCCAAATCCGCCAACTCCGATTACTAAACTTTTATCAAAGTTATTGGTTCCGGATTGTAATTCAGCGAAAGAGATTCTCAGAGTATGGTAGCCACTAGAACTAACAGTTCTTTCAGTTGTTCTACTGTTGGAACTGCCTCTAAACCTCCTCAAAGGTGTCCACCCCGTGCTTTCCGAACTCCTCGTCTTGTTGTTCTTGCGCCTGCACAAGCACAAAACGCACAAGAAGAACAGCGACAAGAACACAAAACCTCCCAAAACCGAGCCAACCACGATCCAGACAACATTCCTCTTTCCAGATACCACTTCAGAACTCACAGGGCTTAAAATCCTCATGATCTCAACTCCATTCAATAGAGCATTAACTCTTGCCGGATTACTAAGATCAGACGGTCCAACACTAATCCTCAACATTCCAGAACGATCAGACTCCGCAACAAAATCAATGTACAACGGAGACGCAAGCACATGGAAAGTAAGCGTGGAAAGATCAACATCTTTATACGCAAGATACTCATTGATAAAGACATTGAAATAGAGCTGATTAAGCGAAGAACTAACGATATCGCAGAAATGCAAACGAACCAAATGAAGAACTCGTTTCTCATCAACCTGAAATCCCCAACTAATGTTAAACCTTGCCTGCAACTCCTGATTATCTCGATCCATCTCCTGAGCAGTCATATAAACATTATCCGGAGCAATCTCTCTCGTGGCGCCACCGCTTTGATAATTCGGAGAATGAGTAGTCCAAGCACGTCTCGCAGCAGCTCTCAACAGAAGAAAGTTGTCATCAACAACCCAAGTCCTCCACAATGTATCATTAAACGGCGTCAATTTAGAACCACCAACGTTGATTCTATGAACAGTCTCAAGAACTTGAGATGACAAGTTACTAAAGATTTGAGCAGAGTTAGGGATTACAAGCTTTGTTCCTTGATCCATTATATAATCATTAGGTGCTGAAAACACTTCAACCGCATTAACAAACCCAAATCCAGAAGCTTTAGAAGGTATAAACGAAATCTCTAAAACAGGGTCATCGATTTTGAGTATAAATTCTTTAACAACGACGGAGCTAGTACTGAAACTGTTAATCACAGAGAACCCATTAATCAAAACTCGAAATTTCGCAGACCTTAAGTTAAAGCTTGAAGCTTTAAAAGGCGCGAAATGGAGACGGATAAAGTGAGTGCCTTTGGTAGTGACTTGGAATTTGTATGATCCTCCGATGGGGAAAACACGAGCTGTGTTGTATAAAGCGGGTGAATCTGGAGATGGGTTCGGGTCAGAAATGGAAATAGATCGATCGGTGGAGAGAAAACTCGAGCCAGGTTTTGAAGAGTCGCTGAGAAAAGAACGGATTGTGAAGAAAGATGTGTTGGTGCTAGAACCGGAATTGATAAGGTAATTATCAGTTGGAGTGAAAGCAGCGAGAGAAAGATGAAGAAGAGAGAAGAAGAAGAGAAGGGTTTGGATTAGATTTAGTGGAAACGCCATTAGAGTGAAGCTTTTTGGGGAAGGTTTGAGAAAGTTTTTGTTTGGGTTGATATTAAAGAGAAGAAGAGATGGAGAAACTAGAAAGTGGGTTTTTGCTGTCACTTCTCTGTATTTGTATTTTTTTTCCCACTAAAGGGTGAGTGAAAGAGAAAGTGTTGTTTGGGAAATCATTAGGGAAGCGAATTTTGTCAACAGCAATGGGAAAACGAAACAAGTCTTAAACCTGCTTTGTTTGTGATTCGGTGGCAATCATTTTCATAAAGTTTTGTTTGTTTTAAATATAGTTGATTTTTACTGATTTGGTAATGAGTAAGGAAAATTTTAGTTAATCAGATTTGTACGCTATTAGTAGGGATGTTTGATTCATTTTTGTACTGGATATAAACAGTTTTGAGATATGTTTTTGATGAAAAAAATGAGGGTCTTACGGATTAACTCATCGTAGGTGGTGTGATTATTGTGGTTTTAATTGCGTAACTAACAAGGTTTGGACCGACACATTATTAATAAACTTTAATAAATTAACAAGATACAGTGTAGCCTACACTGTGTAGGCAAGTTAAATAATTCACTCGTTAATTCAATAGACCTAAACATACTAATTTAATAATTAGAAGGAAAATTAAGGAAAGCAACTGTCACCAAATTAATAGTACTCTTTTTATGGGCATCCATGATCCATCATTTTTTTTTTTTTTTTTTTTTTTTGATCCATCATTTTTTACAAAGTCTAGATTAACATTTTTTTTATCAACTCATCATTTTTAGAAGTACTCTTTTTTGTTTGTCTAGATAAACAAGATGACAATAAAATACAAGAAAACACTTTTAAAAAAAAAGAGAGAAGAGAATTCCAATCGATGCTAATCATAAAATCCTTTTTTTTACATACACTATTCATTATGTTTTCTTCTTATATTTTTTCGTCTTCCTTTTTTATGTTTCTTTCATCGATTTTTTTTATTTTTGTATTTTTTTGTATCAAAAGATCATATGAAAAATAAAAATAAAGTTTCGAAAAAAAACATTGTTAAATTTATTTTAATTTTTTATCATATTCATTATGTGGTATATTTATGCTTATCATCGATTTTTTTTTGGAAGAAATTTGTAAACTCATTTTTTTTATCAATAAATTTGTTTACCCGAAAAAGGGGGAAAAAAAAAGTTTCCAAAACTATAATATCGAACTTCAGACATTAATTGGCATCTAAAAGTAGTATGGCTATTCTATTCACAGTGGTATCACCAAATCCACTGTCACCCACAATCTCATCGCTCCACGTGTCTCCTTCCCGCCACCACTTATCATCAATAACCATCCGCCGTAACAAATCGCCGCCGGTAACACTCCCTCCACCGCGTCATGTTTCCTCTCGAAGCCGGCGCGTGAAGGTTTTCTCACAACTACGATTCCCTCTAATCTCCCCCGACGATCACTGGTCTCAATGGGCCGCTCTATTCGCCTCCGGAGCTTTCGGCGTCTGGTAAATCACCTCAATCCTCTCTGTTGAAACATCTAGTTCTTAGGGTTTTGTATACTGATGAAATTACCGACTTCTTGAGGTCGGAGAAGACGAAACTTGGAAGCATGGTGAGTGGTGCGTTGACAAGTACGTTACTTGGGCTCGCCGCGAGCAATTTAGGGTTAATTCCGTTTGAAACGCCGTCGTATGACTTCTTCATGGAGTTTCTCTTGCCGCATACGATTCCATTGTTGTTGTTTAGAGCTGATCTCCGTCGTATTATCCGATCTACTGGGTCATTGCTTCTTGCATTCTTGATTGGATCTGGTAAAGATTTTGTCTTTGCTTAGTTTGGATTCATGCTTAGTATTAAAAATAGTTAGGTCTTTGAGAATCAAGAATTGTATTGAAATGACATTTCTTGATTAGTGATTTATTAATTTATGAGTTGGTCTGTGGTAGTTGCGACGATTGTTGGGACTGTGGTGGCTTTTATGTTAGTACCGATGAGATCGCTTGGTCCGGATAACTGGAAAATAGCAGCTGCTCTTATGGGGAGTTACATTGGTGGATGTAAGTTTGTCTGGAGCCTCTTCATTGCTTCTTTGGCTTGTTAACAGACAGAGGTACTCAATGTTGGTCTTCATCGGTTAAAAAGGTTCTAGCTTTTCTTGATTCTAGCCTATCGGAAAAAAGAGGAAAATCTTGCTAAATTGGCTTGTAAGATGTTTCTCACAACTTGGGACTTCTTCATGAGAAATGAGAACAAAACTGTTGGTTCTTGTTTTTTGTTCTGCAGCCCTTAATTTCGTTGCGATATCGGAGGCTCTACAGATTTCTCCATCTGTTATAGCAGCGGGTGTAGCTGTGGACAATGTCATATGCGCTCTTTACTTCATGGTTTTGTTTGCGTTGGCCTCAAAGATACCCCCTGAGACCACCTCAGCATCTTCCCCTGGTAAAGTTTCGTCTTGATTACATTTTATATTTTCTTGTATTATAAAGTTATGTTACAATGCTAAAGGATTACTTAAGAACTTGGGCCTTGGGGTAGATATTATCGTACCAGCGTCTATGGCTAACAGTTGGACCAATTGAAGATGTGGTGACACTTGGTTAGAGGTTGTCAAACTGATCTAAGTGAATATTGGTAAAAATAGTTATTATGAATAGATTATAATGTGCCTAGCAAATTATGTTCTGATAATAAATACTCAATAGTTTGAAATTATTACATACATAACTATTCTCATCTTCTAACTGCATTTGCATCCAACATATTAATGCATTTGTCAAAATATGTATTGAAGAAAGATTCTCATTACTTGTGAATTTTGACATTGTTACAAAATCATTTTCAACTTCTGGTCGTGGTTGCATCCAAATATAAACACAATTACTACTATTCAAGTACTTCTTGTGATCTCTGGCAGATGCTGACATGACTAAAGATGACGAGCTCAAGGACAAGAACAGATTGGTTTCAACGTCGATTGCGCTATCAATTTCATTCCTGATATGCAAAGCTGCTATTTCGATGACGACGCTATTTAAGATCCAAGGAGGCATGCTTCCTGCAGTAACAGCCATCACCATCGTCTTGGCAACTTCCTTCCCTGATTTCTTCAATTCTCTGGCACCTTCTGCTGAAACCATCTCTCTCATTCTCATGCAGGTATCTCTTTCTTTACACTTTTATCCATTAGAACAAATGAGGGATGTGTATGATCATTTTCCAAACGGATCCGTTTTGAACCTCTTTATTCAATGTTCCCATCCCTGATGAAGCCCACGGTTTGGCCCGCCGTTAACATGGACCGGGTCTGTAATGGCGGCAAATTAGTAGTTCATTTCACCTTCTTTTTTTTTTAATATTGAATCTTTTTTGTTCAGGTATTTTTCACAATTCTAGGAGCAACAGGGAGTGTATGGAATGTAATCAACACTGCCCCAAGTATCTTCCTATTTGCTGCAATTCAAGTAATGGTTCATCTAGCAGTGACATTGGTTCTAGGAAAGCTATTCTGTATCGACATGAAGCTACTGCTTCTTGCATCAAACGCTAACATCGGAGGCCCAACCACTGCTTGTGCCATGGCAACTGCAAAAGGATGGACTTCTCTAGTCGTTCCCGGGATTCTCTCGGGCGTTTTCGGGGTCTCCATAGCAACTTTTCTCGGCATTGGATGTGGAGTTTTTGTCCTTAAACGATTATAGATTTCTAAACAGTTCTAATGATTGGAGGATTCTGAAGCCACACTCCTTGTAAATTGTTAATTGTTCTCGAGTCTCATTAGTTTACATCTATTTATTTTTCTAATAACCATTTTACGAGTTAAAATATTTTTAAAAAAAATTGTCAACTATATATTACCTCGCCATCTTTTACTTATAAAAAAAACTATATATTACCTATAATTATTGTATTTTAGTTGACTAATATGTGGTACGCCTTAGCTTTGTTGTACTACTGTACCGCTCTTTCAATATTAGTCAACTGTACTTGTGTTCTTAAGTTTAAAGTCAACTGTACTTCCTATTTGGATTTGTAAAGTCAACTGTGCCAGATCAATAAGATTCTCTTGATTCCAAATTTTAGTATTTTGTAACCAAAAGCAGTGCTAGATTCATCCTTTTGTTTGATTTATCCTATAAACCTTGATAGATTAACGTTGTTGAAATTTTACGTACGTGTTTAATTGTAACTTTTCGATTCCAAAAAACCACATGACTTGGATTTGAGGTTCGAACTAAGTCTTTATTATGTGTTTGATGCACCTGCTCTTTTCATAATATTGATGTGCCTATACGAAGAGCACAACTTTAGCCAATAATAAAAAACATTGTTAGTACTTAGTACATACTAACATAATCTTTTTTAATGCAGAGATAAATTATTAGCTAAGAATGAGTAAAGGTGTAGTACAACAAGCTAAGTACCAATTTGTAAATGCATGAATCATGCCTTTTTGTCCCTTTGCCTTATAGAAATGTTCTCAAATCTCAACTCTTTACGCACGAAACCCTAGCTAATACAGTATTTTATAAGTATTAATTTGTAATAGTTTAGTAAGGGACTTTGTTTTGATTGGTACCATCGTGTACTTCTCGTTTCTCTCCATATTATAGCTATATAGATATTTTTACTCAATCATATAAGCCTTTTTCAACGAGATTTCACTCCTACATTAAAGTATCATACAGTTGGTAATTTCTTTCTTTCTTTTTATTTGCCAAGATTTGTTGTAGATTAGGAATATATATACTATATATATATATTAAAATAATAATCAAACCATTGCTCTCAACTCACAAACTTTTCTATTCGCAAATATTTGTTACACGTTTAGACCAAGGGGCAAATCTAAGAAACTGTCCTAGACATGTATTAAGAGATTGTTAAGAGAGTTTAAGAGAGTTTTGCACAAGTTCACGTCTAAAGTCATGTTTGTTTTTGTATCTGGATGCTTCCAGGTTAACCATTCAGTTTCAATATTTACATATTTTTTGTTTTTTAAATTAACTTTTGCAGATAGATGTTGTATTTATATGAAATTTTGTTCGTATGTGAATTTGTAAAGAAATTTTGAATGCTAATTCATCAATAAAAATGTCTAAAAATGATATAGATTTGTTAATAAGTTTTTGTAATGATTAAATTAAATTTTTGATAAAATAAATTCCAAAATAAAATGATTTTTGATTCCAAACACGAGTAAAAAAATTGATGCCAAAATTTGATTATTTAATTTTGGCACCATTCCACAATTCTGTCACAAAAATTTCACTATTATGGAGTCAAAATAGAAATTCTGCAATTTTGGCGTTAAACATGTTTCCATAGTTTTGGCTGTTTAAGTTTGACACCAAAACGAATTATTATAATTTTGACGAGAAAAATGAGATTTTCAATTTTCATGTCAAAAAGTGAATTGTGCCAAATATATTACACAGTTCATAAAGAACTAAATTTATAGAAACCGAATACAAAATATGATCAAAAGAAAGCTTTCAATTGCATAAACCGATGATCCATGTTTGGCTAACATGTATTTATATAAAAAAATTATACAAATTGTTGACCATACATTTATGATATATGATATATGATTTATGTATATGTCAATATACAGTAGATATATATATTTATATGATTTATTTATACATAGTGTATATTCTCTGCAGGCAAATAATTGTTGGGAGATAAGATTAAATAAAAGCAGGGGAAGGATTCTCGCGTCTTAGACAAACACACGTAATTATTATATACTAAATGCAATAAGTACGATATTGCCCTTATAATCTGCTATAAATAACAAACGGAAACGCTTTCCATATATAAAACACAAACTTTACATCAATATATTGTGGATAAATAATTAAATTTAAAGGAGAAAATGGGAGATATGAGAAGCTTAGTGAAGATGTTAATGGTGGTTCTATTTCTAGGATGGATTTTTATTTGGATTATGATTTCAACTGATCTTTACAAAAGTAAATGGACTCCAAAACTCGCCAAGAATCTCAATACTACTTATTTTGGCCCTCAAGGTATTAATTTCTCTATTTATTCTCGCACAAATTTAATTTTTTGAGTATTCAAGAAGTATCATGTATATATGTGTAGGCACGAATCTTGTGCTACTCACAGTTCCAATGATGTTCATTGCGGTTCTGAGTTGTGTTTATTTGCATACCCAGAAGAAACCAACCCAACCTCAAAGGTTCGACTTGTTTGTTATAGTTTCATTGTTATTGGCTATTTATAGTTTCATGTTGTAACAAATTATATAAGTGCAGAGAATGGAAAATAAAAGGGAGAATGGGAAGGGTAATAATGGTGATGAACCCATTGGGGATAGTAACGGCCACAGAGTTGACCTTTTCTCTGTTGTTCGTGGCTCTTTTGATTTGGGCTCTCTCTAGTTATCTATACCTTAGCTATCACGTCCACCTTCATAACCACGACAACGCCAAAATGTAAGCTTCTTAATTTTGTTTCTACGTCTAACTTTATATGCTCGAATGGTTTGTTGGAATATCACACATCAGAAATGGACACCGGCCACTCAGTGATAATTGTTTCGAATTAGAAGTTCATGATTGCTCACATGGTTATATTATGTGAAACATAACAGATTTAACATACCAAAACCGATAATGCAGATTTTTGAACTGCCATTTTTCATACGTTGATGATTTTTTTCGCTCCCTAGTAACCATATGGAGTATCTAGGTACCAAATCCGTAGGGGAGTTGATTTAACATTGACTAAAATGGTGCAGATGGCAGGCAAAGTTTAGGGCTTTTGGACTGAGAATGGGATACGTGGGTCACTACTGCTGGGCCTTTTTGTTCTTCCCGGTGACAAGAGCCTCTACGATTCTGCCACTTGTCGGGTTGACTTCGGAGTCAAGCATCAAATATCACATTTGGCTTGGACATGTCTCAAACTTTCTCTTCCTCGTTCACACCGTCGTTTTCCTTATCTACTGGGCTATGACCAATCAGTTGATGGAGGTTCGTTATAACTAACTTAAGTCCTAGTGTCCTCGGCTTTATGGCCAAAGGATTAAACTTGGTGTACCCTAGATTCGATTTAATAGTGTTTGGGTTATATACCAAGAAATCTATTCAATCCTAGATTATTCGGGGTATTTCAACAAAACTCGAATGCTCGATGCTAAATCTAATAATATAAAAAATATTTCTTCTATTCCAAATCTGACATGTTTTTACGTTAACTTATATATGTGTGAAGACCTTTGCATGGAATGCGACATATGTGCCAAATCTAGCCGGAACAATAGCGATGGTCATTGGAATAGCGATGTGGGTGACGAGTTTACCATTCTATAGACGAAAGAAGTTCGAGCTTTTCTTCTACACTCACCAACTCTACGGTCTCTACATAATCTTCTACGCAATGCATGTGGGAGACTCGTGGTTCTGCATGATCTTGCCAAACATCTTCCTCTTCTTCATCGACCGCTACTTGAGATTCTTACAATCCACAAAGAGATCCAGACTTGTTTCCGCTAGGATCTTACCTTCAGACAACCTTGAACTCACTTTCGCCAAAACCTCAGGTCTATAACGAATGATTCAACATTAATAGTTTAGGGTTTTTATTTCAAAAATATATGTTTTCAATTACAAATACAAATGCAAAACGCAAACGTAATAAATAATTCTTTTGGTGTATATTTAGGCGTACATTATACCCCAACAAGCATATTGTTTCTACATGTGCCAAGCATTTCCAAGCTTCAATGGCATCCATTTACTGTGACTTCGAGCAGCAACTTAGAGAAAGATACGCTAAGTGTTGTGATCAGACGACAGGGAACTTGGACTCAAAAGCTTTACACACATCTCTCTTCTTCCATTGATTCTCTCGAAGTTTCTACTGAAGGTCCTTATGGCCCTAACTCTTTTGATGTCTCGAGGTACAAAACTCAAAGTTCTAATTATTATAGCTTCATACTTAATCTTAAGTTTGTCTTATAAATTCTAATATTTATCATCATATATATATAGGCATGACTCTCTAATACTAGTGGGCGGTGGTAGTGGAGTTACACCCTTCATCTCGGTGATCAGGGAACTCATATTTCAGAGCCAAAATCCGACCACAAAGCTACCAGATGTTCTTCTTGTTTGTGCCTTTAAACATTACCATGATCTTGCGTTTTTAGATTTAATCTTCCCATCGGACATATCAGTCTCAGATATTTCTAAGCTGAATCTCCGAATTGAGGCTCATATTACAAGAGAAGACAAGAAGCCCGAGACAACTGATGATCACAGACTTCTTCAGACAAAATGGTTCAAACCGCAGCCTCTAGACTCTCCTATCTCACCTGTTCTTGGATCCAACAACTTCCTCTGGCTCGGAGTCGTGATTTTATCATCATTCATCATGTTTCTCTTGCTCATAGCGATTGTCACGCGTTACTACGTATACCCTATTCAACATAACACAGGAAAGGTTTACAATTTCTCGTATAGAACGCTTTGGGACATGTTCTTAGGATGTGTGTGCATTTTCATCTCTTCAAGCATAGTTTTCTTATGGCGCAAGAAACAGAACAAAGAAGGAGATAAGGAGTCCAAGAAGCAGGTTCAGAGCGTAGAGTTTCAGACTCCCACGTCTTCTCCAGGGTCATGGTTCCACGGCCACGAGAGAGAGCTCGAGAGCGTTCCCTATCAATCTATAGTACAAGCCACTTCAGTCCACTTCGGCTCCAAACCTAATTTGAAAAGTAAGTAAACTATTACCACTAGAGTCCACATGATAGCATCACTTACATAACATAAATGCTGTAAGTGAATGTACATGCATGAAGCTGATACTTTAACCTTATCGTTTTGCAGAGATTCTATTTGAGGCAGAAGGTTCCGAAGACGTTGGGGTGATGGTTTGTGGACCAAGAAAGATGAGACATGAGGTTGCAAAGATATGTTCATCTGGTTTGGCTAAGAACCTTCACTTTGAGGCAATTAGTTTCAACTGGTGATTGATTCCATGTCCCAACTATATATGTTTGTTTAATTTATTATATTCATCATAATGACCGTTGATGTTTAAATGGGTTGCTGTTCAATATTTTTCTTTTGTTGGTTTAATGATTATAATTACTATGAAGCTTTTATTTGAAAGAAACAATTCTGTTTAAATATATAATTATTTAGTAAAATAAATTGAAATTAAAATAAAAATAAATAAAAGAGAGCTAGCTAGCTGATGGAGCAAAGCAAGTATCAAGGTAAGTTATAGCTTGCCATGAACCAAAGTGCATAGCTGTTGCTAGAGTCCTTCTGATGAAACCATCATTCTAATGCCTGAAGCTTCCCTGTGTTGGGGACCATGTAGTATCCTTTCCAAGCTATCCTTGAACCCACATGGAAAGGTTTCTCAATCCTTTTGACGAATTTGCCTACATCTAGACTAAAAAGGCCACTTGGTTACATGTGTCTCTTTCTATAGACTTTATACAATAGAACCAGTTAGGAATGTATCATTGGCCAAAGGCTATACCCGAACCGTTTTGAACCCTAATACCCTTTTTCCAATGTTGGAGGATTCTCAAGCCACACTCCTTGTAAATTGTAATTGTTGTTCACATTAGTTTACATTTTTTACTTTATCAAATTAAAATGTACTCATATAATAGAGTTGTTTTTATGCATTTATCTCATTAATAAACGATAACCACTCCCATTGGTTGAGCTTTACATGTTATAATAAATAAATAAAAATTGTCCACTATACATTGTATACAAATCCGTTGTGGTTATGATGTAGTACAGGAAACGCTAATTTTGTCCGCGCATGAATCATGCCTTTTTGGTCCTTTCTCTTTGTAGAATGTTTCTTAATCTCAATTCGTACGTATGAAACCCTAGCTAAATATTTTTTTATAAAAAAACCTAGCTAATTTTTTTTAAGTTTGTTTCGAAATCAAATAATTAACTAATTAGTTATGAATAAACTAAACCATGTGGGAAAGTCAATCCAATACTATTACCATTACCATTACCAACGTGCATACATGGACACAGCTAAAACGAATATTAATTCATTCGGAAAATAAACATGAGAAAATTCTTTCTCAAAACACACTTCCATTTATTAAGAATTTCTTAAACAGTTTCAAATAACTTTTCTTTTTGATCAACCTAAAAACAGTTTAAAATAGTTTTACACGTAATTATCGTGATTAGTTACAGACCAATTTTAATTATCCAAATCTCACGCACAATTAATTTAACACTAAAAACTGTATAGATCATTTTTTGTTAAAGACCATTGATGTTTTGTTCGAAAATAAATAAATGATGTGTACAATGATTGTGGAAGAAAAGACAAAATGGGGTTAAAAAAAATTTATATTTCGGAGATATACCATGACCGCATTCAAAATTTTTTGGCGAAACACAACTTTTAAATCACGGTTCATACTATTTGGAGAGAGAGAAATTTAAGACGTCACCAGGCCCGTGGCTAAGGCATTAAAAATAAACTTTGGCTTACGGCCTTTTCTACAAAAATAAATCAAAGGCTATTAGTTTCTTAGGTATAACGTAGAAAAATGTGACAATTTTGGGTTAAACAAAAATAGTTTTTAATTAGTTAAAAGTCTAATAGAAAACCAAAAGCTAGTAGTTTCTTAATCATCGTTGGCATTCTGTTTTCGTAATCAATTGGTAAGAACTTTCTTCATAATAATGTTGTTTCATCTAATACTAGCTTTTAAATTTTTGTTTGTATTTAGAATACTAAATAGAAAGTAAAACTAGTCTCGAGTATATCATAAAAAAATTGAGTGATTCGGCTATTTTATCTATCGAAACGAAGTTGGTTAAACATTTTAATTTTGAATGCTTGGTTGATGATTTTGTAACAACAAAAAGAAAAAAAAAAGTATGATTTAGAATTAATCTTTGATTTTTACTCTAGGTTTTTATCTATTTAGGATGGTAGTAGTTATTTTTTTCTTAAGTTTCGTTTTATATGATTTGAGGAATATTTTTAGCACCGCCTCTGGTCTCTATACTCCTAGGAACGGCTCTGGACGTCACGGGGAGGTACCACGTTCTGCAACCACACTCATCCATTGGATTGAGCAGCACATTCACAACCAACTCTCGGTAATTCGTTCAGTGGGAGACCGGCGATACGATCAAGGCCTATAAGCCTGGTTTGCTTTCCAAATCTAAAAAATTCAACAAAATGCTCTGTTTTTCCAATTTAAATCCCTGCTCTATTTTCTTTCAACATTTAAGAAATAGCTGATGTAAAAATATTTTTGTTTTAATATAAATTTACATTTTATTCAAAAAATCTTTAAAAAAATATTTACTTCCGCAAAATTGTAAAATGCTTACTAAAACTTAGTGTCACATGAAGTTTTTTTTTTTTTCAACTGGAGGTACATTAGGTTTACCATTCCAACTATTGTCCCAAATCAATGTATTCGTCGAATAGTTCATTCATCAAATTTTAACAGATCTAAAATATGACACCGGTTTTAACTGACCAACTCAAAATGATAAGTTTTCCAGTTAAAATCAAAAAAAAAGAAAAAAGAACGAATTAACCCAATTTCCTTAAACTTGTTATGGTTAGGACAACAGTTAGAAATATACGTTTAGAAACCAAATATACAAATCCGATCAAAGGAACGCAAAACGCTTTCAATTTCATAAATCGATGAACCGATCAATGCTTGGCTAAATATTTTTCTAAATAAATTTTGATACAATTTTCGGGCCACAAATTTATGATATAAGCGTTGAGTGTTTTATATAGAATATATATTCCGCTGGCAAATAATTGGGAGATAAGAGCATGTATATGGGTGATACCCATATAGTATCATTAGGAATTTTTTAGTATTATTTATAATGTTTGTTTATTGTTTGAGATTTTTTATAATACTCCTACTAAATACGTTTGCATTGGTGAGACCGGCTTAAGTATCATAAAAAAAAGAATTATTTGCAAAATCAAAAATAAATATATTAAAACATAGGATTACAAAAGGTAATATCTATACTAGTATTTTTGCAGTCATTTTGGTGACGGGTGGGTAAAAAAGCTTTCGGGTTATTTGGATACCCGACCCGTTTCCAAATTTTGGTCATAAAAAATTTATTGGGTCGGGTTATATTTAACCCAACTCATACACCAGATATTCCATATTTAATAATTTAGATATTTAGAAGATTTGATTAAGATTTAGAATTATAATTCTTCTATCATCTTTGATTGATTTGTATTTAACTGTTTTGAATCATCATATAATACATAAATATTTTATAAGGAGATACAATTTATAAAAATTTATATATACTAACTTTAAAAAATAAACCATCCCGCGGTGTACAGCGGGTTAAAATCTAGTTAGAATTAAAAAACCGTAGAATATACTTAAGCAAGATAAAACATAAAATTCAAAAAAAACTTAAAAAAACATGATGATAAAAATAATTTAGTCGCTCGAAATCAATTACCTTAACCCCATTTTTGCCAAATATGAATTTTTTTTTCTCTACTTTCAAGGAAAAACGCGTTTCCCAGACGAATCAGCTGCCGCCACGTCACCTGATACTGGGTATCAGAAGTATCACTCCAGTGATACTGATCAGGCCCAACTTGATACTCTGATCTATTAAAAAATAATTAATAGGCTCTTGATACTCTCATTATATGAGCTATGTACATGGTCTAATCTATAGTATAATAGCAAACCAGGTTTATGTGCTGCTCACGTCACTTTTTTTGTAAGAAAAAAAAAACACAAATCCAACGGTCGAAACATAAGCAGGGGAAATTCACAAACAAATCTTAGCATACAACATGTATATAATTACGATATTACCCCTACCTTCCTCTATAAATAGTAAATCGATATAGCTTTCCACACAAACAACACACTTACACATCAAAATATTGTGGAAAAAATAAAAAAGAGAAAAATGGGAAATATGAGAAGCTTAGTGAAGATATTAATGGTGGTTCTGTTTCTTGGATGGATTTTTGTTTGGATCATGATTTCAACTAATCTTTTCAAAAGCACTTGGACCCCGAAACTTGCCAAAAATCTCAATACTACTTATTTTGGCCCTCAAGGTAAGAATTTCTTTATTTAATCTCCCATTTATTCAAACATTTTGATTCCTTTATTTTTGAGTATTCAAGAATTATCTTGTATGTCTAGGCACGAATCTTGTGCTTCTCACGGTTCCAATGATGTTCATTGCGGTTCTAAGTTGTGTTTATTTGCATGTCCAGAAGAAAACAACCCAACCTCAAAGGTACGACTTGTTATAATTTTATTATTGTTGACTGTATTTTCATGTAAACATTTGTAATAAATTATTTATCACAATTCTATTATATGAATGCAGAGAATGGAAGCTAAAAAGGATAATGGGGAGGGTGATTATGGTGATGATCATTGGGGATAGTGACAGCAACAGAGTTAACTTTTTCTCTATTGTTTGTTGCTCTTTTGGCTTGGTCCCTCTACAATTATCTCTACATTAGCTATCACGTCCACCTTCATAACCACGACAACGCAAAAATGTAAGCTTCTATTTGTTTTCTACTTCCAACTCTTGCTTTATACTTGAAATGATTTGTCAAATTATCACATGGAGATAATTCAACACTAGGTTAGTAAGAAAATGTGAACATCTTCGCTTATCGCCAATTGAATTTTGAATTCAAAAATCAAAACTCTTCACATGGTTAAGCCAAATCAAAAACAATTGCGCATTTTTGTGGATTTGCCATTTTTAGTCGATCAAATATGTGATTTAACATGTGTTTTATCCGTTATATTTGGGTTTAGTCACTTGTATTTGTTCTTGCGGTTTAATATTTAGTATAACGTACGTATTTTTGCAAAAAAAAAAAACATAAATACGTACATTATTAAGTGTTAAAAACGGTAAATCCATAAAATTTTAGTAAAAATAGCATTTTTGTAAGATTTATAGAAATGACATTTTTTACAATATTCCCCTAAATCCATAGAAGAATTTAATTAAACATTGATTGATTGATATGTTGCAGATGGCAGGCAAAGTTTAGGGCTTTCGGCCTGAGAATAGGATATGTGGGCCACATCTGCTGGGCTTTTTTGTTCTTCCCGGTGACAAGAGCCTCTACGATTCTGCCACTTTTCGGGTTAACGTCGGAGTCAAGCATCAAATATCACATTTGGCTTGGACATATCTCAAACTTTCTTTTCCTCGTTCACACAGTTGTTTTCCTTATCTACTGGGCCATGATCAATAAGTTGATGGAGGTCCGTGTTACATCTACCTTAATCTTGTCCTTAAACAAAACAAAACAAATCTTTCATTAATTCTTTCTTTGATTTAAATCTTGTCCTTAAACAAAAAAAATTAAACAAATTAATCTTTCATTGATTCTTTCTTTTATTCCACAACTGATATTTTTTGTAACGTTTTCTTATATATATGTGAAGACCTTTGCATGGAATGCAACATATGTGCCAAATCTAGCCGGAACAATAGCGATGGTGATTGGAATAGCGATGTGGGTAACGAGTTTACCATACTATAGACGAAAGAAGTTTGAGCTTTTCTTCTACACTCACCATCTCTACGGTCTCTACATAGTCTTCTACGTAATCCATGTCGGCGACTCGTGGTTCTGCATGATCTTGCCCAATGTCTTTCTCTTTTTCATCGACCGGTTCTTGAGATTTCTACAATCCACCAAGAGATCCAGACTTGTTTCTGCTAGGATCTTACCTTCAGACAACCTCGAACTCACTTTCTCGAAAATCCCAGGTTTATAAACTAGTTCCTCCATTTACGTTGACATTCAAATATTTTTGGGTTTATACAAAGAGAGAGATGCATGCTTTATGATTGTTGTAACCATTTTATTTTTTTTACTAACTATAGGGCTACATTATACCCCGACAAGCATATTGTTTCTACATGTGCCAAGCATCTCCAAGCTTCAATGGCATCCATTTACTGTAACTTCGAGCAGCAACTTAGAGAAAGATACACTAAGCGTTGTAATCAGAAAACAGGGAAGTTGGACTCAAAAGCTTTACACCCAAATCTCTTCTTCCATTGATTCTCTCGAAGTTTCTACTGAAGGTCCTTATGGCCCTAATTCTTTTGATGTCTCAAGGTACAAAACTCAAAAGTCTTATTTCAGTTTCATACTTAATTACTTTTATCTTAAATTTTGTCTAATTGTCTCCATCATTCTCATTTTATATAGGCATAACTCTCTAATACTAGTGAGCGGTGGAAGCGGAATTACACCCTTCATTTCGGTTATCAGAGAACTCATATTTCAGAGCCAAAACCAGAGCACAAAGCTACCAGATGTTCTTCTTGTTTGTTCCTTCAAAGATTACCATGATCTTGCGTTTTTAGACCTAATCTTCCCATTGGATATATCAGTCTCTGACATTTCTAGGCTGAATCTTCGAATTGAGGCCTATGTTACAAGAGAAGACAAGAAGCCCGAGACAACTGATGATCACAGACTTCTTCAAACAAAATGGTTCAAACCGCAGCCTCAAGACTCTCCAATATCACCTGTTCTTGGACCCAACAACTTCCTCTGGCTCGGAGTTGTGATCTTATCATCATTCGTCATGTTTCTCTTGCTCATAGGGATCGTCACACGTTACTATATATACCCTGTTGACCATAACACAGGATCGATCTACAATTTCACGTATAGAGGGCTTTGGGACATGTTCCTAGGATGTGTGTGCATTTTCATCTCTTCAAGCATAGTTTTCTTGTGGCGCAAGAAACAGAACAAAGAAGGAGATAAGGAGTCCAAGAAGCAGGTACAGAGCGTAGAGTTTCAGACGCCTACGTCCACTACAGGAAAATTGAGTATTCTTAGCGGCCGAATAACGCTATCTAACGAAACGATAGCGGAGTAGAAAGCGCTATATCTGCGCCCATGATAATAGGTCGACGGTTTCCGATAGCGGTTTTTGGTGGTGCTATATTTTGTTTACATATTATAGCGTGTTTTCTTATGCAATGTAATATTATATAATAGCGAGTATATTTTGTTATTAATTATCAAATTACAGCATTTGTTATATGCAATTTAATCAATTAGAATAGCACTTATAATACGCAATTTATTCAATTAAAATAGCATTTGTATTATGCAATATATTGTGTTTTGTTTTTGTTTTAGTTTTTTTTTTTTTTTTTTTTTGCGCTATACATAAATTTCAATCCAGTTTGAATTAATGAAAATAATACAATTAAATAAGAACTCTAGTTTGACTACATTAGTTTCAAAACCAAACCGAAATAACTTTATTTGTGTCACACAACCATAAATTTCAACTTAAGCTACCTAACATTATCTTGCTTCAGATCAGGAGCTTATCGTTACGCCTCATCAATAGTATGACTTCTGCACCTTCATGTCCAAAATCTTTTTCACAGTCTTGATGTTGTTAATTAACCTCTGAGCACATCTTGCTTGAAGTTGCTTTTGTTCACATCTGAGACTAAAAGATTCAGAAAACCGGATTAGACTGGCTTTTCTATCTGAGATTGGGACCAAAACACATCTACACAAGCTTAATGTTCAGAAACAAACAACGTAACAATTCAACTTGAGGCAGATAAGAAGCTTACACATGGACGTGTGTGTGTGCGTGATGTACTCTCAACTTCAATGTTTTGCTAATGCTTTAGTGATGTGATCACTTAAGGGCTTTACGATTATCCCTGGAGCAGACCTGCAAAGAATATATACAAAGCTAGGCTGAATACACCAATTTCTGCACTCTAAGTTGCTGAATGTGAATGGGAATAAGCTAAGAATGCAAAGTGTTGCATCACATTTTCAGATAAAGCTATCTGCTTCAAAACCATATGTAATGTAATTCTTTTTCCTCTACAAAGCAAATGAACAAATCAAGTCTTCTATAACTTGCATGGTAATAAAACATTGAGAGAAAAAGATACCACATATTATTTACCTAGAAGGTTCTTTCTATCAACTTGTCTATCCCTGCAGAAGAACAAAAGCAGATGAATTTAGCAACAACTCCCATAAACACAAAAAGTAAGAAGAGTAATACACAAATGTACTATCTTTTTCTCTTCTCATTGCTTAAGAGTAATATTCAGGGATGTCTATATACCTTTGTTCAAGTGGGACGTAAGGAACCCAATCCATTTTCATATTTTTTCATTGGAATAATTTCCCCAACCTCCAATGTAATATGCTGATATATTTAGAGGACACCATATATTTAGCGCCACTTCTCGACACTAAATGTTCCGTAAAACATCTACCCTAAACCCAAATTAATAGTAGAACACTACCAATTATATCAATTGCCTTCTACTGAAATTGAAATCTTCCTACAACAGAGCAAAACAGACCGATTCAAATCCTCTTCGTGTCCTAGGAATTACCGGCGGTGTGGGGACTACGGCAGCGATGAAATCGGCGGTGAAGATGCTACGGCCGCGACGAAAGTAGAAGATAGAGCTCTCCTCCGTGTGACGAGAACGTACAAAACGGGAAAGACAGAGTCGACTCCTCATCTTCCTCCAAGATTTCAAACCAGGATCTCATAGCCAGATGTGCCTTTTATACGAAAGAGGATCTGCTCGAGCACAAAAAGGAGGCACGAAGGAATTGGTTTTCCAATCGAGTTTCAGAGAGAAGGAAGAGAGAAGAGATAGCCAAAAAGTTTCAGATCTAGTTTCAATCTATTCTATTTCTTTTCTATATCATGTTTTTCTCTTTTTTTTTTATTCTTTTTCTACTTAATAAAATTTTAGAGCCAAAGTTTTTGATGGAGCCAATAAATTTTTAGTTTCCCGGTTATTCCTACGATGACGTTTTAGTGTCACATATGCTATCATAGAACCAAAAATTTAGCTCTACTACAAATTTTTTTGACGTCCATTCTACCATAGCGTTTGCCTTTTTGAAAATGCTATATAAATTTTCTCAAAACTTAACTATAGCATAAATATTAAAAACGTTATCATGTACTGCTATTAATACACTTATTTCTTGTAGTGGTCCTCTCCAGGTTCATGGTTCCACGGCCACGTGAGAGAGCTCGAGAGCGTTCCCTATCAATCTATAGTACAAGCCACTTCAGTCCATTACGGCTCCAAACCTAATCTGAAAAGTAAGTCATCTATTACCATTGGTGCATCACATGTATGACGAAAATAATTAAATAAATGTACATAAATAAAGCTGATACTTTAACATTGTCGTTTTGTAGAGATCCTGTTGGACGCAGAAGGTTCGGAAGATGTTGGGGTGATGGTTTGCGGACCAAAAAAGATGAGACATGAGGTTGCAAAGATATGTTCATCTGGTTTGGCTAAGAATCTTCACTTTGAGGCCATTAGTTTCAACTGGTGATCGATTTCATGTTCTATTTATGTTTGCAGTTTGATTTTTTCTTTTAATACATTGCAAAATGGAATGTTAATGTATATGATAGCACCCACATCATTATCATCATCATCTTATTGAGCCCATTATAGTGATTGTGTTTTTTTATTTATTTTTGGTTAACTTCTTTTGCCTTTCTCTTTCTTTATTTCTTTCAAATTCATCAGTACTCCTTCTGTTTCTAATCGTAAGATATCTATGTTTTGGATGAAAACATCGAAAAATAAAAGTCACATAAATGGTTTCTAAATGTTTGTTTTTAAATCTATCTGACCACTAATCTATACTACTTTAATTTTATATAGGTAATTAAGTGAAATAAAATTAAATATTGCATAGAAAAATGAAAAGCTCATATAATATGAAATAAAAATAATTCGTGAAAACATCTTATAAAATGAAAACAGATCAAAGTAGTATAATAAAGGCCAGTTTTATTCTATAGAACAAGTCCATCTTTGAGCCGGTCTGAATAGACTTGTTTGATAAACATAGGTATTACTAGATGAGGACACTAGGACTTAGAGTAGCGTAAACGAGCAGCTCATCATCACGCTCAAACTCAACCATGTCGGTTTCAGGTAGTGTAACCCATGCCTCAACCCCTTCCCTGTCCTTTGCATCCATTAACACGACCTGCGTCTTATCAACCGAACCTGGGGCAACCCAAACCGGCTTTCCCCATCCAAAATCCGCCTCGTAGAACGACATCCTGCACCAACTAGACACAGCATATGTCTCGGTCTCAGGACTTACCTCGTGCAAAGAACTCAGCATCGCGCTTGCGATTCTCTCTTTGGCTTCAACGCTACTCTTTGCGTCGTCAGGATCGTTTCTGATAAGCTGATTGAGCTCCTCTTTAGTTTTCTGCAGCTTAGAAACAGTTTCTTCGATTTCCATCTTACTCTCTGAGCTTTCCTTAAGTAATGGTAAAAAGAAGAAGTTTCCAATTGCCTTGTGCGGCAAGAAAGAGGAAGATACTCTAGTTCGCAAGTTCATGGTCTGTGTTATTGCAAATTCTGTTACCTTACCCGCCTTTGAATGCCCTGCCTTTGTCATGCATCTTAACAGCAGCGCCGTGATGGACTCAATACGGGTGACTTGTGGCACAAGATTGCCACTAGAAGCTCTGTTTTTAAGCTTTTCAATCACCAAAGAACCAAAGACAAACCTTTTTGTCTTACATTTTGTTTTGCGTACCAGTAATGGAGGAAACTCGAGAGAAATATCAGCAGGAGGGTAGAAATCGGGCCCCGGAAATTCAGGATTCACTGTGTCAGCGTACCCTTTTGAAGCGTTTGTCCAGCTGCAAACAAACGTTGACAACGAGGCCGCATCGCATATCTTGTGAGACACGCTAACTGCAACCGCAAATCCTCTGTCTTTAAAGAAAATGACCTTGACATGCAACAACGGCCAGGTTTCTGGATCTGCATGGTCCGGAGAGACAATGAACTCGTGAACCAAATCAGCATCTGATGGATTTCTCAGGAAATCAGAGAGAAATATATCAGCCCGTGCCTCTGTAAACAAAGCTCCTTGGTCGTGGCAATGAACAGTGACACCATCTTTGATTTGTCCAGCGAGTGGATAAAAAAGAGACAGAGTCTGAGAGAGTGAGCTCTTGAGCCTCTGGACGATTATGTCTTCTTGGTTTGCTTGTTCATCGTAGAAGAAAATGGCGGAAACGTAAGTTGAAGGAAGAAACTGGTCGAAGAAAGAAAGAGAAAGGGTTTGGGGATGATTAGGTGAAGTGGGTTTGATTATTTCTTTGCTTACGAATTCTAGCTTCATTGCCACTTCGTCTTTTTCAACAGAAAATTCAAAAGAGGTTTAAGAGTTGCTCATATCGGCACTTTGTGTATGCTTATATATAGACATAGATATGTGAATTTGACACGACATATAGGTCGACGATATTATACTCTCACTCAAAGATTTTATATATATAAGTCGTATTCATTAGCTAAAAATATATAAAAAATTTAACGAATTGGTACAATTTGAAAAAACTTTAGTTAACTTATGATAAATATATAACTAAGAGTTTTCAGATATTTTAGTTATTTTGGATATTTTAGTTATTTGGACCTAAAAATAATTGATATTTTTGGATTCATATTGGATAATTGGGTTACATCAATTATTGTAATATTCATACTCAAAATATGAATTATTTAAAGAAGATCAAACACAAGTTTTCTAAAGAATCACTCTCTTTATTATTGCTTAGAAACTCTCTCAAAACTAAACAATGTTTTCTATTTTCTCTTAGGGTTACAACTCAACCCTAGAGCTTTATTTATAGGTAGCACACCTTTGCTAATCCTATTGCAATTAGGAAAATATAACTCCAAACCTAATTAGAATCTTCTAGGCCTATCATATCTTTAACCTCCTTTATAAAGATGTCTTGGGCCTTAAGCTAACTTGATGATTACCCAACATTATTCATGATTGTAATATATTCAGACTCAAAATATTAATTATTTTATACTTGATGTAACCCAATTATCCAATATCATGAACCCAATTATACAACACCCCGTGTGATGTAAATATATGACCCAACATTACTTGATTTCGCAAATATAGATTTTAATTTGCTGCAAATATTGAACCGTTCACGGGTTTACTATACGGTTTTACTACATTCCATCTCAGGGGGTTTTCTTTTGGATATTTCCGTCACATGGGGTGTTAAGAAAAATCGTAATCACACGTAGTTCCAAAAGCTTGCCAGGACGATGGTGCTCTATATATACATATAGAACCAAATTAAGGAGTCTTTCACGATTTAGTCATGGGATAAGTATCCACCATATACTCAATAAGTGGTCGTTCTTTTTCTCCTGCGTAATCTTTGGAAAATATATATTCCATTACCATGACTAGTGGGATGACAACAAAAACTCAGTTTGGCCGTGAACTTATCATATACCATCTTTGACAAAAAAAAAAAAAAAAAAAAAAAAAAAAGACTTATCATATACCATATGCTTACAATCAATCATATTTTACATAGTCCAAAGAACAGAACCATCTCATTTTACGTTGCAAGTTAAACAAGTGATGGATTAAATTTAAGACAAAAATTTACTAAAACGACATCAAACTATAGAATTCTATAATATATTTACGGAATTTGTGACATAATTTTGTTATAGCAAAATTTGCGATGGAATTTACAACAGTTGTCAAGTCGCAGAGTAAAAATTTGCTGTGAAAAAAAAAAAAAAAAAGTTTGCTGTCATGAGACCGAGAGTTGGTCGATGTTCTTATTCGTTAACTCGTAATTAATTACCAAGGATAGATCTACTGCGGTTAGCTTAGTTGAATGGGCCAAACTTGGATAAGTGTTAGGCTCATGTTCATTAGTTGAAGGTTCAATTCTTGATTGGCTCAGATTTGGGCTCAGACTTGGACTTATCTATTGGGCTAGTAATACAAAATAAGTAACTATACAAAATAGGTAAGGCGGTAATAAAAAATTTCTATGACTCTAGTTATGTTTGTGGTTACTACATCCCTTATCTTATAAAGCACAAGTCACCTGTCCAATTAAAACTTGCCACATAGATTTTAGACAATTAATAAAAATCAATTAAAATAAATACAACAAGAAAAAAAAAAGAAAAATAAACACGAACCCTATCGACAATTTCTCAGAACTGCTCACCCACAATCCACGATCCTTCTTCTTCGCCCACGATCTCAACCTTCTTATACTCCCACAAACATCAGAAAATCTCTCATTCGATCCCAAACAAAATGTGATTCTCCACTTCCTCGGCTTCCCTAACTTTCGTTTATACAGCGAGTATTTTGCCATTTTTTTTCTCTACAATTTCAATGTTTTAGAGTTTCAATAAGAAGAATTGGTTTATGTACGGTTGTAGGGGTGAGAAGAACATGAAGTGTCGAAGATGATAGAATCAAAAGTCAAAACAAAATTAACAAAGGTATTTTTTGCTAAATTTCTTTATCAACTGTTTAGTATTCTCCGTCAATGTCCACAGTTTTCCTTTTCTTTTGAGGTTTGATATATCAATACAATGAAAAAGAAACTCCTCAACTCCACTACGTTTCTTGACCGCTAGAAAAAGATGATTCTTAGACAATCACAATCAAATTCGTCAATGAAATTATTCTCTAAGATAACTTTTTCAGTCTTTTTAAAAACAAAAATTTCACTCTCAAAATAGTTAGAATAGTCTGAAATGTGAAGAAGCATTATGCTACACGTTTTTTTTGCCTTCAGATGTATATGTGTTATAACATACTGATTTTTTTAACTTCTTATTGTTTTATTTCAATTTGTAAAACTGTTTGCAGAAGGAGATCATGAATGAATTACTTGATGTAGAAAAACCAAAGAAGACATAAACTACTCATATAGCAGATTAAGAAGTATTAAAAGAAATACAGGAAGAGTAAGACGCAAAGAAGTAAAACATGAAATCTTTAAAACTAATCTTTGTACTTAACAAACTAAGAGCATGATTATCAAGGGTCTCTTAATGTTGGCTCTTAGGAGTATTAAAGTATTAAATTTGTAAAAGTTATAGTTAAGAGATTGTATTTTTGTTTTAAGATTTATGTGTCTCCAATGGTAGGCTCTTAACATGTGGTTCTTAGAAGAAAAAAATTAATATAAAAATTAATTTTGTAATTTTAGAAAACTTAATAATTGTTGCAAATTAAAAAATTTAAAACATACATGAGATACAATTTATAACATACATAACATAAAACACAAATGTTTTAAACTTGATTTCTAGAAAATTTTGTCTATATATGCTCGACCAAATCCTTCTTCAATTGTTGATGCATATATAGCTCGATCACGAAGTCGAGTTCTAGTGACCATTACGAAGTTGAATTTTTGGATTAAGTAGCAAAAATGAAATTTGGGATTAAGTAGACAATATAAAACTTTTTGGATGAAGTAGAAAAGATTTGAATGTTTGGATTAAGTAGAAAAGATCAATTTTCTGATGAGTATAAACGTGTGTGGTATGAGTTTGTGAGAACAAGTGAATAAGTGACAAGAGTCAAAATCTATTAAAAGAGTTTTTGGAATCCCAAACATCATCCAAGAGTTGGGATCAAAGCTCACAAAAAAACACAAATCTTTCTTCCATACCATGTCGTCTCTCAGTAAGTCAACATCTTTGCTTGCTATTTTCTTTTCAAGCAGCCATCCATCAACTGTTAAAAGTAACGACTCCAATAACCCCAAGGCATATCATTCACCGGTAATTTTTAACACTGTCAAGTTCTGACTTAAGCGACTGAAAAATGATTTACAACAATGATCAAAAGAAGGCCTAATTTCAGAAGTGGAGAGTCACAATATACCACTAACACAAATGAAACCCATACCAAAGCTTTTACAACCTCAGGCACAATTTGTTTCCCCAAGTACTAGTTTCTTTTCTTCTAAAGCTCCCTGTCTCCACAACAAACATTTAAACTAGTGTATACACAAATTTTGATCTTAGCACTAGTGCTAGTAGGAACAAAAATATACCAGGGATTGAACAATTTGTGACGAACGTTTGCATTTTCTTGGACAGTTTGCACAAGGTCAAACTTTGCTTTGGAAATCTGTAGATAGAAATACACATGTCATGAGCAGAAAACGTCTCCCAAATTCAAGCATATGCAGATCACCTAATTGACAAACGGGATTTGTTTCTTCACCAACTCGATCAAGGTAACTTCATAATAAATTAAATCACATAATCCAATTTAGTTTCATGAAGGAGCTTGACACCATATCATGTGGTTCCTTACCTCGTTATCCATCTGCTCATTATTTAGTGCCAAATTCAGTTCTTCAATGTTTACTTCTACCTCTTGGAAAAAAGGTTAATCCCTTGCAAATTGCAAAGGCTTCATCAAATTCTCCAATCTCTGCATTCAACTGCATGTATAGCTTTTAGAAAAAAGAGCACTTGATTCAAAGCTGCAAAATTCACAATGAAATTGAAAAAGATAACGACCCAGATAACGATTTCCAGATTCAATTGAGAAAGACGAAGAATTGAGGAAAAAGTCGTCGGAGTAAGGATTACCTGAGAAGCGAATCGGATTGAGAAGAGCCGCCATCCGTTGAGATGATGAAGATGTCATCCTCCGATCACCGACTTAAACAATCAACGGAGGAGACGAAGATTTGAGACTGAGAAGATTTCTCTTTGGTTTCTCAGTCACAGAGAAAAGAGAGAGAGAGAGAGAGAAAAACGCGAAACAATTTTTTTCCTTCCTCGTGTTTTACCAAGCCCCATTCTGTGAACGACACCTGTCCGTCTCTTAGGTGAATAAACATTCCTTAACTAAGGAACGTTCCTTAAGTTTAACTCTCATTTTCCATTTAATTTTAATTATATAATCTCTAAGATTTATGTTAAGGAACTACCGTTAATGATGCTCTAAGATCAATGTATTTTATTTTTTTAGTATGTTTGTGGTTAATCAATGAAAAGTGTGTTAATGTGTTTTTATGCACACTCATTTTTTCTGATAAACCTTAAGTTGTTTATACTTGCAATTTTTGCTTAAATGTATTGTTTGCAAACCTATGTCCGTGCGTAGCACGGGGTAATACTAGTAAACGGATAAACCGAACTTATATGTGATTTAGATTTACTTGTTTATTTTAATCGAATTTATTAGGCTTTTTCTGTTGCAACACATACATCCAAGACTTAATCAACACATTTATTATGATTTAGCGGGAAAACTAAAAGTCTCAGTCGTCGTCTTCGTCATAGTCGTCGTCATCATCATCGCCGCCATCAAAATAGTCTTCTCCGGCATCCAGATCATCCTCCACCTTCTCAGCTGCTTCTTCAGCGATGTTGTCTTCCACAGCCTCCAGTCCCTCCGCTAACGCCACCCCACCCAAAACTCCGGCCACAGCCCCCACCGCCAGTCCTGTCCCCATCCCACCGAACTTGCTCCCCTTCTCCGGTGCGTAACCATACCCCGGTTGTACGTACGAATGAGACGGCGCGTATGGTTCACCATAAACAGTTTGTGGTGGCGCGTGGTATGATCCGGGAGCCGGATGATACCGAGACTCTCGAACGGTGACGGTGACGTCGAGTTTGCCGTGAGGTCGGCCGGAGGGACGTTTGAGCTTGAGGGTTTTCACGGCGGGGATGTCGAAGCCGACGTCATCAATAACATCACGGAGGCTGAGATGGGCGGAGCCGATGAGGGGCTTTGTGTTCTTTTCACCTCCTGCGTGTACGATGTTGATGTATACCTTGTCGTCATCGTCGTCGTTGGCCGGAGGCAAAGGGATGACAAATGTCTCGTTCCATGTTGGACACGTGTCGCCATCTTCGTCAACTCTTGTGGAGGATTTGTACTTCGGATCGACCCATACGACGGCGTATGGCTTGTTTGGGCCGTTGCGCCAGTTCACGTTCTTGATATCCTTCGCCGATGAGATGGTCACCTCCACTTCTCGGCCAGGAGACGACATTTTCTTGAGGGTATAATTGGAATTTTACTTGAACAACCAAAGAAAAAACTTGGAAAATTGGGGGATAATAATTAGTGTGTAGGGCAATGTATAATATGAGGATTGATCAAGAACATTCGATTGATTTTGGTCTAGATATTTCTCTTCGTTGTTTTACGATTTTGTCCTAAGTATTTTGCACGACGAAAATAACATAATAATGCTGTTTTTATCATTTTTTTATTTTTTTATTTTGTCCTAACTATTTTTTATAAACTTTAAAAGAATACTTGGTCCAATCAAAGAAATTAAATAGTTTACACTAAAAAATAAAAACATATTATATTAATAGTTGTCTTGACTCTTGAGATATGCTTATGAGAATAATATTCTAGCCAACACGTCTATTTAGTCGGTCCAAGCAATCTATTGTCTATGCGTATACATTATTGCCGACCAAATTTTTTAAATCGGGCCATACATTCGAAATGGGCTCTTTCAGACATGAGCCAAGGTTTCCTTAGGAGGTTTGGTACAACAATCTACTGATAAATCTAATGCCAAGATTCAGAACCATGTGAGTCTTCTTCACTTAAAAATCTAAACTCTTCATTGCGAGGAGCTGGTTACGGTGACATACAATAATTTTCCCTATTGATCGTTTGATTATAATATACAGTACTAGGTAAATTCCAGGCGAGATTCTTCATTTATTTAGCCAAAAAATTACATAAGAGATGAACATTTATCATTGGTTCCTCCCTCTGTCTTTCTTCGCAGCATGTACTGTCTCCCATCTATTATTTTCCATCGACTTTAAAGAGATCAGCTGGATCATCAATGACCCATAAGCTCGTGTGGGTAGATAAAATGTAATATTTTTGTTGTAGATTGTTGGTTGGGTAGAGATTGTGAATTTTGATTTTTATATAATCAAGAACAACTAAAGATTTTTTTAAAATATAAATTGAAGATCATAAATTTAGTTACCTAGCATCGGTGCAATGAGCTAGCCTCTTTAAAAAAATAAGATTACTTGGTCGAGTGTCGACATACTACCTTTACAATGTAACGGTCGAGTGTCGACTACTACACTCCTTGCGCTATTGGTAGACATCATATTTGTAATACACAACACTTCACACTTGTTAATTGTTATCATTGTTTTCTTCATTTGATTTTTTTAGTCGCCTGTTATTGATTTTTTTAAAAGCTACGCATTCTTGATTTGGGTAATTTATATATACAATCAGTACGTAGAAACCATAAGATTTATTAGCTGCAGAAGTCGCTGTCCAACCTCCACAGTTCCACTTACCCACTAACTAAATATGGGAAGTAGAGTCCTTGAAATCCAATAAAGTTTTGTTTTCCATGTATAAAATATGTATATAGAGATTAGAGAGTGTAGGTAAAAAAGAAAACCCAACAACTTCATCTAATCCATTCATAAATTCTTAATTATTATTTCAGAAATTGAAACATTAATTTTGTTTCATTAACAAAATCACCCATTTATTTACACAACGTTGATATATCTATTTCGATAAAAAGGTTTCTCCAAAAAAAAAACGATTCTCTAAAATAAAGTTTTCTGTAAAAATATATTAAAAACTATTTGAATGAAAACATATATCTTCAGAAATTATATAAAAAAAAAGGTAAAGGCCATGCACATAATTAAAAGTATAGGATCTTTTTTTAATCTAGGTACGATCCAAAATGAGACAATTTGCTTTGGTTTGAGCTTTGTTACCATCTTTATCGGCATTTATAGTGTCCTACACATGTAGCATCATTACAATATTTACTTTGGTATCTCAATTCTCAACATTAAACTAAAACTTAACGTAACTTAACAATTCATGCAAATAAATTTACAGAAGAAGAGTTTAATTGAGTCATTAATTGAATCACAACTACTTCCATGAAACCTTAAATGCCTAACCCAACTACACACTGCACATCTCTATAAAACACAGCCTTTAGTTCTTTCTTTACCACTCCACACTACACTCTACTCTCACACCAAAATAAAAAGAAAAAACATTGCTAATCAATATCTTCTTGTGATCATCACAAAAACACATTGATCCAAGGCCACTTAAAATCTCTTTCACCATGAAGATAAAGATAATGAGCAAAACACATGTGAAACCAACAAAACCAGTACTAGGGAAGAAACAATTCCAACTCACCACATTTGATCTTCCTTACCTTGCTTTCTACTACAACCAGAAGTTTCTGCTCTACAAGTTCCAGAACCTTCTAGATCTTGAGGAACCCACATTCCAAAACGACGTCGTGGAGAAGCTCAAAGATGGTTTGGGTTTGGTTCTTGAAGACTTCTATCAACTCGCCGGTAAGCTAGCCAAGGACGACGAAGGAGTCTTCCGTGTTGAGTACGACGCCGACGACGCAGAGATCAACGGCGTAGAGTTCTCAGTTGCTCATGCTGCTGACGTTACCGTCGATGATCTAACGGCTGAGGACGGGACGGCTAAGTTCAAGGAGTTGGTTCCTTACAATGGGATCTTGAACTTGGAAGGACTTACCAGACCTCTACTTGCTGTCCAGGTATAGCTTCTTTTAATGTTTATATATTTTATATATTACACTACTTCCATGCATGTCAGTATCTTTGTCGTCCAACTTGTTTATCTTCACGTAAAATAATATAGAATTAGATATTCAATCGAAGTGACGAAAGAAAACATAACTAGATGACTAGTACTACTGAATTATCCACACGAATATCTGATTATGTAATCATATCTATGTGGTTATGTTTACTGAATCTTGATGCATGTTATGTAATAAATATCTATTGAACTACCCGTCAATAAATATTACCATTTGGAGGCAAACATCATGTAACATCCAAAACTCTATTAGCTATAAAGAAAAACAATATTAATTACAGAAATAATAAAATAACGCATAAATCAGTATATAAAGTACAAGCATATCTTTCCAACAAGAAAAGGAAGGCATTGCACGTACTTCAGAAAATGTTGACTTTAATTTTCATCCAACAAAAATTCAAGTATTAGTATGAAAATATTGACATCTATTAGCTCTAACCACTGTATATATAGTACTTACGTATTAACTAATAACAACACTCTATCACGACATAAAGTTAAATGGTAACAGGAATTCAGCTTGGCATGCATATATCAAAAACACTCTTGAATTTTATATAAAAATTTATTGTTACCAATAAAATTAGCTTTTAGAAGTTTGACATGCATATTTTATGCTTATGAATACACACTAACACACACACACATATTATATAATATATATAATGTGTATGTGCATTAGTTTATACAGTAATTGGAGTCCATGATTTGAGAAACTCGGTTTTCGAATGCTTTTACTGCTGATTTTGTTGATTGTAACTTTTTTGTAAAAGAAAAAAAAACTGACACAACGATAAATACTACATTCAATGGCTGACCAATAACATGTTATGGATACAAACGCCATGTATAAAATAAGTAAATAGATTAGATTTGTATATATCACTCAACTAATAGTACTAAGTTAACATTAGTACACATTGGAGAATTTATTTGTCATTATAGATCAAATCCTTAATAACTATGAATGTCAGCTTTATCTCCAACTAAATCATATGAGTTTCATATATTCATTTTTCTTTATCATCGACCCACGTTGACTATAACTATAGAAATATTGTACAAGAAATTAACAACGTCGTGTAATTTTTAGATAGTGGGGATAAACACTTTCACCTTGTTCAAAAATAAAATACCTTAAGCACATGTATAGTTATATTATTTATATATACATAAATACATACCTCGTATATTTGTATTCATACGTATAAAAACGTGTGTATACATACGTAACTTCATTCATTCTACAATACTTTCATTTTCGTCGGATGCTCAATTAAATTCTCAACGGCATTAATGTGCATTGAATGTAATGGCTTTAGAAAACAGGTGTAGTCGTTGGAGGAGTCATTGTTTATGTTTGTCTCGAAACTATCGTCCAATCAAACACAACCATTAACAAAATTCGATTATACTATATTCACATTAAAAAAAAAAACATTATGTAAATATAAATTTAAATTTTAAAAAATTAAAAAGAACGAATTTCACAAGTAATCAACATATGATTTAGAAGACCTAAAATAAATAAATAAATATCAACATTTTCACAAGTACTATAAATTAACCATCATTTTTCGTTTCGCAACAGGTGACCAAGCTAAAAGATGGGCTTGCAATGGGCCTAGCTTTCAATCACGCAGTCTTAGACGGGACTTCCACGTGGCATTTCATGAGCTCATGGGCCGAGATCTGCCGTGGAGCCCAATCTATCTCGACCCAACCATTCCTTGACCGATCGAAGGCGCGTGACACGCGCGTGAAGCTCGACCTTACCGCTCCTAAGGACCCCAACGAGACCTCCAACGGCGAAGATGCCGCCAATCCCACGGCGGTACCGCCGCAGCTTGTTGAGAAGATCTTCAGGTTCTCGGACTCTGCTGTCCACACGATCAAGTCAAGAGCCAATTCAGTAATCCCATCCGACGGTTCAAAACCATTCTCCACTTTCCAATCACTCACATCACACATCTGGCGCCACGTCACCTTAGCGCGTGGACTCAAACCCGAGGACATAACGATCTTCACCGTCTTCGCCGATTGCCGCCGCCGCGTTGATCCTCCAATGCCGGAAGAATATTTCGGAAACTTAATTCAGGCGATCTTCACCGGAACCGCGGCGGGGCTACTAGCGGCGCACGGACCGGAATTCGGAGCTTCGGTGATCCAAAAAGCGATCGCGGCACACGACGCGCGTGCAATCGACGCGCGTAACGACGAGTGGGAGAAATCGCCGAAGATTTTTCAGTTCAAAGACGCCGGAGTGAATTGTGTTGCGGTGGGAAGCTCGCCGAGGTTTCAGGTTTACGAGGTGGAATTCGGTTGGGGTAAACCGGAAATTGTGAGGAGCGGGTCGAATAACCGGTTTAATGGGATGATGTATCTGTACCAAGGTAAAGCTGGAGGGATTAGTATTGATGTGGAGATTACTCTTGAAGCTTCCGTTATGGAGAAGCTTGAGAAGAGCAAAGAGTTTTTACTTAGTGAGGAGGAAGAAGAAGATGATGTTAAGAAGCTCACCAATGGTAATGGCCATGTCAATGGTAATGGCCATGTCAATGGCAATGGAAACGGGTTTGTTTAGTTTAAGGTTAATTAGTTAATTAATCAAACTAAAGATTTTGGTTAATTAGCTAATTAATTTTATTAAGGAGAGAAAAAACCTTATGGGTTTTTAAGTATGGTAATAATTTGCTCTTGTGGTGATTATAATAATCAGCAGAATGCTGGCGTGTGTGGTAAGGATTTGTATGATTATGTAGTGTGTTTGGTTTGGAATTTGTAGTATTTGGACCATGGTTTTTTTTTTGTGGTTTTGTTGTTTAAATTTTCATGTACTGTTGGCAATAAAAATGAAAAATTAGTTAAAATGCAATTGTTATCAAATCTCTTTTAAGTGAAAGGTGTAACATAACTTCTTTTTTTTTTTTTTGGTAAGTGTAACATAACTTCTTTTAATTTTGCTAGTATTTAATTTTGGGAGTGCCTTAATTGATTTAATTTCAGTTAAGCTAAACAACACGTGTAAGGTTTTTAGTTATATCTGATTATGTGTCTTCTCAAATAAAACTGAAATCAGACCAAATTGGTGTTAGTACTTAGTACACAACTTTGGTTTGAATAAACTTTATGTGCTAACTTATTTTTTAAATGATTTTCCTAAACCCTAAATCAAAACTGTCTCTTTTTTCTGCCGCCGTTCCTTATCTTCATCATCTCCGTTAAAACAGAGGCATTTTCAGATTTGATCGATCCACTCTTTCTCTTCTCTCCATAACAAATCTCCTCATGTTTTCATTAATACTCCATGGTGGAAGAAGGTCACGCGAGTTACATCAATGGCGGAATCTGAATCTTCTTCTCCAAAACGGCTCTGCTTTTACTGAATCGTTCTCCTCTGTTGTTGCTACTGCAAAAGATCTGTGTCCTGAAGATGAAAGAAAGAGGAAGACTTTCACAGTCTCTTACCTTATTGATTCATTAGGGTTAACTACAAAACTCGCTGAATCAATCTCAATGAAAGCTAATTTCGATGAAAAAGGTAATCCAGATTCAGTCTTGAAGCTTCTAAGAAGCTACGGATTCAAAGATTCTCAAATCTCAAGTATCATTGCTACTTACCCACGATTTCTTGTTGAGAGTCCTGAGAAATCTCTTCGTGCTAAGCTTCATTTCTTGAAGCTAAATGGAGCTTCAAGCTCTGAGCTTACTGAGATTGTTTCGAAAGTTCCTAAAATCTTGGGGAAGAGAGGAGGTAAATGGATTATTCATTACTATGATTATGTCAAAGAGATCTTGCAAGATCAAGATACGAGTTCTTCTTCCAAGAGAAAGCAGACGAATCGAAATCGAAATGTATCGGTTTTGAGAGAATTGGGAGTGCCTCAGAGACTGTTATTGAACTTGTTGATATCTAGAGCTAAACCAGTTTGTGGGAAAGAAAGATTTGAGGAATCGGTTAAGAAGATTGTTGAGATGGGGTTTGATCCGAAAAGTCCAAAGTTTGTCAATGCTTTGTATGTTTTCTATGAGCTTAGTGATAAGACGATAGAGGAGAAAGTGAATGCTTATAAAAGGTTAGGACTTTCTTTGGATGAAGTTTGGGCAGTTTTCAAGAAATGGCCTTTCTCTTTGAAATACTCGGAGAAGAAGATTATTCAGACGTTTGAGACTTTGAAACGGGTTGGTCTAACGGGTGACGAGGTATGCTTAATGGTTAAGAGGTACCCTGAATGTGTAGGGACTTCAGAGGAGAAGATAGTGAAGTCAGTTGAAACTTTTCTTGAGTTAGGATTCACGAAAGACGAGTTTGTGATGATCATCAAGCGACATCCTCAGTGTATTGGATTAGCTGCGGATTCAGTGAAGAAGAAGACCGAGTTTCTTGTGAAGACGATGGGTTGGCCTTTAAAGGTTGTAGCTTCAACCCCTATTGTGCTTGGATTCAGCTTGGAGAAGTTTGTTTTACCGCGGTGTAATGTAATCAAAGCTCTTTTGTCGAAAGGGCTGATCGATGAAATCCCTGCAATATCGTCTGTATTGACGAGTCCTAAGCTGAAGTTTTTGAAGCTTTTTGTGGAGAAGCACCAAGATGTGTTGCCTGAGTTGAACTCTATCTTCACCGGAGATAACGTTCTAGTAAATTAGAAAGCATTGTGAAGAAAGATTACCAACCTAATTGTGATTTGTATAATGTGACCTTTTTGTTGTAAGGAAACATTTTAGGGAATAAAAACAACAAATGAGGACACTTGAGATATTGTGAAGCCCTGTCAGGCTGTTACTGTCTAGTATTTGTCTCTAATTAGTCTTCTAATTTGATTTATTAACCATTTTTGTGTGGTCACAAAATCTATCAAAACATGAGATTTCAAGTAAAACACTTGTCATATTCGACACATCATAACAACTAATATTTTTCTCATTTATTGTATGAAAGAAAAATAATTGTAAGGCCCAGAAATAGATAAGAAGACAGAGAAGGTTAACCACTCCATATCTACACTATTTTCTTACCTCACCAAACCAAAAAATCTCTCAATTTCTTATTCAACTTTCAAGCTTCTAAACAACTCTTGAAACTCCAAAAACTTGTTCTAATGTCGGAAGAAATACGAGAGCATGATCTCACCGACTCTAAAACTTCTCCACCGCAAACACCACCAAAACGCGGTCTCATCAGCCGCAAAAGACAGCTGGTGTTTCTCTCCTTCATGATATTACTAGCCGCAAAAGGACTCGTCGGAATCGGAGAGATAGCGTTTGTAATCTTGTGTTATATCTACTTGTATGAGTTTCTCTCAAGATTTGCCTTCCCTCGCAAGCAAACAGAGCAGAAGAAGAGACTCTCAAACCCTAAAAACAAACTCTTTCAAGCTTACTTCCTCGCCACTGCAATCATAGGTTACTAATCTTTCCTCATCTGATTTTTTTCTTTTGTAAATATTTTTCTTTACTTATAAAAATAATCAAAATCTTTCTCAGGCCTACTCTTCCCTATTTGTTACATCGGAGATGGAATATACCGGGGAGACATTCACGGTGCTGGAGCCGCCGCACCACATCTATTCCTCCTCTCAGGTCAAGCTTTCACAGAACCTATTGGTTTCTCCGACAAGTTTTCTATGCCAATAGGTATTCTTGGACCAGTCTTCTACAACGCTCGTCGCATTTTCGCTCTTCTGGATTGGGTTAAAGCAGAATTCTCCGATACTCAACGTCCTGGTGGTCCGGTGAGATTATACGGAGGAAGAGTGATTGCATCGGTTAACACAGTGATGTGGTTTTATAATCTGTTTGGTCTCTTGTTGCCTGTGTTTCTTCCTCGGTCTTGTGAGATTTACTTCTCCGGTGATAACAAAGATGATTGAATGAATGATTTGTATTTGTCTCATTTAGAATAAAAATGTTGAGTTGTTCGTTTAGTGCTTTGTGTCTTATGTCTCGATCGGGTAAAAGTTTTGTGTCTAATGGATTATTAACGATATATTTTTTTTTTAATAAAACAAGATATCTCCTCGAATAAAAAACAAAAAATCGTCTTGAACAAAATTAAGAAAAATCTAATGCTACAAGATTATGAAAAACAAATTTTGTTTTTGTTGGCAAAAATATGAAAAAGAAATTTGATACTACTTCACATTGCCTTCGAAATACCCAAATCTTTGGACAGTACGACACAAATTCACACAAACGACAGATTAAGTTCTCATAATAACGCATTACACATTCAACAACTTAGCCTCCTATATAGAAACTTCGAAATCTTAGAAGCAACATCGTGTTGCCTCGCAATCTCTAGAAACCTTCATAAATATTTTCAGATACATTTGTTGTGAACCGTAGAGAATGTCCTTGGACTACTCGAAAATCTCTCCGATTTCTTTTTTCAGCAATCCCTTAACCTGTCAATGCAAAAAGTCCATCATTACACAAACTCTCTGAGAGATTAAGAAAGATACAATTAAACAAGTTTGTGTAATTATGAAATGATATTTTGTTTGACACTTGTTTTAAGGGAGAAAAAGAGAAATCGAAGATCGATGATAAGCTAACCTGTTTTGCTGAGAGTCCAATACTTTTCAAATCATCAAGCTGCAATAGAAAGTACAAGAAGCTTACATACAATAAACCAAAAGAACATTGAACTACATTGAAAAACAGAATTTGTAAAAGTTTATGGCACTTACCGTTTTAAATGGAGATTCTTCGCGGAGCTTAACTATGTAAGTTGCTCTCTTGTCGCCAATACCCTGTCATTCATCAATGGAGGCCATAAACAAGTTACGTACTAAACTATAAACAAGCATTTAAATTAAAAAAAAACATTGATCAATCTAGTCATCTCACCTTTAACTTCTTTAGATCTTCCCTGTAAACACAACAAGAAAAGAGAAAAGCCAAATTTAGTTTCACTTCCTTGTCACACCAATATAGACAGGATTTTCTAAAATGTTAATACTAATGACCCAAACAACCATGTAACTTCAGCTGAGTTATACTTGTAAACATTATATCAAGATTTGGAAATTCTAATACTCACTCAAAAAGAAAGTTGATTTATGTATATTTTGTGTTCACTGAGAAAGAAAACAACTTACTTTCCAGCTGTGTTTATGAACTTGAGGTATTCTCCAACAGCAGAGTTCTGCAACATTTCCGGAAAACAAGAAAAGTATTATGTCAATCTTCGAAATTTTAAACCACAATTAAGGTACTACTCACTATCTCAGAGGTTTATGGTACTTGTAATGAAAGGTCAATTTTAATCACACTTGTTAACTTGTTTTACCTTCAATTTGGAGCTGTGTGCGCTATATGCCTTCCAAGGACTGCAGCCAATGTTCGAAGGCATAGTTCTCTCTGGTGTTCTTAGTTCTACACTGACAGCAGCTTCAGCAGTAATATCGCTGTGCTCTGATGCTTCTTCCGCCTGTAATATAGTTAAGGGAGTTTGATATTTCTCAGGTACTGATAGTTGGTTTGAGATTTTGCATATCGACTTCAAATTGTTTGATAGTTCTTGAAGTCGCATGCTAAGCGGTGGTGATGCAGTTTCATTGGCTAGCACACTGTTGTTCTCTTTGTCCAGGTTTTCACCTACCATAAAGAGAAAGACCATAAATGAGCAAACGGTTTCATTATATTACTTTCTTAGATTAATGTCACAAGACTCACAACCTACCTTCATTAATAAACAGAGCCAGATCTTCTTCAATGACTGAATTGTTGTCATCTCTCTCTACTATTTGTGCTGCCATAAAACAACAACAACAAAAAAAAACAAATAAGATCAAAGTTAACCTTTCCTTTAAACCAGACCTTCTTTATCAACTTTCCAGTCTCACCTTTGTCTGCAAAAGCATCATCACAATGAATGGCTCCTGAAAATATCTCCTCATGTTTCCGGGGTGTCTCCTGAAGATTAATGGAAGAACTGTCAGTACTATTGATATCCAGATGTTGAAACAAAACATAAACCTATACAAATTACCTTATCTGTAGTGTCAACAGCTTCTGAGCTTAAAGATGCATTAGTTGAATAGCCCTATAAATGACAAGAAGCAATATTAGATATGCTGAAACAAAACAAAGGAAACAGCTTCGATTCTTTAAAATGTATTGGCATCTGCTTGAGATACAGAGAAGTTGCAGATGGAAAATTTACCGGTTCTATGGCTATTGCAGAGCTTGAGAAAGCCAGAGAATATTCCTGAAAAGAAAAACCACTGAATGTAAGTAATGTTTTGATGATTTTCATTTAGCATTAACGTTGATATAAAATATTACCTCTTCTACCAAAGAAGATTGAGAATCTGTAACAGTAAACGACGAACAGATTTCCTACATTATAGAACATTAGACTTTGTAAGTAATGCCTTAGTAATAAATAACCATGCAGCTCCATTTAGTTCATGCTTGCAAGGATTTACTTCTTTAGGTGAAGAGGCCTGAACGCTCGAGACAACCGTTGAAGTGGAGATTCCCTGCATCAAAAGAAACACAAATGTTATTCAAGGTGAGAGAAGGTATTGAAGAGCATTACTCAAATATTCAGAAATCAGAATGAAGATGCTTTACCTTTTTCATAGCCATTTTTGCTTTGCCTTCCATCTACAAAATCCAAAAAAAGTCTAACTAAACTATTTCTGATATCATGAGGATAAGAACGAAAGATGAATTACCTTCTTAGAGCTATTTTTACATTTCACCGAATCGTTTCCTTCACCGAACAGTTTTCTTCAAACATTTGGAAAAAAACACACCATTATTTGATGTTAAAAACTGAACAACAGAGCAGATGCAGGTAGATCATGGATATTGAGCTTAGAGTTGATAGAAAGCTGGTTCTGAATGATTTACCTTGCTTTAATTGCAGAAGCAGCAGTGTTGATTTTAGTCTTCCTCTCTCCCCTTAGCACTGTCTGTTTTCTAGAAGTAGCAGACACAGTCAAAGGTGTCTGTCTCCTTTGAGCGGCAGATGATAATGAAATAGATCTTTCAGGACCGTTGATCTTCTTCTTAGTAGGATTATTCATGGCTCGGTTACTGCCTAGACAGATCCGTGATGCTAAGTTTAGCATGTAAAAGGAGTCTTGGCTAAATTCCCGGGGCTGAAACGAAAAACAAAAGGGTTAGCATCGCCTGCAGTTACATTCAGTGAATCATAAACTTAAAAACGAACTCAACAGCAAAAAAAGTATACCAAACATGTGATCAGCAACGTTCTGTTGCATCCTTTTAAACAATCTTTCAGCATTCGAGTGAGTTTGCTCTCCCGATATGGCACATGAGATTCGTTTGCGTTGAGAGCATACATGACATTCTGCAAAGCATATATCGACTTATTTATTCTGGCAATCTCTAGAGGAGCTAGAGCACTGTTCTGTTTCCTGGAATCCTCATATCCTGTCAGAGAAAGACAACACCCATCACATGCTGACATATAAGATCATTACACAGACAAGACAATTAAAATGTGATATTAGAATACTCAACCTGCCATATCAAGAAAGTTCATCCTTCCAAGGGAGCCTGGATTGGCGTTGCCAGTGGTAACATGTATCATCACACCTTTATGACTCCTAACTGGAGGGTCACTGGTCAGCTTCTGGGATTTCTTGAGACCAAAATATAAGTTCTGGAATTCTGAGAGAGACTTCACAGGTACCTGAAAGCAGAAACATTGAAATATTAATGATGCTAATCTGCAAAATACGTATGATATTCCAAGACTTAATGATCAAGAACGCTAAATAACTTGCCTGAGAAAGTCCCTTTAGTTGAATTTTCCCTTGTGCACCTTCTAGTACACTAACCACTCTCTTCTCTTGGTCTAACAGGTCATACACGGTTTCTTGAGACACCTCGTAGACCGATACAGAAACTGAGCCTCCTCTTTCCTCAGCCATGGATAGCATCTCAGACATTGTAAGAACGGTTAAACCAAGCTCCCTCTCATTTCCCTGCAAACCATGTGATACATCCATTAGCATTTTTCATCTATAATAATAATCTGATAATCAATACCTTGTAGGGACTGCTTTCAATACCTGTATTAGATGTGTTTTTCCGCAATTTCTAGCTCCGTGAGCGATAACATTAGCATCTTTACCCTCAAAGACAGTAGAAATAAGAGGCTTTATCTCCTTTGTGAGAATTGAACCAGTGGTTTCATTTTCTTCGTAGCAATAGTCCACTTTATATGAATCTTTCGAACTGCCACAACACAATAGTTAATATGGCTTGAAACGTTGCTAATCCACAACAGACTGAGAAAGATTTAACTCAAAAGTACATTCTTTGTGAAACATTTTTTGCAAAATTCAAGTCCCCATCAGTAATTATCGCGTCTAATAATGTCATAAGAAAGCAGAAGATTAACACAAGAGTTTATATAAACACAAATTTTCGATCAAATTAAACCATTTCCATGGCAAATCTGATAAATCCCACTCAAAATCGCAAATCAATTCTCAGAAACTTTTAATTTCCTCACAATTCCCAACAACGAAACAACACATGTAGACAAAGTAATCGAAGAAAATCCAGAAATTTAGATAATTTGAGAACTAAAAGAGTTAAATTGTACTCGAAATCTCCAGATGCAAACCCTTTTTCGCGAATTTTAATCAAACAAATGAACCAACAGAATCAGAGGGGAAATAAGAGAAATTACCCAGCGAATTGAGCTCCAAACGAAATCGAAACAGTCTCTGAATCTTCACCCATCGGCTTGTGAACCGATATTGATCTCGTTGATACCAGATCCGTCGATGGCTTGACTCTAGCCACCACCCGAACCACTTTCCGGCCATGGCTCGTCATTTTAGTCTCCATAACTTAACCCTAGATCTTCTCACCGATCGAATCGAATAGAACCACAGGGAATCTCTCTAGAAAAGGGAAAAAACGTTTGAATTTGAAGATTTTTGTTTCCTTTCTCTTAAGGTTTGGGAGATAAAGAGAGAGAAATGAAAGTGAGTGAGCCGTTAAGTTAAAAATTTCAAATTCTCCAAGTCTGGCTCCTTCGATGATGACTCAGAACGTGTCCCTACCTAGGCGTATCTAAGAAGCTTACATATAAAACAGTGTCGTTTTGGAGGGAGATAAACGCACCGTTTTGGAAGGAAGATAAAGTTTATCGGGCCTAAATTCACTTTCGTCTCCGTTTAATTGAGATTGGCCCATCTCTATTTTGAAGCCCAATAAACGCTCTTCTTAAGTTCTTATGCAGTTAGAGATTTTGATATCAATGTAAAGTGTGTAACATTAAAGTCTTTTTTATTTATTTTTAAATCTATGAATGTTAATATCATATAAAATAAAAAATAGAGATCACTTTTCTTAACAGATCACTTTTCTAGATGAGAGCACTTATCTACAATTTATAGTAATTTTGGTAAAAAGAAATAAAAACAAGATTACGATACCATTTGAGTTAAGATCAAAACATACTAAAAAAAAAAAAAAAAAAGATCAAAACATACTCATCGAATCAATAGAAGCAAAAGGTTTCGAAATCGCTTCAGATGTCTTATGGAAGATGTGGTCTTATGAATTTTACGGTCAATGTTCTTGAAGATGATGGGAAAAGGTATTGACATGTTGTGAGTTGTGGTGGATGTATTCATCTGTTTCAGCTATTAATCGTGAGTCTACCTTTCTCTCTATTAACTATATATGTTCTCTCGTCTCTTTTCGTAGTTTATGGATCCGGTGACAAAGTAACAAGAAAAGATAAAGATATAAAATAAAAATAAACTAGTTATAAGGTAAGCCAAAATAGTATTTTTATTTTATATCCATAAGTTAAAGATATATCTTTAACTAACTAGTTTATGCATGGTTAAGGAGTGTTTTGAGTATAGTATTTGTAATCAATCTTAGTTTTTTTTTTTGGACAAATCACTCCTAGTTTATTTCTCTTACCCTTACCTTATCACTAAGACATACTGTATATAGCTCATGAATAAAATCAGTGAATTTTTTTTTCCGCCAATCAGTGACTTCCATATTGTAATAGTTAATTAGCTTGTAGTAGAATTGTCTTTCTTCCAAGTTTTGAGTTAACCTAAGAATGTATACATCTTTGTTGCTTCGTGTGAATTGAAAATTTGTTTCTTTTTATCATTGTTGATATTGCCTTGAAGTGATTAAAGGCATTGTTTTTTCCATGGGAAAATCGAATGGTAAACAATTTTCAATTTGTAAAACATTAGGTTTTGCAGGTTTTTTTGGTTGATTATGCTTATTAATTTGAGACAAAAAAGAAAATCTCCAATTCATTAATATATAGAGAGCAATGCAAACAAATATTTGTTCAGTCTCAAAATAGACTGACGAGATAAAATTCAACCAAACCAAAAAAAAATTACGTAGCATAATTGTAAACAAACAATTAATTAGCATGATAAACGAAAAATGTCGTTTATCCATACTTGTGATGGATCAAACTTGGTAATTGGGATCTCCCTTTTGGACGGTGTTGGTTGCCGGATAAGACTTGAGATCAGTTCCATGAGCCACCTGAGCTCCCACCACTTGACCTATAATAAAAATTATCATTATATACTTAAATTCCAAATCGTTACCATCACAAATGATTTATTTCTTATTTACATATTACTAACCAGAAACATTATTGAGATTGGCTGCGTTTATAGCCTGTTGTCTCCGGATACACGCGAGACATATCACAATGGGGGCACCAAAAATAAAGAAAAGAATGAAGAATCCGAGAATGGTATCACCAACAGTGTAGTTCGTGTTGCCTGAACCACCTGTGTATCCTTGGGGTTCACACTCCAAACCAATCCTTCCCATTCGATCTGCTGATTCGTCAGCCCTTTCCATTTGTTTTTGGTACATATCCTCTGAAGTGGGCGTCGATGATCCACATGATCGTCCTGAAAATTTTCTTGTTATATCAAAAATTTATATATCTTGACATGCATTTATATTTTGTATATCAACTGCTGAGTATGAAAGGAATTGGGTTTGATATAATAAGATCGTTACCATTGATTGATCCAACCAAAACCGACAAAGAAAAGATGAACAAAAGGAGGACACGAGACATGGCTATTATTCGTGGCTATTATTCGTGCAAGGTGATAACTGATACTTGTCTTTATGTTTTCTTTTTGTAATATCTTGTCTAGATATTTATAGATTAGTGTATGTTTACAAATTGTTAATGGTATTTATAGAATTATACTACGAAGTATTTGCTCGCAACAATGTATTTAAAAGTTTTATAATATATATGGGTCATGGCCAAATGAGTGCATACTAAAATGGACATTCCAGGAAAGAAAGATTCTCTTTTACCGATTCTTTGAGAAAAAAAAAAGAAGAAGCATATTTTAGATCATTTGATTAAGAAAACTAGTTACAAACTCACCTTAATTTTATACATGATTCTATATTAGTTACATGTTGGTTCCAAACTATTGTGGGTATAATTCATTATTCATATATATATAATCCCACTAGCACTAATATGTGGCTTCACACTAATTACTTTTCTTGATTTCTAGTTTAGAACATCGCACGTCGGTCGTGAAGAAGGTTTACTTTATACCAACGATAAGTCAAGTCAACCAATGACAGTGTCATTTTCCGACGCTCTCATTAAGCCTAATTAAAATTACAACTAGTACTTGACTAAGTTGGCTTTGTTGTAGTAATTCCAACCTTAATGTGCTCTTGTGTATTCTCCCTTTCTTGTAGGAAAATGACTTTGTTACATTTTGCTACTACATTATTATTATTATTTTTTTTTTTTTTTTGGCTACTACATTCTTTTGGGTGTATTATTACATATAGGTATATTAGGCTTAATTAGGCTTAATGAGTTTTTTTTTTTTGCTACTACATTTTTTGACCTACATTTTTAAATAATCTTTTAGATTAATGAGTTTATATTTGTGCTTTTTAAATGAGTGTTTTTTTTTCAGTAGAATGTTTTTTTTCCTTGAGTTTTTGACTCGGTTAGTTACATTATGTGCATTTCTCTAATGACCTATCCTGCACAAACGAAACTAACCGAGTCAAAAACTCACGAAAAAAAAACACTCATTTAAAAAGCACTAATCGAAACTCATTTTTAATATATTTAGCTAGAAAACTAAAGAATACATATATAGAAGACAAAGTAATCGAAGAAAAATCAACATTTTATTTTTTTTGGGCAAACATTCAATATCCAACCTAAGGTAGTAGAAAACTTTATCGGGTCGAATTCGCCTCGTCTCCATTTAATTGAGACAAGGCCCATTATACAAAAAAGCCCAATATCCTTTGTCAACAATTAGGGCTTCGTTTTTTTTTTTTTTTTTTGATCAACAGAGCTTCGTTATATATCAATCATTATCTTGAGATCAACCTCTTGGAGAGAAGCCCTAGAATTTTTTCGCTCAGCCGCAGTGAGTCACCTTCTCTCTCAATCGATCTCTCTGAGCTTTCCTCGTGTCTCTTCGTAGTCAGTGTTAGGTGTCTAACAAATCTGCATCATCGTATTATCTCAGAATTTAAATTTTGCCATTGCATCATTCAATTGAAGCTTTGGTGTGTGTTGATTAAGTTGAAACTACAGTTTTTTTTGTTCATTTCTAGCTTTGCTTTGAATATTTATAGGAAATTGTAAAGCATTTGATTTTACAATTTGTTTAGAGTAGTCTAATCTGTATCACTTGTAATGTGTTTATTAATACCCATTTGCTCGTTTGATGTAGTCTGTGTAATGTTAAATTCTCCTAATTGTTAAACATGATTAGGATTGAAATCTCTGTGTAGTTTAAGACTTGTTCTCATGTTGTATTTTTTTGTGTTTGTTTCTTTAGAAAAATGAAGCACAACAACGTTATCCCGAGCTCTCACTTTCGCAAGCATTGGCAGAATTATGTCAAGACTTGGTTTAACCAACCTGCCAGGAAAACAAGGAGACGTGTTGGTTAGTAAAACACTCTCATAATCTTTCTACTTAATCATTTGCTTACTTAAGTTTTTAGTTATGTAATAAAGTTTCTCCCTTTGTGTGATGTGATTTCTCAGCTAGACAGAAGAAGGCTGTGAAAATCTTCCCTCGTCCCACCTCTGGTCCTCTCCGACCTGTTGTTCATGGTCAGACTCTTAAGTACAACATGAAAGTTAGAGCTGGAAAAGGATTCACTCTTGAAGAGCTCAAGGTGTGGATTCTGGAAATTTTCATTCTTTTTAACTGTTCTCTGTTTTATAGATATGAAGATGAAAGCTTATAGTTGCTCGCTGTTTTTGGGTTTAATTAGGCTGCTGGTATCCCAAAGAAGTTGGCTCCAACAATCGGAATTTCAGTTGATCACCGTCGCAAGAACCGTTCTTTGGAGGGTCTTCAATCCAATGTTCAAAGGTTGAAGACTTACAAGGCTAAGTTGGTTGTGTTCCCTCGCCGTTCCCGTAAAGTCAAGGTATCATTCGTTTGAGATCTTAAATATTCATTTGAGTTACCATCATGATTCTTGAGTTGTTGTTTTAAATCTTTTGTTTTTAGGCTGGTGATTCTACTCCAGAGGAGCTTGCTAATGCTACTCAAGTCCAAGGTGATTACATGCCTATTGCTAGTGAGAAGACAGCCATGGAGCTTGTTAATCTGACTGCAGATTTGAAGGCGTTCAAGGCCTATGATAAGATTCGTTTGGAGCGCACAAACGCACGTCATGCTGGTGCCAGAGCCAAGAGGGCCGCCGAGGCTGAGAAAGAAGAGAAGAAGTAAAAATCGTTGCTTTAGAGCTTAATCATTCTTGAATTCTTCTTCTTCCGGATTTTTGTGCAAGACTCTGTTTTCTTTTTTTTGTTGCCGTTTATCAATACTTAGATCTCGAATTTTTCTGGGACTTGGGTTTTCTGAGTTTATGGAAGAAATTATAACGAGTTTCTATATACTTGAATCTTATATTACAACTACGGTTCAAAGAATAAATTTCGTAGTCATTATATTGTTTATAAGGTATTTTTTTAGAGACATATGGATCGTGCTCATAGATTGGGCTCTATCTTATATTGGAAACTATAACATTGCACTAGCTAAGTACTATAACAGTTGGTTTCGTTTTTTACCCTGGTTATTCCATGTTTTTCACAAAAAATAAAAAGAAGTTTGATGCATAAATTTCAATAAAAATAAACTAGAATAAAACATATGATATTGCGAACCAACATATGACATAATTAATAAAACTTCTTTCATTGTCGTTAAGAAGTCACTATATGTAGGTTGGATATTATTAAAACTTTTTTTAGTTATCTCCTATTATTGTTGTCAGAAAATCAACATGTGAATATTGTAGGAGCTTGTTATGCAATGAGCTTGTTCGGTAATCACACTTGCTTTGAGAACTCCACAAAGACTGATTGTCCTATCTGTTGTGAGGTTTATCTAAATGGCAATATTAAATCTATGTGGTTTTATATTGATTCTTTTAACTTTCTTTTTAATGAATTTCTCTACTTGGATTCGGTAAAAGCCACTTAGGTGCTGAAATGTGGGCATACTATTCATGTGGATTGCTTCGAAAAATGATCGCCAGAAAACATTAATTATATATGTGTAACTTCTCCATCTACCATACATAAGTGGGTGGGAAAAGATTGATGCCAGAGAAAAACAAACCTAGAGATAAATTAGTGACATGGGAGGATATTTCAGCAGTATCGTCAACTAGGACTGATGGCCTCTCTTGGGCCATATTTTTATTCAATTAGTAAAAATCAGTCTCGGATGTTAGTATGTAGATGTTGCTTAATTGCTTCTAGTAACTCTTTCTTGTTCTCTATATAACTCAATGATGCTTACTCCAATTTTAATAAATCATTTCCTCTTTATCATGCAATTTCTTTTTCTTTTTGTCAAGCATGACTTTATTGACAGAAAAAAAAAATAACAACTAGGATCATCAAAAACAAACTTAATCATTGGTAAACGATATAGGCGAGGCACCAATTCAAGACATCAAGGACTGTTTACTTTTCTGTAAAGAAACACGCGGTGCAATAGAGAAAACCTATAGATAGTCAATGAGTCATTATAAAACATCAAACCAAAATAACGAAAAAAAAAACATCCTAATTGGATTGGAATTGTGGTCCGAGTTATCGGAGAAGATCTTCAAGAGATGAAGGTATTTGAGACTTCGAGAGCTCCCCAAACTCAGTTGCACTCTCATGATAGTCTCTTGACAACTCTGCCATACGATATGAAGAAGCTCAATTATGTCATGGCGCTGCCTCATTTGCTTAGCCTTTTGCCAGCTTGCCATCATCCAATAAAAATAAACTAGAATAAAACATATGGTATTGCGAACCAAAGTTGCACTGTCGAGTTGGTGGGCGTGAAAACTTCTTCCATTGCGAGACATGTGGTATGAAGCTATGTACCATTTAACAACTAGCATGTGCTAGATTCTCTTGAATGTCTAGTCGTCAATAAGTCAGTATAGAACTAGAGTCTAATAGTTGCAAACTTGTTTTATTCATAACTAATCTTGTGTGGGTTGAATTTTATTAAGACTTTTTTTAGTTATCTCCTATTATTGTTGTCATAAAATTCACTTGTGAATATTATAGGAGCTTGTTATGCAATGGGCTTGTTCGGTAATCACACTTGCTTTGAGAACTCCACAAAGACTGATTGTCCTATCTGTTGTGAGATTTGTCTAAATGGAAATATTAAATCTAGGTGGCTTCATATTGATTTTTTTTAACTTTCTTTTTAATGAATTTCTCAACTTAGATTCGGTAAAAGCCACACAGGTGCTGAAATGTGGGCATACTATTCATTTGTTGTGTAAGACTCTGTTTTCTTTTTGATGCGGTTTATCAATACTTACATCTCGAGTGTTTTTGGTACTTGGGTTTTCTGCAGTCTATGGAAGAAATTATAACGAGTTTCTATATACTTGAAGAGTTGAATCTTATACTACAACGGTACAACCACTGTTCCAAGTAAAAAACTTCATAATCTATTCGGGTGGATGATTGTATTGATTATAACCTTAATTAGATAGACATAACAAATGGTTTAAACTAGAAAATTTGTAGTGAAGAGTGCCTATAAGTACCTAGGAAACTATAACATAGTGCACTGGAGTGAAAGAAGTGTAACCACACAACAAAGATTACAAAATAATACAATTTTGAATTCCGATCAACACTGACCAATACTGTAAATGTAATGGCCATCCCATTATTCTCTTTTATTTTTATCATATAGAAACAATATACAAAAAGTTAAAAGACTGTTACTTTAGGTCTTGAACCTCTGAGAGATCTTCCCAACTCCATCTCTACACTCCTCAGCCATTTTCTTCACCTTATCGCTCACCTGAACTGTCCCTTTCTCAACCTCTGTCGCGGCTACTTTCGCCTTAACTATGGCCGCATCTCTCATTTCCCCGGCTCGCTTCCCTAAATTAACTGCGTATTCCTTCAAAATTGTAATCCATAAACGTATTTTCTCCATCACAATGAAGATCACTTCCCGGGATTTTCCACTCACGGTTCCAGCCATCTCCTTAAGCTTATCCATCAGGGTTTTGGCTCTCTCCTCGGTTTCTTCAACTGAGGATCTCTCCATTTCGTTTAGTACTATGCTTTGTTCTGTCTCTCCGCTGCTCGTCTCTTGAAGGTCTTTGTCAACAACAACTCTCAGTCCATTTGTTTCCCATCGCTTTCTAGCCTCCTCTAAGGCTTTTCCTTGTTCTCTAGCTCTCTTTGCTTCCTCCTCGGCCCATGATCTGAACAAACAACATATGATGGGTCGTAATACGGTTATGGACAGACTGAAAGATTCTTTGACATTATAAACATAATGTAGCTCGGACTGTAGAAGAAGTACCTGGCCATGGACAAGGCTTTTCGTTCAACTTCCAATTCATACTGCAACTTTGAAATCCGCTGGCTCTCTTCTTCAGCCTCTTTTCGAAGGTTGAAAACCCTCTCTTTCTCAAAGGATATCTCTGCCTTGTTACTCATCAAATCCTCCAGCTTCTCTTCTGCATCACGTCTTAACCGTGAGAGCACCTCCATTTCTGACTCAACCGCAGCTCGTTCTTTCACCAATGCCAGATTCTCTTCCTCTCTCTTCTCCCTCAGCTGCTCCAACTCCACTTTCGCCAGTTCCGCCATTTTCTCGACTGCTTCAATCTTTTCTCGTTCCATGGAAAGCTCCTTCTCAAAGCTGGCATTGACATCCTTTTCGACCTCTGCAACGAGGGCGTTATGCGCAGACACAGCTTTTTCAGCCATGGATTCTGCTTCGATACGTGCCAATTCCTCACTGACAATGTCAGATGCCTCACCACTTGAAAGAGCAATGGCAGCTTGCCCTTTAGTGACCGGTTTATGAGGCTGAAACAATCTTGTACAACCTAAAAGTCGTGTGTGCATTATACATAAGGTAATGATTGTGCATGAAGGCATATCTAGATGTAAAATCTGCACATACCAAATGCAAGGGCAGCAATTCCTTGCTCCCCAGTAGATAAATCTGCGATGATGGCTGGCCATGCATCTGGGTTTATCTTATCGATGTCGATGAAACCCGAGAGTTTATACAGCATCTGCATGATGATGGGAATTAATGATTATCTGCAATATTATGAGAAGTGAACAAAACCAAGCTTGATATGCAACCTTTTTATCAGCTTCCGGAAGCTGTCGTTTCTCCAAGGCCATTTTCCAGCTTATAAGATCCTGGCGTGAAAGAAGGCTGCGTAGGACATGAAACAAGCTTAATTTGTAGAAAATAATTAAAGTAATAAAAGCAAAGGTATTGTCAAAATACAAAATTCCATGATATTCTAAAAATAGAAAGAAGAATGATTTTATGCCGTTTCGTTTCATGAGACTATCGAAAATCGCACTGATGTCTTAAAAGAGAAATTAAGGCAATCGTACCAGTATAAGATTATTTATATGTTTCTGTCGATGCGGTATACAAATGCAGAATTTCTTTTGGACAAGTTCGATGAGTTTCAGAAACATAGATACCTTTCAGGGGAAAATAAGAATGTGCCCTCAACATCGTCAAGCAAATCACGGTTAGAAAGCTTGCTCGCGATAAGTCCTGCTTCTGCCAACCCTGAAAAGAGTAAACCGAATTTAGCTTCGTATGTTATCTTCTTTTCGGGTAGAATCAAATTTCAGAGTTCACTTTAACCTTGAATGGATGAAAAATCAGGATCTTCGGGAGTAACATCATCGAAAGCAAGCTCAGTAACATTCTCTATATACATAGCAGGATACACTTTTGAGGTTGTGTTTCTGCAAAGAGTTAAAGAACACACATCAATGTATGAATTGCACTTTCTAATATCAACGAATGACATTTTAACTCCACCAGAGACACTAACAAAATCACTAAGGTATACCTTGACAACGCGCTGCTGGCAGAAACCAACCACCTGGCATATTCTCTGCGAGTACATAGATCACTAGGTTGGATGTCAGTTTCAATGACCTGAAAGATGGAACAAACTGAACTATAAGCTGCAAGATATACAAGTGCCAGAACAAATCACAAGTGCAATGGTATACATAGTGAGGGTCTATACAACATAAAAAATATATATATATACTACCTTCAGAACTTGCAGAGCTGCAAATGCTTGACACTGGACCTGATCCGCAGCTGCGGGGACAAGAATCTTTCCAGGATTAACTATAACAGACATAAAAGGTGCAGGAATTCCTGCAGAAGAAAATGCACTTCCACCACTCGGTATTTCCAAAAGCGTTCCGTTGTCGTCAAGGTCATCTTGACTATCTATGTTTAGTTCATCTTTTGACCCATCTGTTGATTCTGGCACAATCTGAGGATTCGAGGTCGAATCTGATTGTGAAGAAACCTCAGGAAGCTCCTCAGTTACAGTCCCAGAGGCTGCAAAAGCATCGATGTCAGATAGAGAAGACAGGGAATCTTCCTTCTGACTGTTAACACGATTTTCTAAATCAGACACATTGGTTGGTTCAGTGTTCGGGAGACTCTCTGGATCTTCAGAATTTGTATTTTCCACGCCCACAAGATTACTACTTTCTGCATCTAGAAGAATAGGCTCAGTGGATGAGTCTAACAGAGACTTAGATTCAGAAATTATTTTCTCACTTTCTGCTGTCTCAGGATCAGTTTCCACACTGATTATCAAATCTGCTTCAGGCGTATTCTGGGGGATACTTTCAGTGGCATCCGCTTCATCAAGCATGACACCATCAACTGACAACGTCTCGTTACCAAGTAGTTTATCTTCACCAGACCCTTCATCACTTTGCTGAGCTACATCATTGTTTTCTATCCTCTTATCCTCGTCCTTATAATTGTTTCCCTCACTGTTAGCTACCTTGATCTCATCACTAGAAGTTTCATCAGATGACTGAATCATGCTTTCCTGCTGAGAAGTCAACGAATGCATTTCCTGTTTTTTTGTTCCTGCGCTCAAAAGATGATGATTCCCCTAATCAGTACAAACAATTCTGAAAGAAGCACTAAAACGAGCTTGAATAGCTTTAGGAGAAGGAGTATTACGCTTGCTAAAAGAAGCTGCTGCATAGCTTAGCCCAAGAAACAAAATGATTCCAGCGACTCCAGCACCAACTACACCTGAAAGCAAACTAGTTCCAGATTGTTATTAGTCCACCAGAAAACCGGTAAACTAAACAGCTTCAGAACAGAGAAATCAAAATGGTAAAGAGTCTTAAACCAAGCTCCATCGTAACATACATTGAACCATTTGAGAATGTGTACTGGTTAAACAACCTCTCAACAACAATTGACATTTTCATCAACTCAATCTAAAGATTATGAGTACATCTCCACAAGAACAAAACACTCATGGCTCCTACAATTATACTTCACTGTACAAGCATTTTCAATGTGTAATCAAACATTTCACCAGCTGAATTTAACGAATTCTTACGTAACCTCGAAAACTCCGAATCTCACTTCAAAATCAAAAACGATTGTTCATTCGCATATACCTTCAATCAAACTCTTCTTCTTAGCTCTAGAAGACTTCTTATCATCATTATCGGAATCATCCCACCCAGCCAAATTATCAGCCGACGACTTTGACGAATCCGATCCAGTCCACGCATCAACTTCAGGCTTCTGCGAAACACAAACAATTCCATAACCGGATTTCCTAGCTAATCGCGATGGTCGTAAGTAAGCAGCGCGTGAATTCCGGCGAACGCCGGAGCTCAAAGCGAGACGGAGCTGGAGAGAGGTAGGTGTCCACGTGGCGGTCGCAGAAGCCATGGTTGGTTTGTAGAGAGGATAAGAAGATGTGGAGAGAAGAAGAAGAAGAAGAAGAAGAAGAAGAAGGATTAGGGTTTAGAATTTGGAATTAGAGTAATTAGTATCAAAATATCTATGTTGGTTGGCTTCGTTACAGAATAATGGAAAAAAAGAAAGAGAGAGCGTTGGACAGTGATGAGCCTCACAGTCACAAACTCACCACACCTAACTATATATCACCTAATAACTTAGAAATTGCTTTCTTCTATCATTTCCATGTTTAACACAAATGGTTTAACAAGTAAACAAAAGCTAAATGCCACGTCAGCACAAAGCCAAAACCAGGTGTTGAAACTTAAATCTCTTGATTAGGAAAGGGTTTTCGCTTTAATTTTAAAAACTTTTGAGAACATAAAAGGAACAAGAAGAGTTATCGTTTTACTTTTTAACGCTAGATTCTAAATCATGCATTAAAATCTCCTTCAAAGCAATAACTATACGAGATTACTACATGTTGAGTGGTTGAAAAGTGTTGACAAAGTGAGAAGAAGCTACATTGTTTATCTAGATTCTAGATCATGCTTAGAGGAGGTAGAACTGAGAATAGAGATAATCCCTGATTTTATAATAGTCTTCACACAACGGTCCTTCTATCAGAATTTGCTGTGGACCTGATGCTCCCCCCTGAACAACCCCCAATAACATTAAACTTATATAAGTCATTCTTTGATTTGTTTAATGCTTTTGTTAAAAGATTTGTAAGAAATGCAGTAGTTTTGCTTTGAATTACCTTTTGACCAGTCGGGCCAACCTTTCGTAGAGTGACATATTCACCACAACGTAAAGCTCCTCCACCTGCAAATTCTACCTGAACACCCTTGCTTGACAGAAACTGCTTGAAGTCTGCGATTTTCAGATCACCTACTAGAACAGGTTTGTGTGGAGAAGCAGCGCCTGCCATCGGTAGTAGAGATCTCATGTCGCTCTCTGTCTTCCCTACTTCAGAATCCACCCAAGCTACTTCTGAATCTCCCAGCTGATATTATTTCATCATTATTTAGAGACATTGGATGCGGATCCGGAAAAAAAATATATAACCACAGAAATATAAGGTACCTTCTTGAAGATCACATTGCTCATCAGCTTTTCAGAAAGTTGGACCTGACCGTATTACCATACAGAGTTAATTCAATCACAACTCAACCCATCCGTTAACAGGATCTTCCTAATAAGTTTGAGATTTCTACCTTGTAAGCACATAAATCAGAAGTCACATCCACAGTTTCCTCTATTTGAGGAGCGTACACGTGTGGACAGATGTTGTTCAAGCAGTGTTGCTTCAAATGCTCTGTAGCCTCAGCTATTGCGTGCACCAAAACCTTCATATGATATATAGTATTAGATCACCGCAAGTTTACAGTTCAGTGCTTAACACTATATATATACATATAAGACGTGAGAGAAAAGGAATTGCAACGTACAAGTTTAAGAGGAGAAACATGCGCAATCATAGACTTGATTGAGCGGCCATCTGACCGACCTTCATAGTCCATTTTAACAAGTGAACAACTAACAGTCACCTGTGCAAAAGCATAAGACATACTAAATCATTTATCAGGGAAATTAGACAAGGTTACATATAGACAGAAGACTAAAAGAGCCATCTCTGTTTTGTATATAAGACACAGCCTTCTGAAAGTTCTACATGACATAAGATCATGTGGATAAAAGTAAGGACACACAAGTTGCTCTACAACAAGAAGAAAAATTAGACTGATTAATCCAAACAACAAACTATCTATAAGTTGAATTATCGTGCTAAAGATCTGATTAGCAAGGTCTCCTGTGATAATTAACTATAACGTGAATTAATAAATTTATTGTATGCATATCATCAGATGAGGATAAATGTGACAGGCACAAATTTATGTCAATGAGAATTCCTATCTCTCTATTTCTAAGTGAGAAGACTACTCCTTGTGCCTATCATTGATAAGCAGTCTATAACAATATTCAGAGTTTCTAGAAAGGGAGAAGAAATGAGAGGATTAGCTGAGACCAAATCTCTACCGATGTCTTGTTCTTAGATGGTTAGGGAGCTCTTATGAAGTTTGTATTAGAGTCTACTTACAATGAGCTCATTGGAAATGACTTTCGAAGGTCTTGTATCAAGCATGAGACTAGCAGTTACCTCATCAAGCCTTCCGTCCACATCACCTCCGTTCTGAAATGGAATTTTATATCACAAATTTGATAAGCAGCACAAGACTCTACATAGAATGACCCTAAACCTTTACTAGTAAGCAATCAGTTGTAAAAGAGAAAATAAAGATGCAACTGTAGAACCAGTGCACACATCATGGAAATTAAGAGGTCTAGTTTGCAAATATAACAAGAGCTAAACAAAGACCAAGACCAGAATTACAAGTAACGTACATGCATTGTTCCTCGGTCCATGTCTTCATCCTTGATCACGTAGTCATTTGGATTGATAATCTCCCCAAAGTCGTCCCATTCAGATGTGTTATCATAAAATGGGAACATTGGAGCTACGCTGCTGGATGGGGGAACAAATCCATCAATCAATATATCTTTATATGCAGGCCCGTGAGAACCAACAACTGCAAATGTAGTCAGAAATGTAAAAGGTCAGTTGCAGACCACTATGTAGTGGAAAGAACAGCAATCAAAAACGGTAACAGGAGGTCTTATTGAAAAAGACACATATTTTGGGACTGTGAAAAAACTAAACAAATTTAGCCAGAAATATATTGTGAGACTTCTAAATGTAGCTTCTACCTCACTCCAAGATAACCACATAAATGCCTCCTAAAACCAACTACCAGTACATTACAGAGAGTATCATATGCATAGCCATTTTCTGTACTAGACATTTCGATTTAAGTTGAAGTTTACATGAAAAATAAGAAGTTACAGGCCACATAATATTCAAGGCTACTAAAATTTTTTATAATATAAGACAGAAAATACCATCGTGAGTAGTCTTGGTATCTATGACCATAGGTTCACTTGAATTATCATCGGATCCATGGGAAGCTTTTGTTTCCTCCTCTTTGACAAGGCTAGCTCGCAAAGCTTCTTCCCTTTTCAGTCTGTTTTGCTCTTCTTCATATGCAATCAACTCTTCCCCAGCCAAAGGAACCCTCTTAGACATGGTGACTTTAACAAATTTGGGAGGTGGGGCTGACTGAAGCATGCGAGCTAAAGTGCCAAACTGCAAATAGAGGCACATGACAAGAAAAAGTCAAACAAACAGCAGTTCAGTTTTATATGATTGATTACAAACCGAAACATCTTGCAAATCTTAGATCACGTAAACTGTGAATGGCCACATGGAAAGTATAATCGCCATTGCGACTAAGGAACATGACCAATGACTACGGTAACAAGTTGGATGAAGGACTTCAATAATATCACTTGGATTTTACGGTGTCATTGGTAGTACAAACTTAATAATTCAGTAGTGCTCTTTTTTCTGGATGGATTGACATGGACAAGAAAGCATTGTCATACAGAACTGAGAAGGGCGTAAAATAACTAACTAAATCTTCCATTTGTTTCCAAACTGTTTATTTGAATAAATTTACTTTTGACTAGCTTATATTTCAATTAAAAAGAAAGCAATGCTAATACATTTTAGTTCCTCAACGTATAAGGGTTCTAAAAACATACCTGGCCTGTTTCAGTAAAGAGGACTAAATTTCTGGGATCATTTGCCCACTCCACGAATATCTCACGAGCAAAACCTGCTTCGAGACTGGCCATGGAAGCAAGAACAACCTATATAATGAGGTTCAGTCACTCCAACATACAATATGAAAAATATAGTTCTATTATCAGCTGAAAAGAAAGGAAATAAAATATAAAATCCACCAAGTTCTATGTACTAACAAACATAAATGAGTTCCATATAATTTTATTTAACCAACCTTTGGACCAGGTGGAGCATTATCCAGATCAGTCTTGTTTATCAAGAGAGTGACATGCCTGCATGTGTTTAAATTTCATTTAATGTCTTCTGTATTGTATATAAACGAAATAAGGCATTCTTCTAAGAAAATCTACCTCAATAGAAAGGCATTATCACGTGAAGTCTCAAAGGACTTTGAAATGGAGTCACTCATCCACTCGAGGAAACTCTTAACATAGTCAATTGTGCTAGATGACACGTACGTGAGAAAGTAAATGGGAAAGCTGAAACCTCTTTGTGACCAATGCTGCACGTTTGATCAACATCCAGTCTTTAAATAAATAGCTGAACATTAACTAAGAACATGATACATTCAAAGGGGTTCTATTACCTGTTCAAGTATCAAGAGAAGTTCCAGCACTCGACCTGCAGTGTCTACTGGTAATAGAACATTGCCCCCAACTTCAAGATGTTTTGAAATGGTATCTGATTAATAAATGGGGACATGCACACGTGTTTCTGGCAGTTAGAAGCGAGCTTTTTTAATACCATAGAAGAGATACAACACATATTAAGATACAAGCCAACCTAGAAATTCTTTGTCCCTTTGCTGTCTTGCAGTTTGATTGGTATAAAGAGCATGATATGCATCGGTTATCAGAACAGCAGGCCGAACAAAAGACTGTAAAACAGTTCCATTTAAATGCCTGAATTAAGATATACAATTCAGTATCACGATTCTGCTTCTTTATTTACTGTTATAAACAATACTCGAACCCCAAATAAGGTGAAAGCTGAACATGTGTACCTTTCTTTCCGATGATTGTAGTCAACAGCATATATAACATCCTCCCCATCCTTCGTTATCCTCCAAATGCTACCTCCCAGCATATGTCCAGCAACATGAGGCGCAATTACAATACCCTCTCCCTTTCCTAACAGGGCAAAGATAAAACATTTGAGGCATCCTAACAATCTTTGAAGTCATAACTTATGCGTTCAACAACCAAATACTCAATGAGTGTCAGTGAACTCATTCCCGATATGAGATACATAAAAATAATGCAGATGAAACTTGCTTCAGATAAGTGTTTGCTATTAAAGACCGAGAATTACTAAAACCACATACCAGAAAGATGGTAATTTTGAGAGTACGTCAATCTAATCACATTCTGGAAAGCAGAATCAATGTCATCCAATGTAAACAGATCAAAATCGGATACTTGCTGCAACAGTGAAAATCATAGTGTTACACTGGTTACAATGCAGAAAGTTGTGCAATAAAACCAATCCTGCAGTTAACAAACAAAAAATAGAAAATCTCACCTTCCTGGATAAAAACTGATCATACATTGTAAGGAGACCTAGTCTATGAACAGGCTCAGTAGCATAAACAGGAGCAGAGAGTCCAAGCTGCTTCATAGCATAAGGAAGAGCACCAAGATGAAGTGTATCTGGATGAGAAAGCAAAACTGCATCTATACTAGAAGCAACCCTGAAAACCACAAGAATCGAAACCACACATTGTAATTCGAAATCAAAACGAAAACTAAATTGCTGATTCCGTAAATGGAGATAGTAAGTAGAGAAACCTGGAGAGAGGTTCGAGAAGCGATGTGTCAAAGAGATCGTTCCAACCACAGTCGATGAGGAAATTGAAACCATCAATGGAGACTAAGTAGGAAAGAGGATTCTCGTTGTAAACTCCGCAGAGAGGAGTAACTTGCACCGAAGTACCCATTTTTTCCGTTCGGCGATATAAACCCTAAAATTTCTCCGATGAACTAAAGAAGAAGAAGCCACCGTGAAACAGGGTTTTTAATCTGTAGTAATTACATTCCTGGTCCATATAATTCCTTTAAATTATTAAAATAACCCTTTTCTTTTCAAATTGTTCATTTTCTCTCTTTTCCTTGATTTTTTTTCACTTACACAAAGAGGGTTTATTGAATCTTTTACCAAAAAATGTTGTGGTAGCAGTGAAACATAGATGGTGAGTTCATTATAAGCATACGAGTCAATTTTCTTATATGTTCAAAATAGATCCGTTCGGTTATGATTGAATTCATTCATTCATTCTAAAGATTACATGAAAATTTAACTTTCTTTAAAATCCAAATTCAACATCAAAACATTAAACAATGCCAAAAGAAAACAGAAAAGATGAGATGAGTAAACACAACCTATAGGGAAAATAGGCAAATCTTGATGAAATATACCATAGAGTATATATAAAAAAAAAATTAATCAGTTGCCAATACACTAGATCTATGAGCATAAGTTGCAACTAAAATACCATTACAAGTTAGCATATCTTGCAACTAAAAGATCATTACAAATCAACTACGATTTCGTTGTTAGTAGTCACAGAATATTAGAAATCTCTTATTTGAAATAAGAGGCATGAATTAATTTATCCACTTTCAATTGATTTTGAATTAAAAGTCTTTAGATGTTGATATAGTATCAAAGTTCAAATAACTTGATATGGGTGTGTTGCGTAATACTTAATTATTTAATAGTTCGAGATGAACTAATATTAACCATTATTTCGAAAGATTGTGTTAGTGAAGCTGGTATGTTGTTGTGACGAATAATAAGTTCTTCTTGATTTTATTGATTCACGTTTGAAATTAAGCCAACCAATATATTGACTTAAATTTGGGATAGCTTCACTTCAAAGGCAAACAAGAAAAAAAAACATATGCATTTGGTGAACGAGGACCCGTTAGGACCAAACCAAAATCATAATGGCTGAGGATAACAACCATAACTAACTATCAAACTTTTCTTTCTTGATATGAATACGAAAGTTGTAGTTAGGTTGATTAATATAACATAATTGAACTTAACCTTTTACCAAAAAAAAATATATAACATAATTGATTACTTTAGTGTTAAAAATGAAATTATATCCTTGTTTTTATAAGAAAATGATCAAAGATCGTAGACAATTGATTGATATAAGAAGATTCGGTGAACCTAAACCAAAAGACACCTAAGAATGTAGATTTTCGATTCTAATCCATCGGCTGGTGACCCACCCATCAAGACCCATCTCCATACTTAGAAATATATCTAAAAATAATATATTTTTTAATAAACAAAAATGAATAAATTTTTTATCATTTTAATTTTTTTGGCCTTATCTACGCCCTATGCTCTGTCTATTCTGCACATAACTAAACTCAACTCTCGTGTGAAACTGATAATACAAATCAACATTTACAGTATGTGACTGTCACTGAAATTGTGAGTATGTGACTGTCACTGAAATTGGTTTTTAATACAAATACAGAAATTGGATATTACAAGGAAACAGAAACAAATACATTTACAGATTGAGAATTCTTACAAAACCAGAAACAATTAATTTTCAATGGTTGACTACAGTAGAATTAAAAGGAAATATTGACTAAACGAAAATAGAAATTCTGAATGTAGAGGGAAATGAATCTTTTAAAGCTAAAGTTCTTAAGGAAGAAAATATCATGTGGACTTTATCTTTCTAAGAAATAAATTAATGTAAACAATAACAAATCAACATAAAAAGCATTTTTTTTTGTCACATATGTCTCTCTTTACACACACACACACACACATGAAAAATAAGTGAGTCTCTCCATATTATTTATTCATATATGCATTATATATATATTTTGTTAAAGATGATAAGAGATTTTTAACAAGTAACAATCAATCTTTTTCATACAAAGGAAAACAAATTGTAAGATGGCAAAAGCTTCTTTGTGCCTATCAATATCATAAATCTCTCTCTATTTTTTTTTTTTTTTTTTTTTTTTTTTTTTTTTTTTTTTATCTCTCTCTCTCTATTTCTCTTACCTCTTTGCCAACTTGGCCTCTCCTTTCCCTTTCTTCTCCAAATGAATTACTTTCTATAAAATATTTATTATCTATAAATACATAAACGTTTCCATTTCCCTCTTAAATCCCCAAAATCAATTATTTTTTCTTTGATACAAGATAACAAATAAAAGGCATAGAACTCAACGACACCGTTTTCATCGCTCTGTCTTCTTCATTCACCATTGAAACGTCAAAAACTGTAACAATGAAGACGACAACGCAGCTTCTCGATCTAACGGCGGCTATGGTTCTTCTCATCTACGTGGCTTTCTCTCCGCCGCTCGTTTCCGGCGACCCAGGGCGGAGCGTTAGCATGACTCTAGTTCGAGACGCCGCTGCTCTCGGTGCTTGTATGTCTTCCTCCTTTTCTTTTGGTTAATAGAATTATATTATTTTCTTGATATAACATTTTCTTGATATAGTAGACTGAAAATTCATTCAGATTGATATTTTTCTCGATAGGTTTATTATTTTTGTCCCTGAGTTTCACTATTTTAACCTCATGTCACGCAACATCATGTAACATAAACCACTCTTTATTAGCTATCATTTTCTTACGTTGAAAATATGATTTTACATAAGTCACATTTTTAATAAAGATTTGGATTTATATATAACATTTTTATGTTCTTTTATAAGGTTGAGTATATATAACATTTTTCTTTTGTAGTTTGCTTGGACGGGAGCTTACCGGCGTATCATTTAGACAGAGGCTTTGGTGCTGGATCAAACAATTGGCTTTTACAGTTTGAGGTAATTAATTATTATTACATTTACTCCAACTCTCTCTAATTAACTTTTTTTGTTTGGTAAGTCTCTAATTCATTCGAAAATGATTAAAACATAAAACGATTATTATTCTTAAAAATGGTTGTGATTACTAAAATAATACCTATAATCTATCATTTGCTTTGCTCCGAGAAATCAATCAGCCAACCATTTGCCAAGTGAATTATCTTTTTTTTTATTGGTCACTGCATAGTTAAAGTATTGCTGTTGTTGTTACCAACTCCATGACCATGAGTACGCAAAAATAATTGAATCCAGCTAGCCTTATAGGAAGAATAAATATTCTCTGTGTATTAATCATTTATGAAATATTAATCAAAATAAATCTTGATAACGATTCGAAATCAATTAGTACTGTTCATAACATTATATATACACTTATGCATCATTACGAAACTCTATCAAGTGATTAAAAATTAAAATGTGACAGCTGGTAGATGGTAGTACTTCTTTTTCTAGTAATGTACACACTTAAATACTCGAATACACAATAATCAAAGACTTAATTCGAGAACCAAAAACTAGTAGTACTAATTACGGCGCCGTTTAGAAACTTTAGAGAACCATCGTGTCTCGAGCTAGTTGGATCGTGTCTCACGCCTTTCACTTTATGACGCGCATTTATAACATTCTCTCTATAGTTCTTTTCTACTACACAGAAACACATTTATTTTTATTCAGTCGACCACTCATTTGTCTCTACAGTATCAAGATTATTTGAATATTTACTACAAGTAATTAATAGTAAGAAAAAATGGTTCTAGGGAGGAGGATGGTGCAATGATATAGCATCATGTGTGGATAGAGCAAAGACCCGTCGAGGCTCGACGCGTTATATGAGCAAGACCGTCGTCTTCACCGGAGTCTTGAGCAATAACGCCTCTCAAAATCCAGGTCATTCTTAATATATTTCATCTTTTCTTAAATACAAATCCATGCATTATGAGTAAAATAATAGCAACGTTATCCAATAATAATTTATTAATCGAACATGTTTGCTTGTGGTTGTGGTCTCACTTTCACGTGATGCTTCAAATGTTTATGTTAAAATTCAGCTTTTTTTCCCAATAAAATAAATAAATCGTTAGAAATAATAATTTTGGCTCTATCTCTTTCCATTTATTAATTATTATGGCTTAGCTTCTTTCTTTCTTTTTTTTGTCTTTGTCCCCTTCCTAACGAGCACACGCTATCGATCTACCTTGAGCCCATGTCAAATTACACATTAGCCCTACCTTCCTCTACTTAGATATTATTTTAAGGAGGGTAAAATTGTCATTTTATATCTGGACATGTGAAGTCTGTCTTGACTCAAAATTTGCTGTGACTTTATTAGACCATCTCCAATGGTTTTCCCTATTTTTACCTCTAAAAATAGAGGAACTCTATAATAAAGGTGTGTTTTACTCCAACCCACTATATTTTCACCTCTAAAATAGAGATCTCTATTTTTTCCTCTAGGAACTCTATTTTTTCCTCTATAAATAGAGGCAAATATAGCAATCTCTATTTTAGAGGCAAAAATAGAGGTGGGTTGGAGCATATTTGCCTCTAAAATAGAGATTGCTATATTTACCTCTATTTATAGAGGCAAATATAGAGATGGGTTGGAGATGCTCTTAGAACATCATTCACAATATTACGTCATAGGACTTGAACTGAACAATTATTGTATTTTTTTGTTTTTTTTGTTTTAATATAAAGTTTTAAAATAAATATTTTGTAATCAGATTTTTACAACTGGAACAAAGTCAGGCTTAGGTATTGCGACGGAGCTTCATTTGCGGGAGATTCACAATATGGCAACGGGGTAAAATACTCGTTTCTTTCTTAAACCGTTTCCAATAACCGGAATAATGTACCAAACGATCTGGTTTATGATTTATTTTTAACTGACTGATTTAATGAATGACAGACGTCATTGCTTTATTTCAGAGGACAACGAATATGGAATGCCATTATTCTTGATCTTCTCCCCAAAGGTTTAGCAAAAGCCCACAAGGTAAATTTTCTTCTTTAGTTCCGGTTTAGTTTCACAACCCAAATCAATATTTTCCATCCTAATAACCATCGGTTAAGTATAAAATTGTAACCTTTAGAGAGTAGATTCTAGTTTAATTTTCATTTTCCTTACTAATGTGTTGATACTAAACCGGTCAATTCCATTGAAATTAACCGGTACGCAGGCTCTTCTAACCGGTTGTTCAGCTGGTGGTTTGTCTACATTTTTGCATTGTGACAATTTCACGAGCTATTTGCCCCAAAACGCAAGTGTTAAGTGCATGAGTGACGCTGGATTCTTTCTTGACGCGTAAGTTATCTCTTGAATTAAATGTTTTGATCTTTGCTTTCGGTTTACCAACATATACGGTTTATATTGGTTTAACAGAATCGATATAGCAGCAAACCGGACAATGAGATCTTTTTACACACAGCTTGTTTCTCTACAGGTACCATTACTTGAGATATCCAACAATTAGAATTATCAATTGTTGCCAACAAATTTATGATTTTCTTACTTATCGGAAAATTAAATTTTCAGGGTATACAAAAAAACCTTGATCCAAGTTGCACTCACGCATTTTTTCCCGAACCATCTCTGGTACAATCTCAAATCTTTAAACACATTTTTTTAACTATTTCTTAACAAATTAAATTATAAATCTCTAACGTTATTTGTAAATTCTTTTGCAGTGTTTTTTCCCGCAATACGTATTGCGATTTATCAAAACGCCATTTTTCATCTTAAATTCAGCTTACGATGTATTCCAGGTTAGCTTCGTTAATTATACCGGTTCGATTTTATTTAAACCGGCGGTTTGATACGTCTAACGCTTTGTTTTACAATATCAGTTTCATCATGGATTGGTTCCACCTTCTGCTGATCGAACCGGTCGTTGGAACCGTTGTAAGCTTAATGTGACATCATGTAATCCACACCAACTCGATGTACTCCAAGGTTCAAATCCAAATTGATTCAGTACAAATGAATTAACCGGTTTAAAAAATATCATAACTGAACCGAAACTCCGGTTTTCTTTGTGTAGGGTTTAGGAAAGATATGTTGGGAGCTTTAATGAATTTCTTCAGAAATTCTACAAGAGGAGGAATGTTTATAAACTCATGCTTTGATCATTGTCAAAGTGCTTTAGAGGAGACTTGGCTCTCTCCCACATCACCAAGAATTAACAATAAGGTATAAACCGGAACTTAATTCTCAGTCATTTTCAATTATCCGGTTTTAAACCGGATCCGGTTTTTGGATTGCAGTCAATTGCTGAGACGGTCGGAGATTGGTATTTTGGGAGAGGAGAAGAAACGAAAGAAATTGGTTGTCCATATCCATGTGATAAAACGTGTCATAATCTCATTCCAGCTTCTACTTCAGATTTTTTGGTAAATCTAGATATTTAACATCTTTTCAATTACATTTTATTATAGTTAATTATAGTTAATTACATCTTTTTACGCATAACTCATAATGTAAAGATTCGATTAATTGCAAATTGAGTTGTGTAGTTATATGTTTTTATTTTTCTTTTGTTATTCAAGGCTTCTAATGCTTCAGGTTCAGGCCATAACTATCGCGGTACACAATTGACTTTCCTTGTTCTTCTCTTTAATTTTTTTTTATTTTTTTGTAATTAGTAAACTTAGCATCGTTTTTTTTGAAGATGATTTTGTTATGTAGCATCACGCTAGAACAAATAAACCAACTCTCATTTTTCTGGTTATGTTTCTATAATCAGGTACCTTGAGTCGAAGCCAAGTTGATCTAAATGATCTTATGTAATGATTTTAGAAGTTGAGATTAGTTAAAATTGCAGTGGTAAAAATATGTCCAAATGTGACAAATAATATAATAACTACAATAATTCACATGATGATCATAGTATTACAATGTTTGTTTTGTCAATCCATTTGGAGTTCACATAAACTCATTAAACCGAGAGACAAGATAATCTGTAACGAACAAACGATCCGCGGACTGACGGAAATTGTAGTAACACTGATTTAGGAAAACGACCATGAGACTTGAGGGGATCTACGATTAATTTCCCAAGTACATAATTTAAACTACAAATATACCAAATATTAGAGAGTTTTAAGGATCCACCACAAAAAATATTTAAGTACATTAACAGGGGAAGACACGTATATCTCCTAAGTTGATGATGTTTAAGTACAAGAGGAAGTCGGAATCTATCTCACCCCAGCAGTTAAAGCCGAAAATACCAATTTTTTAAACAATTGGTGAGGAAGACATGTTAGTGTTGCAATCTGATCGTGGAGATGCTGTCTTAAAACTTTGGACCATAGATGATGTCCACCTCAAGACAAGCTCATGGACTCGAGATTGGATACAGGACAAGCTCTTGCTTTGTGAAGCAATCGAGATGATGTTACTACAGAAGCTACTCATGCGATTTTTGAGCTTTTGGGGGCATCAATCATACATTATGACTAGAGAGATGTTGCTCAAATATGTCGAGAAAGATTCAAAACAAGCCTTAGATCATCTATTTCTGGCAGCAAAACCTACCTTACTGATTCATACCCAAAAACATTTGTTGCAAATTCAACTAAAACAAACACATAAGAAGAGAAAGTGTTATAAGACTTGGATGTTCAAGTGCAATTCAACGATCATGAAGCGCTTAGTGCATCTGCTTCTCGAAGATTTCCAAGCGAGTTTGGGCTCAATCCACTTCAGTCCTTGGTCGTGCTTCTCTTGTGGAGACTTGTCTATTCTTGCCGAGCTTTGTAGATGAAATAAATTGAATGACTAATCTATACTCACTATGTTCTTTTTTACTTGATGTTTAAGGTTTTTGCATACCGATTAAGGAAGTATTTAATTTTTATTTATTTCTAAACTAAAACATCATTTATTATCTAATCAACCAATAGAAAAACAACCAGCAAAATATAAATTGTCAAAACTAATAAAAACCTAATTAATATTGCAGTGAAAACTGAAACCATCATCGAATTTAAAACAAAAAATTCTCCTAAAATATCAACTAAAAAAAGAACGGAGGGGATATCATGGATCATTTATTTATGTGTGATGCCATTTTCAAGCTATTATTGTATAATTGTTTTAGATATTCAAATTATTTGAATCCAATATCATCGACCAGGTTTTGTAGTTTCTTTCATCAACTTGTTATAACAATAAAAATGTAATTTTGGTATGTATAGAATCGTAAAAATGTAATAAAAATGTAATTTTGATAAGTTTTGAATTGTAATTTTCAAGAACTAGAAGAGTCTTTAAATAAGAAAATATAGTTATATTGCATAAAAATCGTAATATATTTGCAATTAAAAATAAAATATTGAACCCAAACAAATTTCACGCATTTAAAAACCTGTGAAAATATAAAATGAAAAGTTCGATAAAAACAGAGGGCAAGGGATATCGAACACGATCTAACATGTATTTTAAACGCTTATAAATATCCTAGTTTTGCCTCTAAAATTTCTTAAGAACAAAAAAGATTAAGATGCGATCGGAAGTACCAAAATCGTTGTTCGGAATTGGACCCAGACGCAGCGGCGACGCTACGAATCGATCTCCAATCAATTCACTCTCTTTCTCGTCGCAGATCCAAATATCTCCATCAGGTTCGTTGCGCCGCCACCACTACCACCACCGGCGGCACCAATTCCAGTTGTGTTGATACCGAAGGAACCATAGCCTGCGGCGGCGGAACCAAGGGTCGCAAGGTTTTCGTTAGTCATCATCGTTAGGTCTTTCATAGCCGAGACGTTTTTTTTAACTTATGGTTCTGGTCGTTTCTTACGACGGATCTTGATTCTATTCTTGATTCAAGATTGGTTCTTTATACCATTATAGTTCCGATTTAGCTTCTAGTTTCTCATCTAGGTATGCACTATTGTACTCAATCTCTGTTCTTTAGGTCTAATACTACTACTGAGTTTCTAAGAAACAACTAACGATAGTATTCAATTTTTGAGGCAGTAAATTGAGTGGTGCAGGACAAGCGGATCGAGTAGTACGGTGCGGTTTAAGTGCGGTGTGATTTAAGAAAAACGCATCATACGGTACAAGTGCGGACGGTTTAAGATAATGTTGAATGGTGAAAAAACCACAAGTGGTGCGGTACAAATGTTTGAATGGTAAAAAATATAACAAACGGTTCGGAATATATATTTTATTAAATATTTTATAAACAGAAATTGATAAATAATTTTAATATGTATAGTAAAACCTATTTAAATAAATAATATCAAGATCGAGAAATTCTATTAATTTATAGAGGTATTAATTTATCAATAAATTAATAATTATTAATTTATAAAGAGATTTTAATAATTTTTTAAATACATTATATCTCAAAAGCATTTTCCTTTATAATCGATATCTTTCTAAAACCCATTACAAGTTGAAAAAAAATTATATATTATGTTTAAAAAACAACACAAACTTTTTTCGTTGTAAGAAAAATATTTGAACTGAACTCTACCAAGAACTAATACAATTTAAGAAAAAACAAAATATACTAGAGTCATATTTCACTAAAGTTTTACATATAATATATATATATATATATATATATATAAATAAAAATATCTGAATTGAACTCTACCAAGAAGTAATACAGTTTAAGAAAAAACAAAATATACTAGAGTCATATTTCACTAAAAATTTGACATATAATATATATATTTATATATGATAATCATTTACATATATATTATTGTCATATATATATATTACTATCATATATATATATATATATATATATATATATATATTTTTGATAAATTTATACAATTATTAATTTATGATATTGATGGGACCATATGTTAATATAAGATTTTCAAAAAAATTATTATCTTATTAATTTATCGATTTTTATACTGGTCCCAACTCGAGACCGGAAGAATTTATTAATTTATAGAGGTTATTAATTTATCGAATATTAATTTATAAAGATTTTACTATAGTATTAATATTATTATAATTTTTGATATTTAACTAATAAAAGTATTATAAGACTACTAATAGAGTAATAGGCATGGATCAAAAACTCGAAGCAAGGATCCGACCCAAAACTGAACAAAAAAAGAATCTGAACTAGCAAAGTACCCAATTTAGACCTATAATATACTGAACCAAAAATTCCTAATCAATTTTTGAATTAAAGAATCCTATAAAGTCAAAAATAATACGTAATATATTTTTTATACATCATAGAAACGTATTTACGGTCATACACATTAGATTTTTAAAATTTTAAAGGTAGAGTTGTATTTCTCATCGCAAGAGCTTCGATTTGACATCTTATTCATCAAAATCTTACAAACTTGATGGTAAAAAAAAAAAAGGTTATATCCTATACTATTATTTGGGAAGTACATCTTATAAGTCGTAACGTTGATTTTGTAAGAAATTACAATATATGCCATTAGAGATCTCTAATCATAATCATTTTAATTCCATGTCACTAATATATATTAACGGGTCAACGGGTCAAACGGGTTTAAAGATATTAAAGAGATTTTGCATAGATTTTATAATTGTTATAAATAAAATATATAAAGAAAATGTTGTTATTCAAGTATATAAAAGTATTCACTAATCAAAAAATATAAATAGATCATTTTTATTTACCTTAATCACGCATCAAATACTATTATACTATATTTATTTTTATTTTTTCGAACAAAATATACAATTTAATTCATAAAAAATATTAAATTCCGTGCTGTATAGCACGGGCCATGATCTAGTTGCGTATTATTTTTGACTTTATATGATGAATTTACAGTTTTGGAAATAGGGAGTAAAATTGTAAACTTACCAAAATGTGTGTGTTTAATATATGTGTTATTTTTAATTGCAAATATTTACGATTTTTATGCAATATAACTATATTTGCTTCTTTAGAGACTCTTCTAGTTCTTGAAAGTTACGACTTACGATTCTAAACTTACCAAAATTACATTTTTATTACATTTTTACGATTCTAAACTTACTAAAATTACATTTTCATTGTAATAACAAGTTGATGAAAGAAACTACAAAACCTGGTCCATGATGTTGGATTCAAATAAGTTGAATATCTAAAACAATTATAAAATAATAGCTTGACTAGTGGCATAACACATAAATAAATGATCCATGATATAGATTAGTCATTCAGATCTATTTCATCTAGAAAGCTCGGAAATTTCAATTGAGTGGAGAAGAGTAGTTGGGATGATGTAGAAACCTTAGACATAGATTCTAGCTCTTTCATCATATTCTCTCTATCTTTAAGCTTGCAGGTTGTTTTCATGGAAATTCGAGCTTTCTTTAAACACTTGGAGTTGGCAAAGATATATTTTATGGCTTCTTTCTCCTTACGTCGTCCTATATATCCTTTCCACTCAAAGATCTTGAGATGGGTTGCAAAACATCCGGGAACAGAACTCGGTTCGTTCCATGAAAGTGTGAAATCCTCTTCAAGTCGAGTGAATGTCTGTGAAAAACAACAAAAGGATTTAAAGTAAACACTTACTTTTTATTAGTCCATCAAAACTAACATGAAAGAAACTACAAACCTGGTCGATGAAAAGAACTTCAAGAATAGGAGAATTTTGTAGCAATCCCATTAGTGATTCCAACCAGTCTAACTCAGCTAAAAGTGTTACATTACACTCCATTAGCTGGGAGAAGTTAATAACGTTACACCATGTAGCCTACAATAATGAAGGAAAAAACACAGAGATAAGCGCTAGTAATATAATCATAATTAACAATAAGAAAAATAGTGAAGTTGAAATAATGCTACACACCGTTGCAACACTCAAATCTAGTTCGAGATTCGTGACTGAGGAAATCGATCTCATAAACTTGTCATCAGGGTAACTAATAAAGTCGATACCTGCTTTATCAAAACAAGTCTTGTTATCAAATGAGCAAGAATCTCCCGAATAATCTCTGTAGAAGATTTTCTTTAAAGCCGGGGAATCTATAACCAAGGATCCTCCTATTCCTTCGTTGTGCACTCCAAAATAATCAATATTATCATATAACAAGCGTTCCAAAGATGGGACTGTTATATTGAAATTTCTCACATTGTCGTGGTGATGTCGTTTTACCCACAAAATTTTGAGAATAGGACAATTCGATAAAAGCCTAACAAGAGAATCTTCATCTTTATACACCACAGAGTAAAGGACAATACTTTTAAGTGATGGGAGGCAAACCCGAGAAGGAACATCCATAAGAATCTTGCTGGACAGATATAGTCTAACAAGCGTATCACATGTGTAAAGGCTCTTAGACAAACTGGCAGGTCCCGCAGACCACACGATTTTCAACCCTAGCTCGCGCACCCTACGATCAACAGCATTTGCAATCCACTTTTCCACATCAACATGACCTCTTGAAGGACCGAGTTCTATCATTAATTCTTCTAATACAGGTGCCTTGTGGAGTTGTAATGATTTGTCAATAAACCGCCATAAATACCGTTGTTGCTGCTCACTTTTGTCAAATAAACGGCCAAGTAAACGACAAAATAAACCGCCAATAAATACTTTGTGAGTATCACCATTGATCTTTCGGTACCCATACCCAAGTCTTGGTACCATCGTCCAAATATACCGCCATCGTTTAGACAAAATCATAGTGGCCACTACATCTTTCGTGTGGAGAAACAACAATATATGCACCAACAAATCGTCCGGCAATGCACTGATCTTGTCTTCACCTCCAATTCTCTGACCACGACGACGTTTGGCTCTTTTCTTCACAAATCGTGTCGAGATAGCATACGCAACATGCAGTGAGCTTATAATTAACAAAAGCCGTCCTAACATCTTTTTCCACCTGAAACTATCTTACAATGTTTCTTCTTTCTCTCGTCAATATTATACACGCATGAGGGAGGGGATTGGGCCCCGGGGGTTGTTAGGGAGTAATTATCTCTTTAACTTTTTTTTTATATATGGAGTAATTATCTCTTAACTTTTTTATATATTTTTGAAGATTCTTTATTATCTACTTTCTCTCGTTTCAATTAATTTTTTTACATCAAAAAAAATAAACCAATATATATATCCGATTTTTATGCTTCAACACAACAGTTCCGAAACTCAAATTGTTAGCGAACGTTCAATCGGCAGACTGTCAGAAACTGTAGTAACCCCGTCAATGAAATTTGAGGGGACCTATGATTAAATTCCTAACAACATAACTTAAACTTCAAATATACCAAATACTGTATTAGAGAGTTTTAATACAATATGGTATAGCAAACAGATGGAATAACGTTTAGGGGGAAAAACCTAACAAACAATATCTCAAATCCAATCACATGAAAAGACATATAAACATATATTTTCCTAAGCCTTAAACCTAAAAGCACCATCACACATAGCCAAATGTCAATACACGAAAACCATAACCAGAAAAGAAAAAAATAAACCAAGCCATCAACATGAGAAATAAGAAGACACTAACTCACACAAACGAGCAAAAAAAAAAAAAAGATCTTAAGAAAAAGAGAGAAGCTGTTGTTATTGCTCCTCCTGCACTTCCACTTCGTCTTCTTCATACTCATACCCTTCTTCCTCATCAGCGGTTGCGTCTTGGTACTGTTGGTACTCTGATACCAAATCGTTCATGTTGCTCTCTGCCTCTGTGAACTCCATCTCGTCCATTCCTTCACCTGTGTACCAATGCAAGAAAGCTTTTCTTCTGAACATCGCTGTGAACTGTTCGCTCACACGCCTAAACATCTCCTGGATCGAAGTCGAGTTCCCGATGAAAGTCGAAGCCATTTTCAGACCCGTTGGTGGAATGTCACACACGGTTGATTTCACGTTGTTTGGGATCCATTCCACGAAGTAAGATGAGTTTTTGTTCTGAACGTTGATCATCTGTTCGTCAACTTCTTTGGTGCTCATTTTGCCTCTGAACATGGCTGAGGCTGTCAAGTACCTACCGTGACGCGGATCAGCTGCACACATCATGTTCTTGGCATCCCACATCTGTTGGGTGAGCTCAGGAACAGTTAAAGCTCTGTATTGCTGTGATCCACGAGATGTAAGCGGTGCAAACCCAACCATGAAGAAGTGGAGACGAGGGAATGGGATTAAGTTCACTGCAAGCTTACGCAGGTCAGAGTTAAGCTGACCCGGGAAACGGAGACAGCAAGTGACACCACTCATGGTTGCAGAGATGAGATGATTCAAGTCTCCAAAGCTAGGAGTGGTTAGCTTAAGAGTTCTGAAGCAAATATCATAAAGAGCTTCATTGTCAAGAACCATACACTCATCTGCATTCTCCACAAGCTGATGAACAGAGAGTGTTGCATTGTAAGGCTCAACAACAGTGTCTGACACTTTCGGAGATGGAAATACAGAAAATGTCAGCATCATCCTATCTGGATACTCTTCCCTAATCTTTGATATCAACAACGTTCCCATTCCAGATCCAGTTCCTCCTCCCAATGAGTGACACACTTGGAATCCTACACATCATTCACATCAACACACACAAATTTTAACCATGACCAGTATCAGTAGGACAATTGCACAAATCCAGCTACTCTAGTACTAAGTGATTCCAGAATTACATATGAAATTGACAAATCCAGAAGTTTCTACACTCATGAAACAAATCAAAACTACGAGACACAAAATCGAGATCGAAGAGAACGATTTCTAACCTTGCAAGCAGTCACAATTCTCAGCTTCTTTACGAACAACATCGAGAACGGAATCGATAAGCTCAGCACCTTCAGTGTAATGTCCTTTAGCCCAATTGTTACCGGCACCGGATTGACCAAAGACGAAGTTATCAGGACGGAAGATCTGACCGTACGGACCGGATCTGACGCTGTCCATAGTCCCAGGCTCCAGATCCATGAGGACGGCGCGTGGGACGAATCTTCCGCAACTTGCTTCGTTGTAGTAGACATTGACTCGTTCGAGTTGCAAAGCGTTCTCTCCTTGGTATCTTCCCGTCGAATCGATCCCGTGCTCGGCGCAAACTACTTCCCAGAACTTAGCTCCGATCTGGTTTCCACATTGACCACCTTGAATGTGAAGAATCTCACGCATGTTTGATTACTTAGCTTAAGTAGGAAACTAACAAAAATTGAGAGAGAAAGAGAGAGAGAGAGAGAATTTGAACGGTTACGACTTGTGAGGAAATGAAGAAGACGAAGTGGTTGGTTTTATACTACATAGATAACGGAGACGGATTTTCATTGGGTTCTTTAGCCGGTTCTAACTGTACTGGTTTACGTAAACCGTATCATACTTAACCAGAAAAATGATCAATTGAATTTTCAAATACGTTACTTTTTTTTCGTTTTTAAATTCGATTGAACTTTACTACAGTATATATGATTAAATTGTTTGATTTTAGTGAAAATATTTGTTTTTCATGAATATGAATAAATTTTAATTTTAACCAATTGACCCAAACCGGTAACGTTGGTATACTTCTTTATTGCCGCCATGAATGACGGAGGTAAGTAACGGCTGTTAGGTCCGTTGGCCCACGACATAAATTAATATTCTGAAAATTATTATTAAATTTGGAATAAATAACAAATGAAGAATTCTTTCCACTTTTCAGTATGTGCTGAAAAAAGTTTATTCTACTGCAAAAAAGACCCTGGAAAATAGAACAGAACAGTGTATTTATTTTTATTAAGGTTATTCTATTAAAATGCAAAATTATTGGTACAAGAAGCAAATGAAGAACAACAATAATATGAGCAAAATTAAAGTAAGAGAGCAAAGGATATGGGATAATATGAGCAAAACATTGTATTTTTTGAGCTTTAGTAAATCCATAATCATAATTTCTTGAAGGAAAACTATTTTTCTTTTGCAAATATAAATATTTCAGACTAATTTTGATCCTTTTATAACTTCCTCAAACATATTAGAAAAAACATTTATTGATTTTGGGTCTGCATTAACTGCTATAAACATGTGCATTATCTTGATTTGAAATCATAAGGACAAAACAATGAGGGTGTTGTACAGGTAGATCCAAAGTGTGTGGATCAGGTATTAATTCTCACGCACTACGTGATGCATGTGAAGACTCTGAACCTTGAAGATAAAAAGGCTGCGAGATCTGACCATATTCCTTTTTTCTTGTTCTCCCACTTTTTTTAATTCTTCTTGCACATGAATTGGTTGAACCGTGACAGACACGTGATACCAACGGAAAAGCACGTGACTGAAATTACTGTGATCTGATTAGCGAAAACTAATCAAGAATACAAACACTATTCGTTTTTGCGGTGATTATGATCAATTTTTGATATATGGTAAACCTGTAATGCATCGTATGATGTACAAGGTAAGATAATAGAAAGATACCACCAGGATAACTATAGCCTAGTTTGAGATTTGGATTAGATTCCAAATTGGTGAAGCAATCATTAAGAAATTGTTAAAAGCAAATTAAGTAATAACAAAAGATGCACACGAGCAAGTAGATAGTTTCATTGTTCAGTGTGCATTCGACTTTAAGATTTATCATAATTTAATTGTTATTCTGACGGCAATCTAGTTTTGTGTGGATGTATTTGATACTTGAACTAAAAAAAACATAATTTAGTTGTTATTTTGACGGCAATCTAGTTTTGTGTGGATGTATTTGATAGCTTAAGCTTTTTAATATATTATTATAATTATACAGTATTGTAGTGCGATGGGTGGGTCTATTGCTCTATTCTGAACAGTAACGTGCAAATCACTCTATGATCAACTAGAAATATAAAACAGGTGAAATTTGGGACCCTACCGTGACATGAAAATTAGAGAGAAAGACAGCAAAAACAGCTTTTAAATGATTATGGCCTATATCAGAAGCAATGTATCAAGCTAAAAGAAATGCATATCAGTCTCAAAGTTAGAGCAACTTGTGGTGTCAGTGAGTAGTACCCATCAAGTTACACCATCACTCCATCAGTTTCATAACCAACCAACTTAATCTTAATAACTCTTGAGCTTAATATTTTCTTAAGGTGATGTTTATCGTTTACCAAATTTAAACTAATTTCAAATTCTCTTTGTAGGGTGGTGATTTTGGTATTTAGCTCATTATTCTTTTGACATTTGACATACCCTTGTTTAAAAAAAAAAAAAGAATTTCACTACTAAAAATATCTAGAGAATGAGGTTCTGAGTCGCAAATTTGAAACATTCGATTATACAAACACACGAATCAGATACCAAATGAACTGGTTAAAACAATTTAATTACCCGAAAAATATTTTTAGTGTATATTAACATAGAAATATGGGAGTTTTTATTTTTAGCTCATAAATAATATTTCGTCTTTCTGAAGCTATAGAGCATTATGAGAGTTTTTCATTTTGAGTTTCGTGTGAATAACCTAAACTTGAAACATAAATCTAGTAATCTACAACATTGGTTATACTTGTATATATATTTTATTTTCTCTACACAACAAAAACCGAAATGAAGCTAAAAGAATTCAAGAGCCGGTTTGATTCTGCTTGCTCCAGTACTTCATCTCCCACTGTAGGATTCTCGTATTAGTACTCTGTTTCCTCTTCACAACCCCATAAAGCGATGCCGGATCATACGGAGGCGGCATGGCACACGGACCAGACTCCGCAGGGTGCTTTACAAATGATTCCGTCATGAACTTCCGCTCATTCCCGCTTCTTGGACATGCCATTGTTTCCGAACAAATCTCCACGGCATTCTGAGGAATCTCGGGTTTAAACCGGAGGAGTTTCGAGTATTCGGTTAAAAGATGGTACATGTAATCATACACATAGTCCATCTTGAGTTCTTGTTGGATGAAATCGCTGGCTGCCTTTCCAATATCCTGTGCCTGTGTCAAAAATTTTGTGTTTTCATCATAGATTAACAATGTACCTATTGAAGACCAAGACCATCACAACCGAAGCTCTAGTGCTGTGGATTTCAACATAGATTAACAATGTACCTTTTGAATGTGAGAGTTCCCCCAATCAACGGCAAATTTGATAGAGCGACACTTATCGTGCTCCCTAACGGGCCAATAATGGTGAGCCGGAAGCAAGCCTCGGGTAAAGAAATCATAGTAATGTGGTTTCACCAACAGAGTCACCGAGTCACATGCCAAAATGTACTTCTCGCTAACTGACCATGCAGACCCTTCTATATATATTTTGTATCTGCTCATTAACATTGCATAATCCCATACCGTTTATTAGTCTTTCATATTTTAACTTTGCATAACCCAAATCTAATTAACTGTCTAGAAAACAAATTACATTACCTGTGATGGCATTGGCTTGCCAAATCTGACTGCTTGTAGCCTTCCTTTGATTCTTTGATCCAATCCTATAAGATAAAATCAAAAACTCATAAATGTTGGTTTCTTTAAACTATCAGAATCAGATTTCTTGGCATTCCTCAAAGACGTTTCTTGTTCAAAAAGGCATCATTGTTACCTGAGCATACAAACGAGCGTTCCACTCGTGTTCCTCAGAGACATTACATTTCATAAGATCTTGTCGTGTCTCTGCAACCATTGGATTACCTTTCCAATAAGCATAAGGCTCTCTGTTTATCCATTTAGTCCTCTGATTCCCTTCTCTTAGTTCCTTCAACAAACTCTCCCATGGCTTTATATTCACCTCCGCCCTACAACAAATTAACACAAATCTTGGGTTTAACTGATCAATTCAAAACTATTGGGGTGTAATTGAGAAAACTTGAAAAATCACGGGTGCTTTGTTTATTACCATCCCCAAAAGGACCAATCAGGAAACACGATATCAAGAGTCTCCTCATTCCCACAGTAACGAAACAGCGGCGGAGGGGACGGCGCGTTAGCCCCGGCGAATTCCGTTGCTTTAACGACCGGCCAGTCAACACAGTCAAACATTAGCTCGAGATCTGGAATCTTCCCAGGGTACTTTCTTAAAAGCTGTAAAAATCCCCAAATGGTGAACACATCTCTTGTCTGAAACGCATCTTGAAACTTCTCGACGTAAATTTTCCCGTCGATGATCGCTAGCCGGAAATTCGCCGTCTTTTTGGCTCGCTCCAATGCTTCCCTCGTGATTCCCGTACTCGACCATGGACGGAGATCCTCGTGGATCCAACGGAAGTAATCAGGACACGTGGCGTTCGGAGGATGGTTTGTATCGTCATCTTCTCCGAAGCTCGTCGTCGTCGGGTATTTGTTTCTCGGACATGACGCGGTGGTTTCGTTGGCGGAGCAGTGTAGTGTGAACTCCGGTTTAGGGCTTTGTGTAATTTCCGTGGTTGGTCGAGGGTATTTTGGGGATATCGTCTGAGTTTGAGTTTTAGTCGTCGTCGTCGTCGCGGCTTCTTTCTCTATCAGAACCTAAAACCGGGAAAACGATATGACTAGTGAGCAGATTTGTGCAAAAAACCGACCCAAACCGTAATTCACTTGAACTAAACCGATTCAAACCGAAAGAAAATCTATATATACATTTTTGGAGATTATTTAATCAAATATCTAAATCAGATATTTCCTTAAATTCTATATTCTTCTTTCATGCTTTGGATTTGTGAATAAAACTATATTATGGATTGGTAATTATAAAGATTTGTAGAATATTTAAACATGACAAAAAATTATTTTAATATTAAATTATTAAATTATATATGTTTAACGGGTTAATCGTAAAAACACCAAAAGATTGATCGTATAACTTACTAAACAAAAAAATTGTGAAAATCTAACATTCTTATATATCAAAATAAGTGTTAATCTCCTTTGACACCTCTAAATGTGTAATTGACTAATTGAAATATTACATTACTAAATTACATTCTACGGGTTAAATCTAAAAATATTAAAAATTTAATTAATAATATAATTTTAATACTAAAAGTTTTATATACATTTAATATTGCTAAGTAAATAAATAAAATATGACCCCGCGGTGTACCGCGGGTTAAATCCTAGTATATAACTTAAACCAAACATATATGAATCCAATCGAACCGAATTCTTTAATTTGGATTTTCTTTTCCTAAAACCCCTAAAACCCGAAATTCTTCGCATGGGAGACAGCTAATTGAACTGGAAAAGTCATTTACTGTGGTCCCACAAAGAACACGTGTCGTGTTCTACGTGATTCGCCGACAACACCAACCACCAAAAGACTCTTCCGATCAATAATAGAAAATTCTTCCCTCACGTGACAAAAGGCACAAAACTCAAACCCATAAAGACACAAAACACCGAAGAAGTAGATTCAGCTTAAACGACAAGTGTAGTGTGTCGTTTTTGAGGGACTTACGGTGGTGGTGTCGAGGAGGAGGCGCGTGGAGATAAACGCGCCGGCTATGAGGAGGATGAGGAGGGAGATTAGGGCGTAGGATCTGTTGGAAGATATTCCGAAACCGGACTTGAAAACGGGAGACCATATAGTGTCGGTGAAAGTACGAGAATGCCCTCCCGCCGACCCGTTCTTGGACGGCGAGTTTCTCATCGGAATCTTCCTGATGGAGAAGCCAGAAAAAGTGATTCGAAAGAGTTTATGAGAGAGAACAAAAAAAGAAAGAAAAATAAAGAGGGAAGTGAGAGACAGAGAATCTTGTGAATTAAGGAATGTGAACAATTAAAAGAGTCTCAACTTTTTGTAGTGTCCCCAACACTTGAGGGTTTTAATTTCAAAAGATTCACAAAAGAAACAATAAACCTTCTAGGTTTGGGAAACGAAAAATTAGAAAGCAAAAAACTTCATGAAAGTTCATCAACATTGATTTATATTGTTAGTTTTAATAAAGGCTTTCGAATAACATGCGGGAGAAATAAAAGAGTTACATGCCTAGTCAAGGCCTTAGTGTTTGTTGGGTCTAGCCCATATTACACATCTTTATCTTTATAAGGATTTTATGATATTGGAGTGTTAATTTTTAAATCTTATTTTGGTTCGACTTCAACTTCAATTTTAAGCAAGTATATATTTGTTTTTTAGATATTAAAAGAGCAAAACCTTACTTTGAACTGGATCAATATAGGCATATAATGATATAACACAACGTAAATTTCATTATGGATAAGCTCAGGCCCGGCCCACCCATAAAGCAGGCAAAGCATTTGCTTTAGGCCACAAAATATAAGAAAGTTTTTAGGGCCACAATATTAAGAATCTTCTTTAGTCTGGTGGTTAGGTAGTCAGTTAATTAGTGTCATGTTCCGAGTTCGAATCCCTACTTTTACAGTTTTTTTAAAAAAATTTAACAATAGTTTCAAATATGCTTTAGGCCCCAAAAGTTCAAGGACCGGGCCTGGATAAGCTTGCATTCAATACGGGAAAGCAAAGACGTGTTGGGTTAAACTTTATTTTTGATTAATATCAACCAGTAAATCAAAGAAAAGACATGCTGGTTCATATTAACCAAGCCAAGATTTTAATTTATTTGTTGGATAACATAGAAAGGGAAAAAGGAAATGTAAGTTGCGAGAGAGACTCATACAATCAAAGACTTGGAAACATTTTTTCATCTGCCAACTTGACTACATAGAGACCAAAGCAAGAGCTGGGGCAGGTACTTTGAAGTCGACACACATTTTTATTATTGGATCCTCCTCCTCTAAGGTCTTTTGGCGCAAAGATACCGAATACTTGATTTCCTGCCAAGTTAAAAATAAGAAGTATAAATTTTAAAATATGACACCAGGGAAAAACGAAGTATATTTTTTTTTTTAATATAAATAGAAGATGTGATGTACTACAAGAACAAAGCCAAGTCTTGAAAGTTATAGAAATAAATAAACCAATGTCAACCGGTTTTGTTGGTTCATCGGTTATCTGTTATTGGTTTTAGGGTTTTTTCCGGTCAATTACGGTTATTTAATCAGTCCAACCTAGCTGTCTATCTGATTCATGATTTTGTTTTCTATGCAAAGAGTTTAAATATAGTTTACCTCATCAAAACCAACATAAAGAACGTCGGAAAGAGTTAACTCAAAGTTGGTGCCAGCTTCAATCTCAGATTCAGTGTTACATGTACTCACATCACAAAGATTGTAAGTTTTTAAAAGGCCAGTAAAATCCCCAGATCTAAAGGCTACGTACACAAGGGTTCCCGGGGAGATGTTTTTGCCTGCATACATGAAAGATTTTATCGAGAAAATATTAGAAACTATAAAGAAAATAAATAGAGTTTGAAACTTTGGAAGATCATAAAAATTATTACGTACTTGCGGAACCGAATAAATTTATATTGATGGTTGGGTTTCCGTGAGACCCAACAGACGGAGAGACCTCAATGCGAGTGACGGTACCGTAATCGTTTCCATTTTCTGCACAAGTCACATATATTAATTGTGGAAGTTATAACTTACGAGTCCCCTGTTGGTAAAAAAAAAACTTGGATCTATATATCTTTCTTACACAAGTAAATCCAATTTATATGTCAAACAGTTCAAATATTTGTTTGTTAAAAAAAAAAAACAGAGACATTAGCAAGCCACAATATATGAAATCGAGGTCTATATGAATGACTGAATTGATTTATAACCTTATAAGAATATGTCTTGTATATAATTAAACAAACAGAAGACTGAAAACTTAACAAATCGATACTTACTAGCGCAGTATTCGAAATCGATGGCGTTGAGCAAAGTTGGTAAGAAGAAGAGTGATGCGAGGATGAGAAGCATGGGCTGGACATGAGACATCGCCATGGATCTTCAAAGCTCCTTGAAATTTTTTTTTAATTCAAGTTTGACTAACAAGTTTGTAGATTGTAGTACATGTTATGCTTCTTCTATGCAAGCCTTCTATTTTATAATCTATAAGATAAGTGGATGGGATCATAAGTGACATGATGCTCTGGGACCGGTCCGGACCTGCATAAGTTATATTCATATATATTAAACTCCCACGTTATTATGCACGAGAAGCTTAAAATATTAGTATAAATGTCAATTATTTATTACCTTACCTACCAAATTTTTTCATTCATAATCACGTGGATTCATCTCGGAGAGACCGATCCGTCACGAAGAACTATATTATTTTAAAACACATTATATTTTATTTAAAACTTTTTGTTTTGATCACAGGACCACATGTTCTTTCTATAACGACAACACGAATTGACTACCTTACCGAAGAAAACAATTTTGGGGCCTTGATGCTTCATATAGCAATATCTCCGTTGTAACAAACAATATAAGAGGAAGATCCCGTTGTAACACACAATTAAGTTGAATAAACGAGATTACTTTTCTTGATCTCATCTTCTTCGATTCAACTAATAGACTTGGATATCCTATCTATGTATTTCATATTCTTCTATGGATTTTGACGTCACATTGTGTGTTTCTGTTTCATATGCTTCTATTCTAAATACACAATTTGATGCTTAATAGAAAAGTTAGCTCAAAAGTACATAGGCAGTTTTTATATGAATTAAAATCTGCAAATTTGAAAAGAACGTAGAGTTAACATTTTAACGGCTTATCAAAGTCGGCCTATCTCAAGGAGATGTCTTGATTCTTGATGTTGTGTCTTAGCAAGAAAAAGTGGTGGCGTAAGTGCATAACCAGTTATCTAATGTTAGCACACCTGAAATTAAATTTCTTTATGGGCCGGTTCTTTATACCTTGCACTGTATTTAATGATTAGTTTCGCAAGCTAAGAAATGTGATATTTCATCACCAAAAATGGAAAAAAAAATGATTAAGTGAAAAAACCATGCAGAATGATAGCATTCATTTAGCTTTAGTCACCAAGGTTGGGGAATTGCAAAATATAAATTGTGTTTATAGAAATATATGATTGGTAAAATCATACAAAATCGCATAATCATCCAACTGGTTAATTACCAATAAGAATCTATATGGTCGTTACGTTTATATAATTGGAAAAAGCTAGCTAAGACAACTGTGAACGTACCGGGATCTATTACGTCGGTGTTAGGAGAATCGATAGGAACTGGACTCCTCCGTCATCCGTCATCGGTCTAAGCTTGCTGATCGCTTCTCTAAAGGCTTTGTGTTTGACGTTTTTCCATCCCCGACCGCTCCAAAATCGGTTATCACCGCACTATGCTTCTGGCAATTCAATGCTGAATATTCCGATACTGGCTTGTGCCAACTGGGACGGAGGATGCCTCCCTAACCGGAATACTTGAATGTATCTGTGCATGACTCTTGATGGTCAACCAAATTGATCTTCAATCGGTGAAATCTATCAAGTTACCAAAACAGAGCATAGGAAATAAAAACGTTTGCATTGAATCACAATTTTTTTTTTCATATTATAGAAGTACTATCCCAAATTTTCAATAAGAGCAAAATCATGTTTCAAGGAAAAATTAAAAGTACCAGATTTTAGAAATAAGAATACCATTTTTATGTTTTATTTACTAGAATTACAACCAAATCATAAATTTTTAACATTACCACAATTGTGTTTAGGGACCCTTCTTTATCATTTACAGAAACATTTTCTAAAGTTGTAGATTTTGTTTATCTACTCTTAACATTTATCTACCAACTAGAGTAGGAAGGATCGCTTCATCACACAGGCAATAATTGGCTAATCATCCGAATTTTGCTCCGACAAGTCCATAAATAGATCCTACAAGAGACAATAGACAGACGAGCAAGCAAACAAAGCTAAAACCTCTAAGAAGAAGCCATGGTCGCGTCCAACTTTGGATCTTCTTCTGCAATATACACATCTCCACAGGAAAATACACTGCCAAAGGCCAAAATCCAATTGCCCCCAATACTCCTAAAACTTCATTGAAGTAGGGAAACATCACTGCCACTCCCGTTGTGATCAACACATACATCGTTCTTAGACACATCCTCATTGGATTCAGTCTCACCGTTCCTCCTCGTAACAATGGCAGTTTGAATCCGTAGAATCTGGCAATGAACTTGTTTTGTGGGTATTTCTTGGTTAACCATCTCTCCACAGCCGCAAAGATCGGTTGACTATAGACCTAAAATGCCATTCTATATGTTAGAAATGTATGGAAGATTTTGACTCTCGATTGTTTGTTTGCTTTTGAACATGTTATATATCAACTCAAACCGATTTTGGTATTTTAAACAATTTTTTTTTTGTGAATTGTAAACGCAAACGTTAAAGTAACATATATTAACCAAAAATATTTTGTCCAAATACTAGATTAATAGTAGTCACTAGTTTGTTTTCTAAAATGTGAATACACATGTAAACGAAAGCATAGAAATCAACGAGCATGTTGGTTAGATGGGCAAGGGGTTTTTAAGATACCTGATATCCACCAACTAAATGAAGAACAATGCAAGCGTTAGCGAAATCGACGAGCCAGAATGGCTCATAGAAGCCGGAACCGGTCAAGAGATTTCCCGGGGTTAAATCCCCAAAGGCCGCGTACCCAAAACATCCGCAACAGAAGAAGAAGAATGTTTGGATGAATACCGCAACTGCTGAGGCTTTCTTCATCGTTTCCTTCTCTGCTGGTGGTGATCTCAATGTGTCCTGTCCTTAATTTCCATTCAACCCACGTAAAAAAAAGGTTTCTTGATCTCTTACGAGTTAAGAGTGCATAATGTGTTAATTAATCTTACTTGGCGTCATTATACATGAATGTAAATTATTTACCTGAATCTCAAGAAGTATGATTGAGAAAGGATATGAAAAGGCAATGTTCCCAAGAGCTTGGAACGCTAACCATACTTTTGCACCTCTGTTTTCTGCTGGACTTCCCCTTACACTTCCCTCAATTTTTCCCTTTTCTTCATTTCAAAAACAAAAATACTTATTGGTCTTTCATCTCAAAATCAATTGATAATAAGTGAACTTGACCCAATATCAAAAGCAACAAAGAATATAATCTAATTATGTGAGATGATTTATCTATATATACCTATGATTTTGCCAAGGGCGAGGCCCATGCCAATGAATGAGTAAGTAAAGGACATAATCGCGGCGACAAGAGAGAGCCATAGCATGTTGTGGAAATTAGGTATTTGTGACATAAAGATCTGAGTCAAACCAAACAAAAGCATGAAGTAGTTGTTGTTGTCTCCAAAAGAACATGTTGCATTATGTCCTTCTCTATGATAACAATTCGATTTCATAATTGCTCTGTAATGAAATAGAAAAAAACTCTACATATCAATATATTGCAAATTCAAAATTCCTAAGAATAAAACAACGGTCTCAATATTTTTACAGATATTATTTACCTAATGCATGTCGCTGTAACTATGGTATAAGCAATACCACAACCAAAAAGGGAAATGTATACAACAACCCCACATACTATCTCATTCTTCTTCCCTGCAAATCAAATTACCCATCTAAATAAATTAAATTACCACTAAAATAAAAGTGTTAGTTTTAAGGCTTAAAGCCATAATCTCCTAAGTCGGGGAACAGAGCAAATTAATTAGTCATTTTCCATTGGAATGAACTAAAATATGAGTTTTGAAGTTGACCTAAATACAATTTAACGGCTTGAGAGTAAGAATTAAGTCGGAGAGGACCGTTGTCAGGATCAGGGAAACGGTAGCAATCCGAAAGAAGAAAAGCAGAGAGAAGTGTAACTCCGGCGAAGGCTATAAGCGCGGCTGGACCAGCGATCCAGCCGAGCTTCGCCGTGGCCCAAGCCAACGACAACACTCCAGCTCCTATCACTCCTGTTATTATATGTGTCACCGCCGTCCATAACGTTCCTTTATTATTCAAGAAAACACAACGTAATTATTTACCACTAAATGAATAATTACTAATGATTATGATTATATGATTACTGACGGATTTACCTGTTCTTGCAGAAACTGAATCATGAGGTTGAAGTTCGGTTGGTGTTATAACTCGAGACTCGTCATTTTCTTTAATGTCCATATTTTTTTTTTGTTGTGGAGGAAGATGAAGATATTTGGTTTGTGTATTTTGGTATCTATTTATTCGGGAACACGATGTGAATTCAATTTATCTTATCGAGGGAAGAAACCTTGTCTAAGTGAATTGGAAGACAGATGGTTGTCTACTACTACTATTGTAATTGACGTGTACTAATTTATAAAATTCGTGTTCATGTGAATAACATAAGATATTTTAGCCGATGGTCACATCTACCATTAGTCATGGATTGGAATGGTTGAAATTGAACAGTTGGGTGGTCCATTTTTTTGCTAAAATGCGTAAAGAATTAATGTGCTTATCTCACTACTTTTAATTTTGTCCATCAACATTAACTTTATATTTTTTTAACATAAAAAAAAAACATTATGATGTACATTTTTTAAGGAGGAAAATTTTCTTTGATTGGTAATGTGTAATTGGTAATCCCATCTTAGAATAACTTACACATTAAGCATTTTCCGGCAATTTAATCCCACGAAATATGAAATAGTATGATTCATATATATGCTCGTCTATGTACACTTATAATTAATGTTATTGATCAACTCCAACAGGATTTGACAAGGCCAGGTCTACCATACATTAGTTCAAACTTTTAGCTTTTTCTTTTACCCAACTTTTTAAAAGTTAATACATATGAATATAGATGCATTTTTTTGTAAAATAAACAAGAGAAGTATGCTTTGATTGTTATCGATCGCCCAGACGCCCACGTTCACATTTCTTATACATGGCCAACAATGCATATACTTGAATTGAACAACTCTGAAGACCATATCATGTCGATGAGAGAAGATTTAAACTAAGATCTCAAGGAAAGAAAGCACTAAATAGTAGAACCCAGCTCGTTGAACAATAAAATAAAATAAAATAGAACCAAGCTCTAAATAGAGACATAGAGTTTGGCTTTGGAATTTTATGGTTCAAAAAAAAAAATTAGAAGCTAAGAAAATGTTCTATGAAAAAAAACATGGACGGATCTTCTTATTTTTTTAGGTTAGAGCATATGAATATACAAAAATATATGGGCTAGAGGCATTTAAATGAACTAACACTAATTATTCAAAGGAAAAAAAAGGTTGGGGGCACTAGACCTCATAGTGTCATAGGTCTTGCTTTAACTTTGCCTTTAAGAAAGAGCGATAAATTTTTGCTCAAGAAGACGACAAGTATTTGGTGATACAAAAGAAGAGTAACATTGTCGTCTGAAGAAAATGGCAAACATAATTCTGTTTTGCTTTTTTATATTTGTTTAATATGTTTGTATAGAATTGATAGAATAATTTGTTTGTTAAATTTATTTATTTTTTAAATCAAATTATCATTCAAACCATGAACAAAATCAAAGACAAAAACAATTTTTAATTTCGCCGTTCAAAAAAACAAACAAAAAGTATAGATTTAATTTCCTGTCAAATAAACAAAAGAAGTATTATTTGATCGTTATCGATCACCCACGTTCACATTTCTTATACATGGCCATAATTCCTATCGATGAGAGAAATTTTAAAGTGACAAATTTTTTTTTATTTTTATTTTTTTATTTTAAAGTGACAACTTTGAAGGCACATAAGTCTCTTATTCACTATTACCTATAGAAAAGTTAGTTTAAAAAAATTCAACACTAACGTTTTTTTCAAATTTCTAAATATAAATCACTACAAAAAAGAAGGGATTTAAAGTCATTTTTCAAGTGTCCTAAAGTCAGTTTTTAAATGACCCTAACAATATAAAGTCATTTTTGAAAATGATACAACAAATGATGACTCTAAGTTTTTTAGAAACACTTCAAAAAGTGACTTCAAACTTAAAGTCAGAAATCAATATGGGCCATAATTTTTTAATGGGCTTTATATTTTGTCTGAATCCATTTACTTGTCTGAAATCTAGTTATGTTTTTGTCTGAATTTCAGTTTCATTTGTGTCTTTAAATTTTGTCTGAATTAAACCTGTAAAAAAAATGAGGAACAATAACCAAATACATTATATATTTTCATGTTCCAAAGTCAAATAGAAAACAATATTTGATCACAGTCTGATACAAGAATATCTGATTCAGCTATAAAAAATAAAAACATATGATATGCTATATCTGATCATATTTCTATGCACTTCTTCTTCTAGTACCCTTGTTCTCATTCAATTTCTATGCACTTCTTCTTCTAGTACCCTTGTGAACTGAAACAAAAACATATAATGTAGTCTCAGTTTGGTTATAGACGGCAACAACACTATCTATAATGTATCTCTGAAATCTACAACTTAGCTTTATACACTACCTATAACACTACTCAAATCAACACTACCTATAACACTACTCAAATCAAATTCCAACACAAGAGAGAGAGAGAGAGAGACAAGAGACAAGAGAGTTAGTACCTTACTTCAGTATCTTCCTTCAGTTTTCGATTTAACAAGAACAAAAAGAGCATCTGTCACGATTTCTAGCTTATCTTCAAGTCCTTTCAAACGGGTCTTTAGCTCCAAAATCTCAGCATTAGACGACATCACAGATTCCTGATCCAAAAGATACTTGGACGGTGTTACTCCACGTCCAACACATCGAACTCGACTTGTAGGCTCAGAACCAAACACTTGTTCAAATGCATCATATGGTCTAGACTCAGTATTGGATGCTTCATCTTGTATATTCTCAGTCATTACTTGGGAAAGCTTATCCTGCAAAAATAATGAAACAGAGATTCATAAGTTACAGAGATCATCAGGCATATAAAACAGACAAGTTACAAGTTACAGAGATCAACCATCAATCTAAAAGCAAAACTGACCATAGTGAAACAGCAAGTTACAAGTTACAAAACAGACAAGTTACAAGTTCAAAGTTACAGAGATCAACCATCAATCTAAAAGCAAAGCTGACAACTTACCACAGTGATTCTTGCTTCGTTGCTCAATAAACTTCCATCTGATCTAGTCCTTGATGCAATAAAAAGTTCAGCTCGATTTGGTTCTTTGCCTGTCTCCTCTTCCTAAATGTACAATTGCACCAAGTTAAAGAGGATTGACAGAATCATAGTACTAATTAATGCAGAATAAAGATTGACTAAACGTACCATCTCATTAGCTTTTCTTGCTAAACTCTTTTTTCCAAGTGTATGTGGCATTTTATGATTGTTTCGACTATTAATATTACGCTCTCTCACTCTCTATATTGTAACAAAGCAGTACATAGTTATTTGTATGTGATATATATAAACTATAAAGTAGTTGTGGAATAGATTTTACCTTAGCCTTATCAGTGAACTGCATTTCCACAAATTCTTTCCATTGATCTTCAGGAATTAGTCCTGGTCTTGCTTCAAATGCTTCCTCTATAGTATTTCTTCTGTACTTCATCCAAATGCGTTGTTTCAAGTCTCTGCATCTGACTCCTAATGCAGATAAAACATATTTCTTCCTCCTCCTTGGATTATCAAACCAGAACTTTTTCTGTGTTAATGTAAAAATGAACAGAAAAGATGGTGAGAGCTTATCCAAAGTAAAGTCTAATAGTTAATAGGTAATGAAAATACCTAAATCACTTTCCAAGCCATTTCTTTTCTGTAATTGGGAACTTTCCTCCAATCGGTGTAGTTAATAGGTAATATATTAAGATCATTACTCAGTGAACCTAACCACGAACCAAACAAACCTCCAGAATCTTTGATAACCTGTCCTCTTCTATTGAAATCAACCATAACCCGCCGATTTAGCAAGCCCCACACTTCTTTTCCTGAAATACTACACATATAAAGATAGAAAATAATTGTTAGAATACTTTTAAAATCATAATCATCAAGCAAAATTCAAGCAAATATAATCACCTCCATATTATCATATAAATCAGATGGAATCTGAGAACTTTCAAGATCTTCTATTTGCCTCACTAATCTAATATCAGAAACATTATCAGATATAATCATTGAACTTTGAATAGGAGGATCTTCAATGACGACTTGAGGAGGAATTTCATCTGAACTAGTAGGATCTTCCATATCATACAAGTCTCTTGGTTGGACGTGAACAACAACACTCCAATCAAACACCTCATTTTGCTTTGAATGATCCTCCATAGTAGGCATACTAGCAGCATCATCGTTAAAACTATTACTCATACTTGGAAAAACATCTCCAAGCAGATTCATAGTCGGGTTTTCAACATGATCATCATCAGATTCATGTTCTAGTCTCACTTCTTGCTCTTGAAAATCCAGTTCTTCACCATGGAGATACCAATTTGTATACGTAGGCAGAAAACCGTGACAGACTAAATCACCCTCAATCTCAGTCCTATTCTTGTGTTTAACAAGAAAACAACGCTGACAAGGACATTTGATCATATCTGTCTTACTATAACCAAAAGCAAAATCCAAAAACTCTTTGACTCCATTTATGTAGTCTTGAGATATACGATGTTTTGTAATCCAAGACTTGTCCATTCTCAATTCTGAAACTATACAAGTTCAATCAATAAACAAACACACTCTAACTTCCATAGAAATGGAAATTGGAAACCACAAACATAGTATGGATAACTCATGGAGTCATAAAAATATCAGTTAAACATATATTCTTATTGAGACAAAATCCAGAAGCAACAAACGTGTTATTATAATCAATCAAACGTGTTAAACAAAATTCAATGCTTATCAGTAAAATACAAATCCAGAATCAAAACATGTATAATTATATATCTCACAACACTCACAGCACATCACAGAGATATATTATAATCAATCAAACGTGTTAAACAAAATTCAATGAATTGTGTGTAAAATACAAATCGAGAATCAATTTCACTCATTTTCAACAAAAATTTAAAACAAAATTCACAAATCCAGAATCAATTTCACTCACGCAAGAAGCAAACAAGGAAAACATGATGAATTGTGTGTGTTGTTCAGATTCTTTGATGAAGCAACTAAGAGCTTCAGTATCTCTTTCAAGGATATGTTAATGTTCATGTTAAAGTCTCTTAGTTTTTTTTCCTTTCGAGAACCATAGCATAATCAAAACTTCAATAAAACAAACACAAATCTCAAATAGGCTAATAGTCGACAATCAATCTAGAGGGAGCAAGTGAATGGTACCTTGAATTTTGGAGTCGGCGAGAAAAAATCAAATCGCGATTGATGAGATCGATGAACGATTCGGGATCTATTGAGATTGACGAACGCTTGAAATCTACTTAGAAATTCATAGAAACGAAAAACCCCATGATTTGTTCGATGACACTGAAGTTCTTCGAAGAAGAAGATGCTCGTATTTTCTGGGTTTGAGAAGCTTCGGAGAAGAAGATGCTCGTATGTTCTCCGAAGAAGAATGCTCGTGTTTTCACTAACTCTTTAGTGGTTGGGCTTTAATTCGAATAATAGCCCACCAAATTAAATCTGTCAAAAAAATAGCCCACCAATTTGAATCATATTTGCGTTGGTTTTTGCAGTCGGTTACTAAACCGACTCTAGATCCCTTCTTTTTAAACAACTTTACGTCATTTTCTAAAGTAACGTTAATTAAGTGACTTTACATTATAGATTTCTTGTAGTGAATGTTGTGATGGGGACGGGCGGACGGCAGTTGTGGTGGTGGTGGTATTGGCGGAGATATGACGGTGGTTAAGGTCAGAGCCGAACGTAGATGTATGAGTAGGAGAATACGTGCTCTAGGTTAAATTTTGAAGTTTGTTATGTAATTTGTAGTGGAGATGGAACAATTGGTTCATGGCTTTATGCCATCATGGTGCCCACAATTGATTCATGGCTTTATGCCTTCATGGTGCCCCCATGTTTTCTACTGATTTTTTTTAGTTAAATGATTATTACTTTTTATTTTACGGTTTCCAAGAAAAGAAATGTTTCTATATTAGTCTATAATCCATTTTTAATTATTGTTTAAAGGAACTTTATTAATATATTATAACCTATGTTGATGAACGCTACAAATAAAAAGATTCAAGGTAAATATATTTTTTCCAGGTTAATTATTGTTTTAGATCCACCCCCGTTTGTGATAGTGGTGATGGTAGTGATGGTAATGTTGTGGTGAAGTTCTAATGTTATATTTTGAATAGATGATATATATAGAATATGGGTAAAATTGACAATAATATACGTAATACACACAATATTATAATCTTATGATTAGAATAACTACATTAGTTATTGAATTAGAGTTTGTTTTGGTTACTTTTACCAATTTTCTAAATATAATTAGGGTTGATAACAAATATATAAATTGGTTATTTTCAAAAAAATCCTCAAACTAAAAAAGATAAGAAAACAATTCCTCATTTTCCTTTCTTACTAAGCATGACGTCTTCTTCCATTTGTACTTGTGATTACTGCTGATTAGGATGAAATTAAGAAGAGCTGGTTCTTGACTTCTTGTAATTTTTCTTGTGCAAATACTTGATTTCATTCCTTCAAATTAAACCAAGGCACAAAGATAAGATGGATACAAAGATCCTAAAGTATAGTACAAAACAAAGAAAGGCATTTCAATGCCACAAACATAATAATTATGATAGGTCGACAGTAGATCCATGAGAGTTTGAAGACAAAAACTAGGTAGGATCTTGATGCAAGCAATTTCATGGTTAGTCGAGGGTCATCCACGGAAGATGAGAGGATAGTCACAGTCAAAAGATATGGTGACGTTGAAGACGATTCCAAAGCCTTGATTTCCGCCAGCACGAGAAGTTCTATATGAAATAACACAACGACAAGGATGGTCGGATGTTTAATTTACACGGCTTAGAAGCGGGAAGCCAATGACTGTAACTTGTGACAAAAAAACTTTGTTTCCATTTCTAGAACAAATGGTTATACATAGGAAGAGTTTGGCAAACTCAAAGTTTAAATCAACAAAGCTAAACGCAATTGAAACAACAACAATAAGAAAAATAGAGACACCATGCAGGCATGCAGCGCCGGAATCACTGGGTGAACCTCCAGGAGATATCGATTGGAGCCGCCGAGGCTTCTCTCTTTTGGGAGAGAAATCGTCGCGAGTGAGATTCGCTCGCGCGACTCTGTTATTTTAAATTTTGTTTTCAAGATTAATAACCGAATTTAATATAAGATCGGGTTTGGTCCGACTTCATCTTCAATTTTTAAGCAAGTATGTATTTGGTTTGCAGCAAAAATAGAGTTCTAGTTTGATATTTAACCTTTTTATGATTTGTTTTTTTTGATATTAAAAGATCCAAACCTTACTTTGATATTAAAAGAGCCATATAACACAAAGTAAACTTCATAATTCATCAACTTGAATTCAATACGGAAAAGCAAAGACGTGTTGGTTTAGAGTTATCGATCATGCGATCTCTAGAGCCAATTATTTGAAAGCTCCTCATATTTCTCTGTTCTACTCTGCTTTTATTATGCTTCTCTGCTACTAGTAAAACTTCCTCTTTTTTTTTTTTTTTTTTTTTTTTTTTTTTTTTTTAACTTTATTGTTGATTGATATCAACCAGAAGATCAAAGAAAGACATGCTGGTTCATATTAACCAAGCCAAAATTTACATCAAAGAGTTTAATTTATTTGTTGCACAACACATAAAAAGGTAAAAGGAAATGCAAGTTGCGAGAGAGACTCATATAATCAAAGACTTGGAAACACTTTTTCATCTGCCAACTTGACTAAATAGTGACCAATGCAGGAGCTGAAGCAGGTACTTTGAAGTCCACACACATTTTTATTATTGGATCCTGATAGGTTCTTTCGCGCAAAGATACCGAATACGTGATTTCCTGCCAAGTTAAAAAGAAGAAGTGCATGAAAATGTGAATCAAGTCAGACCGGGTTTGATTATATATATTTATTTTAAGTAGTAGTATCATACATCAAATGTTTCTATACTTATCAAGAATAAAGCCAAGTCTTGAAAATATATAAAAAATTATAAATAACCAATGCAACCGGTTTTTTTGGTTCATTGGTTATTGGGTTTAGGGTTTTTGCCAGTCAATTACGGTTATTTCAGTCCAATGTAGATGTCCCTCTGGTTCATGTTTAAACATGGTCCCGTTTGTGTTTGAAAACATTGGTCCTAAAAATAAGGATACTTCACATTCATTCATGCTTTTTTTATTTCCTATGAAAAGAGTAATAGAAATAGTTACCTTAACATAAAGAACTTCGGGAAGAGTTAACTCAAAGTTGGTGCCAGCTTCAATCACAGATTCAGTGTTACATGCAGTCACATCACAGAGGTTGTAAGTTCTCAAAAAGCCAATAAAATCCCCAGATCTATAAGTTACGTACACAAGGGTTCCCGGGAAAATGTTTTTGCCTGTATATAAGAAAGATTTTATCAAGAAAATATTAGAAACTAAAGAAAAAAATATGTTGAAAAAAAAAGAGAGTTGAAACTTGGGAAGATAATAAAAATTATTACTTACTTGCAGAACAGAATAAATTTATAGTGATGTATGAGTTTTCGTTAAAGCCAGTCGACGGAGAGACCTCGATACGAGTAACGTTACCGTAATCGTTTCCATTTTCTGCAAAGTCTCAGAGATTAATTGTAGAAGCTATAAACTTGGATCTATATATTTTTCTATATTTGTTTACTAAAAAAAACAGAGAGATGGGCAAGCCACAAATAATAAAATCGATATATAACTAAACACACGAAAAACATATAGAAAACTGAAAACTTAACAAGTGGATACTTACTGGCGCAATATTCAAAATCGATGGCACCGCGCAAAACCGGTAAGAAGAAGAGTGATGCGAGGAGGAGAAGCATGGGCTGGACATGAGACATCGCCATGGATCTTCAAAGCTCTTTGAAAAGATTTTTTTCAGGTTTGAATAACAAGTTTGTAGTACATGTTCTGATTTTATGCAAGACTTAATTAGTGGCATGATGCTCTGGACGTGGCTTGCATAAATTATATTCATATATTTTAATCTCCCACACTATAAGTGAGAATCTTAAAATATTAGTATGCTCAATGTCAATTATTTGTTACCTATCAAAATTTTTCATTCACAATCACGTGGATTCATCTTGGAGAGACCGATCCGTTTCGAAGAATTATATTATTATAAACACATTAAATTTTATTTAAAACTTTTTATTTCACAAAACCACATGTTCGTTCTATAAAAACGAATTGACTACCTTACCGAAGAAAACAATTTTGGGGCCTTGATCGAATGTAGGCCTGGGCATAAAACCCGAAATCCGAAAACCGATCCGAAACCGATCCGAAAAATCCGGAACCGAATCCGAACCGAATAGTCACAAAATCCGAACGGATAATGAATTCTCCTATCCGAATTACCCGAACCGAACCCGATCCGAACCGAAAACCGAAAGGATATCCGAAAACCGAAAATAAAAATTATATATCCAAAAATATTAGTTATATTTAGTTGTAATTTTATAGCAAATAACAAAAATATCCTAAATATCCTAGATTTCGGAAAATTTTTAGTTATATTTGTTAAAATTATACATATTTTTGCAAAATTTAACCAAATTTTAGTAAGATTAAACTAATTTTTATTTAAATTGAACTATTTTTAAGTTTTTTTTCCCGAAAACCGATCCGAATCCGACACCTATCCGAACCGAAACCGAACCGATGACTCATAAAATCCGAACGGATAATAAATTCTCCTATCCAAATTATCCGAATCCGAATATATCCGAACCGAAACCGAACCGAAAAATCATAAAATCCGAACGGATAATAAACTCTCATACCCGAATTATCCGAATCCGAATATATCCGATCCGAATCCGATTTGAAATCCGAATGCCCAGGCCTAATCGAATGTTTGGTAAGCCGTTAAAATGTTTATTCTCTATAGACAGTTTTTACATGAATCAAAATCTGCAGATGTGATAAGAACGTAGAGTTAACATTTTAACGGCTTACCAAAGTCGTCCTATCTCAAGGAGATGTCTTGATTCTTGATGTTGTACATGTCTTAGCAAGAAAAAGTGGTAGCGTAAGTTCATAACTAGTTCTGTGGACCGGTTCTTAATACCTTGCAGTGTACTGTGTACTTAATGATTTATTTCGCAAACTAGGAAATGTGATATTTCATCACCAAAAGTGAAAAAAAGTGAGCAAGTGAAAAAACCATGCAGAATGATAGCATTCATTAAAGGCTAAAGCTTTAGCCACCAAGATT